AGAGAAATAAAATTCTTCACCGAAATTCAATTATTTTTAAAAATTTTAATAAAATGCTTTGCAAAATTTTAAATGCTATCAAAAATATTCCTCAATTCAATGATTTTCTAATAGTTACTATTTTAATAAAGTTTTTAAAAATAAAATTTTTCGCAGAAATTCAATTATGTTCAAATTTTTTAAACAAATTCTCATAAAAATTTCAATTATCTTTAAAAATAATGAAATTCTTCTGCAAAATTCAATTATTTTCAAAAAATTTTAATAAAATTCTTGTCAAAATGTCAATTATTTTTTAAAGTAATATAATTCTTCTTCAAAGTTTAATTATTTTTAAAAGTTTTAATGAAATTCTTGGCAAAATTTCAAATATTTTCAAAAGAAATAAAATGCTTTGCAAAATTTTAATTGCTATCAAAAATATTCTTCAATTCAATGATTTTCAATACCTATCGACTATTTTAATAAAGTTTTCCAAAAGAATTCAATTTATTATTTAAAAAGAATTCTAATAAAATTCTTTAATAATAAAATTTTTTACAGGGATTCAATTATTTTTATAAATAATAAAAATTTTTAGATAAATTAAATTATTTTTAATATAATTTTCATAAATTTTTTTTAAAGAAATCAATAATTTAAAATGTTTTTTTATAAAATTCTTCTCCAGAATTTAATTATTTTTATAATTGTAATAAAAATTATCGTAAAATTTCAATTATTTTTAATACAATTTTAAATAAATTTTCATGAAAAATTCAATTATTCTTAAAAATTTTATTAAAATTCGTTGAAAGAATTAAATTATTTAAAAATTTGTTAGTTAAATTTTTAATAAGAATTTGATTTTCAAAAACATTCAATATTCAATAAATCATTTATTTTTGTAATTAAATAATTGCATTCTTGTAGAATTTTCTAAAAAATAAATTTTAGTTAAAATATTTTAGATAATAAATTGAATTTATTTAAAGCATTAAAGCGTGAATTATTAGAAATAATTGAATTTTGAAAATGTTTTATATTAAAATCTTTGAAAATCCTGAATTTTTCATACTTTTAACTAACAATTCATTAGAATTAATTTTTTTTTTTGAAAAAGTTTAATAAAATTGTTTTTGGAATATTTTTTAATTTTGTATTTTCTAATGTACAATTAAAGAATTTCCGAATAATCGACAATATATTTTGTAAAATTAAATTGTAAAAGAAAAAGATTTGAAAATTCTCAAAGAACTTTTTCAAAAATTATTAAAAATAATTGATTTAAAGAAGAATTTTAATTAAAAATTCTGGAAATATAATTGAATTGAAAAGATGAAAATAGTTTTGAAGAAGAAATATTTTTTTAAGAAATAATTGAATTTCGAAAGGGTCGAATTCAATTTTTTTGAAAAATTTCAATTCCAATGCTTTTGAAATTAGTTGAATTTTTAAATATATATTTAATTATTAAATAATATTCAAAAAAATTTTGAAAATAACTTAATCGTTTCTACGAATTTTATTTCAAAATTTTTGAGAATAATTTTTTTTTTCAAGTAGAGGGAATTTAAATTTGTGCAAATTACAAAAAAAAAAAGAAAAAAAAGTAGCTTAAATGTCGCAAATAAAAAAAAATATCTAAATAGTAGGAAATTATAAAAAAAGTAGTAAATAGTTGATAGAGTTTCGTAATTGAGTGTGAAGTGTGAAATAAATGTATCCCGTATTTTATTATTCATAGAAAAAAAGATTAGAAATATTGTACTCCAATCGATAATAATTAATAAGTGAAAAAGAATGTCAATTCTGATTTTATTTATTTGTCACTTGGGGAATTCTGTGGAGATTGATCACTTGTAATTTTAATTATAATTAATCAATAGTTATTCGGTCCACGAGTTATAAATATTTCATCGAAAATAGTATAAGGAATTTCATATTTAGTCAGAGCTATTTAAATACATGTGTACTGTACGAAATAATTGTGAATTTCTATTTATTATTATTATTATTTTTCTTTTTATAAAATAATTCGTCGTTTTATGCATGACTTTAAATTTTTAAAAAAATTTCTTCTCCCATGTTAACGCATAAGTGGATACTTCAGTTTAGAAATGTATGGTAGACCGCCCATTTATCAACAGCGTGACACTCGTACAAAAATATCCACTTATGTTTTAACACGTTTAAAATTTTTAATTTCCAACTCTTTTATTACTTCGCAGTTTTTATGGAAATAAAAAAAAAGTCACCCTCTTGTTGTAAGGCATGAATTTCTACTTTCATTCCATTGTGGAAAAATTAAAATTTAAAAAAAAAAAAAAAAAAAAAGGACCATACTTTTTTTCAGTATTTTCTTCTCAGATCTAATTAAATTTTTTTCTAATTTTGAATTCATAAACAAAGTATTTTCCATTTCAGAATTTCAAACATTAATTTATTAATCCGATCGCTTGTGAATTGAAATTGATTATTATATTTTAATTCAGAACTAGCGAGCGGGCAAAATGAGATTCACAATCCAGAATTTCCAATTTTAAATAACTATTTTTGGTCTCATTATAAATAATATCGCAAAATGAAGGGAAATTGTAATTCTAAAAATATTTAAATTGTAAAAGAAAGTATGTAAAATAAAATGTCATTTGTGTGAATGTTTGAGAAAAGTATTTCAGGAACGTTGTTTTGGAAGTAAAACTTTTTCATTCTCTTGAATAATGTGTATGTGTGTGTGTGTGTGTGTGAAAGTATTCGTACAATATTTTTCCAAGTTTACTGTTTGTCACATAGTTTCTGATTCTGGTCGGATTTAAAATAAAAAAAAAGAACTTGTCTAATTTAGTACAATTTAAAAGTGGGATTTTTAAATTGTGCTTAAATGTAAAAAATGTCACACACACTTTTTTCTTTTTATTTCCAACAAAAACCAAAGACCTGCAAAAGTATATAAATTCAGAGAACTTGACACTTTTAAATTATGTAATAATTGCAAGATTTTTTTTTCAAAATTAGGTAGTTATTAGTTTTTCTTAAAAAAAATGAAATTAAAGGATTTTTTTTTAATTAAAGGAGATATTGCGAAAAGATCAAATATTACAATTTGAGACTTTAGAGAGAAAAACAATTTCTTCATTTTTAATTAAAAAATACTTTTCTCCATTCGTGAGAGAAATAAGAATTCTTAAATAAAGCGAATTAAATTTACTTGACTTTAGAAAAGTTAAATGAAATTTTTATTTTTCACCAAAGAAAAAAAAATTTTTAACTATTTTATTTTAGCTCCTAAATTTGTATTATATTTAAATTAGTAATACAGGGTTGTCACGCTTTTGTTTATTTGAAATTCCCTGACTTTTCCAGGTTTTCCAGGTTAAAAACGGAATTTTTTTAATCATTACGATTATTCATTTATAGAATTTTCAACTAAAATTCTTTTTAAAGTCAATTTTTTAAAAATAATTTTCAAGAAAGTTCTTTGTAAATTTTCAAATTCTTTTGTTTACAATTTAATTTTACGAAATTTCGATTATTCTGACATTCTTCAATTAAATAAATTAGAAATTAAAAACTTCAAATAATTAAAAAAAAAATTCCATTAAACTTATAGACAAAAATAAATTCTATAGAATTCTTAATTAAAAGTATGAAAAGTTCAAATTTTCAAAGATTTGAATTTGAAATTCATTTTTAAATCAATATTTATTAGAAAATTCTACTGGAATTCAATTATTTAAATACAAAAATAAATAATTTATTGAATAATTGAATGTTTCTTATAATTGAATTCTCATAAAAAATTATATCAACAAATTTTTAAATAATTAAATTCTTTTAACGAATTTTAATAAAATTTTTAAGAATAATTGCATTTTTCGAGAAATTTGATAAAAATTGTATTAAAAATAATTGAAATTCTGCGATGAGTTTCATTATTTGTGAAAATAATTGAATCCCTGTAAATATGTTATTATTCATGAAAATAATTGAATTATTGCGAACAAATTTATAAAAAATTTGTAATTACTTTTTATTACTTTTGAAAATTATTGAATTTCTTTTTAAACATTTGAACATAATTGAATTTTATGGAAAAATTTAATTTTGCAAAACTTTATTAAAATTGTACCTAACTACTAAAAATAATTGAATTGAGGAATATTTTTGAAATTAAAATGAATTGTTACACAAAGAATTGCATTAAAATTTTTGAAAATAATTTTATTCTTTAAAAAAATTTAATTAAAAATTTATTGAAAATAATACCTACTTAAATTCTAATAAATAAATTGTAGCAAAGGTTATTAAAATAATTAAATTTCTTTGATAAATTTTAATAAAATTTTTAAGAATAATAACTTTTTTTAAAGAAATTCCATTAAAAAAAATTGAAACTCAGCATTGAGTTTTATTATTTATGAAAATAATTGAATCCCTGTAAAAAATGTTATTATTCATGAAAATAATTGAATAGTATATGAAAATAATTTGTAAATAATTGAATTCCTGTGGAATTATTATTATTTATGAAAATAATTAATTGAACTAATTGAATTCTTTTAGGAATTTTTATTAAAGTAGTAGATATTAAAAATCATTGAGTTGAGAAAAGTGTTTGAAAATAATTAAAATTTTTGAAAATAATTGAATTTCTGAGAAGAATTTTACTGCTTTTGAAAATAATTGAATTTCTGCAATAATTTGTAATTACTCAAAATTCAATTTGTTTTAGTGTTTTTAACTAAAATATTATTTTATCTTAAAAATATTCTGGTCTTAATTGTCTTTAATTTATTAAATCCTGAAAGAACTGGCATTTAATTTATCTCTAAATAATTAATAGTTCTGAATAATTCTCTATTTTGAATCATTTAAATTATGCTTTTAATATCAAGTTTAATTAACTTTGAATAAAATCAGTTTAATAAAACATTTCCGAGAAATGTAAATTAATTTTTTTCTACGAAAAGAAAAGAATATTATTATTACCTGAATTTAAGGTGTGAAGAAAAAGCGAGTTTCTGCTTGACGGAATGTGTATTATCAAATATCATACATAACGCAATATCTATTGTAACTTATTAATATTACACATACGAGAAGCAGTAAAAAATTAAATTTTTAAGAAATTATTTATGAATTGGGGTTGGCATTTGGTCCACGTCGACGACCGTATGTTTGAACTACATTTACAAATCTTCGATTGTACTGAATGCGCCTCTTTGCACGTCCAGTTTTCTTCTTGCTTTTCTCTTGTTTCTCAACCTGTGAATCAGTATTTTCAATTAATTTTTTTCAATCTAATAAAATTTTACAATATTTTCTATTTTATATATAATAAAATTTAATATTTTAGAAAACTAAAATATTTTCTTATATTTTTTTACAATTATTGAAAGCAATTCTATAAAATTTGTTTTACTGCAAACATTTTTCTTTACAAGTTCTGTGTATAAATTCAGTTAATTTTATCTCGAAAAATAAATGTAGCAAACTGATGAAAAATTAAGTCCAAATAGACAACAGAATTTCACTTTAATTTGCTCGTTAATCTAGCACCGCTTCTTAACTACATCTCGAAATATAATCACTAAAAATGTAGCTTAGATTTAACAGTGCTAAATTTTTATCAGTATTTTAAAAAATTCTATAATTTACCTTGGGTGTTTGTCCCTTGACTTTGCCAGCACGAGCCAAAGATCCGTGAACCTTTCCTGAAATAAAAAAAAATTATTAGATTTTCAACCTATAATATGGGAATATTTTTAATTTCCTTAATCGAAAAATTTACCTCCCAAAAGTTGGACGTTAAAATCGAGTGTATCGAATTCAAGTTCTCCGACAAGAATATCATCTGCCAAAGTCACTCCACCGCAAGCAAGTGAAATTGTCCCCGATTCCAAATTTGTGAAGGCTAATAACCTTGCCTGCAAATAATAAAAATCTTTAGACTGAATATTGAAATAAAAAAAAAAGTAAAACAAAAAAATAATGTTAATTAACGACTAGTGTTTCAAAACTATGAAAAGATGAGAACTAGTGTATAATTTTCATCTCCCTGAGCTTTGAATATTGTTTTTGCATTACTGCTCGTTCTGTCAATATATTGAATTGATATAGACAGTTTATCATTGTAATGCCAAATAACATTTTAATTCTTATTAGTGTGAAATAAAATAGCGAATAAATTTAAAAATGACAGAATTTCAATTTTCTTAAAAATGCAAACTTCTAAATCAGGATCCTAACCTCAAAAACTAAATGTACATTGTTTAAATTTTAATACAATAAACATACCTTGACTTGTGCAACGGTTTCATCTTCTTGACACTCGAATACTCGAGTTTCTTGTCCTCGAACGTACAACTGCATTTTGGGCTCGTTTCTGAAGCAAAAATACAGAAAATAAATGAAAATGTGCTCTGACTGTTGAACACACGTTGACAGACACGTGTAGACACAAAACTTATTATAATCTCTCAAATAGCTTAGTTGCTGGAAAAAAACACTTATCAAGATTTTTAAAATCACAAATAATGTCCTAATTGTCTATTTTTCAATTATTTTGTATCAAAAATGGAAATTTTAACCGAATAAAACTAAAGACGCTCACCTCAACAATCTAGACAGAAACGTAAAGACGGAAGCCAAAAGTCGGCCATTTTACCTAACCTCAAACACTAGGTGGGTCAAGAAGACATTTAACGTTATTTATGACTCAACATATTGTTATTAATAAGTTTTCATAAAATTTTTTACTGAGAAATATTCATTTATTAAATGGGAAATTAATTGAATTTTTATGGAAAATTTATATTAGGTTTGGAAATTTGTGGAATGATTTTGACTAATGTGTCATTTTGAAAAATGGCGGTAAAATTTAAAACATCCATTTAGTTTAAAAATTTTATTTTATAGATTTTATAATAATATAAAATTTTTTTATAATCTTAATATAATCATATAATTTTTTTATGTATAAAAATTGTAATATATATTATCCTCCTTCTAGAAGATAATTTAATTTCAAACTAAATTGACTCATTCCACTCTTTTGATCTTGTCACTTTATGACAGTTTACATAACCTCAAAATTGCAGTTTAAATCCTCAAGCTCAATGTATATAAGAAAGAGAGAAAAATATTAAACAGGTAGAAAAAACAAATGAAGATTTCGGTTGTAAATTAAAAATACATAGTCGTACCGTGTTTTCAAAATACTTTAACCAACTTTAATTGATAAATGTTCGTAATGTTTATTTACTATTCTAACTTGAAGTTAGAAGCTTTTTTGAAGACTTAAAAATTGGTGACGTTATAGTAGAATTCTAAGCTTTTGTGTGTATAGTGTTAGTATAGTATGATGACAAAATGTGATTATTTCAGTGTGATGTGTTGGCGCCACGCGCACTATTGTGTTTGGAGTTCCTCTGTGTCTCATATAGATCACCGGGAAGTTTAGAGAAACTCCTGGAAACTCGTGATAGCTCGTAAAGCAGTCATCATGATTTGGTCAAGGTAGCCGGTTTAATTATAGTGAAAATAAAATTAATAAACTGTCTTTAATTTTACAAGAGATTATGTTGTGTGGAAAATTGACTGTTGAGGATCATCATCATGCAGGTCATTTTCCGTTTACTTTTGGCTGTAATACACGTTTTGTACGAATTTATTTATTGGAGTCGACACCAGTGGAAATTGTGTATAGAACTATTGTTTAGTAATAGAAATCCCACAGTGGAAAATGACGTTCTTATTGAATTAATTAAGAGAGTGACAAAATTACCCAGGCACATGGTTGTCATCCTCGGTCACGAGGAGGTATCATTTCAAGATCTTGTAAAAATTATCAGCTGGTGTGTTATCGCTGGCATTCCTTGCGTCAGCTTTTACGATCACAATGGTAAGACCTTTGACTTATACATATTTTTCTATAACGAAGCTTTTGAATTATATTTTCTAATTAGTTGCTAATTGTTGACCATTGGGTTAAACCAGTTTTTATTCATAATTCTGATTAAAAATTTCCACTTCAAGTATTTTATCATTTCTTTCTTTTTCGAGTTTAATTTAAATTTAAATTCGTACATTCAATTTTTAATAAGTAAAAGAATATTCATTTTTCTATGTAATTGAAAGTAAATTTTGCAAAGTTCTTATCTTTACGATATCGAAAAATTATCAGATGAATATTGAGATTGAAAATAATTTTCAGGATTCCTACAAAGAAGTGAAAAGGTGATAAAAAAGAAGCTTTTAGTCGAAAATTCGGATCTTGAACAAAATATTGTATGGAATTCTCATTCGTCGGTGAAACCCATTAAAAATGGTACTAATGGTAAGAATTTAATTGAATTCGAATAATTTTGATTCTAGAATATTGTGGAATTCAATTCTAATGAAGGAAATTTTGATTTAGGGACTAAACATAAAACGAGAGTACAACTTTTGTCGTACGACGATGGCAAAGGGAAAATAGTCTCTCTAGTCCAGGAATTAGCAAAGGGAGTTACCTCCGGAGAACTCCAACCGGATGAAATTAGTGTTCAACTTCTCACAGATAAATTACAATTTGATGACATTCCAAATCCGGATCTAGCAATTGTTTGCGGACGAGTATTGTCCACCTACGGTTGTCTTCCATGGCACATAAAAACAACAGAATTCATGTAAGAAAAATTTCTCGATCCTAATGAATTATCATTTTATTACTATTTTACAGGGTTGCTACAAGTCAGGGATTTTTATTAAAAGTACAGGAAAAAATTAATTTTTTAGGATTTATAAGAAAATTCTGAATTTTGGAGTCTTTTTTGTTTGCTTTAAAAACTATGAAATTGACAAGAATTCTAATACAAAACCTTCAATTTTTTCTATTTCTGACAATAATTTCTTTTTAAATAACTTAATTCATCAAGAACTATCATAAAATTATTACTTATAAATTATTTAATGGATAAACTTACTTAAAAATTTCAAAATTAATTGAACTTCAAAAGAGTTGCGTTTACAATCTTCATGAATAGATAAACTTCAAAGATTTGAATTTGAAATTTTAGAAAATATCTATTTTTGATAAATTTAAATGGGAATTTTAAGAACAACTGATTACAGAAATTCAATGATTTTTAAAAGTGATGAACTTCTTCGCATAAATTCAATTATGTTCAAAAATTTTTTTTAAATTCTCGTCAAAATTTAAATTATCAATATAAATAATAAAATTCTTCTCTGAAATTCAGTTATTTTCAAAAAAAATTTAATAAAATTCTTGGCAAAATTTCAATTATTTTCAAAAATTTTTCTCATTTCAATTATTTTTAATATCTACGATTTTAATAAAATTTCCCAAAAGAATTTATTTATTTAAACAAAATTTTAATAAAAATTCCACAGGAATTTTATTACTTACCAATTTTTTTATAAATTTCTTCGCACCAATTCAATTATTTTCAATTTTTTAATGAAGTTTCTCGAAAGAATGCAAGAATATTCAGAAAATTTAAAAAAATAGTTCTGAGAAGATCAATTATTTCGAAAAATTTAAATAAAATTCTTTTAAAAATTCTATTATTTAAAAAACTGTTGACAAAATTCTTTACAAAATTTAATTAATAAAATTGCAATTTTAATCAAATTTTCCTATACAATTCAATTATTTTCTATACAATTCTTCTTAATTCAATTATTTTCACAAATAATACATTCTTTAAATGTGAATTGAATTATTTAAAAAAATTTGAATAAAATTCTTCACAAGAAATTAATTATTTTCATAAATAATAATATTTTTCTCCGGAATTCAATTATTTCCACAAATAAAATTCTTCACAGGACTTTAATTCTTTAAAAAAATTTGTTAATAAAATTCGTTGCAAGAATTCAATTATTTTCATAAATAACAAAACTTATCGCAGAATTTCAATTATTTTTTATACAATTTTAAATAAAATGTTAGAAAATTGCATTTATTCTTAAATTTTTTTTTTAAATTTGCCGAAAGATTTCAATTATTTTTAAAAGTTTTGATAAAATTTTTCATAAAAATTCAATTTTAAGAAATATTTAATTATTTAATAAATTATTTATTTTTGTATTTACATAAATAATTGAATTCTCGAAAAATATTCTAATAAAAATTGTTTAAAAAATGAATTTTACTTAAAATTTTAAATCATAATTGAACATTAATAGCATTATAGCGTAAATTACTAAATTTTTAGAAATAATTGTAATTTTGAAAAGGGTTCAAATTAAAATCTTTGAAAATTTGTATTTATAGTTACAATATTCTCATGATATAAAATGATAATTTTATCACTCTGTCATCTTAAATTTATTATAAAAAAAACATGAAGGAATCGATCGCTTTCTTCATATTTTATAATAATATTCTTAAAAGTTATTGAATTTAATTTTTTTTCAAAATCTTAATTCCTATGGGAAAAAAATAATGATTAAATGTTTATTTAAAAAAGAAGTTACTGATGTTTTCGAATAATTTTACTTTTAGAAAAATTTGCAAATAAAAGTAATAGAACATTTTTTTGAGTATCTAATAATTTTTGGAGTGAATCAGAATATTCTTTAAAGTCAAGGAAAAAGTTAAAATTTTGTCTGGAAATCAGAAAAAAGTCGGAGAAAAAAAAAATTAAATTTTTGTGGCAACCCTGTTTTAGAACCAGTTTCTTTGGAAAAAGTGACAAATTTCCAATTTTCAATCATTTTAGTTACAGTTTAAATAATGAAATTTATATTTCAGCCAAATACAATCACATCATAGAATAACAGTAAAGGATTTTGCACTACTCTTAAGGAAATATAGTAAATGTGAACAACGCTATGGAAAATGATGACAAAATAAATTATTATCATTATTATTAAAAATTGTTGAAGGACTTCGATTACTTGTACCAAGTATTTTTTTTTTAGGTATTCCGAAGTCTATGACGAATCAAGACTGATTCTTAAATAGACAAGAGAAAAGAGAAAAAAATGCAACTAAAAATATTTTCATTCCATCATTTTAAAGTGTAATTATTAATGTACATTTTTAAGCATTTTGTTTATGGATAAGATAAATTTGTAAAATTTAGAAACCCTTTCTCTCTCACTCTCTTTCTAGTTAACTTAATATCTTAATTTTAATTAGTTCTTGTAGATTGACAGCATACACAAAACGTGACACAAGATTATTGATATTTTTGAAATAATTTATTTTTGCTACATTGTTATATTATATGCAAATTTCAGTCTTTTTCAAATATATTAATTTTTAAGAGAAAGTTTTAATTATTTTTCAAAACAAAATAGTTCAAAAATGTACTGTTGAATTTCAAGATGATAAATTCGACATTTTTTTTTGTATTTTTCATCGACTAAAGCGACTTTTTTTTATTCTTAAATTCGATCCAAGGCCTGGACATCTGGACAAAATGTTCTCTTTAATATTTATATTCACAGAAAAATTAAAATTTTCATTGAAAATTATTAAACTCCATTTTTATTCGTTATATAGTAATGTAGTCTTTATTTTTGCTTGTAAAAAGTAAAACACCAAATAAATTTCATTAAAAAAATCTTTAACTTTCACTTGTTAGTAAACTATCGACAGTTTTGTTTTTAATAAGAAAAAAAAACCCAAATAGCAAAAGAAAGGACATAAAATAAATCTACAAAATTCGTAAAGTACGTAATAATTACGTTTATTATTTACAATCTGTAAAATTATTGCTCGGTAACCACCAGGGAAATAGTTTCGAAACACTGTGTGTGTACGTGTGTATGTGAATTATAAACTGACATTAAAATCGTTAAAGAGCACATATTCACTGCTTATCTTTTTCTTTTCTTTAAAAAAAAGAGTTTACTATAAACTTGATTTTTTATATTTAAAAAAAACTGCACATCACTATTATATTATTATTACTGAAGCTGTCTCTTGGGCTTGTCGAGAAATCTTGTTGATGAACCAGAGAAGAGTCTGAAACAGAAATACATTCCTAGGCCTGGATACGAAATTCTATTTAAATTCTATTTTGCAAAAAAAAAAAACAAATTTCGTTGAAACGAAATGTTTTTAAAAAAATTTATTTAAAATGACGCGACTTGATTAGTCGTGTGATTTAGTGATTAGTGTGATTAATAATAAAAATGATAACAAACGCAGGCCTCGGATATTCCGACTTTTTCGAATTTTTCCGAATTTTTTCGAATAATGCGACTTTTATCGACTTATTTTCAAAAATTGCGACTTTTTCGACTTTTCTTTCAAATTTTGCAACAAAATATGTACCACATTTTTAGTATAAAATGCAACTTATTTCGATTTGTTTTATGTGAAAAGTATAACTATAGACAATTCTACGAAAAGTTATTTTTGAATAATTTTTCTAATTAAATTTTTGGAATATACAATTAAAAAGATTTTGAATCAATGAAATTTTGTAAAATTTAATTGTGAACAAATCAATTTTTTCAAGTATTTTATTCCAATTTTTGAAAATTAAGTTTTGAAGAATTTTAATTAAAAATTTTGGAAATAGTATTGAATTCTTAAAAATTTCAATAAAAAATCTTCAAGAGTACATTTAATAAAAATCAAAATAAATGAAAGTTAGGTTGTAAAAATAATATTAAAAAATATTTTTTAAAAAAACTAATTCTCAGAATTTTTTCATTCTAATTTTTTAAAATTCAATTCAAATTCTTACATTTTGAAAAGATTTTATCAAATTTCAATTATTTTTCAAAAATTTTACCAAATTTCAATTATTTTTTAAAAGATATTACCAAATTTCAATTATTTAGATATATTTTAATTGTATATAAGTGTAAAAAAATTGTCTTTTGAAAATTATTTAGAAATTCTTTATTCGATATAAAATCTTTTGCAAAAATTCAATTATTTTCAAAAACATTTCACTAAAGAATTAAATTTTTTCTTTATTCGATTTAAAATCTTTGCAAAAATTCAATTATTTTTAATACAATTTTTTTTTCAATTTTAAAAAAATTTTTAATAATACCATTTTTCCAAAGAATTCAATTATTTTCTCAAATTTTAATAAATCTTTCAAAACAATTTAATTATATTTATAAATAGTAAAATTTTCTGCAAAAATTCAAATTTTATTCAAAACAATTTCATAAAAGAATTCAATTTATTTTTTAGTTCGTTATAAAAAATTTCAAGAAAATTCAATTATTTTCTAAAATTTTAATAAATACTTCGATAATATTCAAAATAATTTCACGAAAGAATTCAATTATTTTTCTTAATTCGTTATACAAAATTTCAAAGGATTCAATTATGTTCTCAAATTTTAATAAATTATTCCAAAAAAATTCAATTATACAGTAGAACCTCGGTTATCCGAGCCTCGATTATCCGAGATTCCGGATTATCCGAGGCACTAAACATGCTCGGATAATGCGGAATAACTCGGATAAAACGGATCGAGTGACTAAATTTGGAAAATAAATTTTACAAAACCACTATTTGTGATCATTGCATTTAAAATTTCGTCCATTTTTGTCATTTAATATTATTCTAACACTTTAAACACATGAAAAATAATTTAAAATTTTGAAATTTTCATTGGTTCCGTGTTATCCGAGTTTTCGATTATCCGAGGTACCTCTTCCCCACATTACCTCGGATAATCGAGGTTCTACTGTATTTGTAAATAGTAAAATTCTTTGCAAAACTTCAATTATTTTTTAAACTTTTAATAAATCCTTCGAAAAATTTAATTATATTTATAAATAATAAATACTTCGAAAAAATTCAATTATTTTTAAAAATATTCCACGGAAGAATTCAATTATTTTTCTTCATTCGTTATAAAAAAATTTCAAAGGATTCAATTATGTTCTCAAATTTTAATAAATTATTCCAAAAAAATTCAATTATATTTGTAAATAGTAAAATTCTTTGGAAAATTTCAATTATTTTAAAAACTTTTAATAAATCCTTCGAAAAATTTAATTATATTTATAAATAATAAAATTCTTCGCAAAAATTTAATTATTTTCAAAAAAAATTTCACGGAAGAATTCAATTTTTTTCTTAATTCGTTCTAAAATATTTCAAAATAATTTTCAAAAATTTAATAATTAAATTTTATAAATTTGAAAGAAATTGTTCATAAAATTCAATTATTTTTAAGATTTTAAATAAAATTTTTAAAGAAACTTCATTATTAAAAAAAAAATTCAAAGAAATTCTTCGAAAAGAGTTTAATTAGAATTATCAAAAACTTTAACATATTTCTTTTCGAGAATTTATTTAGCTAAATAGTGCTATTTTTCGAGTTTTGAATAATTGAATTTAGAAATCAGTGAAGAATCAGAGAAATACAAAATAATATTTTTTGTGACAACACTGAATTAAATAAACGACATTTTCGACTTTTTTTTCTATTTTTAATTGAATAAAGCGATTTTTTTGGCTAAAGTTAAAGTCGATCCGAGGCCTGCAAACGGGAAATTTTTTCTAAAATATCCAGAATGAAATAAGCAAATTTTCAATTGAAAATTGAATTTGAATTTTGAATTGGATGAATTGGATGAATTGAATGAATTAAATGAATTAAATGAATTAAATGAATTTAAATTGAATGAAACTTTTTTTTGAATGACTAGATTTAATTTTAGACTAGAATTTATGACTAGAATTTAATTACTTGAAAAATAATTTAACGTTTTATCAAAGTGCATACAACCTTTATAAATAGAAGATAGCTCTCAATCCTTGTACCGATGCGATGACTTCTTACCATCTCGATGATGACCAGTGTGCCTCGACTTTGATCTCGATCGTCGGCGATCGCGGGACCTCGAGCGTGAGCGTCTCTTATTTCTCGACGACGAATACGGTGAGCGTCTTCGTTCCTTGGAGCGAGTGCGTGATCGCCTCCTGTCCCTGGACCTGGATCGACTTCTCCTTCTCTCTCGCGATCGGGAATTACTTCGCCTACTCGAGTACGAGGGACTCCTTCTGCTTCTGGAATGCGAACGTGATCTCCTCTTTCCCCTCGACTGCGATCGTGAATACCTTCGTCCAAATGAATGCGAACGTGATCTATATCTGGACTTGGAACGCGACCTCTCCCTTTTACGATTCCTCGACCTTGACCTATGCTTTCTCCCAGACCTGTAACTACTTGACGATCGTGAACGATAACCCTTACGTGACTTAATTGATCTAGATCTAGATTTACGCCTTCTGTAATGATCAGAAGAACGTGACCTGGAACGACGACGACTTCTCGATTTACTTCGGCTCTTTGACTTTTTCTTCCTCTCATCACCACGTGAACTGTTGTTGTCCTTGCGTGATGATCGTTTTATTTTTGTTGAACTTTCCGAACTAGAATCATCATCATTACTGCTAGATTCCGATTGAGCCGATTTCATTGGTGAATTTATCTTTGCCGTGTCGCTTGTTATTAATTGATGTTGCGGCGTTTGTCCGCCGCTTGACATCGTTTCTGATTCTTCCCTTTCATTATTTATCGTTTCATTTTCAACTAAAGTATATGACGTTGGAAATTACGTTTACGAATAAAACGAGATATGATTTTATTATTCGTTTGAAACATACCTGAATCTCTGCCGCTAGAATTACCAATATGATTTTTCTGTTGTTCATAAATGTGATCCTCCTCCTGCCGCTTCAGCTCCTGTTCTTCCTCTGCCAATCGCGCCTCGATTTCCTCCTCGGTTTTCTTAAATGCCTGCTGCCTCCTTCGCAATGTCTCCTGTTCAATAATTTTTCATTCATTAAATTCATTCATAAAATAATATCAGGGTTGCCACGCTTTTGCTCTTTTCAAATTCCCTGACTTTCACAGGTTTTCCAGGTTAAAAAAATTTTAATTTAGAAATTTTCCAGGGTAAAAAAGAAATTAAATTAAATTAATTAATTAGTTTTAAAATTTTTAAAACGAAAATTATTCGAAAACATTAATAAATTAATTTTTAAATAAATATTTAATCATTATTTTTTAAAGAAATTAAAATATTCAAAACTTTGAAATTCAATAAAATATAAGAATATTATAAAAAAACATAAAGAAAGCGATCACTCCGAGTCTTCGACTCGGAGTGATCGATTCCTTTATATTTTTTTATAATAAATTTAAGATGACAGAGTGATAAAATTATTATTTTATATCATAAGAATATTGTAACTATAAATACAAATTTTCAAAGATTTTAATTTAAACCCTTTTCAAAATTACAATTATTTCTAAAAATTTAGTAATTTACGCTATAATGCTATTAATGTTCAATTATCATTTAAAATTTTAAGTAAAATTCATTTTTTAAACAATTTTTATTAGAATGTTCTTCGAGAATTCAATTATTTAAATAGTAAAATAAATAATTTATTAAATAATTGAATGTTTCTTAAAATTCAAATCTCATAAATAATTTTATCAAAAAATTTTAAATAATTGAATTCTTTCGGCAAATTTAAAAAAAATTTAAGAATAAATGCAATTTTCTACCATTTTATTTAAAATTGTATAAAAAATAATTGTAATTCTGCGATAAGTTTTGTTATTTATGAAAATAATTGAATTCTTGCAACGATTTTTATTAAAACATTTTTTAAAGAATTGAAGTCCTGTGAAGAATTTTATTTGTAAAAATAATTGAATTCCGGAAAAAAATATTATTATTTACGAATATAGTCCATTTCTTGTGAAGAATTTTATTCAAATTTTTTTAAATTATTGAATTTCTCAGAATTCTTCAAAACTTTTTGAAAATAATTAAATTCCACTGAGAAATTTCAATAACAAATTTAAAATAATAAATTCTTAAGAAGAATTTTATAAAAATTTCTTAAATAATTGAATTGGTTCGAAGAATTTCATTTTTTTTTTAAAGTAATTGAATTATGTCGAAGATTTAAGTAAACAATTTTGACAATAATTTATTGTATTCCTAGGAAGAATATTATATTTTACGAAAATAATTGTACCTATTCTATGATTAATTTTATTATAATTTTTAAAAATTATAAAGCATTTTATCAAATTTTTTTAAAAAAACTGAATTCATGAGAAAAATTTTATTATTTATGAAAATAATTGAATTCTTGCAACGAATTTTAATAAAAATTTTTTTTAAAGAATTGAAGTCCTGTGAAGAATTTTATTTGTGGAAATAATTGAATTCCGGAGAAAAATTTTATTATTTATGAAAATAATTAATTTCTTGTGAAGAATTTTATTCAAATTTTTTAAAATTATTGAATTTCTCAGAATTTTAAAAATCTTTTTGAAAATAATTAAATTCAATTGAGAAATTGCCTTAAAAAATTGAAAATAATTGAAATCTGACGAAATTCATTTTATACTAATATTTATTCGAAAATTCTACTCGAATTCAATTATTTACTTATAAAAATAAATATTTTATTAAACAATTAAAAGTTTCTTAAAATTGAATTTTCATAAAGAATTCTATCAACAAATTTTAAAGAATAATTGCATTTTTCGAGATATTTGATGAAAATTGTATTCAAAATAATTGAAATTCTGCCAAGAATTTTATTAAAAGTTATTAAAATAATTAAATTTTTTTGATAAATTTTAATAAAATTTTTAAGAATTATAACTTTTTTCGAGGAATTCCATTAAAATTGTATTATTAACAATAATTGAAATTGAGCATTGAGTTTTATAATTTATGAAAATAATTGAATAATATATGAAAATAATTTGTAAATAATAGAATTCCTGTGAAATTTTTATTATTTATGAAAATAATTAAATGTTTGCGTAGAATTTTATTAAATTTTTTTTTAACTAAATCGAATTCTTTCATGAATTTTTATTAAAGTAGTAGATATTAAAAATCATTGAATTGAGAAAAGTTTTTGAGAATAATTAAAATTTTGCCAAGAATTTTATTAAAATTTTTGAAAATAATTGAATTTCTGCAATAATTTGTAACTTTTCCAAAATTAAATTTTTTTTTCGTGTTTTTAACTAAAATTCTTTTTTCGAATAAAATTCATTAAAAATTGAAATATTACAAAATTTTAAATCAAAATCTTTAAAGTTCATCTACTTATAAAAATTGTAAACGCAATTCTTTTAAAATTGAATTAATTTTGAAATTAGATTTCAAGAAAAAACACAATTACTTTAGAAAACAACAATTTTTCAGGATTTCGATCAAAATTCCCTGACTTTTACAGAATTTTTCAAGTTTTATAAAATTCCCTGACATTTCCAGGTTTTTAGGTTGCGTAGCAACCCTGCACCATTAAAAAAATCGGAATCAGAAAAAATGGACAAAACGAATTTACCTTGAGTTCCTCATCACTGTCTTCCTCCTCTGGTTCTTCGTCCTCCCTCTTTTCCTCCTCAGATTCGCTGTTACTGTCGCCATAGATGCCCAGACCTATATCATACAAATTCGAATTAGACAAAAAGAAAAGACTTCAATGACATTTTGTTAAATTAAATAATTAGGAAAAATAGTTTAGCATGGTTGGTCAGGCGGTTCTCTTCGACTGAACGAAATTCAGTCGCAAAAGAACTATTCTCTATTTTTAAGAAATTATTTATTTTTCACCAATAGCAAATCTTATTTTTAAAATTATCAAGTTTTAAACTATCACAGGGTTGCCATAAAAATTTAATTTTCTTTTTCCCTGATTTCCAAACGAAATTTTTTCTTTTGTGCCCGACCCTAAAGAACTTACTCCAAGAAATAAATTCGCTCTAGAAATTTATTTATTCAAATACTGAAAAAAATGTTCTAATCCTGTTATTTGCGAATTTAAATTATTAAAAATTAATATTATTAATTAATTTAAATTATTCGAAACCAAAACAATTTAAAATATTTTTTAAATAAATATTTAATAATTTTTATTTTCTCAAAAATTCAATTTTTTTTAGTGCTTTTAATTAAAATTCTTCTATAAATCCATTATTTTTGAATAATTAATTAAATAAATAAATACTAAAAAATTTAACTAATTTCTAACTTTTTCCTGGATTTCATGACTTGTGGCAATCCTGTGATAGTCTTGAAATTGTTAGAAATTGATTTTTTTGAAAAATTCTGAATTGTGGGTTGTGATCAGCGATTACTGTCAAGTAATTAGACCCTCTGATCATTCCTAGATGGACCATGCCTTGAAAATCTGTAGATAAGAGCCACTTACCAAGTTTCCGAGTGATCTGAGCAAGAGGGGCCGTGTTGTTGAAGGATGCGACAGGGGGCTCTCCTGCAGGGGCTTACAATAGATACGCATTTAGTAACCAATTTTACTGAGATCCATTTCACATACTGGATCCCCCCTCCCCCTAATTACCGCCCTTCTCTTTTTCCGTATTATTTTTCAATCACCGAAAATGCCACCCTAAACAGCCCTCTTTTTGTCAACACAGACATTGTCGAAAAGTTTCTGCCTTCTTCCTCATCTCTATTGTCAGCAACAATAAATTATTATTATTTTCAACAATTAAAGGAGGAAAAAGAGCTTAATTTCAATTCTAAATTGAAGTTCAGTTTTACAATGATAGTGATTCAATTTTACCAAAATCACATAATGAAATGAAAGATTAATTTAATTCGCAGGCATCACAGTTGGTCCCCTTTTCCCCTTTTGTCCCCTTATTTCGATTTTATCACCTTTTTCACCTTTTTTGACGATTTGTCACCTTTTTCACGTTTTTTTAATAAAAAATAAATTTTTTTTTTGAAATCTTTTTCAAAGTGTAATCATAAAATTTAGACTCAAAGTTATAGAATTCAGTGCGTTTTATTTCTGATTTAGATTATTAACACCACAACATAATATAAATGTTTTATAAGGTGGTTCATTCAACAGAATGCAGACCTCTAGAAAAATAATTAATTAACATTCAAATAATTAAAATATTATTAAAATATTACTATCATAAAATTATAATTTTGAAATTATTTAATTATTTTATTAATTTATACATTTCAAAATTAATTGCGTTTTAAAACAGTATCCTTTACAATTTTCATAAATAAATGAACTTGAAAAGATTTTAATTTTAAATTTTATAAAATTTCAATTTTTAATGAATTTTATTAGAAATTCTAAAGAATTAAAATTTTTGCAAAAATTTTCAAAATTTAAATATTTCTGAAATTTGTTAAATTTTTTAATATATATATATATATATATATATATATATATATATATTTAATAAGTTTCAAATAATTCCAAAAATTCAATTATTTTCAAAATTAATAAAATTCTTCGCAAAAATTCAATTGTATTAAAAATTTTTTTTAAATTCTCGTAAAAATTTCAATTTTCTTTATATATAATAAAATTCTTCTTCGAAATTCAATTATTTTCAAAAATTTTAATAAAATTCTGGGCAAAATTTCAATTATTTGCAAAAAATTTCCTAAATTCATTTTCTATAAAACAAACACAATTTTTGTAAAATTCTTCGAAAAAAGGCAATTATTTAAAAAGATTTTTATAAAATTATTCGCAAGAATTGAATTATTTTGAAAAAATGAATATTTTAATTTTTAATTCTTCACAAGAATTCAATTATTAGGTATTATAAATAATAAAATTCTTCTCAGGATTTCAATTATTTTTAAAAGTTTTAATAAAATTCGTTGCAAGAATTCAATTATTATTATAAATAATAAAATTCTTCTCAGGATTTCAATTATTTTTAAAATTTTTAATAAAATTTGTTACAAGAATTCAATTATTTTCATAAATAATTAAACTCATCCCTGGATATCAATTATTCAGAAGAATTCAATTATTATTATAAATAACAAAATTCTTCGAAAGAATTGAATTATTTAAAAAAAATTTTTGACATTATTTGTTTATTAGAATTTAATAATTATTTTCAATGCATTTTTTATTAAATTTCTTGAAAGAATTCAATTATTTTCAAAAATATTAATAAAAAAGTGAGGAAAAGAATTGAATTATTTAAAAAAAAATTTTTTTAAAGTCTACTTCGAAATTCAATTATTTTAAAAAGTTTTAATAAGATTTTTGGCAACATTTCAATTTGGAACAATTTTTCTAAATTCAATAATATTCAATATTTAAATAAATTTTTATTAAAATTCTACGCAAACGTTTAATTATTTTCATAAATAATAAAATAATTTCACAAGAATTCTATTATTTACAAATTTTTTTATAAATTTCTTCTCAATAATTCCATTATTTTCGTAAATAATTAAACTCATCGCAGAATTTCAATTTTTTTTAGTACAATTTTAATCAAATACCTCGAAAAATATAATTATTTTTTAAAAATTTTATTAAAATTCGTCGAAATTTAATTATTTAAAAATTTCTTGATAAAATTCTTTATGATAATTCAATATTAAGAAAAATTCAATTACGTATTCAATATAAATTATTTATTTTTTTATTTAAATAAATTAAATTCTCGTAGAATTTTCTAATAGAAATTGATTATAGTGAATTTCAGTTAAAATTTTACATAATAATTGAATATTAAAAGCATGAAGTTTTAGAAATAATTGAATTTGGAATAAGTTTTAAATTGAAATCTTTGAAAATCTGAATTTTTCGTATTTTTAACTAACAATTCTGTAGAATTAATTTTTTCAAAAAGTTTAATGGAAAATATTCGAAATTTCGTAAAATTGAATTGTAAATAAATACATTTGAAAATTATCAGAATTTAAAAAAAATTATTGTAAATAATTGATTTAATGAAGAATTTTAGTTAAAAATTAGAAATAGAAAATATTTGAGAAAATATTAATTGAATATTAATTGAATTAAAATATGAAAATAATTTTGAAGAAGTTACAGTAAAAATATTTTTTATAGTAGAAAATAATGATCTTATCACTCAGTCATCTTTAATTATTATAAAACATGAAGAAATCGATTGCTCCGAGTCGAAGACTCGGAGTGATCACTTTCTTCATGTTTTATAATAATATTCTCATAAATTGTTGAATTTCAAAAAGATTTGATTTTGAATGTTTTGAAAATTTTGTGGGAACTCTGATTAAAATCGAATCATTTTTAAAAAATTTTATGGAAGCTATATGATAAAAAAATTTGAATTATATATTCAAGTTGTATAAACAAATAAATTTTTATCCCCTTTTTGAGGGAAATAAATTCCCCTTTTCACCTTTTTTTTTTTTGAGGAAAAAAGGTACTGTGATGCCTGAATTCGAGAAAAGAAATCATTGTTGCCTCTGAACTTTTATCTACTAAAAAGAATTGATATATCCAAAAAATAATCGGTTTTCTTTTAAAGATTCATGCAAAAGATATTCTTAGCACATGAGTCCTGAAAACACAGTAAAGCACAGGGCATGTTTCTGAAAAACATTAAACAATTGTATAACTACAAATGGAAACACTGTTTTTAATGCTCGTTGAAGAAGATGTACAATGTGGCATGTAATCGTTCGCCACAAACTGGTAGCAGAATGAATTAATGATCTCTTTACTTGAATAAAGCAAAAGTTCGAAATATCGATCTGTTAGTTCTATCAGGTGTGTATCTGGGGTACCTTTGGCTCGTGCGCGGCTCCAAACCTCTCTGCAAACCGATGATATTTCTTCGTTTGTCACTTCCAACAGAATTTCCGTTAGGGACCTTCGGACTTTTAGCATCTGTTGAAAATGTTTCTCAGTGTTATTTTCGAGTTAGTCGATTTTTCGACTTTATTGTTTCGGTTATCAACTAACCACATCTTGTAAAATTTCTTCCCGCGATCGCTTTGGTAGTGATGGAGCGAAAGTTGCGATGGGACTTCCCTCTTTTGCTGAACGTGAATCGGGCGATTCTGCATCCCTGAAACGTGAACGTCGTGGGCGACTGTGATCCGGACTGCGATCGACATTTCTTTCCGTCTCGTCATGCCTCGATCCTGTCTCTTCCTCTGTTTCCTTCTCCGAATCCGAATCCTGCATAAAATATTGAAAAACCTCGTCATTTCCGAATTAAATCTTAATTTTCTGATTTCTTACGAATTTGCTCTTGCTGGGATTGAGAACGGCGCGAGCTTCATCTTCGGCTTTTTTTCGTGCTTCCATTTCTTGCTTTCGCAATTCCTCTTGTCTCTCTCGTTCGACTGCCTTCTGTTTTTCTCTCTCCATTTTTTCTAGACCTTCTCTTATCCATGCGGGCAATTGCCTTCGTTTAGCTGCGTCTATAAATAAATTCAAATATTTATGTACTTTCTAGATAAATCGATTGTATTTAGAATTTACAAAATATGTAATATTTTATTTATTTAATACCTAATGTATATGGATCTTCTTCAGGCGTAGGTTCTCTTTCCTCTCGGGATCTCATTGGATCTACGCCTCGAATTGGTGGCATTCTATTAGAATGACGCATTCCCTTTAAAAACGGTGGCGGTTGAGATGACATTACACCAGATTGATCTCCTGACCAATAAGGTGGCACCTGCTGATGATAAAATACAAAATAAATAACAATTCATAAAATTTCAGGGTGTCAACAAAAATTTAATTTTGCTTTTCCCTAATTTCCAGACATTTTCACTTTTTCCCTGACACTAAAGAATATTCTGATTCACTCTCGAAACTATTAGATAAAACGAATTCAAAAAATTCAAATTCAAACGTTTTTGAAATTCAACAACTTTAAAAGAATATTTTATTATAAAACATGAAAATATCTCCACACTTTGGTCAAAAATTTAAAATTATTAAAAATTATCAAAAATTCGAAAAACCGATTTTTTTAAAATTCAACATTTTTTCTTCTCTTTTATGGCGTTTAGCTTTAATATTTTTGGGCTCTTCAAAAACACTTTACTTAATTAAATAATCTTCACCCTTTGGTCAAAAATTTAAAATTATTCAAAATTATCAAAAATTTGAAATTAATTTCCAACAAACCTGATTGTATGGCTGTGCATTTGATACTGAATTATAAACATAAGGAGATGGTGCTGACGGTGGAGGCACATTGAAATTCCCTGAAATCTGAGGCGCTGAAGGTGCAACAGGAGAATTGCCCAGTCCAGTGGGTTTTCCATCGGGTCCAATAGTTACTCCCGGGGGTGGCACTCCGCTCCATTCCCAATTTCCTGGTCCAGGTCCAGCTGCATTCCAATGTCCCCATTGATTCCACTGATTCCAACCATCTAAAAAAATTTGAAATAAAAAAAAAATTAATAAGCAAGCTGACGTAAAGTTTCACTTAACATTTTTAATTATACAGTAAGCATTGCCCCTTAACAAAATTATCTTCGTCAAATATTTACCTTCCTGTCTCATAAAAAAATGTAAAGTTAAGAAATTAAAATGAGTATTAAATAAGAAAATAATTTTGAAACTTTCGACTCTTTAAAGAGCCCTACGCACCTGAATTATTTTTATGTGATTTCTTGTGGAATATTGTTTTTTCCTTGGGTGTATCATTACCTCTCATCATAATATAGTAGTCTGCAGTAAACGAAATAAACAGAAAAGTTTAAAAACTTTTGAGAAAAATAATAGAACAAGAAAAAAGTTCTTTACTGATTAAAAATAATTATTTTTCAAAGATTCTTTTTCTCTCTGTCAATAACAGAAAATAATAAAATTGAATTATAGTAAAATATTTGAGGAATAAAACAATATTATTTCGCCCCTATGAAATAATAATAATATATTCTCAATACCTGAACCACTTATACTTGGTGCTGGGGGTGCTGGGGGAATGTCATCGTCTTTAGTGTCCATATCCATTGGAGCTTCTCCTCCTCCATCGTTGTCCGATTGTCCCGTATCAATTGAGGGTGGCGGTGGGGCAGGGGGAACGACTGTTTCCTTCATTTTTATCCACTGTTGAGCTAATGCGGCCCAATCGACTATTAAGACAAGAAAAAATTATTCATTGCAGTAAGAAAATTCTCAAAAATTATAATCAAATTCTTTAAAAGGATTCAATTATTTTCAAGAAATATTCGAAATTCAATTATTTTCAGTATCTGGTATTTTCATCAAATTTTGCAAAAGAAATCAAGTATTTAAAGAGAAATTTTTATAAAATTCATCCAAACTTGAATTATTTTTATTATTAAGTAATTCAATTACTTTTACTAATAATAACATTTTTCATGAAAATTCAATTTTTTAAAAAAATGTTTGATACAATTCTTCAAAATAATTCAATTATTTTCATAAATAAAGTTTTCCCCAAGAATTCAATTATTTAAAATAAAATTTCATAATATTTATAATATTTTGAAAAAATTAATGATTTAAAACAATGTTTATAAACTTCTTATGAAGAATTAAATTATTTTTAAAATAACAAAATTTATCACAAAAATTTATTTCTTTTTTAACATTTTAAGCAAATTTTTCACAATAATCCAATTATTTTCATAAATAATAAAATTCTTCTCAGGAATTCAATAATTTTTGAAAATTTTAAAAAAATTCTTTGCAACTATTCAATTATTTTCATAAATAATAAAATTCATAGCAGGATTTCAATTATTTTCAATACAATTTTACAGAAATTCCTCAAAAAATGTAATTATTCTTAAAAATTTAATTTCAATTCCTCGAAAAGATAAATTATTTTAAAAAATGTTTTTTTTTAATTCTTTAGAAGAATTCAATTATTTTTAAATATTATTAAAAAATTGTTCGAAAGAAAAAATCAATTATTTTAAATACAATTTTAATTAATTTTTTTTGAAATAATTCAATTATTTTTTTTATATTTTAATAAAATTCTTCACAATAATTCAATTACTTTCACTAATAATATTTTTCATGAAAATTTAATTTTTTAACAAAAAGTTTGATACAATTTCTAAGTAAAAATTCAATTATTTTCATAAATAATAAAACTTATCCAAGAATTCAATTATTTTCATAAATAATAAAACTCATCCAAGAATTTCAATTATTTTTAATACCATTTTAAATTAACTATTCGAAAAATTCAATTATTTTCACAAACAATGTTTTCCACAAGAATTGAATTATTTAAAATAAAATTTTTATATAATATTTATTATATTTCCAAAAAAAATTAATTATTTAAAACAATGTTTATAAAATTCTTATGAAGAATTCAATTATTTTCAAAAATAACAAAATTTTTCACAGAAATTTAATTCCTTTTTAAACATTTTAATAAAATTTTTCGCAATAATTCAATTATTATCATAAATAATAAAATTTTTCGCAGTAATTCAATTATTTTCATAAATAATAAAATTCTTCTTAAAAATTCAATTATTTTTGAAAATTGTAATAAAATTATTTATAACTATTTAATTATTTTCATAAATAATAAAATTCATCGCAGGATTTCAATTATTTTTTATACAATTTTACAGAATTTTCTCAAAAAATGCAATTATTCTTAAAAATTTAATTTCAATTCCTCGAAAAGATCAATTATTTAAAAAAATGTTTTTTTTTTAATTCTTTGGAAGAATTCAATTATTTACATAAAAAATTCTTCGAAAGAATTCAATTATATTGATAAATAACAACTAAATTATTCCCGAAAATTCAATTATTTTGAGGCATTTTAATAAAATTCTTTGTAAAATTCAATTATTTTTATAAATTATTGGTTTACTCAATTATTCAAAAATCCGCTGTAACCATATTAGAAGATAAAAATAATTAATATACACAATTCCTTATAATTTAATTTCTTCTTACTTAAAACATTTTTTTCTCCAGCGGATTCTAATTGAAAAATAACAACTTTCAGATTCAAAAAACTTGCCAAATATTATTAAAATTTGATATTATTCCATTAGTAAATTATATATTTGTAGAAATTTTTTTATTTAAGACAATATGGTCATATATTTAAATAAAATTTAAATATTTAAATAATTCATTTAAAGTGCAAATAAATAAATACAAATAATATATTTTTTACTTTATTGATAAAAGTTTACCGGAGACTTATAATGTTCACATATAAACAAATTTACATTCAAAGAATATTAATTCTCAACTAAATTCAATTAATATCCTCATCGATTTCAAATATAAAAGAACAGTAGAGAAAGTTTAAAAACAGGATGTACATATTAATTAAAAAAAAAAATCTTGGATATAGAAAAATGAGAAAATGTAATGGAATAAAAATTTAATTTTCCAATTACCTTGATCGTTGCTCATATTTTGATAGGTGGAAGGATTTAGAGCCCATTGTGTCGGATAATCCTTTCCCTCAAAGAGTTTGCCAGTCAATTCCATCTTTAGATTTTTTGTTTTTAAATCAATTAATTTTCACTAGTCTGCGTCGTCAACATGGCCATAGTAACTGAATTTGTTCAATTTTATGCGATCGAGAAATATCGAGAAAAATTGTTAAACATAGGGCGAGTCGTAATCAAAACTTTTATAAATACTTACACTAAACATTTTAGAATTCTTTTCATCAAATTAAGAAACTTTAAAAAACTCTATTTATCTTAGAAAATTGTTCTTATCTATAAAGAATAGCGGCTTGGAACAACTAAATTTCTATTTTACACACCATTTTTTTCCAGCTACTGATCGGCAGGAAAATGCAACATTAAGGCGGTGTTTTCAATGTTTGGAGTAGTTTCTTGATTGTCTGTCCTTTTCTTTCTGCAGTTAATTATAAAGGTGCAATCCCACCGTAAGAGCTTGGAAAATCATACACAACTTTTGTAAAAACTGTTTCTTTCTCCAATGACAGTTTGTTTAGCTCTACATTTTCCGTTTTTTGTAAGAAAATGTAAAGTGAGACAAACTTATGCCAAGAGAAAAAGACGGTTTTTCCAAAAGTCGTGTAAATTTTCATGCGAGAGAGAGAGAAAGACAAGAAAATAACATTTCTCCAAAAGTCGTGTGATCCTACCCTTATTATGTAGAATTCACACTGTACATACGATAATTCTGTACGCATAAACCCATCCCTGTCTTTTACCCTGTTTCCGTCTGATTCCGTCATTCCGTGTCGTCGGTCCGTGTGTAAAACGTGTGAACTGTGAAATGGTGTGAAATTTAAATACCCTAAAAATATGGCATTTATAGAAAATGATAATTTATTGAAAGTTATTTCAGTTTTAAAATTATTAAAAAAAAATGGTGATCTCGATGAAGATAAATATTTTCTATACCAAAGCACAAAATGGCGAAATATTTTGAAATACTCAGTACTGGAGTCATGGCTGAAACATCACTGTCAATTGGTAAGTGTTTAATGTGAATTTATGAATTTATTATACGATAAATATAGTTGAGTACTCATTTGGAATACTTTTTTTAATTTTGTTTTCTGTCCTATACAAATATTAAAGAATTTTTCATATAAAACAAGTAGAAAATCAAAAACCCTTTTGAGGTTATGTTTGATTGTTTTTTCCCATTATTGACGCTTTCAATTGTATAGATTTTTCATTATTGAGTAATAAATTGTAGAAGTAAAATAAGTAAATATTGTATAAATAATCAGAATAATAATATTTTATACCAATAAATAGATTTAAATATTAATCACTTTTAGATTTTTGTAATGTATCTATTTACCAGATTAGGTAAAATTTAATTTTCTATATTAATTATTCATGTAATAAATAAAATAAAACTTGTATTAGAATGTTTATAGGTCTAATTATCATTTTCTTGTAATCCACTTCAGGTAAGATTAAATACTCTTGCTTTAATAAGCGAGTCAAAAAGAAGTACACAGCCGTTTACACCTTCAGAACTTGATTTAATTCTTCTATTTTTAAAGTATAATTTAGAAGAAAAGATGGAATTTGTACCGTTTATAAAAAAGGTAAAAGTCAATTATTTACTACTGAAATTTTGATATGTTTTTCAGGGTGTCTTCTAATCGGGAAAACCGGGGATAAGCCAATAATTTTATGTCACCAATATTATAATTTTATTTTTAAAAATTTTTTCGCAATATATTCAATTATTTTCATAAATAGTAAAACTCATTGCAGAATTTCAATTATTTTTAATACAATTTGAATCGAATTCCTCAAAAAAATGTAATTATTCTTAAAAATTTTATTAAAATTCGTCAAAAGAATTCAATTATTTCCATAAATAGCAAAATTCTTCAGATTTACTAAATTCTTTGGAATATTGTTTTAAAAAAAAATCCTTCACAAGAATTCAATTATTTTCATAAATTTCCATAAAATTCTTCGCAGAAAACAATTATGTTTAAAATTTTTTTAAATTCTTCTCAAAATTTCAATTATCTTTATAAATAATTAAATTGTTTTCCACAATTCTATTTTATTTTTAAAAATTTTAATAAAATTCTACGAAAACATTTAATTATTTTCACATGCAATAACATTCTTTGGAAGGATTCAATTACTTACTAAATATATTAGAATTTCTCACAGGAATTCAATTATTTTCAAATATTTTTTAAAATTTGTTCGAAAGAAATCAATTATTTTAAATACAATTTTAATTAAATTTTTTTGAAATAATTAAATTCTTTTATATTTTAATAAAATTTTTCCCAAGAATTCAATTATTTACATAAAAAATTCTTCGAGAGAATTCTTCGAGATAAATAACAAAATTATTTCCAAAAATTCAATTATTTTGAGGCATTTTAATAGAATTCTTTACAAAATTCAATTATTTTTAAAAATAACAATATTCATTACAAGAATACAATTATTTTTAAATTAAGAAATTTATTCTTGGAAATTCAATATTATTTTAAAAAATAATAAATAAAATCTTTTGCAAGAATTCAATTATTGTCAAAAATTTTAATTGAAATCTTTGTAAAATTAATTATTTTTAAAAACTTTTTGCAATTCAATGATTTTCAATATCTATTTTCATAAAATTTTAAACAAAATTCAATTATATAAAAAATTTTTGTAATAATCTTTGTAAGAATTCAATTATTTTCATAAATACAAAAAAAATCATCGATAAATTTCAAGTATTTTTACAATTAAAGTTTCCACAAGAATTCAATTATTTAAAATAAAATTTTCATAATATTTATTATATTTCTAAAAATTAATTATTTAAAACAATATTTACAAAATTCCTGTAAATAATTCAATTATTTCCAAAAGTTTTAATAAAATTCTACGCAAACATTTAATTATTTTCATAAATAATAAGATTCTTTGGAAGGATTCAATTACTTTTATAAATAGTAAAATTTTTTGCAGAAATTCAATTAGTATCAATATAATAAAATTGAATTAATCAAATTTTGAATTATAATTATGAACAGACAAGATTATTTAAAAAAATTAAAAAAAATTCTTGGTTTAATTTAATTATTTTTCAAATTTTTAATTAAAATGATTAAAAAGACATTATTTTCAAAAAATTTAAAGAAACTCGTCATAAGAATTTAATTATTCATAAAAATTTTGAAAGCCATTTGTAGATTTATTTATGTTCGAAATCAAATAAATTTAAATTTGATGAAAAGAAAAACGGAGAAAAATTAGTACAAAGTCGGGAAAAACCAGAAATTTTCTTGAACGAAAATAGTAGACACCCTGGTTTTTCAATATTTATAATAGTTATAATATTTAAATAATATTTGTAATATTTACAATATTTGCAGGTTTTGAGACGTGCCGATGTTAGCATTGTTGCTCTGCAACGACAATTATCTATAGAAGAAAAATCATTGGAATGTGGTGAAATTGATTTAGAAGAAGGTGGCTTAAAAATTGACGAACGCATTAATTTAATGAGAATAACCATAAAATCCTACTATTCATTTTTCTCATCACTGAAAGAAATTTGTTTAAAAAATATTTATCCTGCAGCTGTACATTGTCGTGCACATTCAGCATTACAAATATTAATTTTAATGCAAGAATTTTTAAAGAAAGAATATACGATTAATTTATGGACACACGAGGACACTGAACATTTAGTACAATGCATATTTACCGATTCATTCGAAGCAAATAAGGCATTAGCGTTCAAAGTGATTAAAGAGAGTTTGGATTCAAATACATTGAATGTCAATGAGAGAGAAATTGTTAGGGAATTAATTGACACGGCATTAAATTTAGCGAATAGCATGAGACCAACTGATTCAATTACAGCATCTTTCATGTTTAAAATGGTCGTTTTATCGAAAATTATTGACAGTGTTCTACTTGATTTTATTGATTCTGAAGAAATAGCCAATTGTCACACTGAAAAGACTTTGCTTACAATGATTAAAATTCTCATAAATCGTTTAAAGGTTTGTTTATTTTTGGTTTAACGAAAACTGTTTGTTTTAGATTAAAATAAACGAAAATTGTCTATTTTAAACAATAGTTGAATATAAAATTTTTGTCTTAACTAAAATTACTTTTTGGATTTTTTTCAGAATCCTGTACAAATGGCAAAGATAAATATTGTTTCGGCGTGTAGTAAACATTCTTTATATGGTTATCTTTATTGTATATTGAGTTTACTGCAAACACTCGATTTGAGGTATATTTTTCATATTTTCAAAATATTTCCTTTTTTTCGACTGACAGGCTTCGCACTCATCTACTAAAACCTACTATTTACTACTTTTTTCACAATTTGCTACTATTTGGATACTTTTTTAGATTTATGACACTAAAAGCTACTTTTTTCTTTATTTTTGGGGGAAATTTGCATCACTTTAAATTCGCTAATAGTTGAAATAAAAATAAATTGTAATAAAGCTTTTCAATTGAATTTTAATTTATTTAAAATATTTCAAAAAATTTTTCGAAGAAAATCAATTAAAAAAACTTTTTATAAAATTCTACCCCAAGAATTCAATTATTTTCGCAAGCAATAACATTTTTCACGAAAATTCAATTATTTAAAAAAATTGAAATAAAGAAAATAAAGAATTAAATAAAATTCTTCTCAAAAAAATTCAACTATTTCATAAATAATAAAATTCTTCTCAAAAATTCCATTATTTTTTTAAAAATTGATAAATTCTTGAATTCTTTCTTTAATTCTTCACAATATTATTCAATTATTTTCCCAAATAATAAAATTTTTCACGAGAATTCAATTATTAAAAAAGAATGAAATAAATTTCTTCTCAGAAATTCAGTAATTTTTTAAAAAATTGATAAATTATTTCTTTAATTCTTCACAATTATTCAATTATTTTCTCAAATAATAAAATTTTTCAAGAGAATTCAATAATTAAAAAAAAATTAAAATTAAATTCTTTGCAAAAATTCAATTATTTTCATAAATAATAAAAATTCTTTTCAGAAATTAAATTTTTTTTAAAAAATTGATAAATTCTTCATAAGAAAACATTTTAAAACAATTGTTTTTTTTTTAAGATAAAAATTTAGAAAATAATTGAATTTTTCAAAAATTTATATTTTAAGTTATTGGTTGTTTGCTTTTTTGTTTTCTAACTTTTTTATTAATTTTTCTTTTCAAATATTTTTAATTTTAAAATTATTGAATTCTTGCGAAGAATTTTACAATTTATAAAAATAATTGAATTATATTTAATATTTTAAAAAATAATTCTATTCTTTTGAGAAATTTTATTAAAATTTTATTTAAAAATAATTGAATTTCTTTGAAGAATTTTATTTTTTATAAAAAGAATTGAATTCCTTCGAAAAATTTTATCAGAATTTTTAAAAATAATTGTATTCTTTCGAGAAATTTTATTAAAATTGAATTAAAAATAATTGAATTCCTCCGAAGAATTTTATTATTCATGAAAATAATTGAATTTCTTTGAAGAATTTTATTATTTTTGAAAATAATTGAAATTTTGGGAAAAATTTAAGGAAAATTTATAGTTAAATTCCTTAAAATAAATTCTACAAAAAGTAATTTCATTTTTCAAGAATTTTATTTAAAAATTGACATTCCTAATTAAATTTTTATATACAAATTGTGTCATTTTCTAATTGTATAGAAAATAATTTAATATTTTACAAAAAAATTCTTTAATCTACAAATTTCTTTCATTTTACAAATAATTTTGAAAATAATTGAATTTTTAAGATTAACTCAATTTTAAAAGTATTTTAATAATTTTTTAAAAAATTAAATTTTTGAATTATAATTGTAATTTCTTAAGTTTTAAAAAAGATATTTGAATATTTTTTAAGAAATTTATTAAACGTCTTGAAAGTTAATGAAATTTTTAAGGAATTTTATACAGAATAATAGGTTTAAATAGCCAGAAGTAAAAAATTTAAATAATTGAATTTTTGCAAAGACATTACTTTTTAAAAAAATAATTGAATTGTTTTAATGGATTTATTAAAATTTTAGAAAATAATTGAATTCTTTCATTAAATTTTATTAAAATTGTATTGAAAATAATTGTTTAAAATTAATAATTGAGTGTGAAGCTTGCGATGATTTTTTAAAGGAAATATTGTTACTTTTAATTCGTTTGTTTCAGGACATTGGAATCTGATAATTCTTGGCGAATGCTCATTGCCGAAATAGTTGACATATGTTTTCAGTTAATTTACATTGCGTCTGAAATTGTAAATAATTCATCGCCCGAAGGACACTTGCCAATGGATTTAAATGTACAATATAGTAATTCAGTGACAGATGAAAAAACAACTTTGGTGACTTCTCAAATGGTTCTTCTTTGTTCTTGGCGAATAATAAAAGAAACTAGTCTTCTATTAGGAGACATCACGTCAAGGAGTCCTATTTATTCCACAGATTCTGATCCTGGACTTATATCAAAAGAGCAGGTATGTTTTATTGTCTCGAAAAAATCACCTTAATTATTATTATTTAAAGTATTAAAATAATTTAAAATTGTAGATAATAAAAATAGGAGAACATTTTGTTATGCTTTTGTGTGGAACAAAACATAGAGGAGCAATTGATCAAGCGCACATTGGCTTTCAACAAATGTGCACTAAATTATTTTCCCTAAAAGATTCGTCATTTCGAGAATTACCTGTAATGTGGTTGCATTATCTATTTTTGGACATGACTGGATTAAAGAGTGGAAATTTTAAATTATGTTCAACGAGAAGAAGTGCCGGTGTTCCATTTATGGTTCAGGTAAGTCTTTCTTTCTATAAAAGTTTTGCAAAAATATTGTAATTTTATTTTTTCTATAGGCAATCACTTGCTGTATAACGAAACGAAATCTTGATCATTCAATTTTTCATTCGGTAATGAGAGTTCTACTTGGTTTTACGCAATTAAAAAATTCGGAGAATCTACTCACTGATATTAAGACTATAATGTACAATAGTACCATATTTTGTGAATTGGAGAAAAATTTCAATTCCATCAATGACAAGGAGCAAGTTCGAATTAATGATCTTGCGGAAATTAAAACTCATACATTAAATATATTGAGGGCACTTTTTAAGCATTATCGACTTAAGGATTTGGTTAAACCTTACGTTTCGGAAGGTTTCACTGCTGCTATGAAAAGTTACGATGAACAATCTTGGGCGGTATGTATAGAGAAAATTTTAATTTCATTTAAGTGTTAAAATATTTTTGTATAATTGAAAAGTGTCTCTTTTTCAGGAACGAAATGCGGCAACTTTGTTAATTGGAACTTTAGTAACGAGAACTTTTGGTGTATTGAGAACAAGGGATTATATAAATTTGACGACGCATAATAAAATGACAGGGAAAGTTTTTTTTGAAAAATATGGACAGTTGTTGCCATTTATGTTGGAAAAATTGCATAATTTTATAACAGAACGAGATGAAATGATCGATTGTAAAATGCAAACTATTCTATTGATTATATCAAGATTGTACGTTGGTAATGACATTGAAAATTCAAATTCTTCCTGGCAGGTTTGTATAGTAATAAATATGAAACCTATATTTAATAATAATAATAAGAAGAATAATAATAATGGAAATAATTGTAATTTTCAAGGTGGATAAATTTATCAATCTCGTATCACAATGTGGAACGAATCGAGTGCACAAAACACGGGAACTTGCAGCAAGAGCATTGGTATCGTTATTAACGGAAAATAACATTTGCGAGACACTGGAATTTCTGATAAAAAATGTAATGGAGACTAAGGAGAATTTAAATGCCCTTCACGGTTATGCGTTGCAGGTAAAATTTTCAAGGATTATTATTTTTAAAAATATCTTAATTTAATAAATTAAAAAATAAAAGAAATAAACAATTCATATTTTTTTCTAGCTGTACGAAATAGTAAGCGTATTCGAGTTGTCTGCAGAAATTATTACGAAAACTAAATTTAATGATTTTTTGCTAAACATGGAAAAGTCTGTTCTTCAAAGTTTAGAAGAGGAAAACGAAAATTCTGCTTGTTATCCTGCAGCTGCTACGTTTGTTACTATTTTATCTGAACTACTAAAGCAATCATCGAGCAGGTAATTTTAATTTTTTTCTATAATAACAAGGTTGCCACAGGTCAGGGAATTCAATTATTTAAAAAAATTTTGATAAAATTCTAGGTACGTGAACATTTAATTATTTTCATAAATAATGAAAATTTCATAACAATTCAATTATTTACAAATTTTTTTTATAAAATTCTTCGCAATAATTCAATTTTTTTTTCATAAATACTAAAAAATTTTACAGTGATTCAATTATTTAAAAAAAATGTTACTTACAATATTCTTCGCGGAATTTTAATTATTTTCAATAAAATTCCCTAACTTTAATAAAATTCTTGGCAAAACTTCAATTATTTTCAAAAGTTTTCCATAATTCAATGATTTTCCATATATCTACTATTTTAATAAAGTTTTAAAAAAAATTGAATTATTTAAAAAGAAATTTAATGAAATTCTACATTTGTAATATAAAATATATATTTTAAATATATATTTTTATATATTTTTTACTTTTTTTTTAAATTCTACTTTTTATTCTAATTATTTCATAAATAATGAAAATTTAATAGAAATTCAATTATTTACTAAGTTTTTATAAATTTCTTCCCAATAATTCAATTATTTTCATAATTAATAAAATTCTTTTTAAGAATTTAATTATTTCTATAAAAATTTCAATTATTTAAGAAAATGTTAATTATAAAATTTTTATTTTGACTAAATTTAATTAAAAAGAATTCTAATTTTTGAAAAATTTTAATAAATCAAATTCTTCTGAAATTAGTTCAATTTTATAATAATATATATTTTAAAAAGTATTAAAAATAATTGATTAATAGAAGAATTTTAGAAAAACAATTTTAGAAAAAAATTGAGTTTTAGAGAAGTTACAAATGATTGGAAAAATTCAATAATTGTCAAAAATTTTTTGTAAATTCTCGTCAAAATTTAATTTATCTTTATAAATAATAAAAAATCTTCTCCCAATGTTTAATTATTTTCAAAATTTTTTTTAATTTCTGTCCAAATTTCAATTATTTTCAAAAAATTTTAATAATTGAAATTCTGTAAAGCATTTTATTAGTTATAAAAATATTTGAATTCTTGAAACGAATTTTATTAAATTTTTTTGAAATAATTGAATTCTTTTGAGAAATTTTATTAAAACAGTAGATTTTCAAAATATTTGAATTTAAGCCAAGAATTTCATTATTTATGAATTGTAATTGAATTCTTTCAAAAATTTTTTGAAATAAAATTTTTCGATTAATTAATTTAAATAATTAAAAAAAATAAATATATTTATAAAATAAAAAAAAAAAAAAAAAAAAAAAAAAAAATTTATATTTATAAATTTATATTTATTTATTTTTATTTTTTAAATAATTGAAATCCTATGAAAAATTTTATTATTTATGAAAATAATTAAATTCTTATAACGAATTTAATTACATTTTGTAAATAATTGAATTCATGTGGATTACTTAAAAAAAATTGAATTTTTGCGAAGGATTTTATTAAAAATTTTGTAAATAATTTTTTTTTTTTTTTGAAATAATTTTATGGACGTTTAAATTATTATAAGTTGTTGAATTTCATAATTTAAATTCAATTATTCAATTATTTAAAAATTTGTTGAAAATTTTTTTATGAGAATTCAGTTTTAAGAAAAAATTCAATTATTCAATGAGATATTTATATTTGTATTTAGATAATTGAATTCTCGTAAAGTTTTAGATAATAGTTGAATATTAAAAGTTTTAATTATTATAAAATATGAAAAAATCGATCACTCCGAGTCGAAGACTCGGAGTTATCGATATCTTTATGTTTTATAATTTTTATAATATATTCTTAAAAGTTGTTGAATTTGAAGTTTTTGAAAATCTTAATTCTCATGGAAAAATAATAATGATTAAATATTTATTTAAAAAAGAAGTTATTGATGTTTTGGAATAATTTTACAATTAAAGAAATTCGTAAATAAATGTAATATAACATGTTTTTTAGTATTTAATAATTTTTGGAGTGAATCAGAATTTTCTTCAGGGTCAGGGAAAAAGTCTAAATTTTGTCTGTATATCAGGAAAAATTGGGGAAAAAACAAAATTAAATTTCTGTGGCAATCCTGAATAAAAAATTGTTATGCAATAATGTAGATAATTTTAAAGAAATTAATTCATATTTTCCATTTCTTTTTAGGAAACTTTTCGAAAATCGACTCCTTGATAGTATCATAATTAGATTAAAGATGCATTTAGCGAATTGTAAATTGTTGAAGGAAAAACCAGGAAAAGAAGTTTATGAAATAGAAGCAATGAATTTTATTATATCTTACATTCAAAATTCATTCGCTCGTGAATTATTCACCAAAAATGATGATGAAATAAATTTTTGGCTCTCCATTCTAATACACAACAATGAAAATATTCAAATAATAATTTGGAGAAATGTCTTTTCAATTACTGAGCAAATACCGATTAATTCGAAATTTCTTCACTATGCATTATCGATTGCATTCAATACGAATTTCGAATTAATTGACAATGTCGAAGTACACGATGCAATCTATGAATTTTTATATCTTACTTTATTGAATTTACAAGAATCGAATTGTAAAAGTTTAATTATAAATAATGATGTGGACAAATCAAAAGTAATTCATGAATTTTGTACAATTATTGGTGAAATGCTGACATCTCATATGAGAAAGAAGAGTTTCTATGAAAGAGGGATTTTTCTACAATTGACAGAGAAAGTGTTTGCATGTTTCTCGTCTGTCTCAAAGGTATATATTTTGAAAAAAAAAAATTCCAATTTCTCCGAAGGGTAAAATTAAAATTTCTAACAAATTTTGTTTAATTTCAGGAAAATTCCATAATGAATAGAAATGATGTCTATAAATTGATAGTCAATAATTCTTGGATGTGTTCTGCGGATATAAATTGTCGAATAGGAATTGCGAAGAATCTTTATGATCTTTATATAGAATCAGTAGATGTGAATGATAGTTGTAAGTTTATTCATTTCGATAATTTGCTTATTCTTAAATACCTTTATTTTCTATTTTGAATTTTTTCTTTTTGTAGACTTGATTTTGGATTGGTGGACAACGTTATTGCATTTATTACTAGACGATAATATGATTGTTCGTCAACACGCATCAATTGTAATCTGTGATATAAAACCCAAAACTCAATTGGGATGCCATTCTTTAATTATGGAAATATTTTTTGATAAGTTTTTTAATACGATTGGAAGTAGAAATCCCACATTAGGATTGGCCGCTCTCATTTGTTGGATCGTCACTTTAATGGATGATGAGGAACTCGAAATGGATGAAACGGAGGTAATCTTCTATATTAATAATCGTTGTATTCCGGTAATCTGTTCGCAGTTTGAAATTAGTTATTGATTGCTTTTTTGTTTCCTAACTTTTAAAAAAAAAATTCTTTTAAAATACTTTCAATTTTAAAATTAATTTATTCAAAATCATTGAATTCTTGCAAAGAATCTTATCAAAAAAAAATTTAAAGAGAATAATTGAATTCCTTCGAAGAATTTTTTTATTTATAAAAATAATTAAATTCGAGGGAAGAATATTGTTAAAATTATTTAAACTTTTAATTAATTTCTTTGGAAGAATTTCTTTTAATTTTTTTAAGATAATAGAGTTTTTTTTAATGATTTTAATTGAAAATTTTGAAAGCAATTGAATTTTATAAAGAAGAACTTTATTAAAATTATATCATGAAAATAATTGAATTACTGACAAGAATTTTATTATTTATAAAAATAATTGAAATGTTTTAAAGAAATAATTAAAATTTTAGAAAATAAATTAATTTTATGTAAATATTGAAAAATAATAAAATTCTTTCAAAGAATTCTATTAAAATAGTTTTGAAAAGAATTGAATTTCTGCAAAAGCTTTTACTACCTATTTAAAAAAATAATTGAATTGTTTTGGAGAATTTTATGGAAATATTTGAAAATAATTAAATTCTTTCGAGAAATTCAGTTAAAGTTGTTTCAAAAATATTTAAATTTCTGTAAAGAATTTTATTAAAATTGAATACCTACATATATTCAAAATAATTGAATTCATCAGAAGAATTTTATTATTTTTTGAAAATAATTGAATTATTTCAATTTTTTGACGAGTATATTTAAAAATTGCATTGAAAGTAATTTAATTTTCATATAGAATTTTTTTTAAAAATATTTTGAGAATAATTTAATTATTTTTAGAGAATTTTTAATTCTTGTTGCAATTGAGTTTTATGATAATTTTTGAAAAGATTAAAATTCTTTAGTATAACTTTATTTAAATTGTATTAAAAATAATTTAATTTCTGCAAAGAATTTTAGTATTTATAAAATTAATTGAATTGTTTCGAAAAATTTATTAAAATTTTAGAAAATAATTGAATTTTATGGAAATATTTAGAAATATTTGAATTCTTCAGAGAAATTTAATTATTAGGGGAATGTAGTCAAGGTTGGCCTACTGTCTAGGTAGGCCACTCGCGTTTTTTTGTCAAGTTCACTAGCGCCACCTACGCGCATTTTTGTCGAAGCTTGTCTTAGTGAAACCTAACTTTTTGTTCAATTACATTTTCGGAAAATCGAAAATTGTGTTTTCTGTGACGTCGGTACAAAAAAAGCTCAAAAAAAGTTTTGTGCATAATGTGAAAAACCATTAATAAAAGATAAAAAACAAATTGAATCGTCAAGGCAAGTATGCAGAAAATTTGTGGGACTCATGGTTGAAAGGAAAACAAAGTAAAAAATCGAATCCCGAAACGTATTTCTTTATGGTTACAACAATTCGGTAATGTTACTTACTGTCAAGGTCGGCCACTCTGTGTTTAAAATGCGCAAAGATGAGGACGAGCTACTTCATTTGCAAAAACTGCAATTCTGTATAACTCATAATATAATTGATCATCTTATTAATATTTTTATTTAATTTTATTAATATTTTAGTGCAAAACTTTTTTTTATTTATATTTATTTTTTTATATTGTTTATTGTTATTATTTTGTTATTTCATTAAGTTACAAACTGTAAACAATAAAGAATCAATTTTCCGTAACTCCAAACATGTTATTTTATTTTTTAACGATTAATGCCCTTTGAATTTTAAACATGGCCGACCTTGACTGTAATGGCCAACCTGGACTACAAATTTTTTTTTTTTTAAATCTTTATAACTTTTTCATTTTTAAACCTGTCAATTTACTTTGTACAGAAAAAATGTTCCTATTAAACATGACTTTCCAACCATATACTTCAATTGTCCAAATTCATTTTTAAAAAAAAGTTATAAACAAAAGTCAAAAAGGTGGCCGACCTAGACTATGTTCCCCTATTATTATTATTATTATTATTATTATTATTATTATTATTATTATTATTATTATTATTATTATTATAATTATTATTAATTATTATTTTTATTAAAAATTATTTTATCTAATTTCAGGTATTCAACAAATCGAACATTTACGAATATTTCGAACCAATGGGAATATCGAAAAAGTGCATTAATTGTATTCAATTAATAATTCAACAGTGTAGTGTCAATGAAATAATCCCACAGAATGTGAAAAACTGGTTGAACGAAAGATTGAATCTACAATTTTGTGAAATGGATTCGTTTCGTCAACTTATTGTCAATTGTAAAAGTCGAATTCCAACTCTTGAAGGTAAACTGCAAGATATTTTAGATCCATTTTATAAATCCAAATTAATACAACACGTTGGCTATGACGATCTTAGTCAACAATTTTCAAAGATCTCTTGAAACTGTTTTTTCATTTTTAATAAAAATATTTATTAAAAAAAAATTGTTTCGATGATTTCAGTTTTTTTTTTAAATAAAAAATAGGAATCCTTTTTTACTCGAATTTTGATTAAAAAAAAATTCTTTATATTAAATCTTAAGCCCGCAAATAAATTACCAAAATTCAATCGTTCTTTGGAAATTTATTTATAAATTACTTTTAATATACAGAGTTTTTATTTACTTGCTTAGAGAAGTTTTTTTGTAGTACGCACATAATCATCGGGAGTTTCTGAAAGAAAAATGTGTTTTGGTGTTTTTTCGTTGGTGATGTTATGCTTTAAAGCAGCTATATTCGATAATGCTTTAAATGTCCTAGGCTCCCAAATTGAAACGTCTGATAGAGCTTTACGATCAAGATGAACGTCGTATTTATAAAGACCGTCTCTCAGATTAAATCTGCTAATATCGTGTTGCATACAAGCAGCATCTAGACGCGTCTCCCAAAGCTAAAATATTTATTACATATGTTACATATCAATTATATTGATTCAAGTAATGAATTAATTCATTTGATTAATTTTATCAAATTTACCTCACGCAAATCTTTTCGTTTTATTTCTCGTGACTTGGTTGTATATTGTAGAGCGCGATGAACAGCACGAATTGTCATACTATAACAATTTCTCATTCGACCTCGAAAATGCTGAAAAATAATTTACTTTTTTATTAAATTAATTTATTTTCAAGTTTCTCTCTCACAGGGTTGCCACAAAAAATTAATTATGTTTTTCCCTGACTTTTCCCTGATTTCCAGAGAAAAATTTTGACTTTTTCCCTGACCCTGAAGAATATTCTGATTCACTCCAAAAATTATTAGATACTCAAAAAAATGTTCTATTACATTTATTTACGAATTTCGTTATTTAAAAATTTATTCCAAAACATCAATAGCTTCTTTTTTAAATAAATATTTTATAATTATAAAAAAAAAAGTTTTATCAACTTTTCAAAAATAATAACATTTTTGTGAGGAATTTTATTTATTATAAAAATAATAAAATTCTCATACCTATCAAAATTTTTCAAACTAATTGAATTTCTGCAAAAAATTTGAATAATATGTTTTAAAATAATTAAATTCCTGCGAAAAATTGTATAAAATATGAAAATAATTCAAATCTTACTAAGAAATTTATTATAATTTTCTAAAATAATTGAATTTTTTCGAGGAATTCAATGAAAATTATATAGAAAATATTTCAATTCTCATTAGATTCTTTTTTACATACAGAGATAATCATTATTATTATTCCATAGGAATTAAGATTTTCAAAAAATTTCAAATTCAAACCTTTATGAAATTCAACAACTTATAATAATTTAAACGTCGATCAAATTTTTCAAAAAAGAAAAAATAAAATTATTTAGAAAAATCTGAATTAAATTCTTCGCAAGAATTGAATTATTTCTATATAAGTAATTGAATTTCTTACATGAATTCAATTATTTAAAAAAATGTAATAAAATTCGTTGTAAGAATTCAATTATTTTCAGAAATAATAAAATTTTTCATAGGATTTCAATTATTTTTAATACTGTTTTACATTAATTAATCGAAAAATTTAATTAATTTTAAAATATTTTTGAAAGAATTCAATTACAATTCATAAATAATGGAATTTTTGTCTTGTTTTTAAAATAATTAAATTCCTTCAAAAATTGTATAAATTATGAAAATAATTGATATCTTGACGAGAATTTTATAAAAATTTTGGAAAATAATTGAATTTGGAGAAGAATTTTATTATTTTTGAAAATAATGGAAATTTCATCAGAATTTAAGGAATTTTTTTTAACAGAATTGAATTTCTAAGAAGGATTTTATTACTTCTGAAAATAATTGAAATTTTAACGAGAATTTTTTAATTTTTGCAAAAGTTCCTTGACAATTGTCAGTTAAAAGTATGAAAAATTTTATGTTGAAACCTTTTCAAAATTCTATTATTTTTAAAAATTCATTTTTAAACCAATTTTTATTAGAAAATTTTACGAGAATTCAATCATTCAAACAAAATAAACAATATTTATTGAATAATTAAATGTCAAAATTTTCAAGTATAATTGCATTTTTCGAGGAATTAGATTAAAATTGAATTAAAAATAACTTAAATTTTATGATGAGTTATATTATTCATGAAAATTATTGAATCTTTGTAAAATAATTTATTGTTTATGAAAATAATTTAATTATTGCAAAGAGATTTATAAAAAGTTTGAGGTTATGTTTGCAATGAAAATTCCCCGTATTTATAAATAATTACTTTAACACATAATTTAAATGTCGTGAATTTGTTTACAACAAAATTCAACTCACTTTTAATCTATGTTGCTAAAGAAAGTTTTATTTATGATTAAAAATACATACTGAGGCGAGTTTGAAAATTTTCCTTTTTCGCCAAAATTCATCAGGACCTCTTGATCTTGAAAGTAATTGCAAAGTTTTAAAAACCATGATGAATTTTTAATTTATTTCTTACGCTTTTCTTTTATTAATATGATTTCTATTTATTTATATTGATTTATATTATTTATATTCTTTATTCGTAACGCAAGAAGACTTGTCTTCTTGATTCAACGTTTTCAAATCAGTTATAGGTTATGTTCGATCAATGTAAAATTCGTATCGTTTGTTAAACTCCTTAACGTAAGATACGTAAGTTACATATTTTTAATATAATTTTTATCTCAAAGGTCAAATTATTTACAATGTTATTGTAAGTTCTTATTGTCCATTAAAAAAAGGGAAAAAAAGTATTGAAAATATACTATCATTACACAATTTTAACAAACAAAATTTTTTATTTTCTGTAACAAAATGTTACATTACAATAATCAGGTCTATCAGTGAAGGGCGGTTTCAAAATCAGGTATTATACAAAGAGAATATGGAATTTATTTTTTTTTATTATTAAAAAATAAAATCTCAAGATGAGGAAACTATCGCTGCTTGGTCATGTATTAATAGGAAATACTATAGTTAAAGTTTATGCAAGAAATACAATTTTTTTTCATATAAAAAATAATGCAAAACTATGTGAATGAAGTCACGTGACAATATTCCCACCCCTTCCATCCCAGGGGGAGGGCTTAATCAGTTGCCGACTGGAACTGTCCCTCTTTTTCCATTTCAATGAATTGAAGAAGGAAGTCCGATTGAAATCGTAAACAGATGACTGATAGGAGCCGCCCCTGGGGTACCTGAATACGCTGAATACAATGGAATTTCTGTTTGGCAACCATGTAATATTCCCATCTGCTCACTGTAAGACGTAACATAGTAGTACGTAACTCACGGTAAATAGCTTTCATCATTTTCTCTCCCCTTACATTAGACAAAGAAGCATTATACATTTATCCCTACGATTCATGTTTCCCGAACAAAAATTGTGCTCCAACCACACATTCCTTTCACTCGAATTGTATTTCGATGTGGAGAGAAACGCCATTTTGCTATTTCCTTACTCTTTTCTAAAGTATTTCTTTATTCAACATAAATTGTAAATTTAACATTTAGAGTAAAAGCTCTAGATAATTTGGTATGAGTGTATAAAATTCGGAGATGTTAAATTATTAAAAAAAAAGTGATTATTTATTATGTGTGCACTTGTGTGACAAAATTTGCATCGTGTTTTTTTATTCTTTTATTTATTTCTCGAAATTTTCATTTTACAAAATAATTTTCTTTTAATTTTTATTCAATATATATAAATGTGTGTGCACAATTTAAAAAATATACATTCTAATTAATTTTGTCACATTATCAAGTTTTTTTAAAAAAAAAGTGTTTAAAAAAAGGTTGTAATCATAGATTCGACAAGAAAACGTCTTCTATTCAAGGTTTGTATGTTTACATTTTTACGAAATGGAAAAAAACAAAAAAGAAAATTTAAAATATCGATTCGTCTTATTGTTCGTCTTATCTGAAATAACGGATTTAATTTTAATTTAATTTTCAGGAATATTGATATTTTTGTATTCTTATTTTTATTAGGAATTAATTTATCTATATAATTTGTTTTTTTTTTTGAGGAGTGCCAAAAATAGGAATGATGTACAGTCTAAAACCTTGCATTATCCCTCCCATATGTAGCCTAAAGAGCGGATGTTAAGTTTATAGTGGTGTTGATACAATACTCTTTCAAAAATTACATATATGTATACGTGTCTGAAAGCCTACAACCACAAACTCTCGAGCAAAGTTCCTCCTGTTCAACGCATTCCTATCTAACTGCCCGTGTGCCCGTCTCTTTTTACTGGTTTACAGCGTTGCCATATTTCCTGTAACAAATAAATAATTTTTAAATGTATTTAATTTTGTACGTATTTTTAATGGGGCATTTAATTCATATTATTGCTCATTAAAAATTCCCTCTTTTTTTTAATTTTTAATGTTTTGTTTTGCCTGTTATTTGTAGAGAAACAACATTAGGTTGCTATGTGACTTGTATTTTCTATTTTATTTTTCTAAAGTACCTAGAGAATATTTTTCAATGTAACTTTTGCAATATTCTCTCTCTCTCCTTTGATACTCAAACACAGTCTGTGTACTGTGATCCACTTTCTTATTGTTGCCAGATAACTTAGTCAATATTTTATCAGTTATTATTGCTTCATACACGGACATAAAGCGTGATTGAATTTAAATAGAATTAAAATAGTGTGATAAACATCGTGTGCGAGTTCTTAAGAATAATGACCCAAGTTTTATTCAGAAACAATAATGTGATATTTAATTTTCTTCTTTAATTGTCTTTTATGACTTCACTATAGTACGAGTCATTTTATTCTCATCGACGATTTTAAAAAACGTTTTTTTTCGTTAATAATAATTCTCGGTGTTTTTTTTTCGGTGTTTATTTTGAGCTGAAATTGTGCTTCTTAAGAAAGGCGAGATTTCTATTTTCGGTGAGTTTCATTTTATTATGCAAGGATTTGTCTAACAATGAATTATATTTGTTGTACTGTTATATTCGTATATTATACGGAATCGTATTAAATGAAGAGCAGTATTTATTGAAAAATACTGTATAAAATATTGATCGAAAAAACTATTTCTAAAGAAATGGAAGGAAACATCTACCTATTAATTAATTTTTAATTAATAAATAATATTATTTAAAAAATATAAAACAGCAAATATTGAAAAAAATATTTGTAAAATAGTATTGATTTCTCATCAAGATCAAGAAATACGAGATTTTCTTGAAACATTTCCCAAATTATTTTTATCTTGTGTGTGAATCGACTATATGGACAAAGTGTGACTTCAAAATAAGAATTCGACATATTTTTTGAAGTTTCAAAAAAATGGGGAATGCTTGTGTTTAGAAAGTTGAGTGAACGTCTTCGAAGAACTTTCTCATTTATTATTCACGAGTTCGAGACACTTTTTTGCAAATAATAATTTATTCAGAATTCCCAAAATGATAAATTGTCCAAAAATCATTGATTTGATATTCATGGGAGCATCAATATCAGATCAAGAAAACATTTTGGAAATTTTAGTGAATAAACAGAGAAAAATTGTCAACACAATGCGGAAAGAAGAAAAGAAGTGCGTCCAAGTTGGGGAAGTCAGACGGAAATTGAAGAAAATGAAGATAAAACTTAATGAAGTGTATAAAAGGTACCCCATCAAGTATTCAATTTAATTGCTTCTTCTTCTCTCTTGCGACTGGTTTTTTCTTGTCACACATTCTTTACTCATTTATCGCATAATATAAATATTTAATTATACTGACAAACCTATTTCATATCTTCATGTATATAATACTGAAAAAAATGATTCATCACTCCGGGGAATTCAACTTCAATCAAAATGGACTTTGGACTTTTGAAGCATGATATATCTGCATAATAATATAATGCAAAAAAAAGCAACGAAAGGAAAGTTTTTCGACACAAACTTTTTATTCGAGAATTTCAATATTTGAGTCACGTACGTCATTTCGCATTGGAAGAAAAGGATATTCAATCAAGATTTTGGACTTGGTTCTCGCAAGGTTCACAAGAAATGTACGCAGGACATCAGAACGAAGTAATATTTACGTATATTAAGTTTAATTATAATCGTAATAATTAAGATATATTTATTATAATTCAAATATTTCATCAATTATATATAATTATTAATTTATAATTATTAATTAACAATTATTAATATTATATAATTAAACTAGTATTATTTTTAGAATAAGTTAACGAAATGAAAGCTGCGATCAATACTGACGTCTATCATTTTTAGAATTTAAAATTAGATATTAAGATAATATTAATCACTTATTTCCGTTTTAAATTTCAGTTATCGATTAAGTTTTTTATATATATTTCTTTTCCTAAATAAAATTTTTTTTTTAAATTGTCTGTAAGAGAAAGACAAAAGACTAATTATTCCCAAATATTTAAGTCCCTTGTTTATAATTTTCGTTTATTGCTTTTTTTCCCCGTATATTGAATTTTTCCAGAGAATATTTTCGAAGTGTTTCACTAGAAACAAATATCTAATCAAAAGCTTAACTCTTTATCTCAATTATTGATAAATTTTAAAAGAGACTTTTTCGTCTAAAACAGGGTTGCCACAAAAAAATTAATTTTGTTTTTTCTCGGTTTTCGGAAAATTTTTTTTGACTTTTTCCCTGACTCTAAAAAATATTCTGAAGAATTATTAGAAAAATAATTAAATAATTATGCAAGGAAATAAAAAATAATAAACAATACAAAAAGAAAAACTTCAAAAAATATTCTATTACATTTATTTAAGGATTTTTTTAATTGTAAAATTATTCGAAAACATCAATAACTTCTTTTTTTTTTTAATAAATTTTTTTTGTCATTATTATTTTTAAAAAATGTAATAAAATTCGTTGCAAGAATTCAATTATTTTCATAAATAATAAAATTCTTTGTAAAAATTCAATTATTTTCATAAATAATAATATTCTTCATCGGATTTCAATTATTAATTATTTTTAATACAATTTTAACCGTATTCGCCCGAAAGAAATAAATTAACAATTATCAATTATTTTTAATAATTTTTGCAAAAATTCCTAGAGAATTTTCCAATTCAATTTTACGAAATTTTGATTATTCGGAAATTCTTCAATTAAATATTTAGAAAATAATAACTGGAAATAATTTAAAAAAAAACAAATTCAATAAATTATCTAAAATTTTAACTGAAATTAATTTTTAAATCAATTTTTATTAGAAAATTCTAAGAGAATTAAATTATTTAAAATACAAAAATAAAGAATTAATTGAATAAATGAATGTTTTTTAAAATTGTAATCTCAAATTTAATTAATAAATTAATTAATTTAATATATCAACAAATTTTTAAATAATTGAATTTTTTTGACAAATTTTAATAAAATTTTCAAAAATAATTACATTTTTCGAGGAATTTGGCTAAAATTGTATTAAAAATAAAAATTTTATGATAATAAAAAATAATAAATAATTTAATAGTAATTTTTATGATGTATTTTATTATTTATGAAAATAATTGCATTATTGCGAAAAAATTTATAAAAAAATTTGTAAATAGTAGAATTCCTGTGAAGTATTTATTTTTTATGAAAATAATTTAATGTTTGCTTAACGAATTAAAAAATTAATTAAATTCTTTCAAGAAATTTTATTTAAAAAAATTAAATTTCTGCGATAAATGTTATAATTAACATTTTTTAAATAATTTAATTTTTCTGAGAATTTTTTGTTAGGTAATGTTATGAAAATAATTCAACTCTTATAAATAATTTTCTGAAAAATTTTCAAAGGAATTGAAATTCTGCGTAGTATTTTATTATTTATGAAAATAATTGAATTTCGAAAAAAATAGTATAAATTATGAAAATAATTGAAATCTTACCAAGAATTTTATTAAAATTTTTGAAAATAATTGAATTTCGAAAAAAAAATTGTATAAATTATGAAAATAATTCAAATGTTGCAAAAGAATTTAATTAAAATTTTTGAAAATACATAATTGAATTTTTTCGAGGAATTTTATTGAAAATTCTTTAAAACAATTAAATTCCTGCAAAATTTTTTAAATTATAAAAATAATTGAAATCTTGTCAATAATTTTATTAAAATTTTTGAGAATAATAATTATTCTCAAAATATTGAATTCCAAAGAAGAATTTTATTACTTTTAAAAATAATAAATTGAAATTTTTTTTCTAGAATTTTTAAAAATTATTTAATTGAATTAGTTCGAAGAAATGTAAAATGATTTTACAGTTAAAGATAGTCAATGTATTATAAACATATTTTGGAGTTTCAATTATTTTTAGAGTAAACTAAAATATTTTTAGGGTTTGGGAAAAAGTCAAAGTTCTATTTTTAAAAATGAGGGAATTCTTTCAATATTTCATGGAATAATTTATTTTCAAAGTTATTCTTTATAACTGGGAAAAATAATTTATGACCGGAAAATGACCGTGAATTTTTTTTTATGAAAAAAGTGACTACCCTGAAATTTAGAAAGAGAAAAGGATGCTATTTCACTAGTGTTGTCTCTGTCTGCCGGCATTACACGTGAATTTGCCTTGAAACGCATGTCCCGGCGCACCCTATTTTTATACATATATCTACAGTTCGTCTGGCAAACGAATTTCATTTTTCTATATTAAAAGGGAGAAAAAAAATCATTTAAAAATAATTCTTGTTCATAAGTGAGAAGAAACTTCTGTTTGTTCAATATCGATTGAGAAGAAAATGATAAATAATATATCAAGAATTGAGGAAGAATGGGAAGAATCGATCTGTCAAAACAAAAGTTAGTCTTGTAGTAAAGTTAACAACCATGTTAATTTACATATTTTTTTTCCTTATAGAAATTTCGTTTTTAATATATTTGAAGGATAACAAATGCATGGATTAAAGAAAAATTTATATGTACGAATACGACTGTCAAATTTTTAGGTTATGTTATTACTTGTAAACATAATTTTTCCGCACGAAACGAAAATTGTATTCAAATCTAATTCTGATCAAGTCGAACGAATAAAAATACATTTAATTAAAATAGTAATAAAGAATTAACGATTTCTGATTTGTATTTTTCAGATTAAAAAAAGCACATCGAGACTCCGCACGTTGAAGAGAAAAAAGAAAAACACCCCCACAATCAAAACGAAGACAATGACAGATATTATAGACCATCGAGATGTACGAGATTCACTGTCGAGCCCTTTGAAATCCTTCGATAACAATAATCAACACGTCAATTCAATTATCACTCAATCACAATTAAATACAGACGAAGTGGATAACGTAGATCATCATTTTGAGGCGGTGCGATTACAGAGTTATGAAAACTGGCCGTTAAATTATATGGATCCGGCGAATTTGGCCGCCGCTGGATTTTATTACACGGGCGAAAGTGATAAAGTCAAATGTTTCGAGTGTCATGTGGAAATTCGTCAATGGTTGGAGGGCGATGATCCAATGGTTGATCATCAACGTTGGTCGGGACGTTGTAGATTCATAAGAAAAATTCCCTGCGGCAATGTTCCCATTGGAGTTGATCCTGATACAATACCAGCGCCACGTCCACGAAGTCACGACGTTTGCGGACCCTATGGTGTTGAAATAAGATCTAATTCTGGACCAGATTGTTCATCAACGTCAACTGGAAATTTACCGAGTTCAGCGAAACTCGGCTTCATTGGAATTGGCCGCTCCAAAGGACCAGCACACACTGAATACGCCAGTTACGATGCAAGACTGCGGACATTCGAATCATGGCCAAAGTGCATGCGACAGACGAAGGAGCAATTGGCGGATGCTGGTTTCTATTATACGGGCAAAGGCGATCAAACACTTTGCTATCATTGTGGCGGTGGGTTGAAGGACTGGGAGCCGGAGGACGATCCTTGGGAACAACATGCGAAATGGTTCTCCAAGTGTATATACCTTTTCTTGGTCAAGGGTCAGGATTATATCAACAAGGTCACAGGGCAAAATCCAACACCGCCATCGAATGAGGTGACGAATCTTTCTCTTGTTGAAATCAGATTTTCTATTTATCTATTGATTCTTTCATCAGGGTTGCCACAGGTTCAGGGATTTCAGGGAAAACTCGGGATTTTTTTTTTAAATGTGCTGGAAAAAATTGAATTTTGGAAAAGTTGCAATAAATGATTGCAGAAATTCAATTATTTTCAAAAGTAATAAAATTCTTCGCAGAAATTCAATTATGTTCAAAAATTAAAAAAAAAAAAAATTCTCGTCAAAATTTCAATTATCTTTAAAAATAATGAAATTCTTCTGCAAAATTCAATTATTTTCAAAAAATTTTAATAAAATTCTTGTCAAAACTTAAAATTTTCCTTAATTCAACGATTTTCAATATATTTTAATAAAATTTTTCAAAAGAATTCAATTTTTAAAAAAATGTTAATAAAATTCTACGTAAACATTAATTATTTTCATAAATAATAAAAATTTCACAGGAATTCAACTATTTACAAATTTTTTATAAATTTCTAAAGAAATTTATTGCAAACTTGCAATAATTTAATTATTTTCATAAATAATAAAACTCATCATAAAATTTAAATTATTTTCAATTCAATTTTAATCAAATCCCTCGAAAAATGCAATTATACTTGAAAAGTTTAATAAAATTCGTCGAAAAAATACAATTATTTAAAAATTTGTTGATAAAACTTTTTATGAGAATTCAATTTTGAGAAATATTTAATTATTCAATAAATTGTTTATTATTTTGTTTAAATAATTGAATTCTCGTAGAATTTTGTAATAAAAATTGATTTAAAATTAATAGAATTTTGAAAAGGTAACATTTGAAAATAATTACATTTTTCGAAGAATTTACTTAAAATTGTATAAAAATTAATTTAAATCCTGTAAAGAATTTTCTTATTTGGGAGAATAATTGAATTCTTGCAACGAATTTTATTATTTATGAAAATAATTAAATTCGTGCAAAGAATTTTATTACATTTTTTTTTTAATAATTGAATTCTTTTAATAAATTTTATTAAAATATAATAGTAAATATTGAAAATATTTTGAATTTCAGGCAAAAATGTTTTAGAAACCAAAATTCTTCACAGAATTTCAATTTTACGTTCAAAAATTTTCTTTAATTCTGGTGAAAATTACAATTATTTTCAAAAATAATAAAATTCTTCTCAAAAATTATTTAATTTAAATATTTTTCAAAATTTTAATAGAATTCTTTGGAAGATTACAATTATTTTCATAAATAATAAAATTTTACGCAAAAATTCAATTATTTTGAAAAATTAAATATTTCTCGTCAAAATTACAATTATTTTCAAAAGTAATAAAATCTTTCTCTAAAATTCAATTCTGTTAAAAAAATTTTTTAAATTCAGGTGAAAATTTCAACTATGTATTTTAAAAAATAATAAAATTCTTCTCTAAAATTGTAATAAAATTCTCTCGTCAAGATTTCAATTATTTTCATAATTTATACAATTTTTGCAGGAATTTAATTCAAATATTTTCAAAAATGTTAATGACATTCTTGGTAAGATTTCAATTATTTGCATAATTTATACAATTATTTTTCGAAATTCAAATATTTTCATAAATATTAAAATTCTTCGCAGAAATTCAAATATTTTGAAAAATTTTGATAACATTATTTATGAGAATTGAAAAATTTTCATAATTAATAAAATTCTTCACAAAAAGTTTATTATTTAAAACAATTTCAATAAAATTTTTTGTAAGAAAAAAATTAATTAATCCTCTGAAAAAATGTAATTTTTTACCTAAATAATAAAATTCTTTAGAGAAATTCAATTAATTTGAAAATTTTTTAGTAAAACTCATTATTAACTCAATTATTTAAAAAAAATGTGAATTAAAATATTTTTCGAAGAAATGCGATTATTTTTTATAAAATTTAATTAAATTCTACAAAAATTTCAATTATTTTCTATAATTCAAATAAAGTCTCAGCAAGATTTCAATTATTTTCATATTTTTTACCATTTTTTTCAGGAATTTTCAGGATTTTATTAAAATAATTCTTAAATGTTTTATTATTTTAAAAAGTTTCAATAAAAATCGTTGTAAGAAAAAAATTTAATTAAATACTATGAAATCGTTTTCATAAATAATAAAATCGCAGAATTTCAATTATTTTGAATACAATTTTATGAAAATTCGTCGAAAGTATTCAATTATTTAAAAATTTGATGATAAAATTCTTCATGATAATTCAATTTTCAGAAATATTCAATTATTTAATAAATTATTTATTTTTCTATTTAAATAATTGAATTCTCGTTAAGTTTTCTAATAAAAATTGATTTAAAAACAAATTTTACTTAAAGTTTTAAATAATAATTGAATATTGAAAGCATTATAGTGTGAATTTTTAGAAATAATTGAATTTTCAAAAGATTTCATATTAAAATCTTTGCAAATCTGAATTTTTTATACTTTTAACTAACAATTCTGTAGAATTAATTTTTTTTTCAAAAAGTTTAATTGAATTTTGTTTTGAAATTATTTCAAGTTTGTATTTTTTAATATACAATTGAAGAATTTTCGAATAATCGATGAAATTTCGTAAAATTGAATTTTAAACAAATAGACTTAAATATTCTCAAGAAACTTTTTCAAAAATGATTAAAAATAATTGATTTAAAGAAGAGTTTTTTAGTTAAAAATTCTAGAAAATAAAAAATATTTTTCGACGCTGAACATTGATTGCAACTTCAGGGACTTTTGAAATGATGAAAATAATTTTGTCTAAAAATCAGGGAAAAGTCAGAGAAAAATAAAATTAAATATTTGTGGCAACCTTGTTCATAAAAATTATACTATGAAAATAATTAAATTTTTCTAAATTTTGACCACTTTTCTTCACAGGAGACAATGTTAATGGATCTGCCGAGTTGTATTCAAAAGGTTCATAATACAATAACCGAGAAGGAGCACGATTTCGTTGGAACGAGTAAAAACGAATTAAATCAATCGGAAAAGGAATGTACGAAAACAATAGCAAAAGATAAAGAAACAGTACGAGTCGACGATGCGAGAATGTGCAAAATTTGTTACAGTGAAGAATTGGGCGTAGTATTTCTACCCTGCGGTCACATTGTGGCTTGTGTTAAATGTGCTCCGGGTATGACTGTGTGTGCCGTTTGTCGAAAACCTGTTACTATGAATGTTCGTGCATTTTTCTCATAGTATTTTTTCCTGGACAATTTATCAATTTATTTCACTAACTGGTATAATTGTTTTAGGAAGCAAAAAGAAAAAAAAACATTAATAATCATTGTATATACCAGTTTCATGCATTAAAAAAAAAACAAACAGACAAGTACTACATTGAACTCACACACACACAAATGAAACAATACCAATTATTCAATTTTTTTTATTTGGATTTGAAAAATTTAAAAAAGTTAGACTGGTGAAAACCATAGGTTTTTAATTTAAACTATTTTAGTTAAACATTATGCTTATATAAATATATATTATAGTGTTTTTATTTTTCTATCAAAAATTAACCCTTTCATATTGTGGATTTTTATTTCGAGGAAAAAAAAAAAAATATATATTTTTAATGAGCTTGCTTAAATCATCGTTGTTTGGATTGATGTGTGTTGATATTCTATATAAATATATATTATAAGCAAGCTTTATTCGTTTAAATTCTCTTTCACATACCGGATTAGTTAATTTTTTTTTCTTTTTAACTCGAAAAGGACATATTTTGTTTTTGTAAAGAAAAAAGAAGGCCAAAACGACATATTTAGCGGTATTTATATAAAAAAACTTGCGGATTACACAGAAATGAAAGAAAAACGAGCTTTTTAATTCTGTATAATAAAAATTGTAGTGTGTAAGTATACCGAAAGGGTTAATTAACACTTTACACGTGTATAAAAAAATTTAAAAAAAACTGATCCAAGTGTACTTAAACACAAGGTTTAAGTGTTTTTTCTATTTCTATTTACATAAAAAAAAAATTTTCTTCTTTCTTTAAAGTTAAATAGAAACACCTAACAATTAAATGTCACCTCTCAATGCAGTTTAACATTATTATGTAAAGAAAAACTCGAGTAGGGTTGAATTCTGTTAATCACATTACCTTTAAATATTTGCCTTTTTCCAGTGCTTGTTTAAAAGCCACAAACTGTAGGAAAAAAAATAATAAAATTCAATTATCACAAAACTGTTTTAAATTAGAAATAAATGTATTAATAAAATTTTTTCTCAACGAGACTCAATTATTTTTATTTCTCAAACCTCACACGAATTTATGATAAAAGTAACAATTACTCCTTTTTTTTACTGTTTTAAATAATAATTTATTTTGCAGAAAAAAATATTTTGAAAACTTGTGGAACATTTTTTTGCTATTGATTAACAATAAATTCAAAATTGGCACTCTTGCTCTTTTCAAATTTCCTGACTTTTCCAGGTTAAAAAACGGAATATTTCCAGATTTTTAAAACGAAAATTATTCGAAAACACCAATAACTTCATTTTTAAATAAATATTTAATCATTATTTTATTAATAAAAATTAAGATATTCAAAAATCATTACGATTATTCATTTCTAGAATTTTCAACTAAAATTCTTCTTTAGGTCAATTTTTTTAAAATAATTTTTAAAAAAGTTCTTTGAATTTTCACATTCTTTTGTTTATAATTTAATTTTCCAAAATTTCGATTATTCAAAAATTCTACAATCAAATAGGTATATTAGAAATTAATTCTAATTCTTAATTAGAAAATGAATTCCTACGAGAATTCAATTATTTAAATACAAAAATAAATAGTTTATTAAATAATTGGATGTTTCTTAAAAATGGAATTCTCATAAAGAATTTTATCAACAAACTTTTAAATAATTAAATTCTCTTCACGAATTTTAGTAAAAATTTTAAGAATAATTACATTTTTCGAGGAATTTAATTAAAATTGTATTAAAAATAATTGGAATTCTGCGATGAGTTTTATAATTTATGAAAACAATTTCGTAGTATTTAATTAAATTTTTTCCCTACAAAAAATTTTATTGAAATTATTTAAAATAATAAAATTTTAAAAAAGCATTTTATTCAAATTCATTAAAATAATTAATTGCATTTTTTCGAATAATTTTATTATAATTCTTTAAAATAATTAAATTCATTGAAAAATTGTATAAATTTTAAAAATAATTGAAATGTAAAATGTTGACAATAATTTTGTTAAAATTTTTGAAATTTTATTAAATTTCGGAGAAGAGTTTTATTACTTTTGAAAATAATTGAATTTTTACAAAATTTTTTAACAAAATTGAATTTTTGCAAAGAATTTTTAAAAACATTAAATAAATTAATAAATTTTTAAAAATTCATTAAAGCAATTAAATTCTTGTAAAGAATTTTCATATGAAAATAATTCAATTCTCATAAATAATTTTATCAAAATTTTTGAAAAGAAATTGAAATTTTGCAATAAGTTTTATTATTTATGAAAATAGTTGAATTATTGCTGCAATAATTTGAAACTGTTTCAAAATTCAATTTGTTTTAGTGTTTTTTAACTAAAATTCTTGTATAAATCCATTATTTTTAATAAAACTTGTTAAATATATAGGTATTAAAAAATTTAACTAATTTCAGAAGAATTTTAGTTTTTAAAATTTTGTTTAAATCTTAGTTTTTTTGTATTTCTAATTAAATTTATTTAAAATTGAAATTTTATAAAATTTTAAGTAAAAATCTTTTATAGTTGAACTACTTATAAAAATTGTAAACGCAATTCTTTTAAAATTGAATTAATTTTGAAATATTTAAGTGAAATTAGATTTCAAGAATAAACACAATAACTTTATAGAAAACAACAATTTTTCAGAATTTCGATCAAAATTCCATGACTTTTCCATGTTTTTTCAAGGTTTATAAAATTCCCTGACATTTCCAGGTTTTTCAGGTTGCGTAGCAACTCTGCAATTTAAAAAAATAAAATCTTCCAATTATTGATAAATAATTTATAATTTTTAATAATTATGCTTAATTGTTGAAATTATAACTAATTAATTAAACAATTGGGTTCTGCAATAAAACATCAATTACAAAACATCACGTTTTTATTTTTCTACAATTGGAAAATGATTAAATAATTATTTTTAATATTGCGATCACATGCTCGATCGTTATTCACTGATTCATTAAGATGAAAAAAAAATCATGAACAAAAAAAGAATCTTATACGAGAGCATTTTGGATATGAAACAATTTTAATTTTTCGAATTAATTACAGAAATTTCCTTTTTTAATTCGTCGGTAAGATAAATTATACCTTATTATTCATAAAACTAAAAAAATGTCTCACTACATTTTTTCATGTAGAAAAAAAAATGATCGCCATTAATCATTTTTTTGTTTTAATATTAAAGTATATATACAAGTGACAAATATACAGAAGAATCGTGAAAAAAAATTTGTGTCACTTTTCAATGTTTGCGAATTGTTGTCAAACAACGCGAACTGGGAAAAGATATTTGAATCATTTAAAAAAGAAAAGGAAAAAAGCTCAATGCACACTTGTACCATTTCATTCGACTAATAAACACAATTTTTGACATTTCGTTCATTTTTTTTTTCATCTAAAAAAATAGAAAATTCAAACAATTTAGTCGATGACAAAGCTCTCTCCTTTATTCTGATATTTTCAAGAGAAAATTAACTTAAAATAAATGAATCCGGGTATAAAACATTTTTCAATTGATATTTTCTTGTACATACAATATAAAATGTTTTCCTTTCTCTCTTAAAAACCAAAAAAAAAAAAAACAAAAACAAAAATAAAAGTGTGCGAATATACCTACTAATATTATTATGCCTAGGATAATTTAAACAATAAAAGGTTAATCTATATAATAAATTGGAAAGAATATTAATATTTAAACAATACAATTATTAAATCGCGCCGAGAAACTTTCAAAATACGTTGTATGTATACAATATTTGATTTCACGTGTAAATATATACAGTTTTTTTTTCATTATTTATTCATTTTTTCTTTTTAAATTAAACACGTAAAAGCACATATTTTAATGAACGAAAAAAACAACAAAAAATGTTTACACAAAAATTTGAGCGATGTGCAAAAAAGAAATTTGCAAATTGGAGAAAAAAAATAATAAATAAATAAAGAATACACTTTTAAATTCCAATAATCTGAATTTTTAATTCACGCAAAATTCCTTGCGTTAATTTTGTTACTATTCTTGACTCTAAACACATAGTTATAGCCCAATTAAATATATTGTTATTACATTTTTTTTTAAACTTTGTTTCTGGCATTATCAGTTTCTTTGAAAATATGTACAATGTGATAAGGGGTATTTTTTTTTTAGTAGTTATGATAATTTATAACAAAACAAAAAAAATATATATATATATTTACGAAATGGGTTTATACTTAAAGAGGCTAATCGGCGTAAACAATAAATTGCTGATTATCAACATCAGCAACTTCCACTTGGACGAATTGCGGTTGTTGAAGTTGAATTTGTTGAACCTGTCTTCCAATGGCGTTGCGCGATCTGCAAATTTTCCTTTTTGTATTTTTTCATAATATACATGTTATATAATATATTTAAAGAAAATGAATTATTTTCTAAATTTTACTTTTCTTGATGTTCGGGAATATTTTGTTCATTTCAGGAAAATAATTTGGTCAGAATTTACAAATATCTATGAAGCTTAAATATACTATTCTTGATCGAATAATTGTAATAATTGAGTCTAACTTGTCGTCTGTTTTTTTCTAATATCAGACTTCGCACTCGATAATTAATTTTAAAAAAGTAGCAAAAAGTAGCTTTCAAAATTTACACAACTGACAAAAATTTCATTCTATATTTTATTTTCCTGAATTTTTCCTAATTTCCATCAAAAATACTTACTTTCTTTCTTATCCTACTAATAAATTAAATTTCTGTAACGAATTTTATTATTCATGAAAGAATTTAAATATTTATAAAAATAATTTAATTTTGGCGAGGAATTTTATACAAATTTTTAAATAATACATTTCTTTCGACTAATTTTATGCAAATTCCAATTATAAATAATTAAATTTTACAAAGAATTCTATTAACATTTTTTAGAATAATTAAATGTCTGTGTGGCGTTTGATTAAATTTTTTTGAAAATAATTGAATTCCTAGGAAATTTTTATTATTCATTAAAAGAATTGAATTCTTTACGAAGATTTTTACAACAAAATTTTTGAAAATAATTGAATTCTTGTGATGAATATTGATATTTATGAAAATAATTGAATTTTTATCGACATAATTAAATTCTTTCGTAGAATTTTTTATGTAAATAATTGAATTCTTTGAGAAGAATTTTTTATGTAAATTATTGAAATCTTGGAGAGAATTTTATTAAAATTAAAATTTTATTTACTTATTTATTAAAATTGAATTATTTAAAAAAAAATTTAATTAAAATTGTATTTAAAATAATTTATTTCTTTCGAACAATTCTAATATAATTGAAATTCTGCAATGCATTTTAACATTTAGGAAAATAATTGAATAGTTGCTAAGAATTTTATTAAAATTTTCAAAAATAATTGAATTCCTGAGAAGAATTTTATTATATATAAAAATAATTGAATTATTGTAAAAAAATTTATTAAAATGTTTAAAAAGAATTGAATTTCTGTAAAAAATTTTGTTATTTTTCAAAATAATTGAATTCTTACAAAGATTTTTACAAAATTATTTTTAAATAATTGAATTCTGTTTGGAAATTTTATGAAAATAGTTTTAGATATTGAAAATCATTGAATTGCGAAAAGTTTTTAAAAATAATTAAATATTACAAAGAATTCTATTAAAATCTTTCAGAATAATTGAATGTCTGTGTGGCATTTTATTAATTTCTTTTTAAAATAATTGAATTCCTAAAAAACATTTTATTATTTATGAAAATAATTGAATTCTTGTGAATGATTTTATTAGAATTTTTTTAAATAATTGAATTTCCAAGAAAGAATCCATTGCTTTTAAAAATAATTTAATTCTTGTGATGAATATTGTTATTTATGAAAATTGAATGTTATAAAGAATTTTATTAAAATGCCGCAAAATAATTGAATTTTCGGGAATAATTTTGTTTTTTTTTTATCGACAAAATTAAATTCTTTCGAAGAATTATTTGTGTAAATAATTGAATTCTTGGAAAGAATTTTATTAAAATCTAAAAGAATAATTTAATTATTTCAAAAAAATTTAATTTAAATTGTATATAAAATAATTGATTTCTTTCGAACAATTTTATTAAAATATGTATTTGAAAATAATTGAATTCTTGCTTGGAATTTTATTAAAATTTTCAAAAATAATATAATTCCAGTGAAAAATTTTGTTATTTTTGAAAATAATTTAATTCTTCATAAGAATTTTATAAACATTGTTTTAAATAATTAATTTTTTTTCAAAATATAATTTAAATATTATGAAAATTTTATTTTAAATATTTGAATTCTTGTGGAAAACTTTATTTGTGAAAATAATTGAATTTTTCGATTAATTAATTTAAAATGGTATTAAAAATAATTGAAATTCTTCGATAAGTTTTAAAATAAGAACAAATAATTGAATAATTGATATTTTAAAATAATTGAATTCTAGCTTGGAATTTTATCAAAAATATTTTTAAAAAATTGAATTTCTATGAAAAATGTTTTTATTAGTGAAAGTAATTGAATTATTGTGAAGAATTGCATACAAATTTTTGTTTAATAATTAATTTTTTCGAAATTTTTTTTGAAAATGCTATTCTAAATTAATTGAATTCCTGCAGAAATTTTTATTATTTATGAAAATAATTGTATCTTGGATGAATTTTTACCAATTTCTTTTTTTAAATAAGTGAATTGTTTTGCAACATTTTATGAAAATAATTGAATTTCGAATATTTTTCGGAAATAATTGAATCGATATAAAGTAGTGGAAATTCTCCAAAAAAAAACAGAAAATAGCTTTTAGTGGCTGAAATATTAAAAAAGTACTCAAATAGTATCATAACGTAAAAAAAGTAGTAAATAGTAGGTTTTAGTAGATGAGTGCAAAGCCTGTAAATATTGAAAACAAAAAATAGTTAAATGTTATTAAGAAAAAATTGCGAACATTATATAGTGAAAAGTAAAATTAAAAACTAAAAGAAAGAAACTTTTCTTACTTGGCTTTCGCGTGGGTTAAAATATGTGACTTCAGGTTCGTAGATTGAGCGAATTTTTTACTACATCCATCAAATGGACAAACGTAAGGCCTATCTCCGGTGTGTATTCTAACGTGTGTTCGAAGATTAAAGTCTAAACTGAACCTTTTACCACAACCTTCGAATGTGCATTGAAAAGGCTTTTCCCCTGTGTGCACCAATTGATGCCTTTTGAGTTTAGAACTCTCAACAAAGGCTTTTCCACATTCTGCACAAACATGAACTCGCGGTCCGTGTGTATGTAAATGCTTACGCATTGCACTATTATCGCGAAACATTTTCGTACATCCCTTATGGGGACATGCAATAGTGCGTTCAACTCCATCCATCATTTGTTGTTTGCGAATTTTCAATTTATGACCAGGACGAGCGAATTCGGCCAACTGCTTTGGATCAGAGAGATCGAGACCTGGCATTCCATCGGACACTGAACTTCCCGAGTGATTGAATTTACTGGAATTTTTCCCTGACATATATTCCGTGTAGTCCGGATCAGGCTCTGGATTAGAACCTTCATCTGTAATTTAGAGAAAGAAATCAACACTGTAAAGAATTATAATTATCCCTTTGAAAAATAAAATTCATGACCTTAAAGATTTGAACCTTTCAAATAAACGGAAATTATTTATTTCTTCTTCAAATTAAATTTTTATTACTTCGAACGGTGTATTTTTTGAAATACTTCGACTTATGGTATAAATAACAACTACAAACAAATATTTTGTGGTAAAAACACAAAAGTATCTAAAGTTAGTTTTTCTTCTCTTAAAAATTTAACTAGCAATCCAACTTTTTACTTCATTTTTTAAATAAAATTATCAATTTTAATAATTTATAGCAAAATACTTTTATAAGTTGTTTAATTTCAAAAAGGTTTGAATCTGGAATTTTTGAATGTCTTAATTCCTGTAGAAAAATAGTAACAATTAAATATTTATTTAAAAAATAAATTATGGATGTTTTTGAATAATTCTACATTTAAAGAAATTCGTAAAAATGTAACGGAATATTTTTTTGAGTAAAATTTTTTCCTTTATTTTCTAAAAATTCAAAAAATTTTCATTTTCAATAATATCGACATTTGAAAGAATTTTAATTTAATAATTGAAAAAATTGAATTTTACAAACAATTTTACATGAAATCGATTTTTTATAGAATTTTAATTTTATAAATTAAAAAATAATTGAATTTTTTAAGGATTTTCCAAAAAATTGAGTTTTGAAAGAATTTTAATTTCATAATTGAAAAATAATTGAATTTACCGAATAATTTTTTTTAAAAAATCGATTTTTTAATTGAAATATTCCAAAAAAAAGTTTCTGAAAATTTTTTTTTTCTAAGAATTTTAATTTAATAACTGAAAAATAATTTAATTTAAAAAAAATATTTCCAAAAAGTCGATTTTTGTAAACATTTTTATATAATGGTTGATAAATAATAGAATTTTAGAACAAAATTTTCAGTAAAATCGACATTTGAAAGAATTTTAATTTAATAATTGAAAACAATTGAATTTTACAAACAATTTTACATGAAATCGATTTTTTATAGAATTTTAATTTAATAAATTGAAAAGAAATTGAATTTTTTAAAGAATTTTCCAAAACATTGAGTTTTCAAAGAATTTTAATTTTATAATTGAAAAATAATTGAATTTAATAAATAATTTTCTTAAAAAATCGATTTTTTGAAGAATTTTAAGTTAATAGTTGAGAAATAATTGAAATTTTCCAAAATTAATTTCAAAAATGTTTGAATTTGGAATTTTGGAATGTCTTAATTCCTGTGGAAAAATAATAATAATTAAATATTTACTATTTCTTAATCATAATTGTTTAAAAAATTTTCTATTTTTTATAAATAAACAAGAGAAAAATTTGCATAATTTAGATCAGTCAATCCAAATTTGTTATTAAAAAAAGCATACAATAAACAAAATGGGTAAATTATTCATTTGTTAATCATCATTTTTTTAAAATTTTTCTAATTTTTAATGTTTTATTATGAATCATGAAAAAATATCTATTTTCAATTTGTCAAAACATTTTTTTTTTAAAGAAAAAAAAAGAAAAGAATACACAAAAACTAACTTCAGGTGTGGACAGAATGAAAGAATGAATTATAGGATTATTATAGTTAATAATTAATAATAATAATAATAGAAAAATTGTTTGAAATAAAATTTTTCACTACTAAATTAAATACTCACGTGTTTAAAACAATTTACTTCTCTTCATCCATGCGATTTAGTTTAAATATCTAAATTACCGTTAAATTATAGATTTTAATTTAAATTACTAACCAAAAGAAAAGAAAGACAATATTTTTGTCTATTTTTTGAATATTCAGAAATATTAAATACAAATGAGTTTAAAGGGCTCGATTAACGCTTCTACAATTACTTTTAAAGTCGACTTTGTTTCTATTGTTCCGTTCCTTAATGGCGAAGAGATCCATCAATTGAGAAGCCATTTTCAAAAGATGTCTGCTTTTTTGAATATTAAAAATGGCGTTTCACTAATCAAAACAAACACAAATTTTGAAGTTTAAAAACCTGGATTTAATATAGAGAAGTTTTTTAAAAATACAATTTCTTTGGATCTTTCCAAGCACTTGGGTACCATCCCTAATTTCTCAAGAGACCACACTGACAATAATTCTAAATTCAATTCATTCAGTTATACAAAAAGGAAAAAAAAAAGAAGAAAAAGAATGGAAAATAGAATTTAAAAACACATACCATCGTCTGTACCGGATGCCCACATTGTAACTGAAAATTCACCTTCCAGAGTCTTGATTTGCACTTGTTTCTGTTCCCATTTTCTCGTTTTAGTTTCCGATGCCATATCGCCGAAAATAGCGTGGTCAGGAGCTCGAAACCTTGTGTTACCTTGTTTCCTAGGCTTTTTAGTAACTTTTTTTGAGGGACCGGGACTTGATTCAACATAAATGTCGTTATCAGGAACGGGTATTTGGTCATAAACGCTTAAAGGATCACCACCGACAATTTCTTCCTGTGTCTGCAAAATGATTTCTTCCCGACCAGGCTCTGGAAGTGGCTGGAGTGCTATCATCGGTTGTCCATCATCACCTTCAATTGTCGTTTCAACTGTCTCGCACGGAATTTCTACGGGAATTGTTTCGATTTCTACTTCTTGAATGTCTGGCTGGATTTCAACTTCAGCTATTATGTCCGAAGACGCCATATTAATGTCGGCTGACGCCATATTACTAATCAAAATGGCTGGCCACAAATATTTGCTCTTTCAATGAAATAAACTGTTTAGTCATGAATAAAAAAGGCTTCATATGCTCAGGTAGATGAGAAACGTGATTATTAAAAAGGGAATACTCATTTTATTTTCCCACTAGAGGCAGAGATTGACCAATCAAATTTGTTTCTACCCTACTCTTTGTTGGGGTGGAAATCTAAAGGTTGGTTCACACCTTTTTTGCGCCAGCGTTGGGTTACTTGACTTAACAATTTTTTTTTAACTTGTGGGTCTTTTTGTATTGTAAAACATCCTTTAAAGCCCAATCACAGCTCAAGATAGAAAGAGAAAGAAATATATTCCTCTTCTTTTCTATCTAATGTTTCAGGCTTACGATTATGAACATCAAGAAATCTATTCTGCGTTGGCCTTTACCACACCAGTCTAGTTTCGCAAAATTAACTCCTGCACAGTATTAAAAAAACAATAATGATATTTATTTGAAACCCAGAATTGTTTAAATCAATTTTTTAAAAAGCATAAATTCACTTTGCTTTCGTTATGTGTGATCATTATTGGGAACCTTTGGCCGAAGTGTACATTACGAAACAGACTGAAGACCCTGACAGTTATATTTATTGTTTGTGTAGCAGAGTTTTTATCCGGTAAATTTTCTTTAGTTAACTAATTAATACTAATATTCTCTAAAAAAAATAGAACTCCTTGATAACTTTCAATATTTCTCATTAGAATTTTAATGTTCCTAATTGAAGCAAAATTAACACGGAATCAATGATGTCTGTATTTAAATTGTTAATTCTATTTTATGAAAGTCTTTATTAAATCAAGAGAAAAATATTAATAATGGAAAATACTTTTTAATTAAAAAGACGTTTTTTTAAATTTCAACAAAAAATATTCAGGTTTACTTTTTTTAGTCTTAGAAAATGACCCGAACTTAAAGGAATTAGACCATCTTTTGTACACATAAATCAGTACTTCTTAAGGTATTTAATACAAGTGATGTTTTTTTTTATTCCTGTAGAACTCCAGAGATAAATTCATTTCTTAATTCCGACGATGTGAGTGAAGGTGACGACTTTGAAACTGACTGCGTGGGTGAAATATTAAATGTGGAAAAAGTAATTCACATCGAAGCACAATCTTGTAATATTGAAAAACACGATGTAAGTTTATTTATTTTCAAAATGCAAATAGATTCGTTCAAATATAATATTTTTTTTGACGAAAATTAACTTTTAGAAAATTAGGTGAATGGTACTAATATATAAGTAACTAATCAATAAAAATACTAATAATAATAATTTAATCGAGATTTTCAGTTTCAATTTTAAGAATAGCAGACAGTTTTGAATATTCTAAAAAAAAAACAAACACATTACAGAATTTGTACATATTGACAACCACCAGGAATTCAACTAATTTAAAATAGCATTTTTAAAAAAATTTCGAAAAAATCAATTATTTAACCAAATTTTTATATAAATCTTTACAATAATTCAATTACTTTCACTAATAATAATATTTTTCATGAAAATTCAATTTTTTAAAAATATTTTTGTTAAATTTTTAAGCTAGAATTAAATTATTTTCATAAATAATAAAACTCATCGAAAAATTTCAATTATTTTTAATACTATTTTAAATTAATTAATCGAAAAATTCAATTATTTTCACACAAATAAAGTTTTCCACAAGAATTCAATTATTTAAAATAAAATTTTCATAATATTTATTATGTAAATTCAATTCTTTTTAAACATTTTAATAAAATTTTTCGCAATAATTCAATTATTTTCATAAATAATGACATTCTTCTCAGGAATTCAATTATTTTTGAAAATTTTAATAAAACTCTTTGCAACTGTTCAATTATTTCCATAAATAACAATATTCATCACAAGAATTAAATTATTTTTAAAAGCAATGAATTCTTTGTAATATTTAATTAATTTTAAAAACTTTTCACAATTCAATGACTTTCAATATCTAAAACTACTTTCATTAAATTTCCAAACAGAATTTAATTATTTAAAAAAAAAATTGTAAAAATCTTTGTAAGAATTCAATTCTTTTCCTGAATAATAAAAGTCTCCCAGGAATTCAATTATTTTGAAAAATAACAAAATTTTTCACAGAAATTCAATTCGTTTTAAACATTTTAATAAATTTTTTTACAATAATTAAATTATTATATTATTATTTTCATATATATAATAAAATTCTTCTCAGAAATTCAATTATTTTTAAAAAATTTAATAAAACTCTTTGCAACTGTTCAATTATTTTCATAAATAATAAAGTTCATCGTAGGATTTCAATTACTTTTAATACAATTTTACAGGAATTGCTCAAAGAATGTAATTATTCTTAAAAATAGAATTTCAATTCCTCGAAAAAATCAATTATTAAAAAAATTTTTTTTTAATTCTTTGGAACAATCCAGTTATTTACAAAAATATTAGAATTGTTGGGAAGAAATAAATTATTTTAAATAAAATTTTAATTAAATTCTTTTAAAATAATTCAACTTTAATAAATAAGTACCTAAATAAAATTTTAAATTAATTTTAATAAAATTCTCTCCAAAAATTCAATTATTTACATAAATTCTTCGAAAGAATTAAATTATGTCGATAAAAATTCAATTATTTTCATAAATAACAATATTCATCACAAGAATTCAATTATTTTTAAAAGTAATAAATCTTTTCTTGGAAATTCAATTATTTTTAAAAATTTATAATAAAATCGTTCGTAAGAATTCAATTATTTTCATAAATAATAAAATTCTTTTTAGGAATTCAATTATTTCCAAAAAAATTTAATAATGCTACACAGACATTCAATTGTTTTCAAAATTTTTTTTTTTAAATCTTCGTGAAGAATTCAATTTTTTTAATGAATAATTAAAATTTTCTAGGAATTCAATTATTTTCAAAAAAAGTTAATAAAATTCCACACAGACATTCAATTATTCTAAAAAATTTTAATAGAAATCTTTGTAAAATTTATTTACTTATTTAATTATTTATAATTGGAATTTGCATAAAATTAGTGGAGAGAAATGAATTATTTAACAATTTGTATAAAATTCTTCGCAAGAATTAAATTATTTTTATAAATATTATAAAAAAAATTTTTAAATTTGTAAATTCGTTGTTTGAATTCAATTTATTAGCAGGATAAGAAAGAAGTTAATATTTTTTTATAAAAATGAGGAGAAAGACAGGAAAATAAATAATATGGAATCGAATGGAATTGTTGTCAGTTTTGTAAAGTGTCTAAAGCGATTTTTTTTGTCGTCAATTAAATTTTTTTTTAATTTTTAATCTTTTTTAAAATTAATTATCGAGTACGAAAAGTCTGAATTAGCAGAAACAGAACAAAATAATATCAAAGTGCTTGAACATGAACTGAAATTGAAAAAAAGGATTTTCAATATTTTTTTTGTCCCTATTAGGAGGAACCAGTAAGTTGTTATTGCAGTGCATCACATACTGATAATAATTATTCAACCGACGAACATGATTCAATTCGTGACTCGGCCAATCGACAACCAACATTATCATTTACACAGAAACTTGGTCTTCATCAATCCGACTCTGGTGCAGATTTATCAGAATATCAAGATCAACAAGAAGTGAAAAATATTCAGAGTCTCTTTGAATCATACAAAAAATCTCTAGGCACAACTGAAGAATCATTAAATAAATCCGATCAAGATATTCTCATAAAAAATAAAACAATAATTAGCTCAGAGAAAGTGCACAATGAGAATAAAAATATTCCATTAACCGAAAATAGCAAAACAAATCCCTTTATTGGAAAGAACGAAAATATTCCTATTATCGAAAAGAATGAAATTTCCTTCAAACAAACAATTACTTTACTCGAAAAAAAGAAGGGAGAGACACAAACAATTGTTGAGAATAGTGAAAATATTTCAGTAATTAAAACAAATTCGGAAAATGGAATAATTGAAGAAGTGAAATTTAAGAGAAATAATTTTGACGAATCTGAAGAATGGAATTTCCTTCAGGAATCACTTAGTAAAAATAAAATTGAATTAGCTTGGGAAAGATATTGGTCCAAGTGTGGTGAATGTATCATATGGGCATCGTGGTTAGAGAAATATGCGAATTACATTAATCCTGAATATTTACCAGGAAATTCTCGCGCTGCAGAGAATACGGACGAAAAGGAGCAACAGCAGTTATCGGAAAAATTTCTCGAACAAAATACCTGCTTTCCAAGTGAAGCTCATCGAAATTGTGTAATTGGTCGTTCGAATTTCGAGGGGATTTTCGGTAAATCCGATATAATACACGAAAGAATTCACGATACATCGAAAAATGGTAATTTTTCATTCGACAACACTCAGAAACAGGAAGTAAATGAAAGAGAAGCCGAAGATAATAGAAAGAGAATAGGAAATCAATTGTCACCTGAAGCTGGTGAAGGATGGAATCCCCTAAGTCCATTTAGTGTCGAGGACAGTTATTTACCGTCAAATGCCGAAGATGAAAAACTTATAACAAAATGTGATTCCATCAGTGGTTCCATAACCCGAACAAATGCAACTTCCGATTCAATGACAAATGTCACGAAAATGACATTGACAAGTTCAAGTTGTGATTCCGCCTCTACGCAATCGTCGAGTCTCGTGAGTTCAACAATGAGTTCCAATGAGAGTAACGTGACAAGTAGCAGTTCAGATGTTGGCAATGAATACACCACAGTCGAGGATAATGATAAATATTGGCAGGAATTGTGGAAAGAAAATTTTCAAGAGCAATACAAGAATCATTATGAGAAATTTATCAAAGAATCTGTCGTGAAATTTGCGGAAGTGAATGTTGATGATAAAGATAAAGTGACGAAGGAAATAAAGCCTGATGAAATTGAGATTAAGTCCGAGGAGATTGTTGTTGAAAAAGTCACTTCGGGTAAAAAGAAAATGATTATGGAATCCGTTGGTATGCTTATGCAAAATTTAACAATGAGTTGCGAGCCAAATTCTGATGAAAATTGCTTGGAAATAATTGTCGATGATAATGAGGAAAATGGTGAAAATTTTCTTCATCACACAACTGAGTCTGATGTTGCAGTTTGCAACATTGAAAGTAAAATAAATAATTCGTTAAAGCATAATGAAGTTAGAGAAATGGAAAGCGAGGAAAAGCCAATTACACTTAAGCGCAGGTATTACATTTCTTTAATTTCATTCAATATTTTTTCGATATATTTTTTTTGCTTCCATATCAGACAGATTTTTCAAAATTACTTATTATTTAAGGAGGAACAATGTCTGATAAAATAAAAGTTATAAATTTATAATTTCTATAGAAACGACAGAAAATAGAATTTTAAATTTATCTTTTCTGTATAAAACGTATAGAATAAAAAATAACATTGAAGTAACCTTTTGTTTCGTTTCTTTGTTGTACTTCTTAACGTTCAATATTGACTGATATTCTAAAATGATTTTATTTTAAATCATTAAAATCATTAAAATTTTTAAAATAGAAAATTAATTTTATCGACATTGAAAAGTTTGAATAATTAATTTATAAAAATAATGTTTGTTTCAGCCATGAAGCAGATGACGTTGGAGAAGGACTAGAGACTGTGAAAAAAGCATTTTTATTGATGGGATATACTTTTAACGAGGAGCACAAGAAAAATAAACTCCAAGGAGAAGTGATTTACAAGAAGAAGAATATTAGATTGCAAAATAGACAATTAAAAATGAAACTTTCACGACCCAAACCACTTAATAAACATATTTATTTCAATGACAATGGCGAGGAAATTACAAATACACCCAGTGAGGTAAATATTTCAAATTATTGTTTCTGACACTTTCACCTTAATTTCAAGTTTCTATTGAATTATTTTTACTAAAATTATTTTTTATTGAATATTTTTGATGTAATGTAGATTATTTCTATTTCTGACAATAATTTCTTTTTAAAAAACTTAATTCTTGAAGAGCTACCATAAAAATATTGCTTATAAATTATTTAATGCATAATTTTACATTTAAATATTTTGGAATTAATTGAATTTTAAAAGAGATCCGTTTAATTTTCATAAAATTTTATAAAATTTCAATTTTCAATGAATTTAATTAGAAATTTTAAAGAACTTAGATTTTTGAAAAATTTTGATAATTCAAATTCTTCTGAAATTAGTTAAATTTTTTAATATATATATTTAATTAATTATTAAAAATAATGGATTTATAGAAGAATTTTAGTTAAAAACACAAAAAATAATTTAATTTTGAAACAGTTTCAAATTATTGCAGCAATAATTCAACTATTTTCATAAATAATAAAATTCTTCGCATAAATTCAATTATTTAAAATTTTTTTTAAATTCTCGTCAAAATTTCAATTATCTTTTTAGATAATAAAATTCGTCTCTGAAATTCAATTATTTTCAAAAAAAATTATTTAAATTCAATTATTTTCGACAATTTTGATAAAATTCTTTTTTAAAAAAATCATTATTTTCAAAATTTTTAATAAAATTCCTTCAAAAAGTTCAATTATTTTCAAAAATTTAGATAAAATTCTTTGAAGCAATTGAATTATTTTTATGAATTGTAAAATTCTCTGCAATAAATTAAATTATTTTCATAAATAAGAAAATTCTTCGCAAGAATTAAAATATTAACATAAATATTAAAATTCTTTAAAGGAATTCAATTATTTTCATAAATAATAAAATTTCTCGAAACAATTCAATTATTTTTATAAATTGTAAAATTCTCGTCAAAATTTTAATTATCTTTATAGATAATAAAATTCTTCTACGGAATTCAATTATTTGTACAATTTTGCAGGAATTTAATTGTTTTAAAGAATTTTTAATAAAATTCCTCGAAAAAATTCAATTATTTTCAAAAATTTTAATTAAATACTTGGCAATATTTCAATTATTTTTAGGAATTCAATTATTTTCATAAATAATAAAAATTTTCGTAGAATTTCAATTACTTTGAAAAATTTTTGATAAACTTATTTATGATAATTGAATTATTTTCATAATAAATAAAATTTTCGCAGAAATTTAATGAATTTAATGAATTTTAATAAAATTCTTCACAAAAAAATTATAATTTTGAAAAATTTCAATGATAGTCATTATAAGAAAAAATTTTAATTAAATACTATGAAAAAATTTAATTCTTTTCCTAAACAATAAAATTCTTCGTAGAAATTAAATTATTTTGAAAAATTTTGGTAAAACTCTTTGTAAGAATTCACTTATTTTTAATAAAATTGTAATAACATTTTTACTAAGATTTCAATTATTTTCATAATTAATAAAAATTCTTAAAAAATTTTTAATTATTTAAAAAATGTTAATTACAACAATTTTTCGCAGAAATTTTAAATTATTTTCAATAAAATTTCTTGATAGAATTCAATTAATTTTTTAATTCGTTAAGCAAACATTAAATTATTTTCATAAATAATAAAAATTTTACGGGAATTAAACTAGGATTTAGAAATTTTTTATAAATTTTTTCGCAATAATTAAATTATTTTCATAAATAATAAAACTTATCATAGAAGTTCAATTATTATTTTTAATACAATTCTAGCCGAATTTCTCGAAAAGTGTAATTATTCTTGAAAATTTTATTAAAATTCCTCGAAAAAATTCAATTATTTGAAAATTTGTTGATAAATTAAATTAATTAATTAATTATGAATTTTTAGAAATAAATGAATTTTAAAAAAATGTAATTAAATTTTTTTTTTTAATTATTTCAAGTTTTTATTTTCTAAATATTTAATTGAAGAATTCCCGAATAATCAAAATTTCGTAAAATTGAATTGTAAACAAATTGATTGGAAAATTCTCTAAAAAATTTTTCAAAAATTATTAAAAATAATTGATAATTGTTAATTTATTTATTTCGGAAAATGCGGTTAAAACTGTATTATAAAAATAATTGAAATCTTGTGAAGTATTTTATTATTTAGAAAATAATTGAAATCTTGTAACGAATTTTTATTACATTTTTTTTAATAATTGAAATCCTATGAAGAATATTATTATTTATGAAAATAATTGAATTCTTGCAACGAATTTTATTACATTTTTCAAAAATAATTGAATTCTTTTGAGAAATTTTATTAAAATTGTCGATTTTAAAAATATTTAAATTTCAGGGAAGAATTTTATTATTTTTGCGAAATGTAATTGAATTCTTGCATAAAATTTTTGGAATTCATTAAAAATAATTAAATTGATGTGAAAAATTGTATTACTTGTAAAAAAATTGAATTTTTGCGAAGGATTTTATTAAAATTTGTGTAAATAATTAAAATTTTATGGAAATTTGAATTATTATAAAACATGAAGATATGGATGACTCCGAGTCGAAGACTTCTGAGTCATCGATATCTTTCATGTTTTAAAATAATGTTCCTAATAGTTATTGAATTTCAAAAAGGTTTGAATTTGAATGTTTTGTAGAATTTTAGTTCCTACAGAAAAATAATAATGATTAAATATTTATTAAAAAAGAAGTTATTGATGTTTTCGAATAATTTTACAGTTAAAAAAATTTGAAACTAAATGTATTTCAAAATTTTGTTGAGTACCTAATAATTTTTAGAGTGAATCAGAATATTCTTTAGGGTCATGGAAAAACTCACAATTTTGTCTGGAAATCGAGAAAAGGAAAAGTAAATTTTCATCGCAACCTTGATATCTTTTCTATATTTCAGATTAAGGCTGAAGTGGAACTACAATCCTCAGAGAAAGAATTTTTATCAAACGTCCAATTTACTTCAAGTTCCGACGAAGAATGTGAATCGATACATAAATCGAAATTAAATTCAAAACGAATTCTTATTAATAATAAATCGTCTACAACTATCGATGCAAAATTAAATAGACAAGAAATTAGTGATAACAATACATTCAGTATTGAAGTAAATGAGGATGTGAAAATTTTAAATACAGATTTAATTTCTGATATTAAAGAAATATGCAATGATAAAATTCCAATGGAGGAAGATCCAAAAGTTTATCAGGAAAATATTTTAGTTTCAAAAACACAGAAGAAGAAGAAACGAAAGCAAAATAAAAGAAATAATTTACCAGCAGAAGTTGACGGTGATTCAACACTCATGAAATATTGGGTTAAAAGATATCGATTATTTTCTAAATTCGATCTAGGAATAAAATTAGATAGAGGTGAGAGAAAAAAATGTTTTATTGTAGATTTTAAATTTTTGTTATGAATTGTATTTTTAATTTTTTGAAAAATGTTCCTTTTTGAATAGAAAGTTGGTTTTCCGTCACTCCTGAGAAAATAGCACAACATATCGCAGAAAAATGTAAATGTGATACAATTATAGATGCATTTTGTGGCGCTGGTGGAAATTCCATACAATTTGCATTAACTTGCGAAAAAGGTGAGTTTTTCTACTATATTTTTATGTTATTTATTGTAAATTCTATTTAGTTTATAATTTTTTGATTTATATTTTCAGTTTTGGCGATAGATATCGATCCGTTAAAAATAGAATTAGCTCGAAATAATGCTAGAATTTATGGCGTGGAGGATAGAATAGAATTTATCGTTGGAGATTTCTTTCAATTAGCATCGAATTTATTTGCTGATGTGGTGTTTCTAAGTCCCCCATGGGGAGGGCCGAGTTATGCCAAAAATGACACTTTTGATCTTAACAATATCATGTATCCAAAAGGTGGAATTGAACTATTTAATGTAGCCAAACAAATTTCCAATCATATTGCATATTTTCTTCCTAGAAACGTTGATACTATGCAAGTACGTATTAAATTATTGAATAAAAATTGAATTAAAAATTTGTAAAGAATTATTGAAAAAATTAAATAAGAATAGTTATTCTTATTTAATTTTTTTCAATAATTCTTTAAAATTTATAAAGTTGTAGTATAAAAGTAACAATATTTTTTCTTTTAAGCTCGCAATGTTGGCTGGAATTGGATCTGCGGTTGAAATCGAACAAAACTTTTTGGATAGAAAACTGATAGCCTTGACAGCTTATTATGGAGAACTTCCTCAAGACTGCTGACATGAATTCCCTACTCTTAGTAATATATAAAGTTAAATTGCCATTTCACTGTCCATTTGACTAAATGTAAATAATGGTTTAAAAATAATAATTTTTGTCTGTGACGTAAAGAATTGTAGTGATATTACGATTATTATCCATAGTGTAATCGAAAAGCTTCGTTTAAAGTGTAATTTTAAATGACTAAAAACCGAAACGAACTTTATAAAATTAATTCTAATTCTTAATTGATTTGAATTATATATCAATTTCCATAATTGTTACGTAATTATGTTCGCAAATGAGTGTATCTTTTTTTTTAAATTAAATTTTGCTAATATTTTGTAATTATATTATTTACAATTTTGACGGGAACAACTTTTAAATATCGTGCATTTTTGTAAAATAGAAAAATAAAGTTTTTTTTTCTAATTTAATTTTTGAAAAACATTTAATTTCACTATGGGCAAAAAAATGTGTTTTTTTTTAAATACAGAGAGTCATCGAATAAAAACATCTAAACTATATTCAACAATTTTATACATTTATTTTACAAAAAGGGTAAGAGTTTGTTTTTACATAAACTTTCCAAGCACGCGTATTTTAAATATTTACATAAATGTTTGTTAATTTCTCATACATACAATACATATAATAAAAAAAATATATATTCAACTGAAATATTCACTTTTTTCAGATTTAAATAAAATATTCTTTAGTTCTATAAACATATTTTATGAAAAATATTTCTAATAATAAAAAATGAAATCGTTGTTAAAACATTCAATTTCTTAGCGAAAAAATTTAAATCTACTCTTTATATATAAATTTTCTAAAAACTTTACAATAAAACTTAGTGTATATTTTATTTATAATAAAAATTGCGCACAATAGTTCTTTTTATAAGTATTGATAAAAAAAACAAATTCTGAGCATGACAAAAAAAAATCAGTAAAATTGTTAAAAAGAATTTTCAAAATACAGTTTTTAAAATTACTACTTACTTTTTTTTGTTATTATTATTTTTTTTTAAATAATTTTTATTTATATTTCATTGCATTTTATGTGGATACAACATAAGTGTATCACTTTTTTTTTATATTACAATTTATTATTTGGTTTTTATTAAAACCGTATTTTAAATTATTTTCTAATAAGAAGGTTATTTTGGTTTCTTTTTCTTTTCTTTTTCAATACTGATTTCTTTTATACATGGCGCCATGTAAAAAGAAATTAAAAAAAATACAAAAGAAATAATTATAAACTTGAAAAAGAATTCTAGAGTTCGAAACTAAGATATTAAATCAAAATAACCTTCTTGTTGGAAAATAAATTCAATTTAGTGTTCTTATAAAAAGAACTAATAACAAGATGTCGTATTCTAAACAAATATTGTTAATTCTCCTCATTGTTATTAGGATTTATACAGGAGGAAGTCTTTCAAAGTCTTCGGTAAAGGAAGAGAATTAACTGCAGTTCTTTGCGTATACTGTAAAATGGCATCTCGACAGGCACCTTGCAAGGTAGATACTAAAACACATTTTATTATCAAGTTAAAAGAATTTCTTTAAATGATAATTACAGGGAAAAAAGGAATATTTATTCTAAAAATAGAAAAGAAAAGAAAGACATAAACCATTTACTTACATCCATAAAGTTGAACTATTCTCACTTGCTTCGTTGTACCGTAAACATCAACTATCGCATGCAAAGGTCCGGCTTTGTAAGGAATGTCTTTTTGACAAACTCCCTGATCTTCTCCATTTATAATAAAATGCATTTCAGCTTTATCTGAACCAGCCTGTGGTACATACATAACACCTATACGACTTCCTGTATCCGTTGGAAGAATATTTTGTGAACAACCCACAGTATTTGGTCTAAAAAGTAAAGAATCATTTTTATTTACGAAAGTTGATGAATGTCAAATTAATAATTTAATTTCAGGTATCACAGTACTTTTTTTCCTCAAAAAAGAGGAATTTTTTTTCCTCAAAAAGGGGATAAAAAGGATACTTTGAAAAAGATTTCAAAAAAAGAAAAACTTGTTTATTTTTTATTAGAAAAAGGGACAAATCAGCAAAAAAAAAGGGGAAAAAGGTGACAAATTGTCAAAAAAGGTGATAAAATTCGAATAAGGGGACGAAAGGAGAAAAGGAAACCAACTGTGATGCCTGTAATTTTAGAAGAAAACGAATTTGAAATACAATAATTACCGAAGAGCACTGTAAGGTATAATACCGCGAGAAGTATGTACATTCACACCATCAGTAACGAGCTTCTTTTCTCTTGCTGGAATTCCATTACCTGTTGAAGGAACTATCTATTACAAAGGCAAGGATATTTTTCAAGCCCCACTATACTTGTCCCCCTTTAGTTATTTATATTAAAATATCAACGATTTCAAAGAAACTTTTAATTTGATTTGAACAAAATGCAAATTTTAGTCTTTTGTCAATAAATTATCTTGTATTTACATTTTGTAAGAACTTAACTTTTTTTAGAAGATAAGAAATGATTAACATAAAAATTTCTCACCGTACGTAGTTCCTCCAATGCCTTCGAAACTATCCCAAATACTTCGACTTTTTGTAATCGCAAAAACCCAACTTTGACCTGATTTCACCAAATTTGGTACAGCCCATTGTGGTAAACCTACCACATCCTCCATAGTTATATCCATTTGCGTTAAACCCAATCTCATATGACCGCTCCATCCTCTCTCATCTTTTTCAATTTCAAGTAAAAAAATCTCACCCGGTTGAAGCGGCTTTTCGCTAAATGTCAGTGCATTCGCAAAACTTGCTTTTCGAAATGCCACCGTATTATCGTCGCACAATACAATATTTTCACCATGTTTTGGATGAAATCGAGTTATTATTTTCTTTGACTTTTCTGACATGATTAAACTTACCCACTAAAAAGATTAGTTACAACTAATCATAAATCTATGAAATTGTTTTCTTTTCCAAATTTATACAATTTATACGATTTATACTTTTAGGAAACTTCATTTGAGGTTATAAAAAAATAACTTTCAACTTTTAAGTATATATTTAAATTCAATCACTTATTAATTATTACCATTTTTCAAACAAGAATATTAACATTTAAACTATTAATATTCTTCATTCTTAAGCACTTGTAATATTGTTAAATTACCAATTTTTAATAAAAGGTAATTTAATAAATTTTTGTAAAAAAAAAGTTTTCTTTGGGGTTGGACAGTTTTCTTTCTTTACATATTGCAAGGTTGGGAAATTTATACTTTATTTATAATAACAAGGTTGAGTAGTTGAAAAACGGTTGGACGCCTGTTAATGATCATCCACATTGCACTTAATTCTAAGGCTGGAGTCCCATGCCAGCGTTTTGCGTTGCGTTTTGTAACTAGGCCATGAGTGTGAGAGAGATACAGATATATGTTTGCTTTATTTGCACTCATTGCCTAGTTACAAAACGCAACGCAAAACGGTACCATGGGACTCCAGCCTAAAGGTGCAATCCCACTGTGGACTGTGAGAGCCGAATTATATTTTTTTTTATGCAAAACCGATATTCGGAATCGGTTGCATCTTCCTTATAAAGTTTAAACAATTATAATGAAAAAAATTAGGTTATGTTAAAGGCTAAAGCACAATAAATTCGCGAACGAGATGCATGAGATAGAAAAGGACATAAAGATATCTCTGTCCTTTTCTAACTCGTTCGCGAAGCACCTTTAAATTTAATATTCGAATAAAGGCGCTTGCACACTTCCAAAATTTTGGGCGAGCAGCGAATTTTCATGGCCTTGAAACTCACATTACTAAATATGATTGGCTCTACAAAAAGCTGCGAGAAAATGTACTTTTGTCAGAGCCAATCATATTTAGTAATGTGCATTTCAAGGTCGTGAAAATTCGCTGCTCGTCTAAAAATTTGGAAGTGTGCAAGCGCCTTAATAATGAAAATAAATTCGTAAAGTTAGCGATTTTACAATTGTGAATTCGACGTAATAGTCATTATGCTCTTTTCATTTTGAGACAAATGTATGCATCCTCTCCCCCTCCTGAAATACGACACTTGTCCAGTTGTAAACTAACCTTTAGAGCTATGAACGTAGCTTAAAAATGCTGCTCTTGTTGATTGTCGTCTTATTCGTTTCATGGTCATTGTGCATAGCAGTAAATCTATCGGTATAATTAATTATTTGTAGATTACGTAAATTTATTCAATTTATAAAAACTCATCTAAAACTTTGCAGTGAAACCTTAGTATCACAACAAATACTTTATATAACAGTATTTGTATACAGATATAATAGAAATTTTGAGCGTGCGTGTTTGTATTTGGTCGATGAACAGCGGCATTTTTCATGGCGTCGGTGTTGATAAAAGCGTAGAATTCTTTCGTGAATCAAATCAGTTTTGATGTGCTTGTTTTCGAAAAAAAAAGTTTTATTCTCATCAATCGTTAATAAAGTTATGATTTTTTATCTACTTTAAGAAAAAGCCATTGTATATTTTCTTCAAGAAGGAATTAATAGCAAGGTACAAATCAATTATTTTGCCGCATCCATCGCATTTTTAGCTAACATTTGCATTTTTTACTAACCGATTTTGAAAAAAAGAGAATAAAAAAATATAAATATTATTCAATAAGTTTTTAAAGTTTTGTAATCTACATCGTATGCGTGCAATGGGTAAAACGCCAAAGAAGGTTGCCCCTGGAGGCGATGAGAGCGATGTGCAGGTTCGAAGGTTAAAAGCGACAAATGTATCTTCAAATTCAAGCGAGGACGGAGAGTGTGAATCCGAGATACCGACCAGGTTTGTAATTTACTTAGTCTAATGAGTCTGTTCGTAAAAAAGCCTAATTCAGTTTTGCCTCAAGTTATTTTAGAATTTTTATTAAAATTTCAACCACAAATTTCCTTAGAATAGGGTTGCTGCTCAAATTTTCATTGGAAAAAAATAATTTCTTTGAAAGGGAATAAAACTTACAAATTATTTTTTACACGCATTTTTCAAAGTTCAAAATTTGTTTTCTATGATTAGGCATATCTATGAATCTTTTTTATCAAAGATAAAATTTTGTCTCGAATTAAAAACTAAATGGTTGTGGCAATCCTAATTTAATTTTAATTGTTTTATTTTTATAAAAGACATTTTAGAAAAATGTTCAATTACGTAACAGTCGATTTTTTATCTTTAAATTTAGACATAATGGTCTTTTCGGGATCTTTGATTTTTTAATAGGATCGACTTAAAAAAATTTCTTAAATTTGATATTATAATTACTTTAATACAATTGTAATTTAGGCTAAAACTGACTCATTGACTAAACCTGTCAGCAATGAGAGAAATATAAGAATTTCAATTTTTGTTCAAAAGAAAAAAATTTTATTTAAAAAGTAGATTTTTATTTGATTTAGAAAATAGAACAGGGTTGCCACGCAACTTGGAAACCTGGAAATGTCAAGGAATATTTGAAAATCTTAATTCTTACGGAAAAATTATAATGACTAAATATTTTTTTTTTATTTAAAAAAGATAAATATAACAATGCGGAATACAGTATTATATGAAAGTTCCACGTATTTGTAAAAATTTATTGAAATTATTTAATTTTGTAAAATATAAATGTAATTTTAAAAACCTGGAAAAATTCCGTTTTTTAACTTGAAAAACTTGTAAAAGTCAGGGAATTTGAAATGAGCAAAAGCGTGGCAACCCTGTAGAAGTATTTAATAAAATATATCTAAGCTTATTCGATAGATTTGAGGAATTATTTCAATTCAAAATTATATTTTTTATTAATTGAGCAAAATTGGGATAAATTATTTTTTTTTTGAAAAATATTTTATTTTTTTTAATATTCTGTTTGTGAATAGAAATCTTCTCAAGTGTTATTATAATTGTAGAGTACACGAGAAGATCTATTCAGAAACAAAAAAAACTGATTTTCTTTTTTTAATGAGTTAATTTTTATCTGAAATACATTTTTCTGCCTGTACTTTATGAAACCTCTCATCACCTCCAGTAAAAGTCGTTTATGAAGTATTAAATTGAAATCGAAATATTACTGGGATTGATAACTATTTCTATAGGCATTATTAGATCTTTTTTCTTTTCGAAAAATGTTTATTTCTACAAATTAAAATTATAATTTTTTCTTTGTTTTAGGCAAAAATTGAGTGGAGTTGATAAAGGAGGAAGTGTATCAAAAAAGGAATTTAAAGTAAATAGATTTTATTTTACATTTATTTGATTATTTGAAAATTTCAGGCATCACAGTAGGTCCCCTTTTCCTCTCTTGTCTCCTTCATTCAACAGAATGCAGACCTCAAGAAAAATAATTAATTAACATTCAAATGATTAAAATATTATTATCAATAGATTTTTCTATAAAAAATCAAAAATTCTAATAAAAAAACCTTCAATTTTTTCCATTTCTGACAATAATTCTTTTTTAAATAACTCAATTCTTGAAGAACTATCATAAAATTATAACTTTGAAATTATCTAATTATTTTGTTTATACTTTTCAAAATTAATTGAATTTTAAAACAGTTTCGTTTAAAATTTTCATAAACAGATGAACTTGAAAAGATTTTAATTTTAAATTTTATAAAATTTCAATTTTGAATGATTTTCATTAAAAATTCTAAAGAACTTAAATTTTTGCAAAAATGTTCAAAATTTAAATAATTCTATAATTAGCTAAATTTTGTTATATTTATATTAAATTAATTATTAAAAATAATGAATTTATCGAGGAATTTAAGTTAAAAATACTAAAAAAAAATTGAATGTTGAAGAAGTTTCAAATAATTGCAAAAATTCAATTATTTTAAAAAATAATAAAATTCTTCGTAGAAATCCAATTATATTAAAAAATTTAAAGAAATTCTCGTCAAAATTTCAATTCTCTTTATAAATAATCAAATTCTTCTTCGAAATTCAATTATTTTTAAATATTTTCATAAAATTCTTGGCAAATTTTAAATATTTTAATGAAATTCTTTGCAAAATTTCAATTATTTCCAAAAATTTTCCTAAATTCAATGATATTCAATATCTACTATTTTAATAAAATTTTCCAAAAGAATTCAATTAATTAGAAAAATATTTATTAAAATTCTTTGCAAACGTTTAATTATTTTTATAAATAATAAAATAATTTCAAAAGAATTCTATTATTTACAAATTTTTTTTTAATTTCTTCGCAATAATTTTATTATTTTTATAAATAATCAATCTCATCGCAGAATTTCAATTATTTTTAGTATAATTTTAATCAAATATCTCTAAAAATGTAATTATTTTAAAAAATTTTATTAAAATTCGTCAAATGAATTCAATTATTTAAAAATTTGTTGATAAAATTCTTTATGAGAATTCAATTTCAAGAGACGTTCAATTATTCAATAAATTATTTTATTTTGTATTTAAATAAATGAATTCTCATAGAATTTTTTAATAAAAATTAATTTAAAAATGACTTTTAGTTAAAATTTTAGATAGTAATTGAATATTAAAAGCATTTATAAGCGAGAATTGTTAGAAATAAATGAATTTTGAAAAAGTTTTAAATTGAAATCTTTGAAAATCTGAATTTTTCACATTTTTAACTAACAATTCTGTAGAATTAATTTTTTCAAAAAGTTTTATTGAAATTATTTGAAGTTTTTATTTTCAAATATATATTTAATTGAAGAATTTCCGAATAATCGATGAAATTTCGTAAAATTGAATTGTAAACAAATACATTTGAAAATTCTCAAAAATTTTTTTAAAATTATTGTAAATAATTGATTTAAATAAATGTTCTATTACATTTATTTACGAATTTCTTCAAATGTAACTTCTTTAAATAATTGATTTAAAGAAGAATTGTAGTTAAAAATTCGAGAAAATAATAATTGAATTGAAATGATGGAAATAATTTTGAAGAAGTTGGAGTAAAAATATTTTTTATAGTAGAAAATAATGATTTTATCATTCGGCCATCTTTAATTATTATAAAACATGAAGAAAGTGTTTTTTCATGTTTTATAATAATATTCTCATGAATTGTTGAATTTCAAAAAGATTTGAATTTGAATGTTTTGAAAATCTTAATTCCTAAGGAAAAATAATAATGATTAAATATTTTTTTAAAAAAGAAGTTATTGCTGTTTTCGAATAATTTTACAGTTAAATAAATTCATAAATAAATGTAATAGAACATTTTTTTGAGTATCTAATCATTTTTAGACTGAATCGCAGAATATTCTTTAGAGAAAAAGTCAAAATTTTGTCTTGAAATCAGGGAAATGTCAAGGAAGAACAAAATTAAATTTTTGTTGTAACTCTGATTAAAATTGCATCATTTTTAAAAAATTTTATGGAAGCTATATGATAAAAAATTCGAATTTGAAATTTTGAATTGAATTTGAATTCGAAATTTTGAATTGAATTTGAAATTTGAATTCTATATGCAAGTTGTATAAACAAATCAAGTTTTATCCCCTTTTTGTCCCGTTTTTGATTTTTGAATTCCCCTTTTCATGATGCCTGAAATTTACTAATTATACCTAATATTGTATTTTAATTTTCTAAAACTTTTTTTTTACAAATGATTTTTAATTTTTAGAGTAAATTGCCAGCACCGAAAGTTACAACTCGTTCCTTGCAGAGTGCAAAGAAATTGGACAAGGTTGTAAAAATGCAGTCTGAAGCAGAAGAAGCAAAATTGCAACAAAAAACTCCAAAAGAAGATGTTAAATCGAGATCTAAATCAAACGATCCCGAAGTTATTGTCGAACTTGTGACAGAAACCCCACAAACAAAAAAAACTTCAGACACCAATCAAGAGGACTCATCGACTCCAAAAATGGCTGAAAACGGATTTAAAGACGAAAATAAAAATGGACACAACGAAAATACCGATGTAGAACAATCTCCCGATTTTGAAGTCTCCCAAAATGGAAAACACGAAGATGATAATATGAAATTGATAGTAAGCGAGGATTTAGATGAGGTGAATAAAATCGATGACGTGAAAAAGGACCAAATTAAAGAATCTTCAACAGATGTCGAAACAAATATTGTCGAATCTACAACAACAGAAATACCCGATATGTCCGAGCAAACATCCGACATGAAAGATAAGGATAAATCCAACGAAACTGCAAATCAAGAGAATCCATGTGTATCCTACGATAGTTCCATAACGTTAAAGAATATTCAAATAAAACTCAACGATTGTCTAAAGGATAATTCGAAATCAGAAGAAAATCGCGAACAGAGCGTTGAAGCTGCATATAAAGATCTTTCATTTGGAAAGACATTGCGAACAATTTCCGGAAGACGTTCATTGAGCCGTCTACGACACGTGACTCTTCGTGAACACAACCGAATGTCACCGAATAATTCTCTATTCGTCAATACCTCGACAATGTCCCAAGACGACGATTTCAAAGTTCTTCGTCATCGTGCCGGTCTCTCGGACAGTGTCCTCAGTAATGGAACACCATCGGACAGAAAGAGAAAATTGTGCGCTGAAGAATCGAATACATCGAAAAAATTGAAAACCGATTCTGAAAGTAGTTTCTTCAATTCCTCCTTGGAATTACTCAAGAGTTTTCGCAGGCCTATTCAAGTTTCCACGCCCAACATCGAAGGCTACAAATTCCAAACGGATAAGCTTGACAAAGACAATGCGGCAGTAAATGATACTAAAAATGGAGACAACAAATGGTGTGCTCTTATGTAAAACGAGAAAGGAAGAAAATTACCAAATTCGGACAAAAAAAAAATTGTACGACCATAAAAAGGGTATTATACATTTTATTTGAAACACTAGATTTAAAAAATGAATCGCAAAGTTTTTTTATAATATTGGTAATGAAAATTATCTTATTTATATAGATATATCGAAAAAAATTATCGATACTCGTGATTCTTTACTTTAGGATTCTAATTTTGTTGGGAGAGATATTTCTTCGAAAGTATTATACTAAAAAAATATTTAGATATATTTTATCGATTGCGACTACTTAATTTTTTTTAAATTTCTGGTAGTGTTTGTTTGAACTACAACATTTTTACCCAAAATGGAATTTTACATTCTCTTCAATTTGTAAATTCGTCTAATTTGTAAATTCAGAAAATCCAGATAATTCAGATAATTCGGAAAATTTAGAATTCAAAGAAATTCGTTTCAGTAATATGTACATTCGTCTTTAATTTTATCAAATTGTTCTCTTCACTGTCTACTGAAAATTATTTCATTGTTCCATTTTACCATAGTGACGAAAATTAATTCTTCATGCTTCCTTTATGAAAAACTTTATTAAGAAAAAAAAACTACAACTCTAAATCTTAATTAATACGTATTATTATTTTTCTAATATAGAACACTGTTAAATCAAAGAAATTTTCACAATGTTGTTTTAAACTTTTTACATTGATAAATATTACCGTATCAATTATATGTATGCAATATTGTATTGAATATAAAAAGTGTACGCCTTTTGAAAATGTAATAGCGTATTTATAAATATATTTAAAAAGAAAAAAACAAATATCTACGTATTTACGCAAATTTTATATGATCGTTATATCATGATCATGATCAACAAATAATGTTTTGTATTTCTAATCTTACGTATAAAATAATTAATACTCAAAAATGTAAAATTAAATTGTGTTAGAAAATAACGAGAAAAGTCCGAAGTCATAAGAAGGTTTTTTACGTTTATATATTATTATTAAAGAAAATATTCCTAAAAAAATGTTTACTGGTTGGAGTAGAAAGTTGAATATTTTTTCTATTCATAGTTTTTTACAAGCTAATTGCAAAACTTGAAAATTTAAGAAGAAAATAAAAAAATTTGTATATATATATAAAAAATAAATAAGTTTATAATAAAAATAAAATGATACAAAGTTCTGTTGGCGAATTTTTTATTCTTGTTTCACAAATTTGTTGTTTTTTGTAAATTGTTTTAAAAATAATTGTATAAAATAATTAAATTGTTTTAAAGAATTTATTTCAATTTTTCTTGAAAATAATAGTTTTTTTTTAAATCACTTTTAATGAAAATTTTGAAAATAATTGAATTCTATGAAGAATTCAATTATTTTCAATAATTTAAAAAAAAAAATTTTTTTTTTAATTTTTTGGAAGAATTCAATTATTTACAAAAATATTGGAATTTTTTGCAGGAATTCAATTATTTTCAAATATTTTAATAAAATTGTTTGAAAGAAATCAATAAAATTTGAACTAGATTTTTTTCAAATAATTCAATTATTCTTTTAGATTTTAATAAATTCTTCTTAAAAATTCAATTATTTACGTGAATAATTCTTCGAAAGAATTCAATTATTAAAGATAAATAACAAAATTATTCCCAAAAATTCAATTATTTTCAGGGATTTCAATCAAAAATTTTTCAGGAATTCAATTATTTTCATAAATATAACAATATTCATCACAAGAATTCAATTATGTTTTTAAAAGTAATAAATTTTTTTCTTGGAAATTCAATTATTTTTTTAAAAAAGTTTTAAATTTTCCCGCTAAATGCTCAAAAGTAATTACATTTCCGGAAAATAACGATAGGTGGCGAAGAAGAGATGATTATTTAATTATCTTTAATTTAACTACAAAATTGTTAAACAAATTGCTCTTGTTTCGTATTTTAGTATATTCAAATACCAGTGATGAGAATAAATTCAAAAAATCAGACTTATCGTTTCGAATAAAAATTCCAATGAAAAACAATTAAAAGTTGAAAAGAAAAAATAAAAGCAAACAAGCGGCGCTGGCATCGAAAATTATTGTCGTTTCCCCTCTTCAACTCCCCGATCCATTGACTTTACTGTAGTCAATGTATAGGTAGACTATAATTTAACAATAAAATATCTAGAGTCTCTAGAGTTAACATTTTAAACGAAAAAAAAAATAATACAATAATGGATAACAGTTCCGAGGAAAGTCAAGGACTTCAAGAAGAAAATAAAACAGGTAGAGAAAAAATTTAAACAATTATAAACACTTGAATTTCATAATTCTTTTACTCCAAAAAAAAACTTGACAAAAACATTAAATCCTTTCCTAGGTAAATATAATGCTAATTGACTTATTCTTAGTCATCAATGAATAAAAATTTAACTTGAAAATACGATCAATTTATTTATAAATCTGTCGTAGATGACGTCCAGGCCAAGTTGCAAAACTTAGAGACAGAAAGCAAACATATGCAGGAACAGTTCAATATTCAAAGGGCAAAAATGAAAGAATTATTTCTTCAAAAAGAAGGTTTGTTTTTTGAAAAATAATTACTCTTTTTTAATTTCTTTCAATTTTTTTCTTTCTTATCCTTCAGGCAATTATAGATTTCGCCCTGTCAGGAATTTGTTACATAAAAACAATTACTGTACCTATAAAAGAACATTTTTTTTCCCTTATTTTATATTATCAAGACTGAAACTTCTTTCTTATATAAATAATCAAACTTTATAAAAATTAGAAAAGAGTAAATTTTTTTGTGCAGAGGAATTGAAGCAAAAGCAAGAAGAGTATCATTCAATGCAAAAGGAGAATGTGAAATTAAAAAATGAATTGGACGACGTGAAGAGTCAATTAACTGTCGTCGATTTAAAAACTCAAAATGACATACTTTTTGAAAAGCGTAAAGCTCAGGAAGAAATTGCTTCACTACAGCAAGTAATTAACGAAACTGTCGAGGAATCATCGTCCTCTTGTAAACATTTAGATAACGAAGTTCGAAAATTAAAGTCAGCAATTTTAAGACTGGAGGAAGAGAATTCTTCATTACGAATGCAAATACCAAGAGATCCACCGACCGATGGACCGATTTCATTGTCAACTGTCACAAAAACTCTAGCTAGAAAAGTAGTATCGCAATTGGGCGCTGATAACCTATCGTTAGGTTCTGATAATTTAGAGGAAAGCATGCGGAAGGTAAACAAATATGTACGTAAACTTGTGAATTCGAAATTTTTATTTATTTACGCTCTACTACATCTGAATTATTGTTTTCTCGCTTCTTTTTCTTCTTCAGGGTGTCTACAACACCTGGAAAATAGGGAAATTAAAAATGTCCTGGAAAACCAGGAAAAGTCAGGGAATTTTTTTTCATCATGACTTGAAATATTCTTGAACAATATTTTTAATGTCCACAATTAGGTTTACAAATTTTTAGTAAAAAAATAATAGAAGTAATTAATATTGCCTTTCCAATTTGCAATTCTATTCTATTCTGAAAAAATAATATGAACCACAGACATATAATCAAATAGAAAAAAATCTTCATGTTTTATAGTTATATAATAAAATTTAATTTATAGTTTTAAGTAAAATGTTTTCTTATTTGACTCGAACTGGTTAAATTTTTGTCAATAATTGGTCCGTAATTTTTCATTTTTGATCCGTAAAGTACGTATTTTTAAATACTGCTCGAGCCCTGGTAATTTTTTTAAAAATTTTCATTTTATATTCATAATTTATAACGTTGATAACATTTACAATGATTTAGAAGAAAACATCATTTTCTATTCAAACTTTTGTCTTAATAAAACTTTTACAATGTTTCCTGAACAAAAAGTTAGAAAAGAAAATTTTGTAAACGTAAAATATTGTTTTCTGAGTGAAAAACAGTTTTTTTTTCTTTAAACTTATAAATTTACTCATAAATTATGGAAATTTACCTGGAAATGTCAGTGAAATTTTTTTTCAGATTCGTTGTAGACACCCTGATTCTTTTTCTTCTTCTTCTACTAGAAAATAAAAATTACTCACTACTTATCTAAAATAGAAAACTCACTACTTATCTAAATTTCAAAAAAACTTATCTAAGCACTAAATTTTTTACTAATTTAAAAATACTAGTATCATTCTTTTTATTAAATTTACATGTCAGGCTCAAGAAGACGCAGAAGTATTACGTTCCCTGGTGGGACCATTGGAAGAAGAGATTAAAGCCTTAAAGGAAAAATTGCGAGCAACTGATGAGGAATTACAGAAATGTAAAGAATTGCCAATTTTAAAGCCAGCTCTTGAATCTGTATCAGGTTCTGAATCGGTTTGTAATATGTGTGTTAATTATGAGGCACAATTAGTGAGAATGCAGGAAGATGCCAAAAATTTCGATAAACAACTTCAAGAGTCCAATAGATTGTTGCAGTCGCAAAAAGACGATTTATTCAAGGAAGTTGAATTCAGAAAGGGAATGGAGGAAAAATGGAATGAGAAAAAGGAGGAGCATAAAATCAAAATGGAAGAACTTACCTTACGATTAGACGTCTCTCAGCAATCATTAAATGATTTAAAACAAGCCTACAATCAGACATTTGAAACGGTTAAGAAAGAATTGACCAAACTTGTTGTCGGAAGGGAAGAAGTTCAAAAGCATCTCGATGAGTAAGACACATTCGATTTTTAGATATTTACGTGTTCTAATAGCAAAATTGTATAAATTTTGATTTCTTTTAAGGAAAAGAATTTTTTGTTATAAATAGTAATTTTTATAGAAAATCTAATTTTGTTATAGAAAGAAATTTTCTCAAAAGGAATTTTGATGTAAAATCGAATTTTGTTATAGAAAGGAATTTTGTTATTAAATAAAAATAATTAGTTTGCAGAAAAGAAACGAATATTTGACCGGAAAACACAGCAAGCACTCGCAGGCCTTGCAAAATGAGAACATTAATATGCCAAACAGTGTTGAGGAATTACACGTAAGTTTATTGAGGATTAGAGAAGAATTAATTGTCGCAAAAGTTGCGCAAGAAGTTTCGCATGAGAATGAAGAGACCCTAAGATGTGAAGTGAATTTACTGCACGAACAAATGGATCAAGACACTCGACTCAAGGAACAACAGGAGGCTATTCTTCTCAGTGAGAATATGGAACTTAAGTAAGTCTTCGAAATTTTAATTATTTTCTAAAATTCATATCCTGGAAAATTTAATTGCTTAGCAATAAAAACAATAATAATAATAATAGCAAAAATTTATTTATTTATTTTATTTATTATTATTTATTTTTGAATAAATAAATAAATAAAAACAATAATAATAATAGCAAAAATAATAATAATAAATGAAAAATATTTCTGTAGAACTCAGCTTGAAACATGCAGCAGAGAATGTGAATCAAGCGCTGAAAAAGTACAAAGACTAGATCAAATAGAAAAAAGATTGGATGAAGTATTAAAGGAAAAGGAAAAATTAGAAACCACTGTTAATGAACTACGTCAAAGGTTGTCGAGTCTTCAACAAGATTTAGATACCAGCGAGGAAGTACAAAAGGATTTTGTTCGACTTTCTCAATCTCTTCAGGTATGGAATTTTTTTTTTCATTTTATTTGAAATAAATATTTAATTATTATTTTTACATGGGAATTGAAATTCATCAAAAGATTCAAATTCAAACCTTTTCGAAATTCAATAACTCATAAAAATATTATTTTTATTATAAAACATGAAGATATCCATCACTCCGAGTCTTCGACTCGAAGTGATCGATTTCTTCACGTTTTACGATGTTGTTTAAAAACATTTTCATCATTTCAATTCAGTTATTATTTTCTTGAATTTTTAACTAAAATTCTTCTTTAAATCAATTATTTTTAATTTGAAACCTTTTTAAAATTCAATTATTTCTTTAAACATTTTTAATATTCAATTATCTAAAATTTTAAGCGAAATTCATTTTTAAATCAGTTTTTATTAGAAAATTCTACGAGAATTCCATTATTTAAATACAAAAATAAATAAGTTATTGCATAATTAAACGTCCCTTAAAATTGAATTCTCCAAAAGAATTTTATCAAGAAATTTTTAAATAATTGATTTTATCAACAAATTTTAATAAAATTTTTAAGAATAATTACATTTTTCGAAAAATTCGTCGATTAAAATTGTATTAAAAATAATTGAAATTCTGCGATGAGTTTCTAAATTTATTAAATTATTGAGAAGAAATTTATAAAAAATTTATAAATAATTGAATTCTTTTGGAAAATTTTTTAAAATAATAATAATAATAATAATAATAATAATAAATAATAATACCGAAATTTTGCCAAGAATTTGATTAAAATTTTTGAAAGTAATTGAATTTCGGAGAAGTATTTTATTATTTATAAAGATAAATGAAATTTTGACGAGAATTTTATTAGAATTTTTAAGAATAATTGAATTTTGCAGAAGAATTTCATTATTCATAAAGATAATTGAAATTGTTCTGAGAATTTTTTTAAAAATTTTAAATATGATTGAATGTAGAGGAAATTATTTTTAAAATATTAAAAATTTTACAAGAAAATTATTAATATTTTTGAAAGTAATTGAATTTTAGAGAAGAATTTTTTTTATCTTATAAAGATAATTGAAATTTTGACGAGAATTTTACAATTTAGAAAAATAATTGAATTGTTTCGAAGAATTTTATCAGAATTTGTTGAAAATAATTGAATTTCAATAATATTTTTAAAAATGATTTTATTCTTTTGAGAAATTTTATTAAAATTGTATTGAAAATAATTGTATGCCTAAAAAAACCATTTTATTATTTATGAAAATAATTGAATTCCTTTGAAGAATTTTAATATTTATGTTAATATTTTAATTCTTGAGAAGAATTTTCTTATTTAGGAAAATGATTTAAATTCTTGCCAAAAATTTTACAATTCATAAAAATAATTTAATTGCTTCGAAGAATTTTATCTGAATTTTTGAAAATAATTGAAATCTTTTAAGGAATTTTATTAAAAATTTTGAAAATTATGATTTTTTTAAAAAGAATTTCATCAAAATTGTCAATAATAACTGATTTCATATTAAAATTCTTGAAAATAATTGAATTTAAATAATATTTTTGAAAATAATTGAATTTCAGAGACAAATTTTTTTTTCTATAAAGATAATTGAAATTTTGACGAGAATTTTAAAAAAATTTTAAATAATTGAATTCTTTTTTCGAATTTTCATAAAATATTTAAAAATAATTACATTTTTCGAGAAATTCGATTAAAATTGTATTAAAAATAATTGAAACTCTGCGATGAGTTTTATTATTTATGAAATTAATTGAAATTCTGCCATGATTTTTATTATTTATGAAAATAATAATTGAATCTTTATAAAAAAATTTATTAAATTTATGAAAATAATTGACTTATTGCGAAGAAATTTATAAACAATTTGTAAATAATTGAATTTCTATGAAATTTTTATTATTTATTATAATAATTAAATGTTTGCGTAGAATTTTATTAAAATTTAGTTAAATATTTGAATTATGTTGGAAAATTTTATTGCAATAGTAGTTATTAAAAATCATTGAATTCAGGAAAATTTTATGAAAATAATTGAATTTCCGAGAAGAATTTTATTATATATAAAGATAATTGAAATTTTGACGAGAATTTTTGTAAATTTTTAAACATAATTGAATTTATGCGAAGAATTTTATTATTTTCGAAAATAATTGAATTTTTGCAATCATTTGTAACTTCTTCAAAATTAAATTCTTTTTTGTGTTTTTAACTAAATTTCTTCTAGAAATCCATTAGTTTTAATAATTAATTAAATATATATTAAAAAATTGAACTAATTTTAGAAGAATTTGAATTATTAAAATTTTTCAAAAATCTAAGTTCTTTAAAATTTTTTAATTAAATTCATTGAAAATTGGAATTTTATAAAATTTAAAATTCAAACTTTTTGAATTTCATCTATTTATGAAAATTGTAAACGCAACTCTTTTAAAATTGAATTAGTTTCGAGCATTTAAGTAAAATTATTCGTTAAATAATTTATGAGTAATAATTTTTATAATAATAATTAAAAACTTTAATATTTAAAAAAATTAGTTAAATAATTTCTGATATTTAAATAAAAAATGTATTCTTAATTCAAAATTTATATTTTAAAAATATATTTTAAGGAGTAATTTAAAAAAAAAGATTCAATACTTGCAGATTCAACTAGAAAAGATAAGAGAAGGAAACATTGAAGTCAGGTGGCAACATGACGAAGATGTCGAGGAATGTCCAAGTTGTCATATAGCTTTTTCGGGCACCAAGAAGAAGGTATTTCCTCGTTGAATGTCTTTTCAGATTCTCAAATAAAACTCGATTACTTTCTCACTTTAAAAAAAGAGTGAAAAAGAATTAAATAAAAATTAAACAGAAAAAAAATAAAATTGAAATTAAGTAGAAATTAAACAGAAAAATAATTAAATACCTACGAATTAAGTAGAAATTAAATAGTTAAATAATTTTTTCTTTTCACAGGTACATTGTAGACATTGCGGACACATATTCTGTCAATCTTGTTTGAAACATCAAGTTCTCAGTGGACCAAAACGAAGACCATCTCGAGTGTGTATGGTGTGTCACACACTATTAGTTCGTGACACTGCTCCATACTTTAGCAGAGAACCGCCACATACACCAGACTAATAAAATATTTTCAAAAAAAAAAAAATTAATAAATAAATAAAAAATTAATGAATAATGAAGACAGTAATAGTGAGACGTGCAATATCAAAGTGATACAATGATTGTGAGCCACACTAAATTCAGACTTTAGTTCTAAATAGTACGCGATGGCGCAATTCTTTTTAATCGAGCAAAGATCGATCGATTAGTCAAACTTGCAGCAGAGAGAAAAATATATTTTAAATGCTTCACGCCCTCTTTTTTAATTCAAAAAAAAAAATAAACTATCGAATGAAACTTTGAATTTCGCTTGAGATCGCGTACCTTGTGAGATTCCTAGGAACTTCTCAAAATAAAAACAAAGCTAGAAAAAAATTTCTGTAAATATAAAATTGTGTACAACTTAATATTTCCTGTAATTTAAAATGATTAAAGCATCAGTAAAACAGTTTTAATGCATTATTCAATTAAAAATCAAAAATTGAAACAACTTAAATCAAAATTATAGTAAAAAGTTTCAAGTAAAATTGTTAATTGTTAATTGATTTAACTAAGGTTAGAATTCGAATTGATATTATATTAAATTAAAAAATAATTTTCAACTAAATAATAAAATATTAAATAACATTGAATTTAAATTAAAAATATAAATTTTAAATTGGAAATCGTTAAGAGACTACGAGTTGATAATAAAAAACAAAGTTATTTATTTTATTGGACGAAACAAGAGTAAAAAAATTCTAAGCACCTAGCAATAATCTCTTCTTTTTTTTTTGATTCGACAGACATTTTACTATCGATGTGTCTAAATTATCTCATTATTTAAAAATTAATTATTAATTAATAATAATAATAATTATGCTGAGTTTTGTCAAATACGATATTTGCAGTAAAATAATTAATTACTGGGAAGAAACTTAAAACAAAACACGCTAACATTCACTTACAGTGATAATTAAGAGTACATAAGTGCCTTAAATCACTAGTCTGATGGCTTTGAAAGATCCTTTCGACATTGAGCTTCCAAGTTGCGTAACTTTTGAAGTCTGTCCAATGGGTCGATAAGGCTTCTCGAGTCTGGAATAACATTGGCAACGTGTGCAGCTTCTAAAAAGTAGAATAAAAAAATTACAACTCTTATCTTCAATAACAGGGTTGTCACAAAAATTTCATTTTGTTTTTTCCTGACTTTTCTCTGATTTCAAGATAAAATTTTGGCTTTTTCCCTAAAGAATATTCTGCGATTCAGTCTAAAAATGATTAGATACTCAAAAAAATGTTCTATTACATTTATTTACGAATTTCTTTAATTGTAAAATTATTCGAAAACATTAATTAACTTCTTTTTTTAAATAAATATTTAATAAATAAATTTAATAATTTAAAATAAGATTTTGATTTCAACCCTTTTCAAACTTCAATTATTTCTAAAAATTCGCGCTATAATGCTTTTAATATTCAATTATAATTTAAAATTTTAAGTGAAATTCATTTTTAAATTAATTTTTATTAGAAAATTCTACTGGAATTCAATTATTTAAATATAAAAATAAATAATTTATTGAATAATTGAATGTTTCTTTAAATTGAATTCTCATAAAGAATTTTATCAACAAATTTTTAAATAATTAAATTCTTTCGACGAATTTTAATAAAATTTTTAAGAATAATTACATTTGTCGAGGAATTCGATTAAAATTGTAACAAAAATAATTGAAATTCTGCAATGAGTTTTATTGTTTATGAAAATAATTCAAATCCTTGTCAAAATTTTATTATTTTTGAAAATAATTGAATTATTGCGATTAAATTTATAAAAAATTTGTAAATAATTGAATTCCTGTGAAATTTTTATTATTTATGAAAATAATTAAATTTATTTTAAATAATTGAATTGTTTTAGAAAATTTTATTAAAATTGTAGATATTGAAAATCATTGAATTGTAGAAAATTTTTGAAAATAGTTAAAATTTTTCCAATTTTTAAAATTAAACCATTTCTAAATTGAATTATTCCTATAAATTTATCCTAAAATGCTCTTAATATTCAATTATTATGTAAATTTTTAACTAATAAAATTAATTTTTAAATCGATTTTGATTAGAAAATTCTACTAGAATTAAATTATTTTAATACAAAAATAAATAATTTGTGAATTAAATGTTTCTTAAAATTGAAATCTCATAAATAATTTTATCAACAAATTTTTAAATAATTGAATTCTTTCGGCAAATTTAAAAAAAATTTAAGAATAAATGCAATTTTCTATCATTTTATTTGAAATTGTGTAAAAAATAATTGAAAGTCTGCGATAAGTTTTGTTATTTTTATGAAAATAATTGAATTCTTGCAACGAATTTTATTTAAAATTTTTTTAAAGAATTGAATTCCGGTGAAGAATTTTATTAAATCTCTTTTTAAATTATTGAATTCTTGTGAAAATGTTTATTTTTGAAAAGAATTGAATTCTTTAGAAGAATTTTATTAAAATTTCTTAAATAATTGAATTGATTTAAAAAATTTTATTTTTCTTCGAAAATAATTGTATTCCTAAAAAGAATGTTTTATTTTATAAAAATAATTGTATTCTATGATCAATTTTATTATAATATTTTAAATTTACCTATAGGTATAGCATTTTATCAATTTTTTTAAAAATAATTGAATTCCCGAGAAAAATAATTATATTATAAAAATAACTGATTTCTTGCGAAGAATTTTATTCAAATTTTTTTAAATAATTGAATTTCCATGAAAAATGTATTATTTGTAAAAATAATTGAATTCTTAACAAAAATTGTATTGAAAATAATTGAATTGTTTAGGAAAATTTTATTAAAATTGCAATTTTATTAACTAAATCTTGTAAAGAATTTTGTTAAAATTTTTTTAAATGTTATAACTTTAAAAAAAAATTTATTTAAATTTTTCGAAATAATTGAATTTCTTAAAACTATTTTTTTTCAATTCTCTGAATATGTTTGAATTGTTTTGAGAAACTTTATTAAAAAATTAAAAATAATTGAATTGGTGTAAAGAAATTTATAAAAAATTGAATTCCTGCAAAAATTTTATTAAAATTTTGTTTAAATAATTGAATTCTTTTGGCAAATTTTATTAAAATAGTAGATATATTAAAAATCATTGAATTCAGGAAAATTTTAGAAAATAATTGAATTTTTGCTAAGAATTTTATTAAATTTTTTGAAAATAATTGAAATTTTAACGAAAATTTTTTAAAAAAATTTTCAACATTTTTGAATTTATGCGAAGAAGTTTATCACTTTTGAAAATAATTGAATTTCTGTAATCAGTTGTTCTTAAAATTTCTATTTAAATTCATTAAAAATTGATATTTTCTAAAATTTCAAATTGAAACTGATTGGAACCTTTGAAGTTCATCTATTTATGAAGATTGTAAGCGCAACTCTTTTGAAATCAAATTAATTTTGAAATTTTGAAGTAAATTTGTTCATTAAACAATTTATAAGTCATCATTTTATGATAATTCTTCAAAAATTAAGTTATATAAAAATAAATTATTGTCAGAAATAGTAAAAATTGAAGGTTTTTTTTATCAGAATTATTGTCAATTTAATAGTTTATGAGGCAAACAAAAAAGACTAAAAAATTGAGAATTTTCTTATAAATTCTAAAAATTAAATTTCTTCCCGTACTTTTAATAAAAATTTATGACTGTTCCCAAATTTCCCTGACTGTCTGTAAGTATTTCTTTTTGTGTTAATTAGAAAATGTTAAACTTGGAAAACTTCTCTCTTATTTTTATGTTACCTGCTATATACTGCTTATTAATCTGAGAAACGTGGTTTTGACTTTTTCTAGCTTGATCTATATTTTTGAGACCCTGCTCTATAAAATCTTGAAAGAATTGATGTGATTTCACTAGAAAAGGCTGCACATCTGCCTCAGGATGCTGTAGCTTAAAGTCGTATAACTGTGTCAAACCCTAAAAAGCATTAATTTTTTGTAATATGAATAGAAAATTATTATTATTTATTATTATAAAAATTATTAGGTACTAAAATTGATTTATTTTCGAAAAAACAAAAACTAAATTTATTCATGAATATTGATAAATAAAATTACCTCTTGTGTTTGAGTTTTAGATCCAATCTTCTTGAAAATTTCAGAAAGCTGTTGGTGCGTGTATTTACAAAGGTGCTTTTGAGATTTTACTTGATTGCCTGGTTTAACGTTATTTCGCGATGCAGCATTCATCTCGTCCGGTTTGAGTGTCTGAGAAGATTATTAGTGTATTATAAGGATAGGATTCGGAGTGAGGAGGGAGCAAGAAAATTTGGTCTACTTTTTTTCTCCCAATAGTGTCACAATTAAGCGACGCCTTCATCCCTCTTAATAATAATTAATAATATTAACATTTATATGTATTTAAAATATAATTAATTACACAGAGTGTCTAAAAATTTCCCTCCCCTCCAAGAATATTAAATTGATTAAATGTAACGCTCTCCTAAGGTAGGTAACACGAAAAAAAATTATTTACTTCTTAGCTTTCTTCGAAGCGTGTCACAAATTAATAAATAAAAATTTATTCACGTTTTAGGCACTCTTCATAATTTTAATTAATAATTTAGTAACTAATTATGGTTATAATATTAAAACAACTAAAAAGAATATATAATTTTCAGGCCTCGGATCGACTTTAACGAGCAAAAAAATTCGATTCAAAATAGAAAAAAAGTCGAAAAAGTCGTTTATTTAATTTAGTGTTGTCACAAAAATTTTATTTTTTATTTCCCTAAATTCAATTAATCAAAACTTGAATAATTTTGCTGAATAAACATTTAAATACTTCTTATTTCTTCTTTGACAGGAAATAAAATTTTACAAAATTCAACTTCTGAAATTTAATAATTTCTAAAAATTAAAACTATAACCCTTCCAAAAATTCGATTATTTTCTACAATTTTTAACTCTCTCTCTCCTTTCTTACTCTCTCTCTCTCTCTCTTTTAACTCTCAATTATCTATACTAATTTTTAATAATTGTTTGAAAGTTCTTCGAGAATTCAATTATTTTTATTTTATTTATTTATTTATTATTTTATTTTTATTATTATTCTGGTAATCTGTTCGCAGTTTGAAGTAGTTTTTGTTTAATTTTTTGTTTCCTAACTTTTTTAATAATTTTTCTTTTTAAATATTTTCAATTTTAAAATTAATATATTGAAAATCATTTAATTCTTGAAAAGAATTTTATCAACACATTTGAGAATAATTGAATTTCTTCGAGAAATTTTATTATTTATGAAAATAATTAAATTCTTGCAAAGAATTTTATCAAAAACTTTGAGCGAATAATTGAATTTCTTTGATGAATTTTATCATTTGTGGCTTTATGGTAATAATTGAATTCTTGACAAGAATTGTATTAAAATTTTCGAAAACACTAATTCTTAAATTTTTTTAAAGAATTTCTTTCAATTTATTTCAAATAATGTAGTTTCTTTAATAATTTTAATTGAAAATTTTTACAGTAATTGAATTTTATGAACAATTTCTTTCAAGTTAGGAAAATAATCGTGTTTCTTAATAATTGAAATTAAACAATTAAATTATTGAATTTTATTAAAATTTTTAGAAAAAAATTAAATTCTTCTCAGAAGTTTATTACAATTTTCGAAAATGATTTAATTCATTTAAAGAATTTTATTAAAATATAGAAAATAATTGAATTGTTTTGAATAATTTTATTAAAAATTTTAAAAAATTGAATTGTTTCGAAGGATTTATTAAAATTTTAGAAAATGTTTGAATTTTTACAAAGATTTTACTAATTAAAAAAATAATTGAATTGTTTTGAAGGATTTTTTAAAATGTTTTAAAATAATTGAATTCTTTCATGAAATTTTATTAAAAATTACAAAAAAAATTTATTTTTGTCAAAAAATTTTACTATTTATAAAAATAATTGAATTCTTCCAAAGAATGTTATTATTTATGAAAATAATTGTATTCTCACGAAGAATTATAAATTTAAATTTCTGAAATTATAAACAATACTAATTAATTTTTTAATATAAGTCAATAAAAGTCGGATTATTTGAAATTAGTCGAAAAAAGTCATAATATCCGAGGCCTGACTTTTATATTATTTTAAATGACATCTAAAATTCCAAATATTGATTAATAAAAATTCTAACTATATAATTAGAAGTTTAGTTAACTTTTTTTAGTTTAGTTTTTTAGTTTAAAATAACTTAGTTAGTTTAAAAAATATTAGATGAATTCAAAAGGTTATGATGAAAATAATTGTTTTATTGAAAATAAAATAGTACAAAAAAATTGTTTAAAAAAATTGTCGAAACTAATGTTTTGTTTTTTTTAAATGATTTCTTATAGAAACTTCATTTCATGCACGTCTGTCTCTCGTAAAACGACGTTCTACTATTATTATGATTAAAATAATCGAATTACTTTTTAGATAAAGTTTTAGAAGTACTAACCGTGATAAGTTTTAATAGATAGGAATGTAGTTCAGACTCATTTGTATTATTAATTTGAGATAAATGATTTAAAATACTGTTTCCTTTAATCCTTGTCATGCTATGTAGAATAGTTTTAATTGTTCTTAATGGCGTGTCTGATTTTCTCTTCTTCCACCAAGTAGATGGATAATCCTAAAAATTAAACACAGAAATAAAAAAATGCAAAAAGAATTTAAAATACAAAAAGAAATTAAAAGGCAAAAAAAATTAAAATACAAAAAAATAAAACAAAAATACGTAGAAGTAGAAATATAAATAATAAATACTAAATCGTCTTTATCTTTAAAAAAGTACCATAAAAATTGACGAACCTTAAAGAAGTTATGAACTTCGAGAAGAATTGCGTCGTAATCTAATTCACTTGCCCAATTTGGAATTGTTTTCACAATTTTCCATAAGCATTTCATTACTAATTCCTCGTATTTTGGTAAAGCGTCTGATTCGGTACAATCGTGTAACAATTTCACAAGTACACTGAAAGAAAAAAAAATAGTAACAAATAAGTAATACGGAAACCTTTAAGTACTTGTTGTACTTTAAATATTTAAATATTTTACGCACCATATAATTGTAGTGTGATTAGAATTGTCGATTGTTTTAATAACGACATTATTTATCACTCGATTGTAAGCCTCAGCTTCATTTAACTGATCGAGTTTATTTTCCGCCAACAGTGTAATCATCTGATGAACCAATTCCTTCAAATGATTCGTTGGCACATTTTTCCCCAAAAAGCCTGATTCGTAAAACTAAAAAATAGAAGAATTTATTAAATCAATAACAGGATGGCCACAAAGATTTTATTTTGTTTCTCCCTGACTTCTCTCTCGTTTATAAACAAAATTTTGAATTTTTCCCTGTCTCTAAAGAATATTCTGATTCACTCTAAAAATTATTAGATACCCCAAAAAATGTACTATTACTTTTGTTAACGAATTTATTTAATTGTAAAATGTAAAATTATGATTATGTTATTTAATTCTTGTCAGAAATAGAAAAAATTGAAGGTTTGCATTAGAATAAGAAAGAAATGGAAAATTATGAAGATGGGAAATAAAAAAAAAATTATAAAAATGATCTGAAAATTACACTTACAGCTAAAATGACCATAAAACAAGTTCTGAATGCTTTTGAAATATCGGAACTGCGATCTGTGTTTAGTGAATAGGTTTGCAAAAGCTTCAATTGTAAATTAACGGCACTCATAAATTTATCCTCCTTCGTCTGAATGGCCATAAATTGATGTGACTTCAAGAACTATAATTTAAAAAGAAAAATCAATATAACGCAAAAAGTTATAAGCAAATATTTATAAGTTATAAGCAAAAGAAAGAAATATTTCATAAATTACAAAAACTTACAGTTTCCATATTGTTCATTGCCTGAATAGCAATTGAAGGATCGAGACTCGTCATTGCTTCGATTTTACGATCAAGTTCATCGCCCTTTGGCCTTACCAAATTTTGAATATTTGCCGATTTTGGTTCCAGTAATTTTGGAGGTGAAATAGGAATTATTCTGTGTGGAAATATTAATGAAAAAATTTACATTTAAAAACAAGAATAACATTTTAAAATATTAGTTTTGAAAAAATAAAATATTTAGAATCTTAAGAAATAGAATTAGTTTTAATTTATCAATTTAATTAATATGTTGTTAATAATTATTTTACTAACTGATTTGGTTGTAATTTGATGTGAATGGTATCGTTCAAATCGTCAAGATTAGGTTCAAGGAGTATTGGATTTCGGCATTTCACTGGAGCAGTCGACTCTATTCTTTCAAGAAGTTCCATATCCAATCCAAATGGGCCCGAGGGTTTTGTTGGTATTTGCTGAGGAATGTTTCTAACAAACATCCTAAAATTATAAAAATTTACCAAAATATAATATGTACCAAAATTACCAAAAAAAATTTAGGATATTCAAAAAATGTATCAATGATAATAAATTCAAAATCAAAAGACTTTACCTCTCATTCGGAGCTTCGTTTTCTTGCTCTTCTTCAATTTCATCCTCATAATCGTCTTCAATTAATTCCACGACAGGAATCGCTGGAACCGGGTCCCTTTCCCTGGGTGGAGCAATTTGCGTCGATGAACTGGATTTCAAGGGACGATTTTTAGCCGCTCTCTTTATCCTTTCGTCCAGCAGGGACTGATCCTTCTCTGAAATGTGCCCAATGAATTTGTAAACTTTTTCCCCCTCGAGAAAGTACGCCTGAACAATGCAATTCAAAGCGGCATTTCGCACGGAATTATCTCGATCTGCTATTTGTTTCGCAACTTCTTTCAAAGCCACTGAAGGCGTCGGTTGACACACTGAGATTCCATAGTTTTCTATCAAAGATCCTAATTGGTCGAGGCATTCTAAAAACAAAATGTAAAAACGTAAGGCGTTGTTTTAAATTGATATTAATTTTCTTTTTCTATAAAAAGAATTTATAAATCAAGTTTTAAATTAACTTTTAAATGCACTTTTAAACTAATTTTTAAATGAACTTTTTAAAAAAATACCTGTCCTCTGTCGAGCATTTTTGGATTTTAGGCCCTCCATCGTATACATGAATAATTTACTAACAGGATAAACTAAAGCTATTTGTTTAAACAATGCCCGAACGCCATTACGAACAGTATCCTTCGGGTCTCCTATCTGTGTTAAATAAACAAATACAATAAATAATTAATTATTAAATTAAAAATTCAGTAAATTAAAAACAATTATTTAAAAAAATTTCTTTTACAATATACCTTAATAATGAGGTACGGAATAAACGAAGCTGCCTCATGCTCTTGCATATGATACTGATCATCAATCAAAATATTAAATACCGCTTGTAAATATTCCAAACCTTTCAATAATACTGACGGATTTGTATCGAAGAATCTAAGCGTCAACCACTTGAGTATTAAATCCAAATTTGACACCAGTGCTTTATTATTTCCCGGAAGATCCTGAAAAGCAGAAAATTAGAAAATTTAATAAACTATAAAATTATTAAATCTATCGAATACCGCTTGTAACATAAAAATTACAGTAAAAATAAATTAATTTATTCAAAAAATTGTAATAATATTTTTCGCAAGAATTTTATTATTTTCATAAATAATAATATTTTTTAGAGTAATTCAATTATTTTCAATACAATTTTAATAAAATTTCTCAAAAGAATACAATTATTTTTAAAAATATTATTTCAATTCAATTATTTTCAAGAGTTTTAATAAAAATTAAATTATTTTCAACAATTATGATAAAATTTTTTTAAACAATTCAATTGTTCTCAAAAGTTTTAATAAAATCTCTTCAAAAAGTTCAATTATTTTCAAAAATTCAGATAACATTTTTCGAAGCAATTGACTTATTTTTATAAATTGTAAAATTCTCCGCAAGAATTCAATTATTTTTGTAAATAATAATATTCTTCTGATAAATTCAATTATTTTTAAGAAATATTATTTAAATTTAATTATTTTCAAGAGTTTTAATAAAAATTCAAATATTTTTAACAATTCTAATAAAATTCTTTTAAACAATATTAAATTATTTTAAATTATTTTAAATTAAAATTAAATCATTTTTTATAAATTGTAAAATTCTGCACAAGAATTCAATTATTTTTGTAAATAATAAAATTCTTTTGAGAAAATCAATTATTTCCAATAAAATTATAATTAAATTTCTCGAAAGAATTCAATTATTTTTTAAAATATTATTTAAATTCAATTATTTTCAAAGAGTTTTAGTAAAAATTAAATTATTTTCAACAATCCTGATAAAATTTTTTTAAACAATTCAATTGTTCTCAAAAGTTTTTAATAAAATTCTTTGTAAATTTGAATTAGTTTCAAAATTTTCAATTAAAATTATTTAAACAAATTTAATTATTTTTACGAAATTTAATGAAATTCTTAAAAAAATGTGATTCTTTACAAAAAACCTAGTAAAATTGTTTAAAAAAAGTTAAATTGCTATGAAAAATTTTAATATAATTTAATAGAAAATTTATTAATGACAATTAATAATAAACTCGATTATTTTAAAAACTTAAAAGAAAATCTTCTTAATATTCAATTACTTTCAACATTTTCAGTAAAAAATATTTTAAAAACTCGTCATTATTTTCAAGAAAATTGAAATTAATTTCTCAAAACAATTTAATTATTTTAAAGAATTTTAAGAAAAATCTTGCCAAGAATTAAATTTATTTTCAATTCAATTTTAATTACATTTTCACGAAAAAATTCAATTATTGAAACAAATGTTGATAAATTTCTTGAAATTACTTCAATTATTTTCAAATTTTTTAATAAATAATACTTTGCAAGAATTCAATTAAAACTAATTAACAAAATTACATTATTTTTACGAAATTTAATAAAATTCTTAAAAAAAAGGTAATTATTTGCAAAAACTCTAATAAAATTGTTTAAAAGAATTAAATTTTCTATGAATAATTTTAATATAATTTAATTATTTCGGAAAATAATTGAATTTTCCCTCGAATTCAATTAAAATTGTATTTCAAATAATTGAATTCTTGAATTGAATTAATAAAAGTTTTTTTTAAATAATTGAATTTTTTCGGAGAATTTTTACAAGATTTTTAAAAATAAAATGAAATTATCGAAAAAATCAATTAAAATTGTATTGAAAGTATGTAAGTGAAATTCTGATAAGAATTTTGTAATTTATATAAAAATAATTGAATTTTTTAATAAGATATTTTTTATTTATAAATTGACATTTTGAAAACAATTTTATTACAATTATTGAAAATAATTGAATTCTTCATAAAATTCAATTACTTTCAAAATTTTCAGTAAAAATTATTTTTAAAAAACTTCATTATTTTCAAGAAAAATTGAAATAAATTCATAAATACAATTTAATTATTTCAAAGAATTTTAATACAAATCTTGCCAAGAATTAAATTGTTTTCAATACAATTTTAATTACATTTTCTCGAAAGAACTCAATTATTGAAAAAATGTTGATTATTTTTTAAAATAACGGAATTTTTTCGGAGAATTTTTACAAGATTTTAAAAAATAATTGAAATTTACGAAGAAATCAATTAAAATTGTATTAAAAATAAGTGAAAAACATTTAAAAAGAAAAGTTATAATTGCAGGAGTGTATATTAAATAAATAAATAAATTATTAAAAAATTAGGAAACAAAAAATCAAACGGCAACTAACTTCAAACTGCGAACAGATTACCGGAATACAACGATTATTAATATAGAAAATTATTTATTAAATTTTTTATTGATTAAATTTATTATTTATTAAATTTATTAGTAATACCTCTGTTAAAGCTTCAATGGCCTTGAGATGATACCGAAAGTCCGCATGGAACATATTGGAGGCCAAGCTCTTGTTAACATTAGCAGTGGCCATGAGCTCCTTCAATAAATCAACAAACTCTTCCCGTGGAGTTGTGAAATTCCATTTCAAAACTTTAAGTTTCTGCTCGTCTATCACCCGCTGATGCTTCAAATTATTGACAGCCAACAATGGACTAGAATCAACTTCCTCTTCCTTTTTCCTCGCAGTTCCTGGTTTCGAAGCAGCGCCTCCCTTCGTTTTAACAGCCACCTTCGACGCTTTCATTGCTCCTCCACTTTTCACCGTTTTCTGCGCACTCTCATCATACGTCTTCTTCGATGGCAAAGGTTTCACTGGTAAATTTGATCGTGACTTATCTAAAATTGTCAACACCACAGTCTTAGAACCTGGTTTCAATTTCTCCGTAAATCTCGACATTGCCTCAAAAGACAGATGAATCATGAATCCTAGCACTGCTTCCTGCGCATTTTTCCTCACATCCGAATTACGATCCTCTAGATTGCTGTACAAAATTGGCAAGCATATTGTGAGTTCCTCTTTTGGAATTTGTTTCACTGGAATCACGGGCAATGCTGTTGATAACCAGGTCCACAGTTCCGATCGTAGAACAGGTGAACCGGCTTTTAGTGCGTCGCCAATTATTTCGCCGTCGAAAAAATCCTTGTATCCACATTGTTCCGTCCAAGTGTTGATGCACGTAACGGCTGCGGTTCTTATCCAAGTTTTCGAATCTCCGAGACATTGAATAAATCCTGGAAAGAGTGTGCGAATGTGTTGCTTGATCGGCGAACCCATTGCTGTTGCCAATTGTCCACAGACTCCCAAACAGGTCTGAGCAATTTTACTATTGCTGTCCACCAATCGCGGAGCTAACATCTGAGGAAGATCGCCAATCGACGATTTAATGAATTTCGTCTCATTCAAAATATTTGTAATCTTCTGTAGACCCTCGTTACGAACCTTCCAATTTTTATCCGATAGCTCACTGAAGAGACTCTCGGTAATATGGCAACTAATATCAGTTCGCGTGTGATGATCAACTTCTTGATTTTCATTTGATTTCTCATCAAGTTTCTCCTCAATTTCCTCTGTCTCTTGAACTTTGGACTTTTTACTCTTTGCACCGCGTATTGGATTCGGTGCGGAATCGCCGCTTCGTTTCTCGCATTCCTGCTCGATTTGTAGCTTCAGAGCTGGTTTCTCGCCGTCAAAATAATTGAGAATATTTCTTCCCATGTAGAGATAGAGATTGCCGACTAAATTAATACCCGCGCTGCGAACTGTTGGATTTACAGCAGCGACGGCTTTCTTTACATTATCCAAAAGTGCATTGGTATTATTTGGACAACCAAAGTCTGTTAGAGCTTTTGATAGCCAAACGAGACTTTCCTGTTGGACTTTGGGATTTTTTTGATTGAAAGCAAATGTTATGACTTCATTGGCAACTTGATCGAAACTTGTTGCCTCTGCGATTGCAGTTAATGTTTCAGCTGCAATTGAACTGTTCTTTACGTCTCCCAATTTCTCGGTGATGTCCATGAGGCAATATTCATTGACTGTTGTTGAGAATGGATAATTTTCGGCGAGAAGTTTGACAATTTCGATACGAAGTTTGAGAACTTGGAAATTTGTGTCCTTGAAACCGGGTTTCTTTGTCAGGGTGCGAACAATAACTTGAGCGGATAATTCTGGATCGCCGGCTTTTACAATTTCGGCCAATTGTTCAACAGCTGCCAATCTTGTTTTCCAGTTGCTGTCAACAAGTCCGGAAATTACGTCGTTAGACAATATTTGAGAGGCAATTTCATCAACTTCTTCGGGGGTTAAATTTCTCTCTGCTTGTGGTTTGGATTGTGTTTTCTTTGCCGCAGCAGTATTTCCAGATGAATCGGACTTTTTAATTCCTGTCTTCTTAGCAGCCGGTCGCTTTGGTTTTGCCATCTCCGTGTCTTTGTTTTTAACCGGAGATTGAGCTTTTGCAGTTTGTGGACGTTGGGCTTTTTTGACAGGTTGATTTTTTACAATTATCACCGCTTTTTCGGCGCATTCCTTAATTTTTGCCATTTTTAGATTATCGAGATCGGGTAGAAAAGGTAAGAATGCTTTTTCACCGATGAGTTTCATTAAAGTGCCCAGAGCCTCAGCTGAATTGTCACGAACCAAGGGATCAGATTCGTTGAGTGTTTTTAAAAGAATCGTTGAATAGGCCTTGAGGAGTTTTTTATTTAAACTCGCTGAAGGTGTTTTAGTGAAGGATCTTGCGAGGAAGGCTGCAGTTTCTGCCTTCACAGCGGGATTTTTATTCTCTAAACCAGCAATTACGTCTTCGGAAATAACTTCTATGGTTATACTGAGGAATAGAGCATCGGAACATTCGCGAAGTACTTGAACAACATTCTGTTTCTTTTCGCGAAATTTTTCGAGCACCGTGGGAAGACAAGGTAGAGCGTAAGATGAGAACTGTTTCTTGAGACCATTCGCCAATCCTGTGAGACATTTTCCAGCGAGAGCCACTATCAGCACGTTAGAATCTTTAGCTATCAGCTGCACATAAAATAATTTTAAATTTAAATTAGATTTTATATTCGTTAGAATTTATCAACTGATAATTTAGTTAGGTATGTTTACCTTTTTTAAAACTCTTACGACATCTCCATAGTCGCCGCTTTCTAATTTTGGATTCTCTGCGAGCTTTTGTAAACTTTCAAGACCTTCTTTACGATCTTGCCACTTTTTTGATTCAACTTTATCAAAGAAGTCTTTTGGAAGTTTTGAAAGAATGTCCACAGGAGTAAACAATTCGTATGGATCAATATTTTGTTCAAAATCACCTTCATCTACCTCTTTTTCATCTGTAAATTAATAAAACAACATTGTAAATATTTATATTTTCAACAATTATCATTTGTAAAAAAAATTTAAAAAAAAATTTTCTGTGAATAGAATTACCATCTTCGTCATTAGCACCATCAGTGTCAATGTTGCGCGTTTCCTTTGGCTTTTGTGATTTTAAATATCGATTTGGAATATTCTTTTTGTCTCCAACATTTTGAAATTCAGTTTCAAGTTCCGTCAATTGCACTGGTTTTAAAGTATTCAACTGTTGCTTCAAAGGTGCACCGATCCACCTGAAAAATAATAGTATTGTTTTCAATTACAAAAAAGAAAAGAAAGAAAAATTCTCTTGAATGTTGATATTTTAAAAAGTTTAATTTCTAGTAATTCTGAAATTAAGAAATGATTTTTTTTTCTTACTTGTATATTTCCACGGCAAGAATTTTCCCCTCGTCACGAACACTTTTATCACGATCCTCCAAGAAAGCAGGAAGTTTTTTAATCAAAGGCTTGACATTCACAACTTTGGGTCCAAATTCCCTTTAAAAAAATAGAAATTCAGAAATATGAACATTTTTATATTTTTGAAAGAAACTGTTGCATTTGGATTAAATTTTTATTAGAAAATTCTATTACAAATTAAATTATTTAAATACAAAAATAAATGATTTATTAAATAATTGAATGTTTCTTAAACATTTTATCAACAAATTTTTAAATGATTGAATTCTTTCGACGAATTTTAATAACATTTTTAAGAATAATTACATTTTTCGAGAAATTTGATTGAAATTTTATTAAAAATAATTTGAACTTTTGCGATGAGTTTTATTATTTGTCAAAATAATTGAATCCCTAAGAAGAATTTTATTATTTTTGAATAATATTTAATTTTTGCAGAAAAATATTATTACTCTTGAAAATAATTGACTTTCTACCATAATTTGTAACTTTTCTAAAATTAAATTTTTTTCCGTGTTTTTAACTAAAATTCTTTTATAAATGCATTATATTTAATAATTTTTGAAAAATTTCTTTGAGAATTTTCAAATTTATTTTTACACAATTAAATTTTACAAAATTTCAATTATTCGTAAATTCTTCAATTAAATAGGTACCTACATAATTATTAGAAAATAAAAACTTGAAGTAATTTAAAAAAAAGCCGCAATTAAACTTTCTCAAAAAAATTAATTCCACAGAATTGTTAGTTAAAAATACGAAAAATTCAGTTTCTCACAGATTTTAATTTTAATTTGAAATTTAAATTGAACTCTCATTTAAAGAATTTTATCAACAAATTTTTAAATAGGTAATTATGTAAAATTCTTTTGACGAATTTCAATAAAATTTTAAAAAATAATTTCATTTTTCGAGATATTAGATTAAAATTGTATTAAAAATAATTGAATCTCTGTAAAAAATTTGATTGAATTGAAAAAAGTTTTTGAAAATAATTGAAATTTTGCCAAGAATTTTATTAAATTTTTTGAAAATAATTAAATTTTGGAGAAAAATTTTATTATTTCGAAAGATAATTGAAATTTTGACAAGAATTTTTAAAAAACTTTTGAATATAATTGAATTTCTGCGAAGAATTTTATTACTTTTGAAAATAATTGAATTCTTGAGACGAATTTTTTTAAATAATATTTCTTTTTAAATACCTAATTGAATTCTTTTGTGAAATTTTATTGAAATAGTAGAAATTGAAAATAATTGAATTTTGATAAATTATTGAAATTAATTAAATTTCTATAAAGAATTTTATTAAAATTCTTCTGAAAAAAATTGAATTGTTAAAAAGAATTTCATTAAAATTTTTGCAGAAAATTTAATTCTTTCAAGAAATTTAATGAAGAATGTATTGACAATAATACTTCAATTCTAATAAATAAATTATACAAAGGCTTTTTAAAATAATTAAATTTCTTTGATGAATTTTAATAAATATTTTTTGAAAAATTATATTTTACTTTTTTACTTTTTCGTCTTTTCTCAATCAAATTACGGACTTTATGAACCTTTTTTAAAAAACGGACTTTTACAAACTTCAAGCAAATTTACGGACGTTTACAGAATGGAATATACTGACAAAAAATTATAATTTTAAGAATAAAAACAATAATGAAATTAGAAATTGAACTAATTTACCTTAGAGAAAGAGTTAAAGTTGAGACACAGGCAGAGACAATTTTTGGATTTTTTGCTTCTGTTCCTTTTAGCAATTCCTCTTGAACGGCTTCCTGTTTCTCAATTTCAATATACATGAGTGTCACTTGCACTGCCAATTCTTTAGTTTTTGTTTTCGGTGCTGCAATGCATTTTGAAACAATGCCACCCATAACATCGCTGACAGTTCTGGGAAATAAAAATTTTATCATAAATTTTATTAATTATTAATACGTATAATATTATTAATTAAAATATTGTCAATATTCAATACTCACTTTCCAGCGACTGCGGCATTTTCTACGAAAGCAAGAACAGCCTCCAAACCTTTTTCCTGTGCAGCTGCATTACTGTCTATTACAAACTTTTTGACAAGACCCAGAAATTTATTAAATTCCGGTGATTTTTGATCGTCAATACAGCGAAATGATTTCGCACATTCCTCGTAGCCATGCACTCGAGCTTTCCATAACTGGAAAAATTATTATTGATAATAAATATTATTAATCAAACTATATAAAATTTATAAAATAAAACTGTCAAAACTGGAAAAAAATCGTAAATATTAAAAATTATAGTAAATTAATTCATATTTAATCGATACATTTACATTAATCTACAGTAATATAAATTTTAAAAACTTACCTTATGAACAACACGATCTTCCACTGGTAATTTATTATATTCGATATCTTCTTCCATTTTTCAGATCCTGCAAAAAAAAATTCCATAGAAGGAATCGGAAATTTTACGAAACAATATTGCGACTGGTTTTTGATTCGAAAATATGAAAATAATATTTTCAAAAGAAAAATAATTTCTAATATATCTATATACATGTATATACATATATATAGCAACTCCGAAAAGAATGACATATAACGCAATAAAGACGTACAAAATCTTTTTTCCCTTATTTTCAAAAATTAAAGTCAGCCTTTAATTCCTTTCCACTCTGAATCATGTTATTGCCGCAAAAATAAAGCTGATGATACCAAATATGTCAATGATATGTATGTCAATGATAACAGCGAATTTGGACAAAGAAAATCAATCTCAGCGAATCGTCATAATTAATAAACATTAACGACGCAAAATTACTACTAAGCATTTCATGTAAACATCAATCTACTAAAAATAAAACTAATAAACATTTGGTATCAAACTAGAATTTAGACATTTGCTATCCGCCGATTATAGTATTTAATTTATTTTTGAGAAAGAAAAATAAACGCTTTAGGTGATTTTCACTAATTTAGAACGAATTCGCTAATTGAATACCAAATACTTACTTTTATTAAATAACCAATACTTGAATAAGTAGTTAAAAACTATCACTAACACTCAGATCTATTTGTTTATCAATTAAAATAAATCAAATATTTTGCAATCCCTCATAACGATCTTTCAGGTCGCCATTAATTCTACATTTCAAATATATTCACCATATATGACGAAAATTCAATTGATTGTCGCAAGATACTTGTTCTTGCAAACGTATGAAACGGGTCAATGTGAATTCAATTTTTACTCACCAGAGTGAGCTGACTGATTTTTTTTCCCGCTTAAAAGTATCTAACCAATCAGAAATGGGAATTTTTGTATTATTTCCCCTAGAGCTGAGAATAGACCAATCGAGTATTGCATTAGTATAATTTTTCCGTTAAAAAAAACCATTGTTTTTTAATTTCAAAATTTTTATTTATAAAATATTTTTAAATAATTTCCGATTCAAACTTTAAAAAAAAATTCAATTATTAACAAAATTTACTAATTAATTATTCTTGTTTATTAATTTCAAAAATTTTAATAAAATTCTTTGTAAGAATTCAATTAATTTTCATAAATAGTAAAATTTTTTGCAAAAATTCAATTATTTTTAAATAAAATTTCACGAACGAATACAATTATTTTTTTAAATAGTATAAAATTGGCAAAAATTCAATTATTTAAAAAAAAAATGTAACGAAAGAATTCAATTTTTTTCTTAATTTATTATAAAAAATTTCAATAGAATTCAATTATTTTCTAAAATTTTAATAAATCCTTTGAAACAATTCAATTATTTTTTTAAATAGTATAAAATTTGCAAAAATTCAATTATTTAAAAAAAAAAAAATTAACGAAAGAATTCAATTTCTTTTTAATTCATTATAAAAAATTCCAATAGAATTCAATTATTTTCTAAAATTTTAATAAAATTTCATTAATGAATTCAATTCTTTTTTAACTTTTAATAATTTTTTTCCAAAAAATTCAATTATTTTCATAAATAATACAATTTTTCGAAGGAATTCAATTATTTTTAAAAGTAGTAAATTCTTTGCAAAAATTCAATTATTTTCAATAAAATTTCACAAAAAGAATTCATTTTTATTTTCTCAATTCGGTATAAATTTGTTCAAAAGAATTCAATTATTTTCTAAAATTTTAATAAATTCTTTGAAAAAATTCAATTATTTTTTTAAACAGTAAAATTTTTTGCAAAAACTCTCAATAATTTTTAATACAATTTGAATAAAATTTCATTAAAGAATTCAATTTTTTTCTTAATTCGTTATAAAATCTTTGCAAAAATTCAATTATTTTCTAGAATTTTAATAAATTTTTCAAAACAATTCAATTATTTTTTTAAACAGTAAAATCTTTGCTAAAATTCAATTACTTTCAAGAAAATTTCACGAAAAAATTCAATTTTTTTCTTAATTCGTAATAAAATTTTTGCAAAAATTCAATTATTTTCTAGAATTTTAAAAAATTTAATAAATCCTTCGAAAAAATTCAATCATAATTATAAATAGTAAAATTTATTGCAAAAATTCTATTATATTCAAAACATTTTCACGAAAAAATGCAATTTTTTTTTCTAAATTCATTATAAAAATTTTCAATAGAATTTAATTATTTTCTAAAATTTTAATAAACATTCATAAAAGAATTTAATTTTTTTTAAATTTTTAATATTTTTCCAAAAAATTCAATTGTTTTCATAAATAATCAAATTTTTCGAAGGAATTAAATTATATTTTTAAGTAGTAAATTCTTTGCAAAAATTTAATTATTTTCAATAAAATTTCACGAAAGAATTCAATTATTTTCTAATTTTTAATAAAATTCAATAATTAAATGTTCAATTTAAATTATTAACAAACACGATTATTTTAAAAACTCGAAAGAAATTATTCATAAAATCCAATTATTTTCAAAAAATGTAATTAAAATTATTAAAGAAACTCCATTATTTAAAAAAAAAATTCAAAAAAATTCTTCAAAAACAATTTAATTATAATTTTCAAAAATTTCAATAAAATACAACGATTATTAATATAGAAGATAGATTTTTTAATAAACTACAAATTTTTATTTTCAAAAAACTACATTAATTCCGTTCATTCATCTTGATTATAATGCAAAGAATAAATTTTAGAAAATAAATTACATCTACTTATTGTTTGATGAACGTAAAGAATAATAATGAACGCAAAGAATATTTAAAAAAAATAAATTACATCTATTTAGATGATCGTTCTGTTCTTGAAATAGTCGACATACCGTCAACAAATTTCGTGGTAAAGAGAACATTTGCATTATTGAACATGCCATCTTTTAGGGAAACTAAAACAAATTGAGAATGTTTAAAATGCCTCTTCAACATTGTTCCTATATTCTCAGTGTGCGAAAGATCCAATGCCGCGTCGACTTCATCCAAAATGTACAAGGGCGCGGGTTTAAATAAAAGCATCGCCAAAATTAACGAAAGCGCTACCAGAGACTTTTGTCCACCGGAAAGTTCTCCCAATGATTCTTTCCAAACACCGGAAAAGGCGATTTTCACCTCTAAACCATCAAGAACTGTACTATTCTCCGGTGGTTGTAATTTTGCACTTGTTCCTGGTAGTAAGGTACTAAATATCGATCCAAAATCTTTGTTCACCTGTGAATGGAAAATAAATTACTTTTTAGAATTAATAATGAACTAATTCCGTTGCTTTAGCAATTGGCGACTGGAATTTTTTTATCTAAAGTCAATCGAAATTCATTTAAGGAAAATAGAGTTGCCACAAAAATTAAATTTTGTTTTTCCATGATTTCTAGACAAAATTTTGAATTTTTCCCTAACCCCCAAAAGAATATTCTGATTCATTGTAAAAATAATTTAAAATAATTGAATTTCTCCCATGAGTTTTATTATTGATATGAAAGTAATTGAATTTCTACAAAAGAATTTAATTAATTTATAAAAATAATGGAATTATTGCGAAGAAATTTATTAATAAAATTTGTAAATAATAGTTTTCCTAGGAAATTTTTATTATTTATGAAAATAATTAAATGTTTGAGTAGAATTTTATCAAAATTTTTTTTTTTAATATTTGAATTCTTTTGGAAAATTTAATTAAAATAGAAGAAATTGAAAATCATTGAATTGAGGAAAAATTTTTTGAAATAATTGAAATTTTGCCAAGAATTTTATTACAATTTCTGAAAATAATTGAATTTTGGAGAAGAATTTAATTATTTCTCAAGATAATTGAAATTTTGTCGAGAAGATTATTGAAATTTTTGAAAATAATTGAATTTCTACGAAGAATTTTATCAAATTTAGAAAAATAATTGAATTCTTTTGAGAAAAAATAAAAATTTTAAATTAAAAATTCTTTAAAATAATCAATTTCCTGCGAAGAATTTGATTAATTATGAAAATAATTCAATTCTTGTAAATAATTTTATTAAAACTGTTAAAAATAATTGAATTTCTGCAAAGAATTTGATTAATTAGGAAAATAATTGAAATCTTTTTACGAATTTCATTAAAATTTTCGAAAAAAAAATTGAATTTTTTCGATGAATTTAATCAAAATTGTTCAAAAATAATTGAATTTCTACGAAGAATTTTATCAAATTTAGAAAAATAATTTAATTCTTTTGAGAAATTTTAGAATTAAAAATAATTTAATTTCTGTGCAGAATTTTATTAATTATTATGAAAATAATTCAATAAATTCTCATAAATAATTTCATAAAAATTTTCAAAGTAATTGAATTTCTGTGAAGAATTTTGTTAAAATTCTTTAGAATAATTAACTTCCTAGCAAAAATCGTGTAAATTATGAAAATAATTGAAATCTTGCTAAGAATTTTATTAGGATTTCTAAAAATAATTGAATTTCGTTGAATAATTTTATTATTTTTAAAGATAATTGAAATTTTCAAGATTATTTTATTTAAATTTTTGAAAATAATTGAATTTTGAAGAAGAATTTTATTATTTACACAGTTAATTGAAATTTTGACGAGATTTTTAAAAAAATGTTTAACATAATTGATTTTTTGCAAAGAATTTAATTACTTTTAAAGATAATTGACTTTCTGCGAAGAATTTTAATATTTTTGAAAATAATTGAAATTTTGACAATAATGCTATTAAAATTTTTGAATATAATTAAATTTCGTCGAATAATTTTATTATTTATAAAGATAATTGAAATTTTTACGAGATTTTTAAAAAAATTTTGAACATAATTGAATTTCTGCCAAGAATTTTATTACTTTTCAAAATAATTGAATTTCTGCAATATTAATTAATTAATTAATTAAATATAAATTATTAAAAAAAGAAATAAATTATTAAATTTTTTCAAAAATCTAAATTCTTTCTAATTTAATTCATTGAAAATGGAAATTTTCTAAAATTCCAAAATGAAACTTATTGAAGATCATCCATTTATGAAAAAAAGTAGACACAACTCTTAACATTCAATTAATTTTAAAATGTTTAAATAATTTAAATAATTTCCTGACTTTTTCCTAAATTCCTTGACTTCCCTGATCTGAGGCAACCCCCTAAAGAAAAAGAAGAAGAAATTAAATTTGACAAGTCTGGGGTGAATAAAATTTCATACCTGTTCCCAAGCTTGGTGAATTGTTTCCTTTTTCTTCTCGTCCAAGTGTTTTATTGTTTCTAAAATTTTCCTCTTATCATTCTCGACGATTTTCTTTTTGTCCAACATCATTTTATATTGTTCCTCTTCCTTATTCAAGAGATTCATTGCTCTTGTATTTACATTTCGACTCAAGCGATCACGTTGGTTTTCCAATTGATGCATTTTCTGGCCCATTTTCTCAGGATCGTTGACACTAAAATCGTACATTCCTCCAGCTTCTCCGAAATAGTCTTTGTCTTGCTCGATCCACTCGTATTTTCTCTTTAATTCAGCAACTTTATGTTTACACTCTGTGGCACTGTTCTTAATTGCATTAATTTCGTGATTTAGTTTCTTTATTTCCAATTCTGTCTCGCTGGCCTGTTTTATAAGTTCTTCCTTCTTATTTAACATTTTTTGTATTTCTTTACTTTTTTGATTTATTATATCTTTTTGTTTTTTTAGTTCTCCCTGTACTTCGGCGACTTCTTCTTTCACTGTGTTTATTTCCTCCTTTAACGCTGATTCCTTTTCTTTGAGTTCGTTTAATTTCGCTTCTGCTTTTTCGAGTTGTTCTTTACCACTTTCAATTGTTTTTTTCAATTCGGAGAGTTCTAGATTCAACATTTCTGATTCCTGTTCTCGTTTCTGCCATTCTTTTCTACTTGCTTCTGATTTCTTTCTTAAGGTTTCTAATTTCTTCTCTGCCTCCTTCAATTGTCGTTCGCGAATATTTGCCGAGTCTTTTAATTGCGCCTCGAGCTCTTTCGACTTTTGTGAACTTAGCTTTTCGGTTTCTTTTGCCTCCTTCATTTTTTGAGTCAATTCCACAATTGATGCTTGCAATGCTTCGACTTCTTCTTTAATTTGATGATGTGTGGTTTGTTGAATTCTCTTGCGGACCATTTCTACCTCGTGACTCTTGAGATCGTAGGTTTGCTTCAACATTGTATACTTTTGGGCATTTTGTCCAATATTGGAAATATTTCCCTCAACATCACGTAGTTCGTAATTTTTCTGATTTAATTCGTTCTGAATGACTTTTAATTCTTCTAGTTTGAGGAGAATTGAACCGCCTTTTGCTCGAGAACCACCGGACAATGTTCCGGACGGATCGAACACATCGCCGTCGAGTGTCACGCACTTTTTCATAATTCCATCGTGAAAGGCAATTTTTCTTGCAGTCTCCATATCTTTACAAATGAAAACTTGACCGAAAATCCAATTCATCGCGGAACGGGTTTCCTCCGGGAAATCAATGAGATTCAATGCCGGTTGAACGTTCTCTTTTCCCACCAATTTCTGTGCCAGGTCGACTATTCTCTTGTCTATCACACGACCATTGATTTTGTTTAGAGGAATTATTGTGACACGCTGCTGCAATTGACCGCGCTGCAAAAGCTTTTTACTCGTATTTTCAGTGTCGACGATCACATTATAAAGCTGAAAATCAAAACCAGTGGAATTAAAATACAATGAAGCAAAAGAAAAAACTAAAATTATTAATAATTGAAATATTTACCTTTCCTCCAGCGGCAACTTCTAAAGCATAGGCACTTCTGTGATCCCTCAAAGTGATGAGTTGACAGACTAAACCCTTCACGGATTCCCTTCGGAAATTTGGCTCAGGATCTTTATAATTAAATCGAAGTTGATGACATCTCGATTCAAATACATCGACTTTATCCTGTAAATTTCCGATCTCTCTTTGCAATGTTCGTCTTCTTTCTTGATAACCTTCCAATTCTCCCTCGGTATAATTTACACTCTTTAATTCATTTTCTATTTTTTGTAAACTTTGCTCAACGTCCGTCAATTTTTTGCTGTCCTTCTTGTAGTCGTTTTCAGTATTTCGCATATCGTTTTGCTTTTTAGTCAACTGCTGTTTACTGTGTGAGAGTGTCATTTCACATTGTTTCACTTCGGTTTGTGCCTGAGTAGCCGTTTGTTTTGCATTCATCAATTGCTGTTCCAAAGTTGCATTTTCACCGTCATCATTCTCCAATAAACCAGCACTGATCTTATGATATGTCTCTTGAGCAGCGAGAAAAGCATCGGAATCTTGTTGATCCTGATCTTTCAACTGTTGAAAAAGACCACCAACTTTCTCGAGTTGTTTTTCCTTTGTTGTTAGCATTTTCTCGTCATCAGTAATATTCGATTTTAATTGTTCGAGAGCTGTTGTTTCTGTTTTCACATTTTCTTTATTACCTTTGATTTCGGCGGCTAATTTCAATTCTTTCTTTTCCACTTCTTTGAGATTCGATTCTAATGTTTCGAGGTGAAGTCCCTTGTCCTACGGATACAAATAGAAATAATCTTTATTAATAATCTGTTCGCAGTTTGAAGTTACTTGCTGTTTGCCACGAGAATTCAATTATTTTAAATAAAATTTTAATAAAATTCTTCTCAAAAATTCACTTATTTTTTTAAATTTTGCAAAAATTCAATTATTTTGGAGAAATAATCAATGTTTTCGCTGGGATTCAATTATTTAAAAAAGTTTTAATAAAATTCTACTCAAGAATTCAATTATTTTCAGAAATAATTAAATTGACGATGTACTGAAAATCATTGAATTCTTGAAAAGTATTTATAAAAAAATTTGAAAATAATTGAATTCATTTCAAGAATTTTATCAACTTTTTTTTCTATAATTGAGTTCTTTCAAGAAAATGTAATTAAAATTGTTTTGAAAACAATTTAATTCTTGACAAGATTTTTATTAAAATTCTATAAAATAATTAAATTGTTTACAAGAATTTATTTAAATTTTTCTTGAAAATAATGGAGTTTTTTTAAAATAATTTTTATTGAAAACTTTGAAAGTAATTGAATTTTATGAAGAATTCAATTATTTTCAATAATTTTAATAAAATTCTTTGCAAAATGTCAATTTATAAATAATAAAAATTTTATTAAAAAATTCAATTATTTTTATATAAATCACGAAATTCTTATCAGGATTTCACTTATTTTCAATACAATTTTAATTAATTCTTGCAAGAAATGTTATTAAAATTTTTAAATAATAATAAACATGAATATTTAATATTATGTACTTAATAAGTGAATTCTTTAAATTTAAAATCTGTAGTCATTCAAAACTTGATGTTTATTCTTGTTCAATAAAAATATTGCATTAGAAATATGATTTAAAAAGTAAAAAATATTTACTAACTTCATCTCTTTTCTTTTGCAGGACGACAACTTCAATTTCGATTCTCTTCACTTCTTCTTCTCCATCCTTTATACTCTTTTGTTTATTTTCCAAATCTTTTTTTACTTTTGAAACATTTTTTTCCGCATCGTCACTGTCCTGTAGAGCTTTTTGATACCTCCATGCAATATAAATCCGACGACAATGTTCAAGTTCCCTTTCGACTCGTTGAAATTCGACAAATTGCATTCTCTCCTGTTTGAGCCTCTCCAACTTTGGACCAATTTCTTCCTTGAGAATCTACAAAAAAAGGAAAATTAATTAGCAAAAACGAAAAAAACTGAATCAAAATATTACTGAGAAACATTACATTTTCAATTTCGACCAATTTACTGTCTTTCTTTTCAATTGTTTTCAGAGCAGCTTGCTTCTTTGTCTCGTACATACGAGTTCCTGCTGCCTCTTCGATCATCGAAAGAATTTCCATTGGTTTCATATTCAAAACTTTGGTGATTCTACCTTGCATGATAAGAAAATGTGGATTATTCACGTTCAATTGAACGGAACAAAATAAATCTTGTACACGTTTATTTGGAACATTAGAACCGTTAATCATATATTTATTTTTTCCACCAATTATCACTTGTCGGGTAATTGTAATTTCGTCATAATGTTCATAGCCCATCGGAGAAACATCACGATTTCGGTTGTCAAAAGTTATTGTCACACTGGCCTTTTTTATGCCGGCTTGACCTGATTTGTAAACAAGTTCTTGTAGAGAACTCGCACGAACCTAAAAGACAAAACACGATATTAAATAATAAAAAAAAATATTAAATATTAATATAAGAAAAAAGATATTAAGATTACAATATAAAATATAAATTTAAATACAATATAAAGCAATACAATATAAAAATATTAAATTATAAAAAAGATACTAAAGTTATTCAGTAAAAAAAGATATGAAAATTGTTCAGTAAAAAAGCTATTAATATTTAATTAATTAATAGAAAGAGTAAAAAAAAATCTTCAGATTCATTGATGAGTGATGTAAATAAACATACCTGGGACAAATTTGTTATTCCAAGGACAAAACATATTCCATCTAAAATATTAGATTTACCACTACCATTCAAACCAGTAATTGCATTGAATTCTCTGTCAAAACCGTTGATTTCTATGCGCTTTCCATAGGATTTGAAGCCTTCCAATACCATCGATTTTATGTACATTTTGATAAATTTTATTTATTTACAACGTCGAGTAACACAATATTTTTTCGCACTTATGTTATATTATTATAAATGTCAATGTTTGTAATACTATAATTGTAAATAAGCAAAGACGCGGGAAAAGCATAACGCTGTTTCTTTAAAGGTACACAACCATTTTCAAAATGTTTCTTTAGGGCTTATTTCCAAGAGTAAAGGCGCTTTCACACTTCGAAATCAGTTTACTTCTGGACAAGTATTTTCTGATTGGCTGAAATCAGCGGAAGTGCTTGGACATGACATCTGGTAAGAAAATCTCGAACAATACTGCGCACCATCTTTGTTTTTATAGTTCATGCCAGTCCGTGGCAATAGACGAACCTCACAAGAGGTTGGCAGAATTCCTGTAAATTTAGATTTTTCTTTTGGAATTCAGCGTTATTTTATAAGCCTCAACCTCGGGTAATGTGAAATTCTCCATTGATTTTTAACATTATTTGAAGCGAAAAATATTTGCGTGAACAGTGATACATTTACTTGTAAAGTAGCAAAAAATATTGTCACCAATGATGGCGGTACCTTCAGCCGGTGTAGGTGAGTGTGTTGTCTCCCAATTTTATAAAAAATCTAACTTTTTGAATTATTTTTAAAATTCATCTATTTTATTTCATAAATTTCTTCGTTTAGTTTTGAATAAAATTATCATAAAACGGCAAATATTTAAGAAATTTTTTCCCATCCAACATTACCGTACGTCGTAGAATTTTTTTCGACACTCTACACGCTTTATTATTTAGAATATAAATGTGAATTTACCGTCCACATGTCTATGACTTTTACTTCAATAAAGAGTAGAAATAATTATTAATCAATTTTTTCCAAACAATATTCACCAAAAAGGGAAAAAATTACTTTTCGTTAAAAGGTTAATTGTTGCCTAATGTGTGTAACCTTTGGAAGCCATATATCTAAGTATTCTAATAAATATTCTTTTTCTTGATATTATTTTTCAGTTGTTCCAAGGAACTTTCGTTTATTAGAAGAACTTGAACAGGGACAAAAAGGTGTGGGTGACGGCACGATAAGTTGGGGCTTAGAAAATGACGATGACATGACTCTCACGCATTGGACTGGGATGATTATTGGACCACCCAGAGTAAGTTTACTTTGTTTTATTTTCCTTCGGTAAATTTCTGAATAAGTAAATTCAGATTTTACTGCTTAATTTTAAATCGTTTTTGTTAAATAATTTAATTTTGCAGGCTTCGCACTCATTTACTAAAACTCTACTTTTTTTACATTATTTATTTATTTATTTTATTAAACATAAACATATTATGCTTTTATTTGGGTGCTTTTTTTAGATTTCAGCGACTAAAAGTTACTATTTCTGTTTTTTTTTTAATTTCCGCTACTTTAAATTCGCTAATACTAGAAATAAAAAAACTAAGTATTCTCAAAAATTATAATCAAATTCTTTAAAATGATTCAATTATTTTCAAAAAATATTCGAAATTCAACTATTTTCATAAAATTACTCAAAAGAATTCAATTATTTTCGGAAATAATAAAATTACCACAGGAATTCAATTAATTTAAAATAGCATATTAAAAAAAATTTCGAAAAAATCAATTATTTAACAAAATTTTTATACAATTCTTCACAATAATTCAATTACATTTATTTGTAATAAAATTTTTCGTGGAAATTCAATTATTTAAAAATTTTTTTAATAAAATTCTAAGCAAGAATTCAATTATTTTCACAAATAAAATTTTCTACAAGAATTCAATTATTTTAAATTAAATTTTCATAATATTAATTAATATAATTATATTTTGGAAAAATTAATTATTTAAAACAATGTTTGTAAAATTTTTATGAAGAATTAAATTATTTACAAAAATATTAGAATTTTTGACAGAAATTCAATTATTTTCAAATATTTTAATAAACTTGTTCTAAAGAAATCAATTATTTTCATAAACAGTAAATTTTTTCTCAGGAATTCAATTATTTTTGAAAATTTTTTATAAAATTCTTAGTAACTATTCAATTACTTTCATAAAGAATAAAATCCATTGCAGGATTTCAATTATTTTTAATTTAATTTTACAGGATTTGCTCAAAAATTGTAATTATCCTTAAAATTTAATTTCAATTTCTCGAAAAAATGATTTTAAAAAATTGTTTTTTTCAAATTTTTTAAAAGAATTCAATTATGCCGATAAATAACAAAATTATTCCCGAAAATTCAATTATTTTGAGGAATTTTAATGAAATTCTTTGCAAAATTCAATTATTTTCATAAATAACAATATTTATCACAAGAATTTAATTATTTTTAAAAGTAATAAAATTCTTCTTGGAAATTCAATTATTTTAAAAATTTCTCATAAAATCGTTCACAAGAATTCAATTATTTTCATAAATAATAAAAATTTCACAAGATTTCAATTATTTACAAATTTATTTTTCATAAATAATAAAATTCTTTTTAGGAATGAAATTATTTTTTATTAGTTAATAAAATTTCTCAATATAGAATTCAATTATGAAAATGTAATTTATAACATTTTTCTTATAAATTCAATTATTTCCAGTAAAATTTCTTAAAAGAATTCAAGTATTTTTTTAAATAAATTCTTCGCAAAAATTCAATTATTTAAATTTTTTATGAGAATTCACATATTTTTTTATACAATTTTAATTAAATTCCTGGAAATAATTCAATTTTTTCATAATTTATAAAATTTTTAGCAGAAATTTAATTATTTTAAAGAATTTTAATAAAATTCTTCACAGAAATTCAATTACACAATTTATTCACAGATTGCGCACATGTCTTAATATAAATGTTAAATATTGATATAAAAAAAAAACTGTTAATGTATTAATTTAGACTCATTTTTGTATTTAATTTGTAGACAAAATTTAGTCTGCATTATTTAGTTTTATTTGTAAAGGGCTTTTTATGCCCGTCTGTACATTTAAATAAATAAATTACTTTAAAAAATTTTGATAAAATTATTTATGAGAATTAAATTATTTTCATAATAATTAATAAAATTCAATTATTTTTAAAAGTAATAAATTTCTTCTTGGAAATTCAAATATTTTAAAAATTTCTTATAAAATCGTTCGCAACAATTCAATTATTTTCATAAATAACAAAATACTTTTTAGGAATTCAATTATTTTTATAAATAATAAAATTCTTCTCTAAAATTCAATTATTTTCGAAAATTTTAATAAATTTCTTTGTAAAATTTAAATTATTTTTAATAAAATTTCCAAACAGAATTCAATTATTTAAAAAATTTTTTGTAAATATTTTCGTAAGAATTCAATTCTTTTTCATGAATAATAAAAATTTCTCAGGAATTCAATTATTTAAATTAGAATTTGCATGAAATTAGTCGAAAGAAATCAATTATTTAAAATTTTTGTCAAGAATTAAATTATTTTTATAAATATTTAAATTCTTTCCTGAATAATAAAATTCGTTGAAGGAATTAAATTTATTAGCTGCAGAAGAAAGAAATAAATATTTTTTATAAAAATTAGGAAAAAGTCAGGAAATGTGTTAAAAGATACTTTTTGATACTTTTTTAAAATTAATTATCGAGTGCGAAGTCTAATTTTTGGAAAAAAAAGTAATGTGAAAAAAAATATTTTTTTAACTTCATGTTTTGTAAATGATATAAATGTCACTATAAATAAAAACTGACGACAAAGTTTTATGCTTTGGTTTATAAAAATATTTACATTACAGTTTATAGTAGAAAATGTTTTTTTCAGACTCCTTACGAAAATAGAATGTACAGTTTGAAAATCGATTGCGGTGTAAATTATCCAGACGATGCACCTAGTGTAAGATTTTTGAGCAGAATTAATATGAATTGCATCAATAGTACTACTGGAGCGGTAAGAATTTATTTTTTAAATAGAATATTCTATTTTATAAGTTTTCTTTTTTAATCTCTGACGTAAACATTTAATATGAATATTTTTTTTGAATTAATTAAAAACATTCGGTATATTTTTCTCTAGAATATTTCTTATTTATTTTCTTAATTTATTGAATAAATTTTGTTTTTTCAAAGGTGGATAATCGTAGCGTGCCCGTGTTGGCGAAATGGCAGCGGGAATATACTATCAAGACTGTTCTCCAGGAACTCCGTCGTCTCATGACCCTTAAGGAAAACATGAAACTCTCTCAGCCACCCGAAGGCAGCACCTTTTAGCCTAACCACGAACCTCTTTCTTCCTAGTTTGAGGAAAATAAACTTATTAAGGTACCAAATAATATTGCACTGGTGCCCGGAGAAGATGTATGTTAAGGAAATACTCACCTTTGCGAGTAATAAAAAAGGTGGACACTGCTTGGAAGGTCGAATCTGTACTTTTTCTATTATAATTCAGGGAAATATTCCTATTAATTGAAATAGTTTTCCATCGCGGCCTGGTTCTACCAATTCGTTATTATTTTTTTAAAAAAGATTTTTTACTTTCACCATAAAGTTTTTGCACGTTTTTAACACTGATAGTTTTTTTTTTTTTAAAAGTACGAATTTCGACGAGACGAAAATACTGGTTCGACTTAACAAGATATATTTTCAATTTTGAGAAACTGAAAAAGAAAATTAACAATAATTACGAAAAGAAAGTTACAAAAATTTGAATAATCAGTAATGTTAACATTTTGCAAAAAAAGAAAAAAAATTCAAACTGAAACTTGTCATCTGTATTTGTTTTTATAATTGTCAGAATCTTGTCCAATTACTATTATCTAATTCCAATTAATTGTAGAACCATTCTGTATATTTTCCATGTCTTGACTCGTGTGTCTCGATATATTCCAAATTACATTTCGTACAATATTGAAATTGATCTTTTATTCTAACTTCTGAGTCACATCGTCCTTGGGGTCGTAGAGAGAATATTTTGCCTTGGATATCGAGCGTCAAAAAAAAACGGTGATTGTCGATTGACAAATGACAACGTCCAAGAAAGGCCTTCTGTCTATCAAGAGATGAGCATTGTAGATGAAAAATTTTACCCTTTTTTGTAAATGGTAAAATAAATAAATGCTCAAGTTATCGAAAATGTACTCATTTTTTTTGTGATTTATATAATTATTATGATAATCACCGACCAACGGCACATCAATAGCGAAGCATTTCAGCACATTGATAGCTTTTTCATTCCATTTGTATGTCTGTTTGGGCACCTTTTTTTTTTTTTTGAAATAACCGTCAAATTCTAAATAGTCGAATTAAGTTTATCCTTATGCTTCATAATTGACGTATCGATGGCACTAGATTTATAGCAAGATAACACAGAGTACACAAGTAGCTTTGTAAACGTCGTGTATATGCTCGAGTTACGCTTTAGTAACGCGACCCAAAAAAAAAATGAATTTATGTAAGTTAACAATTATTCCAATGAACGTTTCATGCAGTGCAAGGACGAAGTTCCAATCTTATGTTACACTTTAGCTAAAAAGAAAATTATAATCGAATAAATTATTTAAAAGAGTTTTTTTGGGAAAGTATTCTTCTCACTTATTTTCGATTTTTTAGTTTCTTTTTATTCTTACAATCTTCCCTGCGTAAACAATTTTTCTCTATGAAAAGAAGGGCGAAAATTGAGGCCTTGGATCCAATAACTCGCCCGACGCTCGGAGGTACGCGCAACTGCCAGTCAGTGAGCAGTGAGCGCCTCTGGGCCACTCACTGCTACCCGACTGGTATTAGCGCGTGTCTTCGAGCGTCGGGCGAGTTATTGGATCCAAGGCCTCAATTGTATATTATGAATTTTTTAGTCAATGAAAAGCAATGTTTCACGTTGAATTTTATCAATCTGTATGTTAATTTAGTTCTCCTATTTTCTACGTCAGGCTTACCACAGGTCAGGGAAATCAGAAAAAAGTCAGGGACTTTTATTAAAAGTACTGGAAAAAATTAAATTTTTAGAATTCATAAGAAAATTCTGAATTCTAATACGAAACCTTTAATTTTTTCCATTTTTGACACTAATTTCTTTTAAATAACTTCATTTTGGAAAAACTATCATAAAATTATTACTTAGAAAATATTTAACGAATAATTTTACTTAAATTTTTCAACATTAATTCAATTTTAAAAAAGTTGCGATAACAATTTTCATAAATTATTTTGTAACTAATTTCTGAACAATCTGAATTAAATTAAATTAAAATTCTTCTCCGAAATGCAAAAATTTTCAAAAATTCTTGTAAAAATATCAATTCTCTTTATAAATAATAAAATTCTACGCAAACATTTAATTATTTTTATAAATAATAAAAATTTCACAAGAATTCAATTATTTACAAATTTATTTTTTATAAATAATAAAATTCTTTTTAGGAATTCAATTATTTTCATTAATAATAAAACTCATCGCAGAATTTCATTAATTTTTAATACAATTTTAATCAAATTCATCGAAAAATGTAATTATTCTTAAAAATTTCATTAAAATTCGTTGAAAGAATTCAATTTTTCAAAACATTTAATTATTTCAATAAAATATTTATTTTTCTATTTAAATAATTGAATTCTCGTAGAATTATTATCGTTAATTATTATAAAACATGAATGAAGAAGTCAATCACTTCGAGTGGAAGACTCGAAGCAATCGATATCTTGTTTTATAATTTAATATTTAAAATTTTACCACTAGACGTGTAAAATTAATTACTGAAAACTAAATCATAGAAATAAGTTTAAAATATTCAAGAATAAAAAAATTATTTTTGGATTAATCATGGTATAAAGGTAATAATTTTCTTTAGGAAATAATAAATTGAACTCAATAGGAATTACGGTGAATTAACGATTTAATTTGACAGGACAATGAGTGTCATTGTTTACTGTTGTTTTATGTACATTTCATTAGATGATATCACGTGGATATTAAATGGGCATTTTCTTTTGAGACGATCAGAAGATAACAAAAAAGATGTTTCTTCGGCCCGATCAAAAAAAAATTTTTTTGCGTAATCCTTTATATTATATAAAACTACTGTTTGCACCCGAACATTTCTCGTTCCAAGCAACTTTTTTTTTGGGCTAACAGTTGTGAATTGTATTATTCGACGCAATTCATTTATTTCTTCTTTTGCTTCGGAGGAATAAACGCTAGTTTTGTATTTTTAACTACAGTCCAATTGCTCCTCTTCATGTAGAAACAAATTGCGACCAAAAATGAACCTACTCCCAAGACCTAGAGAAAAATAGTTTATAGTTTTAAATATTAGTAAGAAATTTCAACAAATTTCAATTTCAATTTAATGTGATTTAACTTTTAGTTAAAATTTAATTTATTCGCTACGATTTATTACCTTTATTGCCATTTTTTGCCTCTCGTCATGTTCCATGTTTGACGTCCATGTGAGGAAAGTGACGACATCCTTGGCAATTTGCGAAGCAGTCGCTGGTGTTCCATCTTCAAACTCTAATACTTCGTCGTAAACTACCTAAAGAAAAATGGTAAAATCAATATATTTTTGTTTTGAATTTCAATTTTCGGGGAGTAATTTTACTTACTTGACCCATTCCAATGGCACCACCCGGGAAATAGGGATTGAAATTTTGACCGTCTCTCAAAACAATTCCAGCTGGGGGATCACAGTACCCAGTTAAGAGAGAAAAGATGTAATTCTAAAAGAAAAAAAAGGTCTTTATTCATTAAGACAATTTCCATTGCTTTGAAAAAGTGGAAATTATACGAAAATTAGGAAAAATACGATTCTTTCTCAAATGAAGAATCAAAAAAAAAAGAAAAGAAAGAAAAAAGTTTTGAATGAAAAAAAAGTATTTACCTCTCCATTGTGTCTCGCATTTTGAATAAAAGAAAGATCTGGTGGATAAGAACCATTATTCGCTGCTCTGGCAGCTTCTTCATTTGGATAAGGACTTGGTATAAAATCGAATAATTTTCCAGGACGCATGAACATTTCGCCCTTATCATCAGGTCCGTCTTTAATCTAAAAAATCAATTTACGATACATGTTAATTCAATTTTAGTTTATAATCAACAGGGAAATCTAGGAATTTAATTTGACCGGGAAAAACCCGAGAACAAACCAGGAATTTTATGCAAAACTGGGAATTTTTTCACTAAATTAAAAAAAGTTTTATTATTTTAGTTTGTTTTTGAAAAATCGCTTTTTATTTCAATTTTTATAGATTTTCATACTATTCTCTAAATTTGAATTAGTTCAAAATAATTAATTTGATCGTATAAAATTAGTCACTGATTCAAATACAGTATGTAGATAAATTTTAAAAAAAATTGTCGAATTAATAGAAATTTTGTGGAATTCAACTGAAAATAATTAAATTTGTTAAAGAATTTCATTGAAAACTTTTTAAAAAATCGAATTTTCAAAGTATTTTAATTTAATAATTGATAAATAATTGAATTTTATAAAGAGTCACATTCTAATGTATTAAATTTATTGATAAAATTCTTTATGAGAATTCAATTTTCAGAAATAAGCAATTATTCAATAAATTGTCTTTTTTATGTAAATAATTGAATTCTAATAGAATTTTCTAATAAAAATTGATTTAAAAATGTATTTCAGTTAAAATTTTCGATTGTAATTGAATATTAAAAGCATTAGAGCGTGAATTTTTAGAAATAATTGAATTTTGAAAAGGTTTCAAATTAAAATCATTGAAAATCTGAATTTTTCATATTTTTAACTAACAATTCTGTGGAATTATTTATTTTTTTTTGAGAGAAAGTTCAATTGTGGATTTTTTTTGTTGAAATTATTTCAAGTTTTTATTTTCTAATATATATTTAATTAAAGAATTTACTAATAATTGAAATTTCGTAAAATTGAATATATTATAAAGAAATGGATTTGAAAATTGTCAAAGAACTTTTTCGAAAATTATTAAAAGTAATCGATTTAAAGAAGAATTTTAGTTAAAAATTCTTGAAAATAATAATTAAATTGTTAATGATTTTATCACTCGGTTATTAATTATTATAAAACATGAAAAATTTAATTGAATTATTTTTATAAATAGTAAAACTCATTGCAGAATTTCAATTATTTTTAATACAATTTTAATCGAATTCCTCGAAAAATGTAATTATTCTTAAAAATTTTATTAAACTTCGTCGAAAGGATTCAATTATTTTTAGAAACTGTTAAAAAAATTCTTCTCAAGAATTCAATTATTTCCATAAATAGCAAAATTTTTCAGATTTACTAAATTCTTTTGAATATTATTTTTAAAAAAATTCTTCAGAAGAATTCAATTATTTTCATAAATTTCCATAAAATTCTTCGCAGAAATTCAATGATGTTTAATTTTTTTTTAAATTCTCCTCAAAATTTCAATAATATTTATAAATAATTAAATTGTTCTCCACAATTCAATTATTTTCGAAAATTTTAATAAAATTCTACGCAAGAATTCAATTATTTTCATAAATAATTACATTCTTTGGAAGGATTCAATTACTTTTATAAATACAGTAAAATTCTTTGCAGAAATTCAATTAATCTCAAATTATCAATACATTCTAATAGAATTGAATTAATCAAATTTTCAATTATAATTATTAACAGACAAATTTTTTTTTGAAAAATTGAAAAAATTCTTGTTTAATTCAATTATTTTCCAAGTTTTTAATTAAAATTATCAAAAAAAACATTATTTTCATAAAATTTAAAGAAACTCGTCAAAAGAATTTAATTATTCATAAAAACTCAAATTAAAATTTTGAAAGTCATTTGTAGATTTAGTTATGTTTGAAATCAAATAAATTTAAATTTGATGAAAAAAAAACCCGAGAAAATTTAGGACAAAGCCGGGAAAGAACCGGAAATTTTGTTGAACGAAAATAGTAGACACCCTGTAATCAATTTAATTTTTTAAATTACCAAAATAGAAGTTTTCAACTAACCATCACTTCTTCGGCTATAGCTTTAGCTTCAGCCTCGGTATGAGTGTTGTTCACCAAATGTCTATAAGCGACATATCTCAAACTATGGCATGCAGCGCATACATTTTTGTATACTTCCCAGCCTCGACGCATGCTAGAAAAAAAAGAAAAAGTTCAATTAAATCACATTTTTATTAACACCGGACTTTAGAAAAATCTATTTTTCCTACCTGGCATGATCTAGAGAATTAAAACCACCATTAAAACTCCATGGGAATTTCGGTGCATGGGCTACTAATTCTTCAGCGTGGACGCTGTTTTCTAAGGCGTACACGAAGGCCCCAACAGTTCCAGCTGCAACTCCAATGCATGTCACTAGCTGCAATTAACAAAAATATTTCACAATCAAGTCATTATCGGATATTTTTTTATTACAGGAAAATTACAGATGAAAAAATATCTAAAAAGTTATTTTTAAGAAGCAATTAAGAAATACTTCAAAATTTAAACTTACTAATTTCACTGGAGGATAAGCTACAGGATATACGGGTTGTACTTAAGGAAGAATGTGAAAGGACTTATCTAATTTGTAAAAAACAAACCAAATGTCATCGTTTTCAATAAAAAATTTCTTTGACAGTTTTTTTAACTCTTCGAAAGAAATATGTAATTTAATTTACTTATTTTTAAGAAATTTCAAATAATTTACTTACGATCTTTCTGCCCCTGGACCATTCTTTGGTTGTAGTAAAATTGCAAGTCTAGAAATAGAAGAATTACTTCGTTAAAATAATTACAAAAAAAAAAATTCATTAGGCAACTAAGAATTGGAAACTTTATTTACAACTCTGTCCTTCAAACGAGAATTTTTTCAAGTCCTAATAAAAAAAAAGTATTCTTCATAGTCGAGAAATGAAACATAATTAACTTTTTAGTTCCAGAGATTTGTTCAATTAGTCAAAATTCTAATTTTTCAAAAAATTTAAATTTGGCGCCGAAAGATTAATCGAAATGAAGAGAATAAAAAATTATTCAACAACAATATAGATTGATAATAAACAAATTTCTATAGAAATTAGAAAAAATGTATGTTTTATTTTAAATTTAGAAATTAAAGGTTTTCCTGATAGGCCCAAATGTTGATCATGGCAGCATCACACAATTTTCCTTGGCTATCACATTATTACATAACATGTGTGAATGTATTTTCAAAACTTATCACATATGTCTATTGTAATGTTGCACAATTATCAATGCAGTTAACCCCACGTGGATTTTGGAAAACGAGATGAATAAAATAATTATAATACAAAAAAATGTCATAGCAGCCGACAGGTCACCAAGTTTGGAGTATAGTCACAGTCAAAGAATCGGAACACCCATAGTTTATTCACTTTGACATGAACCAATTTTTCAATGAGACATCACATTTTTACCAATATAAAGGAGATTTAACCTTTATCAATTAATAATTAGATAATTGCTCACCTGGTTGTATAAAGTTCCGTTATTTGCTTTTAAAAAACCCGATCGGCAAATACGTCCCAACGATGCCGCCATGTTGGCTAAAGGTGCACTATTGTACTGTATAACACTCTCTAGTCAAAGATACGATTCAATTAAAATAATTGTTGAAGAAAATATTTAATTTATGGGAAATTATAAAAAAATGTTCTGTTCTATTATTATTTCAATATCTACTTGTTTCGATTTAATAAAACAAGGTATTTTTATAGTCTTTTTTCGATTTGTATTGACTGGGGTAGTTTTCAGTCGTACCACTACATACATACTTCCGGCTTTCGTTTTCATCAAGTGAAAATATAAAATTTTGATAAAAACAAGAGAAATTAAAGATATAAAAATATATTTCACGTGTAACATTATTTCTAAATAAATGATTTTACACCAAAAGAACTTTGAGTTTATTTTTTATTTTCAAATTTTCAAATTTCGTGACAAAATGGCGGCCGAAGTTTAGTGCGCCTGCGCATGATTAATATGTTAAAGTTGGTAGCAGTGTCAGTTGCGTTCGTCCATCGTTATCAGCTGTAGTTCTCGTCAGATGGTGTCGTGTATCCTTTAAAATCAGATCAATCGCTGTGCGAAGAAAAAAGATTTAAGATGAGCACTGGAATGCCGGAGTTAGGCTCCAAAATAAGCCTAATATCAAAAGCGGATATTCGTTATGAGGGCCGACTTTTCACCGTTGATCCGCAAGAATGTACCATCGCTTTGGCCAACGGTAAGTTTGCAATCAAGATGGACTCCAAAAAATTGCTTCCCCGCCGCTCCATTTCCCGGCTCTTTAAACCTTTACTCTGCATTTATCATTCTCACTCAAATAACTTATTCATCTATTTCATGAAACTTGTTATTAATTCATTTTCAATTATTACCAAGTCAAAAGAAGTTGTATTGCTTTCAATTTTTTGTACAAAAACTTTACAGGTTGATTTTTTAGTACAAAACAACTGAGGTCATTTGATCATTGCCTTTAGTAACGGATTTACTGTTCTGGAATATTTTCACAAGCCACATTAAAAATACTTTTTTTTTCAAAAAAAATCCACACTTTTTTTTGCCTTGAAATTCTTTTGATAATAATGCTTGTGATTTAATTCTCGATAGCGTTGAAAATTGTAAAAAGCTATTTATTTGTCCTTTTGTTAAAATCTACAAATTCGTCAAAATTACGAATTCAATGTTTAAACAAAAATTTTTTGTTATCACTAATTATGAAAATATTGTAATACTTGAAATTTATTCCCTTGGCGTTGAATTTGATAAATTGTGCGTGAAAACGCGTAATTTTAATTTACAATCTGTAATTAAAAAGCAATAATGAAAAAGAAAAAAATGTAACACGTGTTATTCAATGAATTTTTCGAAAATTGTACATAGTTGTTATTGTTCAATGCTCAGATGTTTACATTATATGTCCCCTTTGATACTCATACCTTTTGTTTTCATTCTAGATCGAAATATAAATACACAAGTATTTTCATATATTTTCATACGCATTTATGGGGAGATTTTCTGAAATGTTTTTAAGTTTTATATCATTTTTGGTTTAAATTTGGTTGATTCATGAGTCATTTGGAAATTTGACTTTTTTTATTGAATTAAATTTCTACAATATTAGTTTACGTCTTTTGTATACTTTATACTCAATTTTTTGTAAATTTTCTGAAAATTTAAACACTTTTTAACACTTTTTTTGCAGTAAGGTCATTTGGTACTGAAGATCGAGATACCCAGATTCCGGTTGCACCTCAAAATCAAATTTATGAATACATTCTTTTCCGTGGAACGGACATAAAAGATATCCGAGTAGTTAGCAATGTCAGCTCTATACCCAATGATCCAGCAATCGTTCAGGTGAAATAAGAATTTATAAAATTTCCGTAATTTAGAATTAATCAGTTAAATATTTTCAATTTATTTCTTAAATCTAAATCTAAATCATTAAATAGAAAGTAAATAATTAACGAAAGAGTTAAATTGAATTAATTAAATTAACTTGAATTTGTAATTAAAATAAAAACTATTGTATAAAGATTTTACATCAATAATTACTAGTATGAAAAAAAATGTTATTTTTCAAAATGAAATTATATGATTATTTTATATAATTTCATTTATAAAATATATATTTAATCTATATTTATATCTATATCTATATTTTATTAATATAGATTTGTTCAGTAAATCTATATTAATAATCGGTATATTTCGGTAATCTGTTCGCAGTTTGAAGTTAGTTACTGTTTTCCTTTTTGTTTCCTAACTTTTTGAATAATAATTTTTCTTTTTAAATGTTTAAAATTTTTAAATTAAAGTACTGAAAGTCATTGAATTCTTGTAAATTTATAAAAAAAAATTTGAAAATAATTGAATTCGTTTCAAGAATTTTATCGACATTTTTTTCAATAATTGAATTCTTTCAAGAAAATGTAATTAAAATTGTATTGAAAATAATTTAATTCTTGGCAAGATTTTTATTAATAGTCAAAGTTTTAAATTCCTTAAAATAATTGAATTGTTTTTTAGAATTTATTTCAATATTCTTCAAAATAATAGAGATTTTTAAAATAATTTTTACTAACAATTTTAAAAGTAATTGAATTTTACCAAGAATTCAATTATTCTCAATAATTATAATAAAATTCTTTGCAAAATGTCAATTTATAAATAATAAAAATCTATGTAAAAAATTCAATTATTTTTATATTAATAATAAAATTTTTTATCAGGATTTCACTTGTTTTCAATACAATTTTAATTGGTTTCTTCGAAAATTTCAATTATTTTTAAAAAGCTTGTAAAAATTCTCTGAAAAAATTCAATTATATTTAAAAATAATTGAATTTTTTACAGGAGTTCAATTATGTAAAAAAACTTTTAATAAAATTCAATTATTTTCATAAATAATAAAATTTTCGATGGAATTTAATTATTTTAAATACAATTGTTATTGAATTTCAGGGAAAATTAAATTAATTTTAAACATTTTTTTAAAAATCTCAAAAATTCAATAATATCAATAAATAGTAAATTTTTCACTGGAATTCAATTATTTTAATAAAATTCTTCTTAAAAATTCACTTATTTTTTAAAATTTTGCAAAAATTCAATTATTTGTAAAAATAATAAATTTTTTCGCAACGATTAAATTATATGAAAAAGTTTTTAAAAAATTCTATTCAAAAATTGAATTATTTTCAGAAATAATTAAATTGTCGATATACTGAAAATCATTGAATTCTTGTAAAGTATTTATCAAAAAATATAAAAAATAATTGAATTTATATCAAGAATTTTATCAACATTTTTTTCAATAATTGAATTTTTTCGAGAAAATGTAATTAAAATTATTGTATTGAAAATAATTTAGTTCTTGTCAAAATTTTTATTAAAATTCTGTAAAATAATTGAATTGTTTTGAAGAATTTATTTCAATTTTCTTGAAAATAATGAAGTTTTTTAAAAATCAATTTTGCTGAAAATTATAATAAGTAATTTTATGTAAAAATTCTTCTAAAAAATTCACTTCATTTTTCAAATTTTGCAAGAATTAAATTATTTGTTGAAATAATAATAATAATAATAATTTTTTTCAGAAATAATTAAATTGTCGATATAATTGTATTGAAAATAATTTAATTCTTGGTAAGATTTTTATTAAAATTCTTTAAAATAATTGAATTGTTTTTAAGAATTTATTTCAATTTTCTTGAAAATAATGGAGTCTTTTAAATAATTTTCAATGAAATTTTTGAAAGTAATTGATTTTTATGAAGATTTTCTTTTAAGTTTTTAATAATTTTATTATTTATGAGAATAATGAAATTCTTTTGATAAATTTTATTAAACTTTTGAAGAATAATAAACAAGAATAAGGGATTTCTTTAAATCTTAAATTTGTAATTATTCAAAAATTGATGTTTATTCTTGAAAATATAAAATTTTGTAATGTACGAAATAATAATTTTTTTTTGCACTGAAGATTATTTATTATATTTGTAATCTAATAATGACGGGTGTAATTTGCAGATGACAGTTCCGTCGACAATGGGGCAACAATCATATCAACCGCAACCAGGCTATGGACATCCAATGATGGGTCAAATGGGTCCGATGGGAGGACAATATGGAACACCTTACGGTATGCCTATGGGATCTATGGGGCCAGTAATGGGTATGCCAACCAGAGATCTGCGCGCACCAATGAACAAACAGCCAAGTGAGTTGGGCTTGGGCCCTGCCGATCCCAACGCCATCTCTATACCAAACTCACAACCGGTGGCCAATGTTGACCCAATATCAAAAGACCGTTCTATGGAAGATGGTAAAACTGTTTTTGCTATGAATTATTATTGGCCAATGGCATGCCTGCTGCTTGTTCCTTGGTAACGCTTGACAAATACTTTCTATATGCGCAATTATTATTATTATTATTATTATTATTATTAATATATTAATATTATTAATAATATCAACTTTTACTAAAATACTTTCGTAATATTACAATTGATTAGGTGTTTTTAAAGAAAAGGTCAATTTCCCGTTATAATCAAATTATTCATTTATAAAACTTTTTTTTATAAATGTGCGCGTCACATTTATAATATTTATAATATTTATAATTTATCAATTTACTGAAATTTTATTACTTGACAATTTAATTTACATAATAATTTTCAATAGAAAGTCAATGAAATTACGAAAGCATTATAGAATACTCTTCTCTTCTTTATTTGATTTTGCGTGCTTTGAAGTTTTGCTTAACTCTTGGGTTTATCTATCTTATGGATCTTATGTATCAAGAAAATAATGTTTATTTTACTTTATTACATAAATGAATAAAGTAACTCAAGTTTCTTGATTCAGAATTGTTGTTAGTTAACAAAATACTGAAAGCACACATTCAACTGAAATTCGAATACGAATCATTTTGTGGGTTCACAATACTAAATTGTTTTTTTATGAATTTTTTTACTTGTGACATGTAATTTTTATTTATTCTTCTAATTATTTATTTATTAATTTAATATATAATTTAATATAATTTAATTTATTAATTAAATTAGATTTTAATGAAACAAAACTATTTAGTTGTAAAACATATATTATTACTATGCTGCATGTTATTTCAGAGTAGTAGGTAATTCATTTTTTTTTTTACTTTATTATTTCTTTAATTTAAATTGATGTTTTTTTTATATTTGAATTTTTTATTTTTGTTGACAAATTTTTACTCATCTTAATTTTTTTTTACATTTTTGATGCAGAGAAACAGAATTTGGCTATGCGATGTTTTGACTACTGCTTGCTTAAAAATAATTGATTGCTTTTATTAACAATTTATTATTTAGTATTTTATGCACATACGTTTTTTGGGTTGGAAAAGTTTTAAAGTCTAAAAATAATAATTAACTGTTACTTGAAGTGATATTTTATTTTATGATTTTTTAAAAATTCGTATAAGATTCCTCATTTTAATGATAATTTTAATGATAATGTAAACTATAATTTAAAAATTTTGAAGTGAATTGAACTGTAAATCGCAGGGTTGCCACAGGTCAGGGAAAAATCAAGGAAAGTAAAATTGGTCAGGGAAATCAGGGAATAGTCAGGGATTTTTAGTAAAAGTACTAGAAAAAATTAATTTTTTAAAATTCATGAGAAAACTCTGAATTTTGATGTTTTGTTTGTTTGACTCGTAAACTATGAAATCATTAGGAATTTTAAAACAAATCCTTCAATTTTTTCTATTTCTGACAATAATTTCTTTTTAAATAACTTAATTTTTCAAGAACTATCATAAAACTATGACTTATAAATTATTTAATGAATGATATTTACAATTTTCATAAATACTAGATTGATAGAAGAATTTTAGTTAAAAATACTAAAGAAAAATTGAATTTTGGAAAAGTTACAAATGATTCCAGAAATTCAATTATTTTCAAAAGTTATAAACATTCTTCGCAGAATTCCAATTATGTTCAAAAATTAAAAAAAAAATTCTCGTCAAAATTTAAATTATCTTTATAAATAATAAAATTCCTCTTTGAAATTCAATTATTTAAAAAAATTTTAATAAAATTCGTGGCAAAATTTCACAGGAATTCAATTATTTACAAAATTTTTAATAAATTTCTTCGAATTAATTCAATTATTTAAAGAGATTTTTTTATAAAATTCGTCGCAAGAATTCAATTATTTAAAAAAATTTAACAAAGTTCTTTTCAAGAATTCAATTATTTTTATAAATAATAAAATTCTTCACCGAAATTCAATTATTTTTATAAACTTGGATAAAATTCGTTGGAAGAATTAAATTATTTTCAAAAGTAATAAAATTCTTCGCAAAAATTCAATTATTTTTATAAACTTGAATAAAATTCGTTTGAATAATTAAATTATTTTCAAAAGTAATAAAATTCTTCTTTTAAATTCAATTATTTTTAAAAATTATAATAAAATTCTGGAAAAAATTTCGCAGGAATTCTACTATTTACAAAATTTTTAATAAATTTCTTCCAAATAATTCAATTATTTAAAAAAAATTTTATAAAATTCGTGGCAAGAATTCAATTATTTAGAAAAATTAAAAATTAACAAAGTTCTTTTCAAGATTTCAATTATTTTTATAAATAATAAAATTCTTCACCGAAATTTAATTATTTTTATAAACTTGTATGAAATTCGTTGCAAGAATTCAATTATTTTTATAAATAATAAAATTCTTCACAGAAATTCAGTTATTTTTATAAACTTAAATCAAATTCGTTTGAAGAATTAAATTATTTTCAAAAGTAATACAATTTTTCGCAGAAATTCAATTATTTTAGAAAAATTTTAATAAAATTCTTGGGAAAAGTTTAATTATTTTCATAAATAATAAAACTGATATCAGGATTTTAATTACGTTTGATACAATTTTTATCAAATTCCTCGAAAAATGCAATTATTCTTAAAATTTTTTTTAATATTCGTCTAAAGAATTCAATTATTTAAAAATTTGTTGATAAAATTCTTTATGAGAATTTAATTTTAACAAACACTCAATTATTTATTAAATTATTTATTTTTGAATTTAAATAATTGAATTCTTCTAGAATTTTCGAAGAAAAATTGATTTAAAAATGAATTACCTAATCGATTTATTATTTATGAAAATTAAATATTTATTTAGAAAAGAAGTTATATTGATTGTTTTCGAATAATTTTACAATTATAGAAATTCGCAAATAAATGCATTAAGAATTTTTTTTAGTATCCAATAATTTTTAGAGTGAATCAGAATATTCTTTAGCGTCCCGGGGAAAAGTGAAAATTTTTGTCTGGAAATCAGGGAAAAGTTAGGGAAAAGTAAAATTAAATATTTCTGGCAACCCTGAAATGTAAATTTTTATCTCTAAATATTGTAAATTGCTATGTATTTAAAAATTGTTAATTATTTCTCACCTGCTGTAAATTTCTCTTTCTATTCAAATTTTGTATTTCTATTCACTATGTATTATTTAATATCTATATTATTTAGTGTATTAATTTTTTTGCTTCATTTTTTAATGAAACAATATTTCTTTGTCAATGTTTCTTCTTCCTCTTTAATTTATACGTGTCACACGAAGATGTAAAATTTTTTTCCAATATTAGTCACAATTTTGCTGAATTTTTGCTTTCATTTGCTTCCCCTTTTACAGTTGCCATGAGCAAAATGCAGTTAAACAAGTGATATGAAATAGCAAGAACAGTTAAAATTTAGTGTAGTCCATAATAGCCATTGATTGTAGTCTGCGGATTAATAGGATTTATTTATTAATTTTTATTATCGGTATATTGGTCGACTGTTATATCGTTTATCATTGAAGATTAAACCAACGAAACACATTTATTGTGTATTTTATAAAAATATGTTTATTTTGCCTCCTCGTAGAGGAACAGGAATTGAGAACTTTTTTTAGTAGTTAATTTTTTTTTTAATGATGAACAAGATTGTAATTGGTTTTTTGTTTTCTCAATTTTCCCCGATATTTAGGCGTGTTAGATTTAATAAGCGGAGGATCTCGTTCAACAACTCCAACTGCTTCTTTGATGGTGAGGAAAAGTCCAACGGCGGACAAAGATACTCAGGTTGGTCATCAGCAACAACATTCTGGAAATGTTGGCAAAATCGGAGATAAGACCAATGTTCAACGTATGCAACAACCTCACCGTGATCGTGAAAGGTATTTTTTTTTATTTGTTAAATTGTTTACAAAAGTATTATTATTTCATTATGATTAATGAAGTATTTAAAATAATTTTTGTATCAATTTGATATTTGTATCTGGATTGATTAGAAAGAAATTAAAAAAATGATTTTCATTAATTTCAGTCATGGAAGCGGCAGAGTTGGAAGTGGAATGTCGCAGTACAGTGAGGGAAAGCGAGATAAGCAAGATGGCATGGGACATGGACCTTCAGGACATATACAAGGACCCAGAGGAAATCGAGGTGGTTGGATGAATAGAGGAAATATGCGTGGAAGAGGAAGAGGCCGCGGTAATTTCCGGAGTAATCAACCCGGAAATACTGGCGCGAAGCCTAAGAATACATTGAAGTTTGATAACGATTATGATTTCGAACAAGCGAATACTGAATTTGAAGAACTAAGGTACGATTTCATTTTTCTTTTTTATATTTCTTTCATTGTCGAATAGCATGGAAAGTGCCGGGTTGATTTCAAGTATTTTTGAAATCACGAATGTGGAATCCATGCAAGATGAAAAATGATACAAAATTTAAAATTAATGTGAGTTCATCTCTCCTTTGATTTACGCATTGTATCGACATTATTTTTTTTTAATCAAATGATTAAAATGTAGTGTAATGTAGTTTTTTTCGTTTAAATTGTAGTGGAATGTAATTTTATTTAAATTAATTAATAATTGATTAATTTGATTAATAATTAATTAATAGTTGATTTAAATGAATGTTTATTGATTTTTAGATCGCAATTAGCGAAGACCAAGATCGACGGTGCAACTACGGATAACGAGAAGAAAGATGACAGCGGAAATGAAACTGGAGCAGGAGAAGGAGAACCTGAGGAGGAGTCTGATATTGTACATTACGATAAGTCGAAGTCATTTTTCGATAATATCAGTTGCGAAGCTGTCGAGAGAAGTAAAGGGTAAGTGTTTTGTATTTATTAAAAATATGTGACGCAAGAGCTGACAAAATCTTAAGTTTATGACTCAGGCTACGCACTCTCACCTACTAAGACCCACTATTTACTACTTATTTCTTTTTTTTTTTTTTGAAAATTGGCACTACCTTAAATTCATTAATAGTTTAAATAAAAAAAATTATTCTAAAAAATTTTAATCAAATTCTTAGAAACACTTGAAGAAAAGGTAGTGAAATTCTTTGTAACAAATTAACAATTTACATATTTTCAAATATTTTAAAGAAAATTTTTCCCAAGAATTCAAATATTTTTCTAAATAATTAAATTCTTCGCTGAAATTCAATTACTTTGAATATTTACTATTTTAATGAAATTTCACAATAGAATTCAAATTAAAAAAGTTTTTTAAACAAATTTTTTGCAATAACTCTAATTATTTTGTAAAATAATAAAATTTTTATAGAAATTCAATTATTTGAAGTATAATTTACATGAAATTTTTTTGAAAGAAATTATTTAAAAATTTTTGTGTAAAAGTCTTCGCAAGAAATCAATTAATAATTTTCATAAAACTTGTTTTATAAGAGTTAATTTATTTTCAATACAATATTGTAATTATTTTTCTCAAAAGAAATTAATTATTTTCAAAACTACATATTTATAAAAAATATTTTCAATAAAAATTCAATTATTTAAAAAAAATTTAATATTTTTTGCAAGCATTTTCAAATTATAAAATTCTTCACAGGAAATTAAATTATTCAACAAAATTTTAATACAATTAGTGGCAAAAATTCAATTACTTCCACAAATTATAAAATTCTTCACAGGAATTCAACTACTTAAAAAATGTTAATAAAATTCGTTATAAGAATTCAATTATTTACATAAATAATAAATTTCTTCGCAAGATTTAAATTATTTTTAATACAATTTTAAATGAATTCCCAAAAATACGCTATTATTCTTAAAAATTTTATTCATATTTTTCGAAAGAATTCAATTATTTTAAAAAATTCTGATGAAATTGTTTATAAGAATAAATTCAATTTTAAGAAGTATTCAACTGTTCTCTATTAGATTTGCGACACAAAAAGCTACTTTTTTTTGTATTTGAAAATTCGCACTACTTCAAATTCGCTAGTAGTTTGAATAAAAAAATTATTCTCAATAATATTAAAAAAATTCTTAGAAACAATTTTCATGAAAATTATCGCAAAAAATCAATTATTTAAAAAGATTTTTATAAAATTCTTTTCAGGAATTCAATTGTTTTTAAAGATTTTAATAAAATTCGTTGCAAAAATTCAATTACTTTTCCTAAGTCAGTAAACTTCATCGCAGGATTTCAATTATTTTTAAAATAGTTTTAAACAAATTCCTCGAAAAATGCAATTATTCTTAAAAATAAATTATTTATTTTTGTCTTTAAATAATTGAATTCTTGTTAAATTTTTAGAAATAATTCAATTTTAAAAGATTTTTAAATTGAATTTCGAAAGAATTACAGTTGTAATTTTTAGAAAGAAAATATAATTTCAAAAAGGTTTCACATTGAAATTATTTAAAGTATTAATTCAGGGTGGCCACATATCAGTAAAGACAGTAAAGTCAGAGAAATGTCAGGAAAACAAATTTTTTCTCAGGAAAATTTAGAAAATTGTGATTTTTTTCCACTTATTTTCAAAAATTGCAACTTTTTCGACTTTTCTTCCAAATATTGCAAAAAAATATCATATTTTTTTGGGTATTAAATGTTATTCATTTCGTTTTTTATAGTGCGAAAAATATAAACAAATCTTTCAGAAATTATTTTTGAATTATTTTTCTATTTAAACTTTTGAAATATACAATTAAAAAGATTTTTTAAAAAATTGAAATTTTATAAAATTTTTTTCAAGTATTTTGTTAAAATTTTTGAAAATTAACTTTTGAAGAATTTTAATTGCAAATTTTCAAAATAATTGAATTATAAAAAATTAGCTTCTAATTTTTTTCAAAATTTAGTATTTTCTGTACTTTCAATTACATATTTTGGAAAATTCAAATACATAGAAATAATAATTACATTTTAGAATTATTTTTAACATTTTAGAGAAAAAAATCATGTTCATTTAATTGAAATTCATCAAAAAATTCATTAGTTTTTTTTTTAAATAATACAAAAACTCTTTTAAGAAATTCAATTGTTTTCGAAAAATTACATTAAAATATTTTTAAAAAGTAATTAATTCTTATAATTATTGTATTAGAATTAAATTAAATTTCAAAAATTTTACTCATTTTCCGTAAACTTCCATATTTTCTTGTGAAAAGAATTTTGTCATGGAAAATAATTTTAATGTCAGTAAATTGTCAGGAAAATTGATAAACTGAAATTTGTGACCACTCTGTTTATTTTTTATGGAAAAATCAATATTCAAATATATATTTAACAAAAATTATTCAATTTTCCAATAATTTAATTTAGAAATTGTGAAAAACTGTAGTCTTTTGAATAACTAGAATTAACCTTTTTTTGATGTCAGTTAATTTCCTATAAATAATTGAAAAAAAATTGAATTAAATTTGCAATTTGAAAATTTTGCCAGATTTAATTTAGATAAATTTTATTTTATTTTTTTAATTTCAAAAATTATTTTTAACTACAATATTGTATTTTAATGAATTTAAAATTAAAATTTAGGAAGTAAATGAACTTTTGAAAAATTTAGATTTGATGTTATTACCAGAATAAAGTCAAGGGAATACTGAGTCAGTTTTTTGGAATCTAAACCAAAACGAGTCTTTTTTAATCTTATAAAATTTAATTTTTCAAAAGGTACTTTTTACTACTTTTTAAATATTTTTTGCTACTTTTTTAAAATTAATTTTAGTGCAAAATCTGTTGTGTTTGTTATGTTTTAAGCAAAAGCGTATACATTTTTTATTTATTTGTATATTTTTTATTTATTTGTTTTATTTTTATTTATTTTTTATATTTATTTATTTATTTATTTTTATTTATTTGTTTATATTTATTTTTTTTATATATATTTATTTATTTATTTATTTATCAATAAGGAAAAAACTGAACATAATCTATGAGATTTTGACAGCTCTTAGGTCTCTTTCTTTTGCAACGCGTCACATATTTTATTAATAAAAATTATCAGAATATAAATTTAATTTTTTATTGATAAGAAAAAAAATTTACTGGAACAAATGATAAATTTAGTTATTGATTTAAAAAAAAGAATTTCTCATTCTTTTGCGCATAGACGCTCACAACGCACGGATTGGCGAACGGAGCGTAAATTGAATTCGGAAACGTTTGGCGTTTCATCGATGCGTCGTGGACATTTCCGTGGACGTGGTTATTACAACAATCGTGGTATGGGAGGTGGAATGTATCGCGGTGGTGGCGCACCCGGTGGTGGTGGACCAGGTTCCGGCTATCGTGGTGGATTCCGGGGTAATCGTGGATCAAATCGCAAACCTGGAAATCAATTACATAACAGTAATTCGGCAAATCAGAATCGTGCAACCAACGAACAATCCAGTGCAACTCAACCACAACAAAATAATCGACTCGTCACTGGTACTGCGTAAAAGTCAGCGTCCCGATAAAACAACGTGATGCTAACAAATAAGTATTCTCTTAGCCAGTAAGATTTTTACGATACGCGCTTTGTCGAGAACTGATATTTGTATCGAAATTGGATGTCGACGGCGAAATGTAGTATAACGGATTGATTAATCTAGATTAATTGTGTTAATAAGAAAAAAAAAGAAGCGCTCTCCCGCTAAATTCTAGATTATTTAAAAAAAGAAAAGAAAGAAAGAAAGAAAGCAATGCGATTGAATCGCGATAAAACGTGCACGGGACTCTACTGGCGCACAGGACTCAAATTTTTAGTGCGCGGCGCGCATTTAATTGTCATCAACGACACTGCAAAAAAAATAATTAATTAACTCGTGGACAAAAAAAATAGTTTTTTCCCAAAAAAAGAAAAAGAACGAAGCAAATTATTAATTAAATCGAATAATACAATCTGTGATTCTCAATGCCAAGTTTCATTTTTTTTTTCTTTTTTGCAAGTGTCGCGGATGACAAAAATTCATTTTCGTATTCGAAAATCTGAAGCTAAAATTGAACCGAAAAGAGAGTTCGTAATTAAAAGGCTTAATTATTTAAGAAAAAAAATAAAAAGGGGGAAGTTGTCCTTGTTTTTGAATGTTTTTTTATACCACGCTCGGGTCAAGTGGTATTTCTAATTGGTATATAAGAGTCCTGCGCGTAAAATGAAAGAAACTAAAAATAAAAATAAAAGTAGATTAAAGTTGTTACTGTAAGTAGCCAATTTTCTCATTCGCGTTATCAATTGCGCGAACGAGAAAATAATTCGAGTGCTTATAAAATATATATAGATATAAAGTGTAAGAACGTGCCTCAAAATATCAAGAGGAACGTTTATTATTGCCTAAACGTAGTTCTGTCTGGCAAAAAAAAAAGAAAAAAAGAAATTGATAACGTATCATTACAAATTTTCATACAGAGTTCGTTATAGAGTGAATAGATTGTGCCTGATACTGCCTCTAAACTCTTAAAAATTGAAGAACGAACTAGAAGCACTTGATTTCGAGCGAAGTACGAATCCGCCCCAAAAAAAGATTCGTATTGATTGGCGAAGTCATGCCAATTTTTTTTTTTTTGGACAGGTCACTGTGGCCTTTTTGACTTGATTAAAAAAAAAATTGGTCCTTAAGCGGGGGAAAAAAATTAAATGGGAATGTGCATCCTGTCGCCAGTAGACTAGGACAATACGTTTAAAATCTTAAATTCTAAATTTTATTTATTGATATTATAATTAAAGTTTAGAATTTAAAGAATACCAGCGTTAACAGTTTAGGAGGAAATTAATTATATTTTACTTTTATACATTTACTAGAGAAGATTTTTTGATTTTTGAACGGGACGTATCGAGCCGTTCCTAATACGCCGCTTTTCACTATAATATCGATTACCATGAGGAAAAGAGCTCTCTGAATCTCACACAAAAGAGGGAAGACAAAAAAAAATCTAAATGCAAAACGAAAAAAATAAATAAGAAGGAACTTGTTTTATAAATTTATCGAATAATACCCAGACGCATTAAATGTGACTCGTGTAATTTTTTTGACTTTAAAATAAATTTTTTCCCTCTTTTATGCTCGAATAAAATAATAAAAAGACACCCGCGTATTTAAAATAGCTCTCTTTCTCTCATGGCACTCGACTTTAAAAAAAAAAATGATGAAAAGGATTTAAAATGAGAAATAAAAGTGAATAATGCATGATTATATTCCGCGTAATGAGCAGAAATAAAAAAAAAAAGATAAAGGCGTAATATTCGCCAATCATTCACGACTGTTATTTTTGTATGGCTCTTGTCAAGAGTCGCACCAATAAACATACAATACATATTTAGATATTTAGTTGAAATAATAAATATAGGAGCGAAATCCTTCCTAGGCTACGTGCGTAATAAAGAAAAAAAAAAAGAAATAAATAATAAAACGAAATAAGAAAACAATTATAAAAAGTGAACACAAAAAAAGATGGTGAAAGAAATAGCGCATATTTTATGTTTGATTACACATGCACTTATAAAATAAATTTAAAAGGAGAAAAATGAAAACGAGAGATAAAAAGGAAAAATTAAATGAATGCAATGAGCGCGATTTCTGACAGTGTATGTTTTTGATTTTGTACAGCGAATATTGTGATTCCCAATCGAATAATATATGAAAAATATCAAGAAACTCTGAGTTTTTTTTTTAATTTTACATATTCTTTTTCAATTTCAGAGAAATAATTGTACATATTTAAATTCTTTTTCAAGTGATTAAATATTCCGTTCAATTGGAAATTTAGTTTTGCAATTGAAATTGTAAAAAGGGTTTTTAATTCAATTGCAATTTATTAACAGGGTTTGCCACAATTTACATAAACGGATTGAACTTCGAATGGTTACAATTTGAAATTTTAGAAAATTAAATTTCTAATGAATTTAACTAAACATTTTAAAGAACTTAGATTTTTGAAAAATTTTAATAATTAAAATTCTTCGGAAATTAGTTAAATTTATTAAAATATATTTATTTAATTATTGAAAATAATGGATTTATAGAAGAATTTTAGTTAAAAATATTTTTAACTAAAATTTAATTTTGGAGAAGTTAAAAATTATTCAGAAAGAAATTCAATTATTTTCAAAAGTAATAAAATTCTTCGCAGAAAATTTAATTAATGTTCATAATTTTTTTTACATTCTTGTCAAAAATTCAATTATTTTTATTATAAATAACAAATTTCTTCTCCAAAATTCAATTATTTTTATTAAAAATAACAAAAATCTTCTCCGAAATTCAATTATTTTTATTATAAATAACAAATTTCTTCTCCAAAATTCAATTATTTTTATTATAAATAACAAAAATCTCCAAAATTCAATTATTTTTATTATAAATAACAAATTTCTTCTCCAAAATTCAATTATTTTTATTAAAAATAACAAAAATCTTCTCCGAAATTCAATTATTTTTATTATAAATAACAAATTTCTTCTCCAAAATTCAATTATTTTTATTATAAATAACAAAACTCTTATATCTAAAATTCAATTATTTTCAAAAATTTTAATAAAATACTTGTCAAAAATGTTAATTATTTTCAAACAATTTTCTCAATTCAGTGATTTTTAATATCTACTATTTCATTAAAATTCTCCAAAAAGAATTCAATTATTTAAAAAAATGTTGATAAATTTCTACGCAAACTTTTAATTATTTTAATAAATAATAAAAATTTCACAGGAATTAAATTTCTTACAAATTTTTTATTGAATTTCTTCGCAATAATTCAATTATTTTCATAAATAATGAAATTCTTTTTAGGAATTCAATTATTTTTACAAATAATAAAATTTTTTTACAAGATTTCAATTATTTTCAATACAATTTTAATTAAATTTCTCGAAAAATGTAATTATTCTAAAAAAAATATATTAAAATTTGTCGAAAGAAATCAACTATTTTTAAAAATTTTTTTAATAAAATTTATTATGACAATTCAATTCGTCGAAAAAAATTTGTAAAAATTTAATTATTCTCATAAATAATAAAATTCTTCTCAGGATTTCAATTATTTTGATAAATAATAAATTAATATTTTAGATAAATTCAATTACTTTGAGTAGGAATTTTAATAAAATTCTTTGCAGAAATTTAAATATTTTCATAAATAATAAAATTTTTACAGCAATTTAATTATTTAAAATGCAATTTTCATAAAATATTTCGAACAAACTCAATTATTTAAACAAATTTTATAAAAATTTTAAGCTCTTAATTTAATTATTTTCATGTGTAATAAAACTTATTGCAGAATTTCAATTATTTTCAATACAATTTTAATTGAATTTCTTGAAAAAATGCAATTATTCTTAAAAATTTTATTAATATTCTTCGAAAGAATTTAATTATTTTTAAAAAATTTGATAAAATTGTTTATAAGAATTTAATTTTGAGAAACATTTAATTATTCAATTTATTATTTATTTGATTTATTTCTGTATTTAAATCAATTATTAAATTCTCGTAGAATTTTCAAATAAAAATTGATTTAAAAATTAATTGTAACTTGAATTTTTAGAAATAATTGAATTTTGAAAAGATTCGAATAATTTTATAATTAAAGAAATTCGTAAATAAATGTAATAGAACATTTTTTTGATTATCTAATAATTTTTAGAGTGACTCAGAATATTCTTTAGAGAAAAAGTTAAAATTTTGTCTGGAAATCAGGAAAAAGAATATTCTTTAGAGAAAAAGTTAAAATTTTGTCTGGAAATCAGGGAAAAAAATATTCTTTAGAGAAAAAGTTAAAATTTTATCGGAAAATTAGGAAAAAGTTCAGGAAAAACAAAATTTTATTTTTGTGGCAACCCTGACAAAACTAAATTAATTGTTAAATTATTTTTTCAGGATTAATTTTAAATATCAAATCAGCTTCTTCGTGGTGAAAACGAATTTTAAATTAATCTCAAAGAATTAGGTAAATTAAGTATTTTTTGTTTTAGTAAAAAAGTAATTTATTGAGTTCAGTTTCTATTTGAGATTTTTTTGTGTACTTAAAATTATCATTCACATTTTATCACACTCGTCAAGTATAATTTATCAATTAGCATTAATAATTATATTCTTACAATTAAAATTTGTTTTTCGTGTCTCGGACACTTTCTCGTTTCTTTTTTTATAATTCTTTTTTTTCCAGCAAAAACACGCTGCTTCACCTATTCGAATTCTTACTGCCATTTTATTTCAACAGGAAGCTGAATAAAAATATTCAGAATGATCTTTCATCCTTAATGATCAAATTTTTACTGATTGTAAAATTCTCAAAGTGGGTCAAAGACCTTCCACGTGAAATTGACTTCTGAAGAATTTGTTAATTTTGAAAATAAAATGATACAACTCGGTATTATTTGTATCAGGCGCAGCTCATTAAACCAGTTCTCGTGTTGTCACAAACTTCTCTTATTGGTCGACCTTTCGTCACTTTCACAGTGTCGACGACTGTGAAATTATTTTTGTAAATTCGTCGCAAATCACGATAGTAGGGTACCAAAACTTCGTGGGGTGAACTTCCGTTCTCGATTACCCATATACTTCCCGTTTCGCCGAACCTGAGAATTGTCATTAGACCCTGAGCCACGATGAATGGTCTGTAAAAGAGAATATTTTCCATTTTTATTTATTTTCGTTACAGTTTTATTCTTAATAAATTCTTAATTTTTAATTCTAGATACTTACGTTTGAATTGGAAGTTGTTCGAGATTTTTGACAAAGTCTGCTTTCATAACTCTAGATAATAATTTATTTGGACTGTCTATCGTTAAAGTTGTTTCCGTTAATCCTGGCGATAGAGTTAATATTCGAAGACCAGTTTTGTTGAAATCATACTTGACCTGAAAATTAATTTTTTTTTTGTCTTACTTTTTTAGGTGGTCAATGCGAAAATTGATTTTATGCGGAAAAATACAACAATCACAATCAGGGAAAATTATTTTACCGAAAGGAACACGATCTCTATTAGCAAAAAAAGATCAAAAAACTTCAGGTCTTTTTTTTAAAATTGTTTTTCCGTAAATCGATAATCAAATCTTTTTCCGTGAAGTAATTTCGAAAATTGATACAGAGAATGTGGTGCGTGACTAATTTTTGTTCCCTCTGTCAATTGTTTGAAATTCTAGTAGTGTTTTGTTTGTCACTTACTGCTAAAGATTGAGATAATCCAACAATCGCATATTTTGTTGCTGTGTAAACTGGAAGTTGCGCTGTCCATCGAAAGTCTATATTTTGAGCGATATTCACTAGAATTCCACCTCGTCCGCCTTTTTCTTTTGTCATGTATTCGACAGCCAGAGTTGCAATTGACATCATACCGGCCTGAAAAAGAAATTTGTCCTCTGTCAATATTTTTCGAGTGAATCTCTTCATTTATTATCTTTATTTTTTTATTCTTATTTTTCTTTATTTCAGGGCTCGAAACAGTGAAGGAATTAAAAAATACGGACTTTACGGACCAAAAATTGAAAATTAATAAAATAAATAAGAGAAAATTTTACTTAAAACTATAAATTAAATTTTATCACAATTTCTTCATGTTTTATAATAATTAAAAATGTCCTGAAGATAAAATCATTATTTTAAATTATAAGAATATTGTAGTTCTTCAAAATTATTTTTATCATTTCAATTATTTTCTAGAATTTAAAAAAAAATTCTTCTTTTAATCGATTATTTTTAATAATTTTCCAAAAAGCTCTTTGAGAATTTTCAAATTCATTTGTATACAATATTCAATTTTACGAAATTTCAATTATTCGTAAATTCTTCAATTCAATATATATTTGGAAAATAAAAAAATTAAAATAATATAAAAAAAAATTCAATTAAACTTTTTCAAAAAAAATTAATTTCAAAATTATTATCTAAAATTTTAACTGAAATTAATTTTATAATCAATTTTATTAGAAGATTCTACGAGAATTCAATTATTTAAATACAAAAATAAATAATTTATTGAATAATTGAATTCTTGTGAAGAATTTTTTTTTTAAAATAATATTAATTTCTGCGAAAAATTTTATTACTCTTGAAAATAATTGAATTTTTAAAAATAAATTTTTTTTGTGTTTTTAACTGAAAAATAATTGAATCCTTGAAAAAGTTTTATTTTTTATGAAAATAAATGAATGATTGCGAAGAAATTTATAAAAATTTTTAAAATAATTTATTGAATTCCTGTAGAATTTTTATTATTTTATGAAAATAATTAAAGGTTTGCGTAGAATTTTATTAATTAATTAAATTTTTTAAAAATAAATTGAATTATTTTGGAAAATTTTATTAAAATAGTAGATATTAAAAATCATTGAATTGAGGAAAATTTTTGAAAATAATTGAAATTTTATCAAGAATTTTATTGAAATTGTTGAAAATAATTGAATTGAGGAAAATAATTTTTTTTATTATTCTAAAAACAATTGAAATTTTAACTATAATTTTTTAAAATTTTTTGAACATAATTGAATTTTTGCGAAGAATTTTATTACTTTTGAAAATAATATTGAGTTTCTGCAATTATTTGTAATTTCTCTAAATTTATCCAAATTATATCATACAATTTATAAACTTTTCTTTCTTTTTCTATCAAATTATGCACTTTACGAACCTTTTTTTCCAAAAAAACTGACTTTTACGGATTTGAAGCAAATTTACGGACCTGGTTCGAGCTCTATTATTATTATTTTTATTTAGTAGAAAAAGATTCTTTTATTAGAAGTATTTCGCTTCTTATAGAATTATTTTTTTTTAATTGAAACGATTTTCGAAAGGATTGAAATTTTCTCTCGAAATAATAATAATTAAATTATCTGGAATTTGAAAATTTCACTTACGACATTCACAGCAATTTCTTTCTCCCATCTTCTCTCGTCTAATATGCCAGCATTATTTATCACAATGTCTATACTTCCCATGGCTGCGTTTGCTGCTTTAAATGCATCTAAAAATATTCAAAATAATATTTTAGTTTTTATTACTTCTTATTGTCTTTTTTTTTGACTCATAACATTGAGATAAAATTATACATAAAATTAAATTAAAAAAATAAAATTAAAATATATTTTTTATTTACCTATATTCTCTTCATGTTTAGAAACATCCGTATGGATAAAAATGAGTTTCTTCGTTCCATGCGATTTATCCATTGCAGATGCCATTTTCATTCCGGAAACTTTATCGACGTCTAAAACTGCGATTTTCTGCAAAATTTTCAATTATTTTCACCTTTTCTTTCTAAATAGGTACTTGGATTTATTTCGAAAATTTGGAAAAATATTACTAACATTTACTCCGTGTTGCAAAAAATGATTGACAAACGCTTGTCCAAGTCCGGCAACTCCTCCGGTAATTAAAATATTTTTTCCAGAAACAACGCCATTAATTTCTTCCAATTCCTTAATTTTTTCTGAACCAGAGGATCGCCGACTTCTCGGTTCCGGTTCGTTTGTCGTGAAATCACTTGCACCTGAAATAAATACTTAACGTCAAAACACACGGAATATTAATTAAATTAAATTAATTAGGTAAATTAAATCAAATGAATAAATTATTAATTAAAAAAGTAATTAAAATTTATTTAGTAATTGAAAAAAATAAAGTGAATAAAAGAAATGAATTAAATAAATTAAGTGAATTAAATTTAATTAAATCAAATGAATAAATTATTAATTAACAAAGTAATTGAAATTTAATTAGTAATTAAAAAAATAAATAAAGTAAATAAAATAAATAAATTAAATAAATTATTAATAATAAATTAATTAGTTCCATCAGGAAGGAATGCGGAAAATATTCGAAACAATTAATTAATTGCACAATTTAATGAATAATTTTTTTTTTTAATTGAAAGAAAACTTACCCATATTTGTTTTTTCGAACTAGGGAAATAAATATTAATAAATATATATATAGTAAAAAATTAATATAAAATTACAAAACTTGAGTTGAAAGTTAATTTATGAAATAATTCAATATCGTCATCGAATGGATCACGCGTTGAGATGAAATGAACTTTCATACTAAACGCAGAATTGTATTTATACTTGACTGACTTTTGATTGTGATTGACCGCGCGCTTCCTGATTATATTTTAAGTTTGTATTTTATGCACTCGTGTAAGTTGTAATCTAACCATTTTTATGATTCTAAACGCGTGGCTCATTTGCGTGATTAATTCATCATTACTCAGTAGAAATTATACTTTCTTCTCTTATAACATTTTTTTTATCTTCAAATGAATCTAGAGACGATTTTTTATTTTGATAACTTGATTTTTTTAATGCATATTTTTCTCTTCACTTTTTGTCGATTTTTTTTTTTTTTTTTTTTTTTAATCAATGTTTATCAATTTTATTTATTTATTCCTCTTCAGGGTGTCTAGCGAACCGGGAAATCGGGAAAAACCGGGAAAAACCCGGGAATTTGGTTCGACCTCAAAAAACCGGGAAAAACCCGGGAATTTTCTATTTATAGGGTATTTTTTGAATTATGTATATAAAAAATTATAATTTTTTTCAAAATCGTCAAGGGTAAATTGATAGTATGAAGCAGTAGTAAAAATAATAACTTAAATTTTATTTAAAACTAACTTTAGTATACGTTATATTATAAAAGTTAAAGGATTTGTACTATTATTATTTTTATATAACAATTTATAGGTATACAATACGTAACAAATTTTATAAGAAGAAATTAAGAATCTTCTGTGATATAGGAAAGGCAAAGATTTTACTTTTTAACCACTTGAGCGGCAGGGCGTCAGAATTGGCGTTAGACGTAGAAGTGACAGAAGCGGCAGAAAGGCGTCAAGACTTGACTCCGATTTTCTAATTCTGTAAGGAGATTTATAATATCAAACTGAAGTATTTTTTTTTAAGATAAAAGAACAGACTTATGTCTTCTTTAATCTTAAAAAAAAGATTACTATATTTTGATATTCTAAATCTCCTAACAGAATTAGAAAATCGGAGTCAAGTCTTGACGCCTTTCTGCCGCTTCTGTCACTTCTACGCCCGACGCCAATTCTGACGCCCTGCCGCTCAAGTGGTTAAAACTAAATATGGGGCATTCCATTTCAAAATAATCCTCTTTATAAACAATTGACATTGTAAGGCAATTTTTAAATCATTATTTCTCATATTTATTGAAGCCAAACTTTATTTACTATTAGTGGTTTTAAAACAAAAATTTCTCAACTTTATAATGGTAGAAATTTTTTTTTTTAAATAATAGAATTTATGAAAAAAATTAAGTTTGAAAGATAACCTTTTTGAATATCTCAAAACACGTCGCATCCGATTTTCTTGAAACTTATGTAAAAATAAAGCTTAAATATTCTAGTTTAATTCTATGTAAACATTATAATGTGCAATTCATGGTTTGAGAAATTAATTAAATTTTACAAGTATTTCAAAGGGTATAATGTATGTACCGAGCGGAATTTTTTTTTCAAAAAAAGTTTTTCTTAAATTCCCCTGAATTGACAATTATATTATAAAGTTGAGAAATTTTTATAAGTGAATTTTGATATTCTATGTCAAGTTTTTAGAAATTATTGTATAACTTTAATCATTGTAATTTAATAAAAACAATATTTAATTACGTAAATAATGTTATTGATAAACATTTAAATATGTTTTTAAATCCTTTGTGAATATCCGGGAAAATTATTCAAGAACCCGGGAAAAAACCGGGAAAAACCCGGGAATTTTAAATTGACGATTCGCTAGACACCCTGCTCTTCTTCGTTTTCTTTTTATTATTTGGCGGCTGACCCTTTATTAGAATTATTTTTACTGTTTTTATTAATATTATTTTTATTGTTTTTATTTTTATTATTATTATTTTTATTATTTTTATTAATTTTATTATTATTGTCAACAGAAATTTGAAAATATGTTAATTCACCTTTTTTTATAATATTGCGCAATTTTTTTTTAAATCTTATCTTTCCCAGACAGTCGGAAATTGATAGAACAAAGCAATAAATTAACAATTCAGTTTTTTGATTAAAAAAAATTGAAATACGGAAATTATTTTGAAAATGCAAGTGAATTAAAATATTTTCGTTCAAAAATGAAAAATTACTTGACCGTGACACTGTGCAGAGTATATCTCAGAACTGATAAAATAAAATTATGTAAAAAAAAATGTGTGACATATTGTAACATTATCGTACATTTAATTGATAATTAAAAATCAATTTTGCAATTTTTTTTGAAATAGAAAAGATTATTTTTATATTTAATTAATTATACAATTAATTATACATTATATGCAGAAATTTGTTACGTAAATAGAAATTTAGTTTTCTGTATAAAAATATTACAATGAGAATTTTGCAATTTCTAAAGAATATCTAAAGAATTATTATAAAAATAATTGTTATAATAAGAAAGTTCACACTTGTCACTTGCGCGTGCTTTTAATTTTTTTTTAATTATATAAATATCTTTTTGTCTGATCGAGAGAATAATTTTTCTGGGAAATATTCTGAGATGAAGGTCAATTATTTCAGTTTATGTGTAATATGATTTGTTTCTCTGTAACTTTTGTTTACATTATTCGATGAGTTGAACGCTCATTGTGATGTTTATTAATTCATTTTAATTTAATTAATCAACGGCTTCGAAATTTCTAGAGAAATAGAGATTTTTTTTTTGAAAATATAAAAAAACAGTATTTTTTTATTTATTTTATTTTTTATTATTCAATTTGAATTTAATTAATCGACGGCTTCGAAATTTCGAAAGAAATAGAGATTTTTTTTTTATGAAAATATAAAAAACAGTATTTTTTTCTTTTTATTTTGAAAAAAAAAATTCAACTACTATCATTGACGAAAGTTTTGAACTAAAAAAAAACACTTACGTCAAAATAAAAAAAAAATATTTACGCTTACTAAGAAATAATTATAGTGACGATATGATCATGAGACTTTTAATTATCGTTTCTTTGATAACAATTTAATAAATTCTCTTTACAATTATTTTATTTTATTAAATTTATTAAATTTATTAAACGTAATATATATTTTTTAATTTTAGCAAAAAGGAATTTGACCAAATTGCTTGAAATTGAAAATTGAATCAAATTGAAAACAAAAATTAAGAAAATTATTTTCTTTAAATTGAACTGGATTTTCCATTTTTGTAGATTATAGATTTTTAGTAATTTCTGATATCGAAAGGAAAAAAAAGTAATAAAAGAATATAATTTTTCGAACTAACAAATTTTGTATACAATTTGCAAATACACAAAAATTCCCCAAACTCTTAGAATATTTTGTGTAATAAATTTAATGTCGTTCGGGTTATCATCAATTTGACCTGATTCTGAGAAATTGTGTGTATACAACGATGACACATGAGAAAAGTCGTCAATTTTCTATTTCCTTTTTCTTTAATTTGGAAGCATACGGAAATTGTCGATATTGAGAAAAAAAAATTGTATTTCTTGATGACAAGGATTTTTTTTTTATTTTCCACACATGAGGAGAGAAAAAAAGAGAAGTTGGAAAAAATATAATTAAAGAGAGAATATTTTCTGTATAGTTTATATCAGTTGAGTAAAGTTCAATAAGGAACCAGTTCAAACCAATCGTTGAAATTATATTAAATGACGATTGACTTACGTATATGTATATGTACCACACATTTATTATCGAGAATTTTACCCTCTCATGCGTGTTTCAGGGCGAGGGGAGGAACTTTTGTACTTTTGTACTTGGTAAAGACCAATAGGCAAGTCCAAGAGTCGTGTGCACGTCAATGTCTGCCACACGACACGGATGTTATAAATTTTCATCCAAAAAGAATGCAAACATTGTTTTATTGCGATAATGCGGTGTAATTACAATGATTAAATTAATTATTAAAAAATTCAACATTGAGTGGAGGAATGAACTTCCATCAACTTTAGAGTAAGAGAAATTTAACTTCCATCAACTTTTGAAGTAAGAGAAATTACCAGAATTGTAATTCAAAACAAAAATTGAATTTTAAAGGAAAAAAAAAATATTTCTATTTTTCTGGAAAAAGAAAATTTTGTTTTCTTTTCTAGAAGGAAAGAAAGTTTTTCTATTCATTAAGGAAAAATATGAGACAGTTTTTCGCGAAGATAGGAATTTTTTTTCTTTATTTAAAGAGAATGCAGGCTTCGCACTCATCTATACTAAAACCTACTATTTACTACTTTTTTACGTTATGCTACTATTTGGATACTTTTTTTTCGATTTCAGCAACTAAAAGCTAATATTTATTATTAACAACACTAATATAATAACATTTTTCATGAAAATTAAATTTTTTAAAAAAATTTTTGATAAAATTCTAAGCAAGAATTCAATTAATTTCATAAATAATAAAACTCATCGAAGAATTTCAATTATTTTTAATACTATTTTAAATTATAATTAATCGAAAAATTCAGTTATTTTTACGAATAAAGATTTCCACAAGAATTCAATTATTTAAAATAAAATTTTCATAAATATTTATTATATTTCGAAAAAATTAATTATTTAAAACAATGTTTATGAAATTCTCATAATAAAGAATTCAATTATTTTCAAAACTAACAAAATTTTTCACAGAAATTCAATTCTTTTTTAACATTTTAATAAAATTTTTATTAATAATTCAATTATTTTCATAAATAATAAAATTCTTCTTAAAAATTCAATTATTTTTGAAAATTGTAATAAAATTATTTATAACTATTCAATTATTTTCATAAATAATAAAATTCTTCGCAGGATTTCAATTATTTTTAATACAATTTTACAGGAATTGCTCAAAAAATGTAATTATTCTTAAAAATTTAATTACAATTCCTCGAAAAAATCAATTATTTAAAAAAATGGTTTTTTTTAAATTCTTTGGAAGAATTCAATTATTTACAAAAATTTTAGAATTTTTCACAGGAATTCAATTATTTTCAAATATTTTAATAAAATTATTGGAAAGAAATAAATTATTTTAAATATAATTTTAAATAAATTTTTTTAAAAATAATTAAATTATTCTTTTAGCTTTTAATAAAATTAAATTAATTAAATTAACATTTTTGACAATAATTGAATTCTAGCGAACGATTTTATTAGAATTTTTTAAAATAATTGACTTTCCAAGAAGGAATTTATTATTTTAAAAAATAATTGTATTATTGTGATGAATATTGTTATTTATAAAAATAATTGAATTTTGCAAAGCATTTTATTAAAATGCCTCAAAATATAATTGAATTTTCGGAAACAATTTTTTTATTTATCGACCTAATTGAATTCTTTCGAAGAATTATTTATGTAAATAATTGAATTTTTGGGAAGAATTTTATTAAAATCTAAAAGAATAATCGAATTATTTCAAAAAAAATTAAATTAAAATTGTATTTAAAATAATTGATTTCTTTCGAACAATTTTATTAAAATATTTGAATTCCTGTGAAAAATTCGAATATTTTTGTAAATAATTGAATTCTTTCAAAGAATTAAAAAAAAACATTTTTTTAAATAATTGATTTTTTTGAGGAATTGAAATTAAATTTTTAAGAATAATTACATTTTTCGAGCAATTCCTGTAAAATTGTATTAAAAGTAATTGAATCCTTCGAAGAATTTTATTATTTATGAAAATAATTATTTGCAAAGAATTTTATTAAAATTTTCAAAAATAATTGAAATCCTGCGATGAATTTTATTATTTACGAAAATAATTGAATTTCTGTGAAAATTTTTATTAGTTTTGAAAATGATTGAATTCTTTATAAGAATTTTGTAAATATTGTTTTAAATAATTAATTTTTGGAAATATAATAAATAGTATGAATATTTTATTTTAAATAATTGAATTCTTGTGGAAACTTTATTTGTGAAAATAATTGAATTTTGCAACGAATTTTATTAAAATGCCTCAAAATAATAAAATTGTTCGAAAAAATCAATTATTTTAAATACAATTTTAATTAAATTTTTTTCAAGTAATTCAATTATTCTTTTAGATTTTAATGAAATTCGTCTATAAGAATTCAATTATTTACTTTAAAAAATTCTTCAGAAGAATTCAATTATGTCGATGAATAGCAAAATTATTCTTGAAAATTCAATTACTTTGAGGCATTTTAATAAAATTCTTTGCAAAATTCAATTATTTTCGTAAATAACAATATTCATCACAAGAATTCAATTATTTTTGAAAGTAATAAATTTCTTCTTGGAAATTTAATTATTTAAAAAAATTCTAATAAAATCGTTCGAAAGAATTTAATTATTGTCAAAAATTTTACTTGAATTCTTTGTAAAATTTAATTATTCTTTCAAAACTTTTCGCAATTCAATGATTTTTAAAATCTACTATTTTCATAAAATTTTCAAACAAAATTCAATTATTTAAAAAATTTTTTGTAAAAATTTTCGTTATTAATTATTTTCATAAATAATAAAAATTTCTCAGGGATTGAATTATTTAAATAATTAGAATTTGCATAAAATTAGTCGAAAGAAATCAATTATTTGCAAATTTTGTATAAAATTCTTCGCCAGAATTAAATTATTTTTCTAAATATTTAAATTTTTTGATGAATAAAAAAATTCGTTGCAGGAATTGAATTTATTAGCAGTAGGATAAGAAAAGAAGTAAATATTTTTTATGAAAATTAGAAAAAAGTCAGGAAAATAAAAAATATTAAATGGAATTTTTGTCAGTTTTGTCAAGTGTCTAAAACGAGTCTTTTTGATCGTCAAGTTTAATTTTTCAATAGCTACTTTTTTACTACTTTTTTTTTAGTTTGAAAGCTACTTTTTGCTACTTTTTTTAAAATTAATTATCGATTGCAAAGTTTGAGAAGGTTTTTGTCGAAGGTGAAGAGGAGTATTGTTGAAAGTTGAGAGAATTAAAAAAGTATGACAGTTAAATATATTTTTTCTATGGGAAATATCCTTAAGAGTTAAACACACTCAATAAATTGAGGTGAGTCGACTGATAATATGCAGGTTGAAGATTGGAATCTTTCTAAACATATAATTATAAAATCTTTACTCCAAGGTTAAATAAAAAAGGGCACATATATAAATGCATCATCTGAAACTTTCAAAAGTATCAGTCACAAGTCATTATCATCATCAGAAACATGATTAAAGCGATATTCTTCTTTTTCATTGTCATTTACTTAAATCTCAGCGTAATGTCACTGGACACTTGTTTGCCAGAAGGTATTTTTTGCTATACCGACAATTTGATGAAAATATTTCCAAAATGTTGCGGATCATGCATAGAAGATATTGAGAGATTGTACTTTAATGGAATTTGTCGTTCGAATTAATATCAGGTAATTAATTAATTAAACTAATTATTAATTACCAATTTACTAATTAAAAATGATTCGTATTTCAAATTTATTTATTTTCGTTTTTTATTGTACAAAATTTTACAATGACTAAAATAATCAATAGTAAATGATTAAAATGATTTAGATTTCCTCTGAATTAATTTAAATTTTGATAATAAAGACAATGACAAATTAATTTCGAGAAATTGAGGAATAAAAAAAATTCTCCACTGCGTAGGGAAGTAAAAAATGAAGTATTAAAATTTAATAATGAACTGACGTGAATTTTTTTAGATTAAATAGTATCAACTTTTGACATTATGGGCAATGCGTCAGGAATTTGAATTTCATATACTGGTTTTCCTTCTTCACTAACCCAAATGCTGCCGTTTTGCGCACACCTAATTACGTAAACCAAACCGTGCGCAATGTTCTTCACTCTGCAAAAAAAGTAATATTCTTATTTAATTTCCTTCCTTGTCTCTAGATTTATATAATTCTAAATATTTGTCTTTTAAATATTGCATTTCAAATATTGAATTTAAAATATTAAATTAAAAATATTGTATTGAAACATTGAATTTAAAATATTGAATTTAAAATATTGAATTAAAAATATTGAATTTAAAATATCGAATTTAAAATTACAAACATTTTATTATCTGTATGAAATTATTTTACGTTATTTCAAGAAGGAAGAAAGAATTTTAAAAAGAATTTAGGAAGAAAAAATTACGAGAATTACTTTTGTGGATCTTTTTCCGCATCGAAAAAGTTGGGACACTCGAGATTTTCCAAATCTGATGAATCATCGGAAGTCATTGACTCTAAAGTGTTTGCTATTTCAGGACAAAGGACTATTATTCGAACACCTGTTCGCTGATAATGGTAAGGTTGCTAAAAAAAAAGAAATTATTATTTTAGAAATTTTGAATTTTCAACAAAAAATTATTTTCTGATAACAAAAATATGTGTAAAAAAATTTATATTTTCTGCCAAAAAAAAAATTGTAAAAAAATTTATTTTTTGATAAAAAAAAATAAAAAAAAATTGATTTGCTGAGAAAAAAGAATAATTAAAAAAAAAATAATTAAATGAAAAAATTATTAAAAATTAAATTAAAATGAAATAATTAAAAAATAAAAAAATTGAAATAATTAAAAAAAATAGAAAAATAAATTGAAAAATAATTGAAAAAATTTGTAATTTATTAAATAAACTCACTGAGAATGAACGACTGAAGCCAACAATGGCGTGTTTTGTTGCCGAATAGATGGGATAATTAGGCAAAGTTTGAAGACCAGCAACTGATGAGACATTAATAATCACACCACCTTTTCCACCGGTGTCCTTTCCCATTTGTTGAACCGCTAATAAACTTCCTCTAATTACTGCAGTCTATTTAAATTTAAATTACAATTCATAATGTACAAATGTATAATTTATTATATTAAAATAAACGATTGTCGAAAAAAAAATAAAAAAAAAAACAATAATGCTCACAATTTTTTCAACAGATTTTTTCATTATGTACTTTAATTATTAGTAATTCGTGAAGAATTTTTGTCTGAATACTCGAATTAATTAATATACTTACAACATTAATATCAACAGCTTTAACGAAATTCTCTTCACTGACGACTTCTGCATTATTTATCAAAATATCGAGTCCTCCCAAAATTGAAATTGCTTTTTTGAAAGTTGCTGAAATAAATTTGTTTCAAATTTGTTTCCTAACTTTTTTAATAATTTTAAATGTTTTCAATTTTTTAAATTAATGTACTGAAAATCATTGAATACTTGCAAAGTATTTATAAAAAATATTTGAAAATAATTGAATTCATTTCAAGAATTTTATCAACATTTTTTTCAATAATTGAATTCTTTCGAGAAAATGTAATGAAAATTGTATTGAAAATAATTTAATTCTTGGCAAGATTTTTATTAAAATTCTTTAAAATAATTGAATTGTTTTGAAGAATTATTTCAATTTTCCTGTAAATAATGGAGTTTTTTTAAAATTATTTTTACTGAAACTTTTGAAAGTAATTGAATTTTATGAAGATTTTCTTTTAAGCTCTTTAAATAATCGTGTTTATCATTAATTGTAATTAATAATTTTCCTATTAAATTATATTAAAATTATTTATAGAAAATTAAATTCTTTTCAATAATATTATTAGTTTTTGAAAATAATTACTTTTTTTTAAACTAATTTCATTAAATTTCGTAAAAATAATGTAAAAAAAATTAAAAATAGTTAGAATAATTAAAAATAATGTAATTTTTAAAAATAATTTTAATTGAAAATTTTGAAAATAATTGAAATTTACAAAAAATTTTGTTAAATGCATTTGAGAACAAGGGAATTGTTTAGAAAAATTTTATTACAATTTTTAAACATAATTGAACTTGTTAGAGAAATTTTATTAAAATCTTCTTGAATAGAATTGAATTTTTTCCTAGAAATTTTATTAAAATTGTATTAAAAATAATTTAATTGTTTCGAAGAATTTGTTATTAGAATTGTTTAAAATAATTGAATTTATTTTAAAATTCTTGAAAATAATCGAATTGAATTAATATTTTTAAAAATAATTGTATTCTTTGGAGAAATTGTATTGAAATTATATTGAAAATAATTGAATTTCTCAGAAAAACTTTACTATTTACAAAAATAATTGAACTCTTGGCAAGAATTTTACAATTTAAAAAATAATTGAATTGTTTCGAAGAATTTTATCAGAATTGGTGAAAATAATTGAATTTTTATTAAAACTCTTGAAAATAATTGAATTTAAATATTTTTAAAAATAATTATAATATTATTTCGAGAAATTTTATTTAGATTGTATTGAAAGTAATTGAATTCCTCTGAAACGTTTTATTATTTATGAAAATATTTTAATCTTGCGAAGAATTTTCTTATTTTTGAAAATAATTGAATTCTTGCGGAGGATTTTACAGTTCATAAAAAGAATTGAATTGTTTCCAAAAGTTTTTTCTGAATTTTTGAAAATAATAGAATTTGTTAAAGGAATTTTATTAAAAATTTTGAAAATAATGATTTCTTTAAAAGAATTCCATCAAAATTGTCGAAAATAATTGAATTTATATTTAAATTCTAAAGAATAATCGAATTTAATTAATATTATAGTAAAAATAATTTCGAGAAATTTTATTAAAATTGTATTGAAAATAATTGAATTGCTCTAAAATAATATTTTAATAATTTATTTTTCTATCGTAATATTTATATTTGAATTTATTCTACTTTTATTTGATTGAAAATATTTTAATAATTAATTTTTTTATCCTAATATTTATAATTACATTTATTCTACTTTTCTTAGACTGAAAATATTTTAACAATTACCATCGAACTCGGAATTTTTCGTTATGTCACACTGCAGGAAAATAGTTCGTTTCTTCCCAAATTCTAAATTGAGTTTCTCCACAATTGACTGTCCTATTAATTCATCTGAATCGACTAAAATTACAATCTGAAAAAGTAAATGTCAGTGTGAATTTTAAAAGATTTTTTTATAATAAAAAAAAATAGGAAAAAATACATTGAAATATTATTTTTTTGACTCGTTTGACATATTTTATATTTTCAAAAGTAAAATTAGTTTTTAATTACCGCTGCGCCGTTTCGTAAAAGTTCGGTACTGAAAGCCAAACCTAAACTGCTAGCTGCTCCAATAACAATAGCTTTTTTATCTTTTATTTGCATTTTTTTCTTAATTTAATTGTAATAACACTTTGTTTTTTTCGCAGCAATTTTTTCACATTGATCACAGTTGTAATTTTTAACTAATTAACAATTAAAAAAAAAGCATTCTTTTTTCACAAAAAAATGCGTCACAGCAAAAAGTAAAATACTATTTAAAAATAACTCTTTTTTTCAAAAAGATTTTGTCCTTTCGTTTCAGAAACTTAAATCAAGAACGACTCCCGCAAACTGATAGAAGAATCGCATGTTTTTGTCAGTTACCCTCTGATCCATGTCGTCATTATGATTTTCAGTTAATTAAACTTATTTCTTATAGAAAATAATTGCAATTAAATTTATAATCTTTCTCGCCTTTTAATTATAATACTTCATCAAGAATATATTATAAAGAAAATCATTTTGTTTAAATACCGCAAAATTGTTTATTTTTAAATTTTCTCCTTTTAAAGGAAAATGTCAAGATGACATTTTCTAGCAAAATAATTATAATTAGATAAGAAGTTATCCTGTAATGATTTGTCTAAAGACAGGCATATGTGGGTCGTAAAGTTCAGATTTTATTTATAATCAACAAACGACGTCAATGTTCGCGTTGTTATCAATGGAATGTACTTGAAAATAATTTTTAAATAAAGAATTAATAAATTAAAAATGTTTTCATTTAAAGAATTTATTCCCCGATTGTGACATTCAGGTTTTTTTGCATCAATTAAAATGTAATATGCTCAATAATACTGAATATTAAAAAAATATTTAGATTTTAAGAAATTGTTTTATAGATACACTGAGTATATTTTATTTACATACCGGGTGATGGAAATTATCCGGAAAATATCCTCTGAATTCTGAATATTTTAAGAAAAAATATATATAGTAATAAACTCACCAAGCATCACCAAGAGAAAGTTATTTTCGAAAGCAAATTTTTCCTCTTCAAATAGTTTGTTTTTAACTATTTAATATTAAAAATAGGTGCATTGAATTAATATACTTGTTTTAGACTTTAATTTCAAAATTAATCTCTATTGAAATAATTTTCTTTTGTATGTTCCTTTCGAACATTGAATTATTTCGTTTGTTTTGAACTAAAGTTTCAATTTTGACAGCTGTAAATTTGAGGATATAAACAAATTCTTTGTATCGTAAATACTCAAATACAAACAGGCTTCTTTCCTTGTACTATAAATTAACTAATTATTTTATTAGAAATATTCAAGAAAGTAAAAAATTAATATTTGTATGCTTTTGAAGACTTTGAAATAGTTATTTTCGGTTAACTATACAAGCACCACGAACATATTCTAAGATGGCCGACTCGACTAGTGGACAAGTTTCTCTGAACGTCCGAAATGTGACACTCGTCAGGGTTGGGTAAGTAAAACACAGTAAGTTAAATTTTACTTTTTTTAAATTTAATTTAAATTTTGAATCTAATTTTCCTTTAATTTTATATTTTCATTATCGTTTAAAATCAATTCAAATTTAATTTGCAATTCATTCAAATTATTCAAGTAGAAAAATGTTAATGATAATTACAATATTGTGAATTCGACTTTATGTTCAAAGTGAACACCTTGTGTACAATACATAATATAATCATTTTCCATGAAAACAAGGCGATATGAACGAACTTAATTAACTTTATTTCTAATTCTTTCCAAATTACATACTTAAATTATGCTTCCTTAAAATAAATGATTATAATAAAAATATTTTGTTCCGAAAGAAATCAATATTCTCAAATTTGGAAAAAATAATGCCAATAATTTTCTTTCTAGTGACAAAAATAAATTAAAATAAAAAAATTGACGCCATTGTGAAAATAAAGATTTACATGTCCAACCCTGCGTTAGGTGGAAAAGCGGAGGAAAATTCTTCTAGAATTTAGGAACACGCGAAATAAATTTTCGTAGCATCGCTGCTTCGCTTTTGCCGCTAAAAATATTTGATGAAATTTAGGCGCAGAAAGTGCTTTAAGTTTGAAAAGAGGAAAATTTATTTCAAACTGGTAATTAAGAGACTCTATTGAAATTATAATTGTGTTTTTGAAGTGAAAATTTTTTGAGAAAAATAATGTTATTTCTGTTCCAGACCAATGTCAGGCATTGCAATAGCTAGACTCGCAGAGGAAAGGAAGGCGTGGAGGAAGGATCATCCTTTCGTATGTATTTATTATTTTTCGTTAAAAAGCATTCTTTTTCCTATTCCCCTTCGTGTTTAATCCTTTATTTCCCAATAACTCCTATTGCACGAACATTTTCTTTTGTAGATTAAACAATTCACAGGTGGATGTTGTAAGCATGTCCCTTATTAATGCACATGCTTGTAAACAGAAATTACTTTTTTTTGTTTTACCCAGTATTGAAATTTGGAAAAATTCTTCGATTTTGTATATATTGCGATCCCTTTTTTTTTATTATTTTCTATTCTAAGTTTAGTAAAAATAGTGGTGGAAGAATAAAGTTTGTCAATATAACCTCAATGACACTTGCGCTGGAGGCGAATAAATTCGTCTCTTAACGTTTTACACTCCAAGTTTTGAATGTTCAAAAGAAATTTATTATTTATTATAAGAAAAAAAAAATCTCATTTGTAGTAAAATTGAAATTTTTTGAGTATTTAAATTTTTAATATTTTTGTGAGGAGATCAATGTCATTAACATTATTTGTTTTTTCAAAGGGATTTGTTGCACGTCCGACAAAAAATCCGGATGGTACACTCAACTTGATGAGTTGGGAGTGTGCAATACCTGGGAAAAAATCGGTGAGTGTTTTTTTTTTTACTTAAAAGTGAAAATTTCATGTGTGACTTGAATTTTGTAAAAGTAACGGTTTCTTGTGAAAATCAGTGAAAATATTTATTTTCCGTAAACTAAGTGTATACAAAGTGAAATAATGAACAAGTATTAAATTAAAATGAAAGATAAAATTAAAGGTAAATAAAGCATTTATGACGGTTTGATTGAAACTGGGGATTTTCTTTTTAATTGCTTTCTCCGTTATGACTATGACGAGTGATTTATTAATTTATTCTATTTGTGATAAATTTGTAAAATTTTGAAAATTGTTTATTTAGACACCATGGGAAGGAGGATTATACAAATTACGAATGATCTTCAAAGACGATTATCCTTCGAGTCCACCAAAATGTAAATTTGAACCACCTCTCTTCCACCCAAATGTATATCCATCGGGAACAGTTTGCTTGTCGCTCTTAGATGAAGAAAAAGATTGGAGGCCAGCGATTACGATTAAACAAATTCTTCTGGGCATTCAAGATCTCCTCAATGAACCTAATGTTAAAGACCCAGCTCAAGCAGAAGCGTATACAATCTACTGGTAATTATCAATTTTTATTTATTTTAATTATCCAACAGCTGCTGATTCAGGGTTGCCATCAATCAGGGAAGTCAGGGATTTTTATTAAAAGTACTGGGAAAAATTAAATTTTTAGAATTCATGAGAAAATTCTGTATTTTTGTGTTTTTTTTTGTTTGACTCATAAACTATGAAATTACCACGAATTCTAATACAAAAACATAAATTTTTTCTATTTCTAACAATTTAATTTAGAAGATTTTAATTTTCAATAAATTTAATTCAAAACTTTTAAAGAACTTAGATTTTTGAAAAATTTTAATAATTTAAATACTTCTGAAATTAGTTAAAATCTTTAATATGCATTTAATTAATTATTAAAAATAATGAATTTATAGGAGAATTTAATTAAAAACACAAAAAATTGAATTTTGGAGAAATTACAAATAATTGCAGAAATTCAATTATTTTCAAAAGTAATAAAATTCTTCAAAAAAATTCAATTATTCAATAAATTATTTTTTTTTTGTACTTTTAAATAATTGAATCATTTTCAATTAAAATTTTAGTTAAATTCGTTAAAAAAATTTGTAAGAATTTAATTATTCTCATAAATAATAAAATTCTTGTCGGGAATTCAATTATTTTCATAAATAATAAAATACTTAAGATAAATTCAATTACTGTGAATATATTTTTAATAAAATTCTTAGCAGAAATTCAAACATTTTCAAAAATAATAAAGTTTTAACTGGAATTCAATTATTTAAAATACAATTTTCATAACATTTTTCGTATAAAATCAATTATTTAAAAAAAATTTTATATTCTACGCTCTGAATTTAATTATTGTCATAAGTAATAAAATTTATTGCAGGATTTCAATTATTTGCAATACAATATTAATTTTATGAATTTCTGAAAATGCAATTATTCTTAGAATTTTTATTGGAATTCTTCGAAAGAATTCAATTGTTTTTAAAATATTTTGGTAAAATTCTTTATCAGTCTTCAATTTTAAGAAACAATTAAATTATTTTTAAAAATTTTCCTTTTAATGTAATGTTTTTCAATATCAATTATTTTAATGAAATTTTTTATAAATTTCTTCGCAATAATTCAATTATTTTAGAAAATTTTAATAAAATTCTAGTCAAAAATTCAATTATCTTCTTAAATAATTAAATTCTTTTTAGAAATTTAATTATTTTCGTATATAATAAGATTCTTTTTAAGAATCAATTATTTTCATAAATAAAACTCATCGCAGAATTTCAATTACTTTTTAATACAATTTTAATCAAATTTCTTTGAAAAATGTGATTATTCTTAAAAATTTTATTTGATTTCATCAAAAAAATTTAATTATTCAAAAATTTGTTGATAAAATTCTTTATGAGGATTCAATTTTAAGAAATAAGATATTTTTAGCATTGGAAACAATGTTTTATATAATTAATATTGAATGTTTTTTCTTTCTTTCTAATTTCAGTCAAAATCGACTTGAATACGAGAAACGAGTGAGAGCTCAAGCGCGAGCGATGGCACCACAAGAGTAGCTAGTCTACTAAAATATCGATACATTTCAGCTTTACGGAATAAAATTCTCGGGTCTCATTTTTCTTTGTATTTTTTTTTCATTTCTATTAACAATTCTATTTTTTATGTTTGTGATAATTTCCAATTGATGAAGCAATAATGTTATTCAAGTATCAATTATTTTTATTTATAATAACGGAAAGCAAAGAAAATTTTTGTAAAATTCCCTTGAAATATTATTTTTATCTTATTCCCAAAAAGCTGAAAATGACAAATTTTTTCCTGTCGATGAAAAAAATAGGATGGGAAAAAGGAATTTAAAAAAAGAAACTTGGGAATTAGACGAATTGCTTTTGTTCTTATAAATGTAAATCAGAGAAAAATGTACGTCAAATCGATAATTAAATTAATTTTTTACACATAGCTTTTCATCTATAAAATAACTGGAGATTTTTTTTTCTGAAAAAATAATGTGAGAAATTTCATTTTGAAGGACTTTTTTTTCTTATTATGAATATATTACGTTTATAAAAATCAGTATTTTCACATTTAATGAATAGTGAATAATTCATTATTTTGTGTCGGATTTTTTATTGATTGATGAAGAATTTCTATTTCTTAATTTTTTGGAAATATATAAACAGGACAAAGAATGCGATGAATCGTAAGGATAATTAAATAAAATACTGTTTACTCGGATGTGTAGTTATAGATCAGAATTTAGTATAGACATGAGAAAACTAGTGTTAAGCGATTATTCCATATTGTCAAATAGTCCTTTAAGAATGATGTTTTTAAAAAAAAGATCTTTGCTCTGTTCTATGGAGTGAATATTTTTCCTACGTTTATATAATGTAAGTTAAAGGCATATTTCTTTATATTATTGGCTGAAAGATATTGGTCCATTGGCGAGACAAAGAAAAACAGTAATTCGAAAATTAGAAAAATAAGAAAAATTTTTTTTTTTATAAGTATTTCGCATTTGACAAAAAAAACATACACAGCTACGATCGGAGTGTTTATTTTTAGGGAAAATTATTTAAATGTCTGTTAAGTACCGTAAAAATCTTAAGCAATTTAATAAACTCTCTATAAATTATTTTTTTGTCTTTCTTTAAATTCAGACTGAATCATAATTAAGGGGAGACGAATTATACAAAATTATAACAAAAATAAAAATTATATAAAGGATACATAAAAAATTGTAACATTTTATCAATAAAAAAAAAGACGACATCAACTCAAAAAATATATTTTTATCTAGTTTCAATTACATAGCATTGCTTGTGTGCTTTACTCAAATGAGCACTGATAACAATTCCAAAAATTTTAATATTACAATACTTAATTTAAAGCCTTTAAAAATGCAGACAACCGACTAAAATAATTATACAATTTTCAATAATCTATCTCATCAAAAAAATTCTCTACACTTTTCCAAAAAATTCATCGTTGAAATATTTTTTTTCCCTCTCTTATTGCGTCAGTTCATTTTCAACGTGGAACTATAATTGCAAATTATTTTACTATATGGAAGCAAATTACTAAAATTTTAAAAGTTTTTTTGCAATTGAATAATTTCGTAAAAAGAAACAAAAGTCGAATTGGAATAACAAATTTTGATATTAGTTGAATAATAAATAAATGATTTACTAATTTGTGATTAATTTTTCAAATTTTCATAATTCACTATTAATAACTACAATAATTATAACAATTGGTTAATAAATATGTATATTTTTTTTTACTAAATCAAAATAACTAGAAATTTCAATTTATCTAAAATTATAAAAAAAAAATGATCCACTTTAATGAGAAGTCTTTAAATATTTATGTATATGAATATCTACAAATTTTCATTGCTCCCAAATCTCAAAGCTCATGCTTAAATCTTTCACTTTCTGTCGGCAGGCTACGAATTTTTTTTTCCAAATATAAAAAAGTCATTATACGATATACATATATAAAATTGATTAAATCATATCCAGTCTTTCTAAAAGGAATAACTAACAGATTTACGAAAAAAAAGCTTTCGTAAAAGTACAAAATAAGATTATAAATTTTCTAAAATTATAAAATTGTATAATTAAACAATAAAGTCAATAAAAATCAAAGAATAATAAAGTATATGAAAATTCGTAATTCACAAGAAGCAGTGTCATATATAGCAAAAGATTTTTTTTTCAGTAAATTATTATTCGAATTACGTCCGTATAGCTAGACGTATTTCTCAAAATAGCAGATTTCTTAAGTAATTAACTATTTTTTTTTAAATGACTAGCGTCGAATAATTAATATGACCTTGAGAGCGCAATCCCAAAAATCAACTCGATTCTCCATAATAAACTCTCTTTACTATGTTAAATAAATCAGTTTTCTTTCCGATAATTTTTTCAAAAATTTTCTATAATACTGTTTTTTTTCGGTATTCAAAACAATTCATTAACAGTATTTGATTCTATAATAATAAATTTTGTATTATCTTCCGATCAATTTATTTTTATTTTTATATTATGAGTCATTTTAGTCAATTTAAAAGTAATATTGATTTTCATCCGCGACAATGAAATGAAAATTCGAAAAATAAGAGCATAGGGAAATAAGAAAAAAAAATTTAATTTCTTTTTTGTCTGAAAAAAACTCAATGTCAATATTAAAAACAAAGGAATCAAGGTCATTTTCTGTATTCATTTGTACCTATCAAAAAAATTTTCACCGAAATTTGGAAAATGAAGTTGTGAGTAAATTTTGTTCGGAAAATATATAGAAAATCTGTCGACGCTGTTACGCAGTTTCTTGAATCGTTAGCTATTAAATTGTCCCATGTCGAGTGCATGTTTTTCTGCGTGATATGTTTTAAAAATTTGACTAAGAACTGGAGATACTTCGGGATCGTTAATCCACAAATTTGTCGAGGATGGTGTTTCCAGAATTGATAAATAAGCTGGAAGAAAAATATAATTTTATAAATAAGCTGAAATTAAATAATTAAAAATGTAACTATTATAATAAAATAATAATAATATTGTAGCTAAAATAAAATAATTATTGATTTAATCTAAATTTGCTTAATTTACCGTGTAAAAATTTTGGATTCGTGAGGCTAAGTTGAATATGAGGATTAGTCATAATTGCTTTGTAAATCGGTTCTTCTGGTTTAATTCCTTCATCTAAATCCTGCAGACTTCGTCTCCTTTCCCCCAGCAACCATTCACACTAAAAAAATCAAAATTTAATTCAATTAAAAACTAATTTAATTTAATTTAAACAATTGAATTCAATAATAATAGTTTAGTTTCTAAATAATATTAACAAATTCGGAGAAATTAAAAAAAGACTCTGGCTTACAGCGTTCGACTGATTGTTTCCAGTGACTTTAAGTGCTTCAATAATTTTCTTCTCCTCAAAGCCCATTTCTTGAAGAGAATGCACTATTTTAGGACTAGGTTTGAATTCCAATTTTTTATACTGTCGGAAGCTCTCCAAGGTCAATGCAACAATATTAATAAGATTTGGCTCAATGCTCGACCCTGTTTCGTCTGGAAAGAGAAAATTTTCCAATATATTAAAATTTTAAATACCTGGATTCAAATTTTGTTCTAAATTTCCAGTAAATAAAAATTAAAACAAAAAATTACATTAAACTGTAAATATTCTAGTTTTTTAAATATTTACCTGATGTGCTGGGACCGGCCATTATTGAGTCTAAATCGAGAACAGGAAGTTGCAAATCCTCCTCATCTTCATCATCTTCGTGTTCTATCAACCATTCGAGTGCCTCGGCCGTGTTCATTCTAAACAGTAAAAGATAATTTATTTATTCAAGTATTTCTTTTATAAAAAAAATTCGCAAGAATTCAATTATTTTCATAAATAATAACATTCTTCGGAAGAATTCAATTATTTTTATAAATAGTACGATTTTTTTTTGCAAAAAATTCAATTTTTTCTTAATTTATTATAAAATTTTACAAAAGTATTCAATTATTTTTATAAATTGTAAAATTCCTTGTAAAAATTAAATTATTTTCAAAAAAATTTGAATAAAATTTCAGGAAAGAATTCAATTATTTTCTTAAATAGTAAAGTGCTTACAAAAATTCAATTATTTTTCAACAAAATTAAATGAAAGAATTTAATTTTTTTTCTTAATTTCTTATAAAATTTTTCAATGAAGCTGAAGCTGGCACCTAGTTATTAGCACCCATTTAATTTCTATAAATTTTAAGTAATTTTCTAAAATTAATATAATAATATTTTTTAATAAAAAGAGTAATTAAATTGAAAAGAGGAAAAATTCTTACTTTCTTAAGCGTAACGCTTTGATGACTTTATTTTCCGTGAAACCCATGTCCATGAGATATTTCACAGCTTTCGGATCGCTTGGCGGCTTGTACCTGGTCTCCAGTCTCTCTCTAATATTTTTATAAAATTTATCTGCATCTGGACTGTACATGAGAATTTTGGCCGATGCTTGAACAAGGGTTATTAAAATCTTGTGAATCTCTTGTTGAAACTGAAATTAATTAATTAATTATTGATTAGAATAAACACAACATAAAAATATAGGAATAAAAGTAATATTTACATCAACAGGACAACTTGAATTTGGCATAGGTCGCGAAGGATTTTTTATCGGTAAATCTGCGGTTGCATTTAATATTTCATCTTCAGTCGGTCCCTTCAAATTTTCTTTGGATAAATTTTCTTTACCTTCGAGAGGTCGAATTTCCGACAACAGAAGTTCGTCTAAACATAATTTTATTAATTTTATGTATAATGTGTAATGAATCATAAATTACAAAAGGAATAAAATGAAATTCACCGAAATTTTGGCAGTCTTCTTCAGTTAATTTGTGATCATCATCAAGTACTTTAAAATTATTAGCGTGAACGAGACGAAAACTGGAAGCAGTTTTTGATTCATCCTGATCGTAAAAATGTTTCATTGCTGTTGTTTTGACTTTTTCAATAGTGAATTCCGGTTTGACGGTTGTTTCAAAAACAGATCCTTCCAAACTAAATAAAAGAAAAAAATGACAGATTTTCTTATTATATGTGACAATTTAAAATAACTAATTATATAATTGACAAATTTGAGAGTAAATGAAAATGAACCTTATTATTTTAATGGTAAATGTTTCAAGTGTTGAAGACGATGGCATAAGCATTGCGTTGTTACGATTCTCAGGAACCCCTGATCTGATGGAAGAAAGAATCAAGGACCTCCTCTGGGCCCTTGAACTCTTTCTGCTATGCCAGGCGTCCACAATGTGCTCCCGTATCCATGGCAACATCAAAGAATTCTGAAAAAGAAAAAAATCCCCCTTCATAATTAATAAACTTTAGATTTTCAGATTCGAACTTTAAAAAAATTCAATTATTAATGAACTTACTAATTAATTATTCTTATTTATTAATTTCAAAAGTTTTTAATAAAATTGTTCGCAAAAATTGAATTATTTTTAAACAAAATTTTAATAAAATTTCACAAACAAATACAATTATTGAATAAAATTTTAATTATTCCTTTGAAAAAATCCAATTATTTTTTAAATAGTAAAATTTTTGCAAAAATTTAATTATTTTCATAAAATTTTCACGAAAGAATTCAATTTTTTTCTTAATTCCATTATAAAATATTTCAAAAGAATTCAGTTATTTTTCAAAATTTTAATAAATTCTTCAAAACAATTCAATTATTTTTATAAATTGCAAAACTCCTTGAGAAAATTAAATTATTTTCAACAAAATTTGAATAAAATTTCATGAAAGAATTCAATTATTTTCTAAAATTTTAATAAAATTAAATAATTAAATGTTCAATTTCAATTTTTAACAAACACGATAATTTTAAAAATTTGAAATAAATTGTTCACAAAATTCAATTATTTTCAAAATTTTTAATTAAAATTATTAAATAAACTCCATTATTTAAAGAAAAATTCAAAAAAATTCTTCAAAACAAATTTAATTAAAATTTTCAAAAATTTCAACAAAATTCTTCTCGAGAATTAAATTATTTTCCTAAATAATAAAATTCTTCGAAAGAATTCTATTATCAAATTGATAAAATTCTTCGCAACAATTCGATGTTTTTTAATACATTAATTTTTAAATTATGAAAATACTTATAAAGAAAAATATTAAATAAGTTAAGAACCAAAAAAGCAAACAACTAACAGCAAACTGCGAACAGATTACCAGAATACAATGATTATTAATATAGAAGATTCTTTGAAATAAAAAATTTCCATTTAAATCTTTCCCCTTCAGTAAATTTTCAAGTAATAAAACCATAAAAAAAACCAAGAATACAAAAATACATACAAAAATAACTTCTAAAAAACAAGCATAGATACAACCATTTCAAATATTAACTAGAAAACATATTTTCAAAGCAAACCTTTCGAAATTAGAAACAAGAAATTATTTGTTGATATATTAAAACAGTACCTTTTTAATAAGTCTACAGGCAAAAATTTATTCTTATATTCGACCATAATTTGGTCATAGTTAACCTTTAAAATACGCGAAATAAATTAAAACGTGAAAAACTTTCATTATTGTTATAGACAGAAATCACGAGAAGTCAATCTTTGCTCCATTTTCGGTTATGTTTTAATTTACATGTCAGAAACGAATCACAAATTGATGGAATAACATGACAGCTGACTGCAGCTGACATTTTTAGAATTTGGTACAAAAAGTTACCTATAGATTTCGCTGAAAAAATACTCCAGGGTTGTGAAGGTAGAATAGAGAGTTAATATGTCGCTCATCAGATGTTTGTCCGTTAAAAATAGCTACTCAATTCTGGTCAGTTCCTAGTGGTTTCTAGGGAATCTAGGGAATAAAGAAAAAGATTTTTTCTTTTTTATTATTTTGCCATTGGCTGCCTTGCCTTGAGTCAGTGATTAATGGAAGAAGAAAACGGGCTGAATTTTGTTCGCATAAAATTGAAATTATTTTAAAAAAAAAAATGGATTTTAATGTAAAGAAAATGGTGAAGGATGCTGGAGCAGCGCTCAGTAGAGTTGTACAGGTAATAATTTGGAAAACAATCCGAAATATTGAATTATTAATAAAAATTCTATTTTGTGTGGGTGTTTAGTGACACCGTCAGTACCGTCACTTCTGACATTTTTGCTTTGTTATAAGAATGTATGACTCTCCTTTATTAAATTAATAATCATTTGTTAACTTTATTAAATAAATATTTTCCCATGAATTAAATTTATTAAATTTCTAAAGTTCACTTTGACAATACATTATATTTTCTATTAATATTTAAAAAAAAATATTCCTAATAAATGTAATTTCTAAAAGTTAAAGTGTAATTGTTTACATTCTCTTATTAATGTTATTCATTTTTATTGAGGACGTGAGAAAATTGACAATAGTTATTAAACTTTCATTCTTTAACTATTTTAGCTTACGGAAGAAACTCTTGGTACTTCTGAGAAGACCGAACTAGATGCTCATTTTGAACATTTAGCAGAACGAGCAAATATGTCAAAAACTTGGACAGAAAAGATTCTTAAAAATATGGAAGCTGTGCTTACTCCTAATCCTGGTATGATTAATTAATTAATTAATTAACTGCTTAAATCATTCTTTTTTGATTTAGAAATCGAATAAATTAATATTGGTATTTTTAGAGTTTTAGATCGATACTGTTTCTTTTTTGCAATTATTTAGAGATTTTTAATCAAATCATTTCTTGTAGGAAATAGAATCGAGGATTTTGTTTTTGAGAAGATTGATAAAAGGAAACCAAACAGACTGAGTAATTTGGAATATCTTGGACAGGATATGATCGATGCGGGAAATGAATTTGGACCTGGAATTGCTTATGGTTTGCTAGCACGTTTTTCTTCTTTTTATTTTTTTAATTATTCGGTTATTTAACTCAATTGTGATTTTAGGCAGTGCTTTAATCAAGGTTGGACAGTGTCAACAAAAATTGGGTCAAATTGAAAGAGACCTTATCGGAACAGCAGCTAATTGTTATATTCAACCACTAAGGAAATTTCTGGAGGGTGAAATGAAAACAATTAGCAAGGAGATGGCTATTCTAGAAACAAAGCGGTAAAAATATTTAATTAATTATTCAACATAATGTAGGGTTGCTACGCAACCTAGAAACCATAAGTTATTATGTTTATTCTTGAAATCTAATTTCACTTAAATATTTCAAAATTAATTCAATTTTAAAAAAATTGCGTTTACAATTTTCGTAAGTAGATGAACTTTAAAAGATTTTCATTTAAAATTTTGTAAAATTTCAATTTTAAATGAATTTAATTAGAAATATTATATAAAAAATCTTGGATTTTTAAAAAAAAAATTTTAACTAAATTTCTTCTGAAATTAGTTAAATTTTTTAATATATATTTAACTAGTTTTATTAAAAATAATGGATATTTAGAAGAATTTTAATTAAAAAAAAGCAAATTAAATTTTGAAGCAATTACAAATGATTGCAGACATTCAATTATTTTCAAAAGTAGTAAAATTCTTCTCTTATTTTTCTTATTTTCAAAAATTTTAATAAAATTCGTGGCAAAATTTTAATTATTTACAAAAATTTTCCTCAATTCAATGATTTTTAATATCTACTTCTTAAATAAAAATTCCTAAGAGAATTCAATTAGTTTAAAAATTGTTTAATAAAATTCTACGCAAACATTTAATTATTTTTATAAATAATAAAAATTTCACAGAAATTCAATTATTTACAAATTATTTTCATATATTATTCAGTTATTTTCATAAATAATAACATTTTTTACAAAGATTCAATTATTTTCATACATAATAAAACTCAATTAAATTTCTTTAAAGAATAAAATTATTATTAAAAATTTTAATGTTTTAATGTTTCTTAAAATTGTACTAAAAATAATTGAAATTTTGCGATAAGTTTTATTTATACATATTAAAAAGAATTTTATTATTTATAAAAATAATTGAATTATTGCGAAGAAATTTATAAAAAAATTTGTAAATAATTGAATTCCAGTGACATTTTTATTATATTTAATTAGAATGTTAAAAAGTTTTTTAAATAATTATTTATAAAAAATTTTAACAAAATTCCACGCAAACATTTAATTATTCTTTTATAAAATTTTATTTTAAAATAATATATATTAAAAATCATTAAATTGTGGAAAATTTTTGAAAATAATTTAATTTTTGAGAAGAATTTTATTATTTTTGGAAATAATTGAATGTCTGCTATCATTTGTAACTTTTCTAAAAAAAATGTAATTATTTTAGTGTTTTTAATTAAAATTCATATAATTTATTTTCTATTAATTTATTTTTATTCATAAAAATTTATTGAATTCCATTAAAATTGTATTAAAAATAATTGTAATTTTGCGTTGAGTTTTTTTTTATTTTTTAAAAATCTAAATTCTTTAAAATTTCTAATTAAATTCATTGAAAATTGAAATTTTATAAAATTTATATTAAAACTTTTTGTAGTTCATCTATTTATGAAAATTATAAACGCAACTCTTTTAAAATTGAATTAATTTTTAAATATTTAAGTAAAATTATTCATTAAATAATTTATGAATTTATTTTAAGGTTTACTTTATGACAGTTTTTAAAGATAATTAAATTATTTAAAATAAATTATTGTCAGATCAAAATTCAAATATTTACAAATTTTTGATAATTTTTTTTTTTTTGCAATAATCACATTATTTTCATAAATAATAAAACTCATCGCAGAATTTCAATTATTTTTAATGCAATTTCAGTCGGAATTTCTCGAAAAATGTAATTATTCTCAAAAATTTGATTAAAATTCATCAAAAGAATTCAACTAATTAAAAATTTGTTGATAACATACTTCATGAGAATTAAATTTCAATTATTTATTTTTTTTACTTAAATAATTGAATTCTTGTAGAATTTTGTAATAAAAATTGATTTATATTTAATTTTTAAACAAATTGATTTGAAAATTTTGAAAGAACTTTTTCAAAAATTATTAAAAATAATTGATTTAGAGAAGAATTTGAGTTAAAAATTCTAAAAAATAATAATTGAATTTTGTTAAGATATTGAATTTCAATTTTTTGCAAAATTTAATTCCTACGGAAAAATAATTAAATATTTATTAAAAAAAAATAGTTATTGATGCTTTCGAATAATTTTACTTTTGAAGAAATTTGTAAATAAATGTAATAAAACATGTTTTTGAATATCTAATAATTTTTAGAGTGACTGAGAATATTTTTAGAGAAAAAGTCAAAATTTTATCTGCAAATAAGGGAAAAAGAAAATTAAATTTTTGTAATAACCCTTTTGTTCTCTAGTATATGAAAACAAAAATTTCTTTTTGTAGACTGGATTTGGACGCGTGCAAAAATCGGGTTCGAAAGGCAAGAAGCATGTTGGGCCAGCAAAATGTAAGTTTCGTTGGAAAATTTCCCTTATTTTATATTATTCATTTAAGTGTTGTGTACGTTTACTCTGAGGTTTGTTTCGCCCCCATTGCTGCATAAAATAGGAGAGCGGCGTATCGCCTGAAGTCTTACTTGATCAGGTATTAAAAACAAAAATATAAAGAAATTGGAAAATTTGTCATATATTCGTATCACAATTTTTTTTTAAATTAAATTTTTCCACGTCACTTTTTTCCATTCGTTTTTTATTTTTAATTACTACAGTCCCTTTAGTTTTGATGTAGGAATTTCGTTTCTCTTAATTTTCAATTTTTGTTTCTATTCTCTTTTTTTTTAATTTTAATTTTTTCCCCCTTTTTCTTGAAAATGTACTTATTATCAATTTTTGTTTTTTTTTTCTAATGAAACACAAGGCCGAGAGGGAATTGAGGGTAGCTCAATCGGAATTCGATCGTCAGGCAGAAATAACGAAATTACTTTTGGAAGGAGTCTCCAGTTCACAAGCGGGACATTTACGTTGTTTACATGAATTAGCTGAAGCTCAAACTCGTCACTATGCTCAATGTCATGCGACAATGCAAGAATTACAACGAGAACTCGCTGGGTAAAGTAAACAAAATTTATTCTGCATAAAAAAGAAGGATAAGGAGATTTTTTCCCTCCACCCCTCGATCATCCTGCATCATATAATTCTATACCTCTTTTTCAAAATGTCAACAAAAAAAAAAAGTTTCTTACAATTTTTTTTTCTCTGTTTTGACATCTTATTGTGCAGCTTCCCCACTCTCGACTGGTGATCCGAGTGAGTAATGTTTTAGAACTTTTATAGCGTCGCTCTTGGACGTGCTAAAATTTATTTAGAAAAGAAAAAAAGCTTAGAACCATTACTCATTCGCAATGATCATGTTCGTGGTAACCCCCGAAGTTTTTTCTTCTACTCTCTCTCTTTATTACTAAATTGATAAGACGAGAAAAATGATTTTTCAAATATTTTAACTTAAGCAATATGCATTTGCGATTGGTGTTAAGGAATGCATTCTTATGAAACTATTAACTTTGTAAAGACGAAAAATTTTTTTTCTCAATTTTACTTAAAAAAAAAAATAAATTTTATTCGTCTTTTTAATGTTGCAGTTTCATAAATTTGCAAAGAAGCATTTGTTTCACTCAGTGTTTGTAGTTTGTGTGTTGTTTCATTTCTCATTTCTCCACTTTTATTATAGTAGAATTTCTATTTCTGTGTTTGCTGTATTAAAAACTGAGAAAGTTAATAGCGTTCTAAATTGAGAATTCTCTATTTTGATTATTAGTTTATTGTTTCTTTTAAATAAAAAAAAGAAGAATCTCGAATAAAATTAATTAGTTTCTGAATTCTTAAAAGTTTAGAACTCTATTAATTTGCATGTATCGAAAGTTAATTCTGGTGGCTTTGGTTTTGCCTTTCTTTCTTTTTTCTCTTGCAGTGCTTTTATCGCAGAATTCTATGGCATATCGAACAATTTTTTAATTAAAAGAAAATTATTTTTGTCTTATTAATAAAATTATTTATCTCTTCTGAATAAATTTATTACTTTTTTATTAATTAAATTTAAAAACATGGTTGCCACAGGTCAGGGAAAAGTAAGGGATTTTTTATTAAAGTGCAGAAAAAAATTGAATTTTTGAGAAGTTACAAATGATTGCAGAAATTCAATTATTTTCAAAAGTAATAAAATTCTTCGCAAAAATTCAATTATGTTCAAAATTTTTTTTAAATTCTTGTAAAAATTTCAATTATTCTTAAAAATAATAAAATTCTTCTCCAAAATTCAATTATTTTCAAAAATTTTAATAAAATTCCTGGCAAGACTTCAATTATTTTCATAAATAATAAAACTCATCACAGAATTTCAATTATTTTTAATGTAATTTTAATCTGATTTCTCGAAAAATGTTATTATTAAAAATTTTATTAAAATTCGTCGAAAGAATTCAATTATTTGAAAATTTGTTGATAAAGTTCTTTATGAGAATTCAATCTTCAGAAAAATTCAATAATTGAATTATTTTCAATTAAATTTTAATTAAATTCGTCGAAAAAATTTGTAAGAATTTAATTATTCTCATAAATAATAAAATTATTCTCGGGAATTCAATTATTTTCATAAATATTAAAATACTTTAGATAAATTCAATTACTTTGAATATATTTTTAATAAAATTCTTTGCAGAAATTCAAACATTTTTATAAATAATAAAATTTTGACAGAAATTCAATTTTTTAAAATAGAATTTTCATAAAATTTTTCGCAAAATTTATAATATTCTACGCTCTGAATTTAATTATTGACATAAATAATTTTCAATACAATATTAATTTAATGAATTTGCGAAAAATGGAATTATTTTTAGAATTTTTATTGAAATTTTTCGAAAGAATTCAATTGTTTTTAAAAAATTTTGATAAAATTCTTTATGAGTCTTCAATTTCAAAAAATATCCAATTATTCAATAAATTATTTATTTTTGTATTTAAATAATTTTATTCTCCTATAGAATTTTCTAAGAAAAATTGATTTAAAAATGAATTTCAGTTAAAATTTGAGATAATAATTGAATATTAAAAGCATTGTAGCGTAAATTTTTAGAAATAATTAATTTTTGAAAAGGGTTTTAATTTAAAATCGTTGGAAATCTGAATTTTTCATACTTTCAACTAAAAATTCTGTAGAATTAATTTTTTTGATTGAATTTGATTGAATTTTGTTTTGAAATTAATTCAAGTTTATATTTTCGAAATATTCAATTGATGAATTTACGAATAATCGAAAATTCCTAAAATTGAATTGTAAACAAATGAATTTGAAAATTCTCAAGGAACTTTTGCAAACATTTTTAAAAATAATTGATAATTGAATTCTATTTTATTATTTAGGAAAATAAATTGAATTCTTGCAACGAATTTTTATTATTACATTTTTTTAAATAATTGAATTCTTTTGAGAAATTTTATTAAAATATTTGAAATTTAATTCAATTCTTGCAAAAAATTGTTGAAAATAATTACTACATTTTTCGAGGAATTTATTTTAAATTGTATTAAAAATAATTTAAATCCTATGAAAAATTTTATTATTTATGAAAATAATTGAATTCTTGCTAAGAATTTTACAATTTATAAAAATAATTGAATTTTTTCGTAGAATATTATCAAAGTTGTTGAAAATAATTGAATTTTTATTAAAACTATTAAAAATAATTGAATTTAAATAATATTTTTAAAAATAATTGAATTCCTTTGAAGAATTTTATTATTTAGGAGAATAATTGAATTCTTACAACGAATTTTTATTAAATTTTTTTTAAATAATTGAAATCCTGTGAAGAATTTTATTAAAATTTTTGTAAATATTTTATTGATGTTTTCGAATAATTTTATAATTAAAAAAATTCGTAAATAAATATAATAAAAAAATTTTTTTTCAGTATCTAATAATTTTGAGAGTGAATCAAAATATTCTTTAGGGTCAGGGAAAAAGTTAGAAATTTTGTCTGAAAATCAAGGAAAAGTCAGGGAATTTTTTGTGGCAACCCTGAAAGAAGTAGTTGTTTTATTACTTAGAAAAATTTCTTCTTTATTGATTTAAATGTAAAAAATTGATTTTATTGAATTAAAAAATTTTGAATTAAAATCTTGCTCTCAATGAAACGAGCAATGAAATGAGAGTATATAGGAAAAATAATGAAATTTTGTTCGAAATGCCAATGGAGTTTGAGAAAGTTTCTTCTCCTCTGATTTGGGTCTATGTTAACTGTCTATCTTTGCTTGTGCGGTTGGAATTGCAGGGCACGTCAACCAAGTCCTATGCTGCGAGTCAACAGCGAGGAAGTGATCGAGCTAAATCCCTCGCCTACACTTTCCCAAAATTCGCCTACTCATCAGCCTCTAGCTGGAACCCCCTATGTTACAGCTACATTTGACACCAATATTACTAAAGTTTAGTCTCTTTGCACGAAATCTTATTCTGCACTAACAAAGTCTAGGCTAATTTTTCTCTCTCAAATATTGCAAACTATATCGAGCTATAAATACCGAGATAAAAATACATAGTTAAAAGATAAAAACATAAATAAAAGAAAAGTAAATAAAAAAAAGTAAATAAAAAAATAGTAAATAAAAAAAATAGTAAATAAAAAACATTAAATAAAAAAATATCCAAAAAAATATTAAATACAAAAAGATAGTAAATAAAAAAATAGAAAATAAAAAATAGTAAATAAAAAAAGTAAATAAAAGAAAAAAAAATAGCAATCGTTGAAAAACTAACATGTAAACGAAAACAAGTGTCATTATTACCAGCTCAACTCTGTCAATATACAATAATCGCTTTTCAAATATTGCCTATACACAATTATTTTAATTCAAAGTACATACGCTGTTTAATAACTTGAAAACTATATTTAATTGTATTTAACTTAATTGTAAATTCTACGTATTTACGTATATATCTTAATGTGGAAATAAAATATTTCCATAATAATTCTCATGTCTCACTGATTTTGGGATTGTGATTTTTTTAATCATCAGTAATGATAAATTAGTTCGATCATTTCACGTTGCATGGTTCTCGTTTCATGGCTATGGGGTATCATTTTTGTTAACTCGTTTCTATTCTTTTTTTTTCTTAAAAAGCAAATTTTTCGTGCAATTATCACTTGCAATAAAAAACAAAAAGTAAACTACTTTTTTCTAGAATTTTTAAAAGCATTAAAAATTATTTAAAAGCATTCGAAAGCATTCAAAAATATTTGTGACGCACTCCCAAAAAATTAAGTACTTAAGAAGCAAAAAATTTCAGTTTGTGTTAATTTTTTGGAGTAAAAATACAAAAAGAGAATTACTATAATGATAAATTACTGATATTCAAGTTTTCGTTACATATTCGAAATATTTCATAGAAACTAATTTTAAATTTACGAAAATTAAAAAGGAACTTCAAGATAAAACATAATCTTCAATTCTTTTGCTTCTTAGCTTTTTTTGGGAGCACGCCACATTTTTAAAATCTGCTTTTTAACAATTAACTGTGAAAATTGTATGTAGTTAGTTGATTTAATATTTCAAGTATAATTACTCTCATTTTATTGAAAAATATCTAAACTATTTTCTCTACTATTCTATATCAAATTTTGTAAATAATAATCCGACATTCATACAAACAAACTTTTCATCAAACAAAAATTAAATAATTCAGAATTATATTTTTCTTCCTGAAATTTCAAGTCAATCGATAAATATTAGCAAATTCGGTATTTTTACCGACAATTATTATTCGATTACTCTGTAATTTTATTTAGTTTGGAAATTAATTTTATATCGTTGAAATAATTTTTTTTATTATATTATTTAAATTTGCATCACTTTGTCAAAAGTTAACTTGAAAGTTTAACTTTCAGATTTTTAATCTATTTATTTTTTAATTCGTATAATTCCTTCAATGTATTTTCAAATCCATTTCCATTTTTAAATCCATCCATTATTATTTTTTATTTATTCTACTATTATCATTGTTAAATTTTATTCACTCACGATTCTTCATTACTTGGACAGATCTCAATTCTTATAAGTGTTTAGAATAAAATAATTCGTAGAGAATTTTTTTTTTATTCTTGTAGATGTACGTTACAATGTCTCTTTTAGTGTTTTATTCTTATGTATATATAAGTGATCATAATGTCTATTTATAAATATTTAATATCTATTATAAATATTTAATATCTATTATAAACATTTAATATCTGTTATACATATTTAATATCTATTATAAACATTTAATATTTGTTATAAACATTTAATGTCTGTTATAAACATTTAATATCTATTGTAAATATTTAAACTATTTAATCACATATTTTTAAGGAAGAATTTAACGGACAGTCAAAAGAAAACTGAATCTGTCATAATTTCGTATTTTAAATAAAAAAAAAAAAAACAAATTAAATTTTAAATTCATTTTGGTCAAAGGGTAAAGAATTTAATTTCCAACAATTTAAGTTTAAGAAATAGTTTTTTATTGACAAAATTGTGATTAAAATTGTGAATAAAAACAAAATTCAGGAAACCAGGAAAACCTGGAAATGTCAGGAAATTTTATAAACCTTGAATTTCTTTGCGTACCAATTCAATTTTTTTCAAAATAATTTTAATAAAATTCTTCGCAGAAATCCAATAATGTTTAAAAATTTACAAAATATTCTCGTCAAAATTTTCAAAAAACAAAATTCTTCAGAAAAATTAAATTATTATTATCATAAAGAACAAAGTTCTTCGTAGATATTTAATTATTAGTGAAAAATGTAATACAATTCTGGGCAAGAATTCAATTATCATTATAAATAACAAAATTATTCGCAAAAATTTAATTATTTTCAAAAATAACGAATTTTTTAGCAGGAATTCAATTATTTTCAAAAATTCCATAAAATTCTTCACAAAAATTCAATTATTTTCAAAACTTTCAAATAACGTTCTTGACAAGAATTTTAATTTTTTTTTATAAATAACAAAATTATTCGCGAAAATTCAATTATTTTCAAAAATAACGAATTTTTTAGCAGGAATTCAATTATTTTCAAAAATTCCATAAAATTCTTCACAAAAATTCAATTATTTTCAAAACTTTCAAATAACGTTCTTGACAAGAATTTTAATTTTTTTTATAAATAACAAAATTATTCGAAAAAATTCAATTATTTCCAAAAATAAGAAAATTTTTAACATGATTTAATTATTTTCAAACACTACATAAAATTCTTCGTAGAAATTCAATTATTTTCTAAACTTTTCATAATTTTCTTCAAAGATATTCAATTTTTATTGAAAAATGTAATAAAATTCTGGGCAAAAATTCAATTATCATTATAAATAACAAAATTCTTCGCAAAAATTCAATTATTTTCAAAAATAACGAATTTTTTATCAGGAATTTAATTATTTTCAAAAATTTCATAAAATTCTTCGTAGAAATTCAATTATTTTCTAAACTTTTATTAAAATTCTTCGCAGAATTTCAATTATTTTTAATACAATTTTCATCAAATTTTCTCGAGAAATGCAATTATTTTTAAAAATTTTATTAAAATTTATCAAGAGATTTCAATTATTTAAAAATTTGTATTTTTATAATTATTTATAAAATTCATTATGAAAATTCAATTTTAAAAAACATTAAATTGTTTAATAAAATATTTATTTTTATATTTAAATAATTGAACTCTCGTTGAATTTTCTAATAAATATTGATTTAAAAATGAATTTCAAATTAAAATCTTTGTAAACTTGGACTTTTCGTACTTTTAATTAAGAATTCTGCAGAATTAATTTTTCTTAATAAGTTTAATAGATTTTTTTTTAATTATTTGAAGTTTTTAATTTATAATATATTTAATTGAAGAATGTCGGAATAATCGAAATTTCGTAAAATTAAATTGTAAACAAAAGAATTTGAAAATTCACAAAAAGAACTTTTTTGAAAATTATTTTTAAAAAATTGACTTGAAGAAGAATTTTAGTTGAAAATTCTAGAAAATAATAATCGTAATGATGAAAATAATTTTTGAAAAAGTTTTAATATCTTAATTTCTATAAAAAAAAAATTATTAAATATTTATTTAAAAATGAAGTTTTTGATGTTTACAAATAATTTTCGTTTTAAAAACCTGGAAAAATTCCGTTTTTTAACCTGGAAAACTTGAAAAAGGAAATTTAAAAAGAGCAAAAGCGTGGCAACCCTGAAAATTGTTTAAAATATTAAAAATTAAATTATTTGCTTACACTAAGTCGAAATTAAAATTTTATTTAGCTTTTTTAAATTAAATACGAAATTATGACATTGAGCTTTTTTTCTAATTCTTTGTCAGATTTTTCCCATTTCTGCAAAAAGAATGATTTTAAGTCATTGCAGCAACTTATTTACATAATTAATCATATAATTTACATAATAAAATTACATAATTAAAAATTAAAAAATAAAATAAATTAACAATTTTCGTCAGATTTTCTGCAGTTTAATGAAAATAAATAATGGAGATAATACGAGTTATACAATTTTTCTTTTATGATAAACATAAAAATAATAAATAATTTTTATTATTGAAAACCTTGAGGAATAGTCTCTGTTCAATTTTGGAGTTGAAATTTCACTTAAAAAAAAAAAAATGATTGAATTAAAAGTTTCTTCCTATCAGTTTGTCTGGGTGTTCTTTCCATTCATCCACTCAGTCAACATCATCGGCACCTATGGAAAATGGACAAGATCGAGCTCGTGTTGTCTGTGATTATTCCGCAAGAGATTCCAGTGAATTAAACCTCGAGCAAGACGAGGTAACGAAATTTGAAATTTAAATCAAGTCTCTAAATTTCGAAGCATGATTTTATTCTTTAGTTGCCGTATAGGTATATAAAATCGTCAATATTTTTCTCTAAAGTGTCTTTCGAATTTTTCTATTCTATTTTGGCAATTGAATAGAAAACAGTCTTAGACTATTCAAAGGGACATTTTTAAAAAAAAAATTTCTTCTTTATAAATCTTGGATTTTTCTATTTATTTAAAAACTATTTGTCAACGACTGTGATCAAATTAATTTAATATTAATTTGATTTTCATAAATATTTTTCATTTTCTTCGCTGAGGCATGGAGTAAAACTATAGTTTTTTTTTATAGAATTATATAATTATTATGTATTAGTTGCTGCTAGTTTCTCAAAATCATTTTTTTGATGTGAGTTTTTATATATATATTGTCTGCACACTAGTGTTTAAGTTTATTAATTTAATAATTTAATTCGTTTCTTTTTGTGCTTTTGTTATTGTTAAATGGGCGCACTTTTTCATCAACTTTTTTACGAAATAGAATAAGAGTATGTATTTTTTTTTTTTTTTAATTTAGCCTTATGTGTATACAATTGAGAATGTGTTTATTGTATTTTTCATTTATAAACAAAAATTATATGTGCAATGCAAAAGGTATAGATATAATTGTTTGAAAAATCAGATATTAGAAATTATTTTACATTTTAAAAAGACTCAAAGTATCTATCGATTTTACGTAAATTATTATATTATAAGAATTCGATTCACTTTTTTCTTTTTTAATTCCGTCTGTTATGAATTGAAATTGTATTCGTATGATTTATATTGAAAAATAATTATTTATATTTTAATTATAATTGTAATTGTATAAATAATTACATAAATTTAATTTTATTAATTTTATTAATTTTATTAATTATATTAATTTTGTTAATTTTATAATTTATATTAATTATAAAAACATACATTAATTGTTATAATGTATATTAGGCGCATGGTTGTAGTATGTTTGGAAAAAAATTACAATTTTGTAATTTTACTGCATACGATACAAAAATTCTATATTATAATTTCTAATTATATAAATAATTATATGAATAATTAATTATATTTCTATAAATATTATAATATTTATCGTAATATTTAGTTACTTTTACTATATGTATATTAACTATTTTCTACTACTTAATGGAAAACTTGAAATTATTACTTATTCCATTGCAATTCTTCACTTTTTTTTACAATATAATTGTTTATAATTCTGTACCATTATTTAATAATTAATTAATAATTTATTAATATTATTTGTACGTAATACTCAGCTATGTGAATCAATACAAAAAATATTGTTAGAGAATGAAATTCTTTAAAAGAAAAAAAATTACAAAAAAGAATTGTGCGTTTAAGAAACTTTCTAAAAAATTAAATATTAGAAAAAGATTTTAGAACGTTTTTTAATAAAGTACTTGTGACATATTATTGATTATAATTAGTTAAATTTGTTAATTCTGTAAAATTATTGAAAAAATGTGAAATATTCGAAAATTCTTTATTTCGATTCTTTATTTAATTTTTAATGTTAATACGGTTTTATTCTAATTAAAATTTTAATTATTTCAATTCATTCAGTTAATTTAAGTCATTGAATGAATTAAATTAATTAAATTCAATTTAAATCGAATAAGCATAAATTTAATGATTATTTAATATATTACGTTTAATTAATTGACTGTTAATTTATTTCTAAACTTGAAACTCAAAATTTTTTTTAATTAGATTTTTGTAATTACTTTTTTAAATAGATTTTTGTAATTATTTTTTTTTAAACAGATTTTTATAATTATTTTTTTAAACAGATTTTTGTAATTATTTTTTTAAATAGATTTTTGTAATTCCTTTTTTTTAATTAGATGATTATTAATAGAGAATCGATTTATTGAAAATTATCACAGATTATAATTTCTGGATCAGTAAAAAAATGTCACATGTACTCTTACTATTTTTCAATGTATATTTGAAAAGTAATTAATTTTCTAATTATCTATGTAGATAAAAAATTGAGCATGTCACGTTTAATTTTACGAAATTAAAGTCCAAAACGTTTATCAACGAAAAAAAAATTATTTAATGCATTCAAGTATTATTTTTAATTATTTTTAATTTTATTTTCTTATTTTCAATTGTAAAATAATTATTATCAGAATATAAACATAAATATTTTTGTGTCAACATTGCTGCGTCATTTTTAATTAATTTACTAAGCGAACAATTTTTTTCGTTGATTAACGTTGTGGACTTTTGGTTTAATTTTATTATTTGATTTTGTAGACGAACGAATAAATTTTGAAGCTCAGGAGTTCTTTTTTATTTAATGAAGAAAAAAATTTCTCATACTCTTGAACTTTGAAATTTTATAGAGAAAATAAGAATTGAAGATTGTCGCATGACAGTAATTATTGTATAACGATACTCTGTAGTTTTAATTCGTTTATTTATATTTAGACTTAATTTTTTTTTGTTATTTGACAATTATCTTAAAATTCTTAAATTTATAATTGTGAATATATGTTGTACATACTTAAAATTTACTCATTTCAATAAACACTTGCAATTTTATGATTTATTTAATTTTATCTCTCTACTATTTTGAATTTTTTTTTTCCAAAAAAAAAAACTAACAATTGAAAAGTTTCACATTTTTTATAGGTAATTTCTGTCTCTGAAATTGATGGAGACGAAGATTATCTTTTGGGATTTAGAGGCAGTCAACGAGGAAAAGTCCCCAAAGCTTATGTAGAAATTATTAGCAGTTAAATATATTTAAAAAATATTTTACTGGTTCCTTGCTAAATTATAATTTAGCTAATTAGTTAACTTAAATATTAAGTAAACAAAAAAAGTTTTATTGAAACACTGCTTGGATGTGATTAATATATATCTATATATAAAACTTGGAAAAATAAAAATGATGCCTAATTCTTTATGTCAAATACATATAAAAATATATAAATTTTCAGAAATAAATTATTCTATGCAAAAAAAAAAATATATTTCAAAATGTAGAGTAAAAAAGCGTAATCAGTTTTATCAATTACTTGTTAATTAAATGTTACATACGTTCTGAAGGAATTTTAAAGTTTAAACTTTTTAAACGGACAAGTGTCAATTAAGTCAAATTTCTCTCATATCGAAAATAATTTTTCCAAATAATTCCAAAATATAATTAAAAAAATAATTGACTAAAACTTTAATAGTCGTTGAACTTTTTCAGAAAATATATAATTATATATTATTATACAAAAAAAAAAACTCGACCAACATGATATATGTCTATATTGTCTAATTAGAAATTTTACCAAATAATTTCCTGTAAATCAAAATATTAAATAAAATTATCTAAATTATTAATTATTATTATTAAAAATAATAAAGTACATGTTCCGGTAATCTATTTCGCAGTTTGCTTTTTTGTTTCTTAACTTTTTGATAATTTTTCTTTTCAAATATTTTCAATTTTAAAATTAATGTATATTTTAAATTTTGATCATGAAATTATATTTTAAAAAAATTATATTTGAAAATGAAAAATTTTGTAATTTGCATAACAAAAATAAATTATTGAGTTCTTTTTTTAAATGAATTTGAAATGAAATTTTCGTGTAAAAACATTTGAGAACAAAACTAATTAACTTACTATCAATAATGAGTGATTGTTTTTGTTTGTTGGTTACATGACTTCTTGTTGCAAAGCAGGTAAACAAACACTGAGTTGTCAATGTTTTTTTGTTTGAAAATTTTAAATGCTGGTTCTTGGACAGTATTGTAAATGTACCCTAAAAGCCTAAAGGTCACCAGGGTTGGGACATTTTGAGAAATGGGCAATGGTACACTTCAGAGTTGGGTAGGTCACTTAGAACTGTGGATCGTACCTTAAGATCCAGGGCTGGGAACGTTTTTCTAAGAATTTCTCTTCTACATTTAAAATGATTGGCGGAAACTTCATAACCTCTTTACAATCATTTTTCCGATTTTTCCAAATAGTTAAGTTCCAAGAGAAAGTTTCGTCTGCTAAAAGCATTAAGAAAATGATGCCTCTTCAATATTTTTGATTTGAAACATTTATATAAAAATCAGAAAAAGAAGCAGTAAAACCTCTGGTTCTGTAATTTAATAATGAACGAAAAATTGTGATAAATCGTTAACATTTAAGTATATAGTGAAAAACTATATAAACAACTAGTGAAAATGGATAATATTGAACTATTATTTTTTGACACCTTCTCCCATGACATTTCAGAAGTAAGTATATTCTTATTTATAAATAAAAGTGTGTATCAAAACTGAAAAAATTGCTAAAATATCCTTTTTTTATTACAGGAATTAAATTTAGATCTAGTTCAATTTCCAAAACCTGTTTATATAAGTGAGGTTAGAATTATTCCACTGGGTGCCCGGGTTCAGGCTGATTTTCCCGGAGGCGTTCGTCTAGGGTAAGTTTCTAAGAATTGTGTATTTTTTTATTAATTGGAAATAAATTATTTCTCATTTTTGCGAGGTAAAGTGTGCTAAAATGTATAATAATAATTTTGTAGGGCAACGAATCCTTCACAATTTGAAATAGAATTTTTCGTCAATGATCTGAGTAAACCGGGAGCATCGACCTTTGAATCATTGGGTGGCTTGGAGTATAAGCAAAATATTCACATACAATTGGAATGCGAACGAAAACAAATTCCCACAGATGGATTAGTTCTTCGTGGTTGGTATACGACAATAACTTTAGCTGTTTACGGAAGTTTGACAAAGTCAATTAGCAATCCGCAGGAAGTACCAAGTGCTCCTCCAGCAGCCGCTGTCACCGTGGGAATTCCCGAGGAGAATTCAGTCAAGGAGACGGTAGTTCAACCCAAGGAACCCGAACCCGAATGGTTTTATGAGAATCAAGCTCAGAATAATGCCACAGTAAGTTTTCGAATAATTACTTATTATTTATCAATCTCACAGGCTTTGAATTCGATAATTCATTTTTAAAAATTTAGCAAAAAGTGGTATCAAGTCTGAAAAAAGTAACTATCGAAAAAATTTAATTTCACGACTAAAAAAAACTCGTTTTAGACAATTCACAAAAATTCCGTTGTCTTCTATTTCATGATTTTTTCCTAATTTTCAATTAAAAATATTTACTTCTTTCTTATCCTATTATAATATTCTCAGTTCTAAATTTTTGACAAATTCAAAAATTTTTTTTGTTTTATAAATTTTAATTTAAAATTCCTCAAAAATACGATTATAATTTAAAAATAATTTTTAATTGTAAAAAATAAAATTCTTTGAAATATGAAATTTATTTCAAATAAATTCAATAATTTTGTTGAAATTTTGAATTAAAATTATTGAAAACTTTAATAATTTTTTATGAAAATAATAAATTAATAATTTTTCAAACTAAAAATTTGAATATTTCAGTTTTAAAAGATTTAAAATTTATACAAATACCTATTTGAATTTAAAATTTTTTTGAAATTTAAATAATTTTAATAATTTATACAATAAGGCTTACAATATTTAATTATTATCTAAAATTTTAACCGAAATTAATTTTAAATCAATTCTTAATTGAAAATTCTACAAGAATTCAATTATTTAAATACAAAACTAAATAATTTATTGAATAATTGAATATTTTTTAAAATTTAATTCTTTGGAAGAATTTCATTAAAATTTAAAAAAATAATTGCATTTTTCGAGGAATTTATTTAAAATTTTATTAAAAATAATTGAAATTCTGCGACAATTTTTCTTCATTTTAAAAATAATTGAATAATACAATTTTTAAGAATAATTGCATTTTTCGAGGAATTTATTTAAAATTTTATTAAAAATAATTGAAATTCTGCGACAATTTTTCTTCATTTTAAAAATAATTGAATTTTTGTAATTAATTTTGTAAGATTTTTTTTGATTAATTGAATTACTGTAAGAATTTTTGTTATTTGTGAAAAAAACTGAATTCTTGTGAAAAATTTTATTAAAATTTTTTTTAATAATTGAATTCTCGTGAATAATTTTATTTGTAAAAATAAATAAATTCTTGCTAAGAACTTTATGCAACTTTTTTTTAAATAATTGTGTTTTTTTTAATGAATTCTATGAAAATTGAATTTGAAACAATTAAATTCTTGTGAAAATTTTATTATTTATAAAAATAATTGAAAGTTTAAATACAAAACTAAATAATTTATTGAATAATTGAATTCTTTCGAAGAATTTTATTAAAATTTTGAAGAATAATTGCATTTCTCGAGGAATTTTTTTTAAAATAATTGAAATCCTGTGATGAGTTTTGTTATAAAAATAATTAAATTTTTGCAACGAATTATATATAATAATTTTTTTGAATAATTAGATTCCTGTGAAAAATTTTATTATTTGTGCCAATAACTGAATTCCTGCAAAGAACTTTATTAAAAAATTTTTAAATAATTCAATTCCGCGAATAATTTTATTTGTGAAAATAATTGAATTTTTGCGAAGAATTTTATAAATTTTTCTTTAAATATTTGGTATTTTTCGAAAAATTCCATGAAAATTGTATTTTAAGTAATAAAATTCTTGGGAAAATCTTATTTTTTTTTTTAATATTTGAATTTCCTTGAAGAATAACTTTACCTAATAATTTTCAAATAATCGATTTGTTTTGGGAAATTGTATTAAAAATAATATTGAAAATAATTGAATTCTTTGAGTTTTGTTCTATTAAAATATAATTTAATTTTTGCAACAAATTTTATAAGAATTTTTTTGAATAATTGAATTTTTGTGAATAATTTTATTTGTGGAAATAATTGGATTCTTTCGAAGAATTCTATAAAACTTTTTGTAAATAATTGATCTTCTTCGTAAGATCCTATGAAAACTGAATTTTAAACAATTACATACTTGTAAAAATTTTATTAAAAATAGTTGATATTGAAAATAATTGAATTCTTTTGAAGAATTTTTTTATTTCAACTATCAATGAATTTAAATTAGTGCAAATTCTCAAAGAAAAAGGGTCACAAATCTAAAAAAGTATAATTATTTTATTATATAATTTCTAAAAATATTAATCTTTATTTTGTTGAATTAATTAATTAAGTAATTAATTAATTAATTAATTTAATTAATCATTAATTAATATTTATAAAAACATAGTAAGAAATGGTAAAAAAAGTAGTAAATAGTAGATTTTAGTAAATGAGTACGAAGCCTACAATAGTTTCCCTTTAAATTAAATTGAATCAAATTTTGATTTATTTTTCTGATTTTTCCAGGAATCGGCTGCAGTTGCAACACCGCCACCGCCACCACCAGTCGTGGTGAGTCCACCGGAACCAAAAAAAGTTCCCGCCGAACCACCAAAGACAGAAGCACCTCCGCCATGGAAAGAAGAAGAACCATCGCACAAATTGATAAAACGCCCAATTTCACCGCCTTCCGAGTCATTGATTTCCCTGAGTCCGGAATCAATTTCCGCCGAAGAGGAAGATGGCGATCAGGAGACAAAAGACTCGGGAGCTGTAGAACCTTACGAACCAATTCTCTCCGACGAAGACATGGTCGATGACATCCCCTCGGCAATTGACTACGAAGCCGAAAGTCAAGCTCTCGATATTCACCTCCTCCATCCGCCGAATCTTCTAGACATTGAAAAAATTCCCCTCAACTACGATCAAAGAACCCTAGACCCACGAGCCGTGGATAAATTACGCGAAACAATAGTTTCACTCGCAAAATCAGTGGCAAATTTCATCTCAGCATCGGGTCAAGAGAAAGAGACATTTGTCCACAATTGCGAAACACTCTGTCTAACATTAAATTCATTCACTCTGACTGCCGATGATTTTCACAATCTCTCCGATATTTGTTCAGCGGGATTGGATATTGAAATGGCGAGATCACAACCACAACCCGCTTATAAAGTTCGTCACATAAAAGTCGGTGTTCGATTGACCGAATCGTTGTGCCGTTTAACTGAGGGACCGGATATTTTATTGAAAATCAACGTTCCTCACAAACTCCTAACTTTGTGTATGCGTGAAAATGTTGCACTCTCAGTGAAATTGTCCGCGATTCGTGCTCTCGACGCATCGCTAATAAGTCCGAAAATCGTCGACCAATTCCTCAAGATTAACAGCGAATTATATAAATTATCATTGATAATGTTGGACGAGGCAAAATTGGTACGATTGAAATACGCTCTCAGTTCGTTATTGAGAAAAATTCATGTTTACGAATTATTGTCCGAATTGAAACAGAATGAAATGAAAGCATCGATAAAAAGAGAAGACGATGAAGATGAAAAGGAACTATTAGAAAGAAACAAAATGAATGAGATAATAATAACAGAACTAAAGAATGGATACGCTTATGCACCCACGATAATGGCACAACCAAAACGTCAACTTCCTGCGAGTGCCCAAATGGAATTCGAAAGAGAACAGAATAGAAATCCTAGAAAGCATTTAATTACATATTATGCGCATCATCAATTATTGGAAAGACTTTTGGTATTTCTCTCGTCACCTGATTCGAGTAGGGAATTAATAAGAGCGACGAGAGAATTTTTGCTTTGTATGTCGGAGAGTGAAGAGGGTTTGGTTTACATGTTGAAGGAGCCAAGAGTCTCGCAATCTTTGCTGAAAGTTTTTAGATACGATCAAAGAGGAATTGGCGAGGAACTTGCTTGGCGTTTTCAAGTGATTCAATGCCTGATGAATATGACCTGTCGAAGAGATGATTGGAATTCATTGAGAAAACTTCATTCACTTCTCACATTTCCACAGGGATTACAAGCAATTATTTACGTTGTTCCAATGGGGAATTTTATTGATATTTTAATTCCCTTTCTTGGCGATGAGCATCTTTATGAATTTGCGGGAGAAATTATTTCAGCTGTTATTCGATATTCTGATCGAGTGGAGATTATTCATCATCGGGCTAAGGAATTAATTGAGAAGACAAGACATCCTGTTTTGAGGGATGTTATGTCTTATTTGTCCATTGCTGCACAAGCTTCGAGGTCAGTATACTAAAAGCTACTTCCTTTTTTTGCGAATTTGCAACTACTTTAAATTCTTTGCAAAATTCAATTATTTTCATAAATAACAGTATTCATCACAAAAATTTAATTATTTTCAGAAAATTTAATATAATTCTTTGCAAATTTCAATTATTTTCAGGAATTTTAATTAAATTCTTTGCAAATTTCAATTATTTTCAGGAATTTTAATTAAATTCTTTGTAAAATTTAATTATTTTCATAAATAACAATATTCATCACAAAAATTCAATTATTATTAAAAGTAATAAATTTCCTCTTGTAAATTCAATTATTTTATAAAATTCTAATAAAGTCATTCACAAGAATTCAATTATTTTCATAAATACATAATAAAATTTTTCATAAGATTTCAATTATTTTTAATACAATTTTAAATAAATTCCTCGAAAAATGATAGTAATTATTTTCAACAATTTTTTGCAAGAATTCAATTAACTTTCACGAATAATGAAATTCTTCACTGAAATTCAAATATTTTCAAAAACTAATATTTTAATATAATTTCTCAAAAGAATTCAATTATTTTAAAAAAATGTAATAAAAATTCAATTATTTTTAAAAGTAATAACATTCTTCGAAGAAATACAATTATTTTCAAGAAATTTCAAAAAAATTCTTTGCAAAATTCAATTATTTTCATAAATAACAGTATTCATCACAAAAATTCAATTATTTTTAAAAGTAATAAAATTCTTCGAAGAAATACAATTATTTTCAATTTTTTTTTTTTTTAAATTTATCGTTAAGTTTTTAATTATCTTTATAAATAGCAAAATTCTTCGCCAAAATTCAATCATTTTCCAAAATTTTAATAAAATTTGTTTCAAAATTTCAATTATTTTCAATATCTACTATTTTAATGATATTTTTTTTGGAATTAAATTATTTAAAATAAAATTTTCATTACACTTGTTACGAAAAAATTCAAATTATTTTCACAGCAATTTTAATAAAATTTCTTGTAAAAATTGAATTAGTTTTAAAAATTTAAATAAAATTTTATATAAGAGTTGAATTATTTTCAATTAAATTTTAATTAAATTCGTCGAAAAAAAGGCAAAATTTCAATATTCTCAAAAATAAGAAAATTTTCCAAGGAAATTCAATTATTTTCATAAAATAATAAAATAGTTTGAATAAATTCAATTATGTTTAATGTTATTTGAATAAAATTTTTCGCAGAAATTCTATTATTTTCTTAAATAATACAATTTTCACAGGAATTAAATTATTTAAAATACAATTTTCATAAAATTTTTCGAACAAAATCAATTCATTTAAAAAAGATTTTATAAAATTCTTCGCAAGAATTTTATTATTTTCATCAATAATAAAAATTATTTTCGGGATTTCAATTATTTTTAATACAATTTTAAACGAATTACCCAAAAAATGTAATTATTCTTAAAAATTTTATTAAAATTTTTCAAAGGAATTCAATTATTTAAATTTTTTTTATAAAATTCGTTGCAAGAACTCAATTATTTTTATAAATAACAAAACTCATTGCAGGATTTCAATTATTTTTAAAAAATTCCTCGAAAAATGCATTTCTTCTTCAAAGTTTTAATAAAATTCTTCCAAATAATTCAATTATTCAATAAATTATTTAGTTTTGTATTTAAATAATTGAATTCTCGTTTGAATAATAAAATTCTTAGCAAGAATTTAATTATTTTTACAAATAAAATTATTCACGGGAATTCAATTATTCAAAAAAATTCTTATAAGATTCATTGTAAAAATTCAATTATTTTTAAAATTCACAAAAATTGTCGCAGGATTTCAATTATTTTTAATACAATTTTAAATAAATTCCTCGAAAAATGAAATTATTCTTAAAAATTGTATTATTTAATTATTTTTATAAATTTAAGAAAACTCATCGCAAGATTTCAATTATTTTAAAAAAAATTTCTTGAAAAATGCAATTATTCATTAAAGTTTTAATAAAATTCTTCCAGAGAATTCAATTTTAATAAATATTCAATTATTCAATAAATTATTCAGTTTTGTATTTGAATAATTTAATTCTTGTAGAATTTTCTATTAAGAATTGATTTAAAATGAATTTCAGTTAAAATTTTAGTATTAAATTTCAAAAAAATTTTAAATTCAAATAGGTATTTGTATAAATTTTAAATCTTGTTGAAACTGAAATATTCAAATTTTTAGTTTGAAAAATTATTAATTTATTATTTTCATAAAAAATTATTAAAGTTTTCAATAATTTTAATTAAAAATTTCAACATAATTATTGAATTTTGGAAGAATTACAGTTGCGTTATTTTTAGAAATAGTGAAATTTCAAAAAGGTTTTACATTAAAATCATTGAAAAAATATTTTAATTCCTGGTAGAAAAATAAATAAGTAGGTATTTAAATATTTATTTAAAAGAATTTTATTACTTTTAAAATTTTTTTAAAATATTTATTTAAAAGAATTTTATTACTTTAAAATTTTTTTTCCAAAATTCAATCGTACATGTTGAAGAATGTGAAATTAAAATTTAGAAAATAATTTAATTTCGTCAAAATATAGAATTTAATTTATTAGCAGTATGAGAATAAACGTAAATATTTTTTATAAAAATTAGAAAAGAATGCAGTATCAAATTTTTGTGATTTTTGGGAATCGTATATAGAATTTTTTTTAGTTGTGAAATTTAATTTATCAAAAACTAGTTTTTTACTAATTTTTTCGGTCTTGATACGACCTTTTGTGAAGATTAATTTTGTAAAAATTTGAAATAGATTTGAAAATAATTTTTAAAGTTATTAAACAGGGGACAGTGGGGAAGCAAAAGTGATCACCTATTTAGAAGAAAATTTTTTTTCAAAAAACACTGACTTACCTTTTCTTATTTCAGTTGGAACTATGGAGACGTATCTTCGTTGATATCGATAATAAGGAAAAATTCCGACAAGGCAACCTCCCTGCCTGGCGATTTGATCACAGCCTTGAGAATTTTGCACTACCTCGTATTTCCATCGTCGGACGATGTTGATCCCATGGAACCTTACATTGAATTGAAGCATCGTAACGCATTGACACAACTTTTCGCTGCCGACGGTCTCAGTGCATTGGTTTCCGTGATGTCGAACGTCGCCGATTTCTACGAACAACCATTTCTACATCGAGCAACACTCACTGGAAAAAGATGTCTAGGATTGATATCACTATTATCACCGACAGTAAAACTCACCCGTGCATTACTCGAACGTCTCGTCAAGTGTATGGGAACCGATTTTAAGGATCTAACAGTAGTCGTTCCTCTCCTCGGTGTTTATTCACTCATCGAAGCAATTCCAGCGACACAAAAAATTTGTGATCTCTCCTCTGAGATTGTTGCGACACTTTTAATTTTCACACGTGCCGTTGATTCCGATGGTTCCGGCAATGTTGCCAAATCCCTTTGGACACAAATGTTGGGCGAAGTGCTGAAAATGCTATCACTGAGTCCTTCGAATTTCATTCCTGGATTAAAATTATTGACAAGATTATTGCCTTCGATTTTGACGATGAAAGAAACTTCGTCCGAGGATAAAACGAGAATTCTAGGTTTGAGAAAATTGTGGTCAGCTCATTTGCAGGCGCAAGCAAATAATCTCATAGACACACTGAGACTATTGTGCTCGAGTTGGAATCAAGAGCTGCTGTGTCTTGTTTCGATGGTCTGTAAACAATTGAGTGATTTAGCAGCACCGACAGCATTGCTCGTTGGCCGATGTCTACTCGATGGTATTCTAATGGCTAATCCATTGGAAAATAATCTACCGATTCTCGGCTTACTCGCAAATTTATCACAACACGCGCCAATGAAGGCGACACTCCTCACTCTCATGAATCCAGCATCACGGGCTCAAGTCAAATCCGATCAGAAATACCCCCCAGTCATTGAAATGATGTGCTCCACTCTAAAGAACGCCAGCGACAATCGAATACAATTCGAAATATTGAAAATTTTCGATACACTCTGCGATTCGAATATCAGTTTCGTCGAAGAAGACGCTAAAGAATCATTCGAAAATCTCCTCACTCACTCAGTGCCGAGCAAAGAACCCTTACTTCTAATTCTTGCCCCACTGATTGAAATTTTAGCCAGCGCCTCGAAATACCATTCAAACATCGTCAAGAGCACTCTAAATATTCTCATTTCCCTAATTAGTCACAACTACGGTCTCTATCATGTGAAAAGTTGTCTGGAAAATAATCCCGAAGCGTTGAAAACCCTACTGGAATATATCGCGACACAAATCGAAGAAAAAATTACAGACGAAGACAAAGAATCAGAGACAAAAGAAGAAGAACAACAAGAGGATGAAATTACATCCCTCGCCGAATTGACTGTTAATTTTCTAGAAAATTTAATTTCTCCCAAATCACAAAAACGAACATTATGCTTACGTGTACAGCAATTAGCTCAATTAGTCTCATGGGATAAAAATGGACATCCTTTGGAGAAAATTAATGCAGCTAGGGAATTAATTGATGGACTAAAATCATTGGATGAGAAGGATGATAAGGAATCATTGCCAGAAATGTTGGAACCATTACTACCAGCACCGGAGGCATTATTAAATCAATTTTCCCAAAGATCAATAAATGTTCATGATTTTAATGATGATGAGAAATCGAGGAAAATTTCTAATGAAACAATTTCGGGACAAAGTGAAATTACCATTGATCTAATTGCCCTGGCTGCTGAATTATTACCAGCTGATTTTAATTTACTCACTGAAACACAAAGATTGTGTGCGAAAGCACCGCTTGATAATGCGACACATCTCAAGAGTCAAACTGATGAATCGAGGGAAAATCAAAAGCAAAATAATACACCTATTCCAAAAATAAAACAACCTTTCGGTGAGTTTCATATTTCGTTTAATTTAATTCGATTAAAAGAATTTCTAATATTCTTTTTATAAAATTTCATTCTTGAAAAATTTACGTCTCTTTACCTTTTCTTATTTTTCGTATATTATAAAACAGGCCTCGGATATTCAGACTTGTTTTTACTTTTTCCGACTGTTTTCAAAAAACGCGACCAGGACTCGAATCAGTAAATGTATTTAAAAATACGGACTTTACAGAACAATTACTGACAAAAATAAAACCAGTCCGAGTCAAATAAGAGACCATTTTACTTAAAACTACAAATTAAATTTTTCATAACTATAAAACATGAAGATTTCGATAACTTCAAGTCCTCGACTCGGAGTGATCGTTTCTTCATGTTTTATAATAATTAATGACCAATTATTCGTAAATTCTTCAATTAAATATATATTAGAAAATAAAAACTTAAAATAATACAAAAAAATTCAACTAAACTTTTTCAAAATTCAATTATTTTTAAATATTCAAGCGATATTGCTTTAACTACTCAATTATTATAAAAAATTTTAACTGAAATTCATTTTTAAATGAATTTTTATTAGAAAATTCTACTACAAATTAAATTATTTAAATACAAAAATAAATAATTTATTGAATAATTGAATGTTTCTTCAATTAAAATTGTATTAAAAATAATTGAATTTCTGCGATGATTTTTATTGTTTTTGAATAATATTTAATTTTTGCGAAGAATATTATTACTCCTGAAAATAATTGAATTTCTGCAATGATTTGTAACTTTTCCAAAATTACATTTTTTTCAAAATTCAAAGTTCTTTGAGAATTTTCAAATTCATTTGTATACAATTCAATTTTACAAAATTTCAATTATTCGTAAATTCTTTAATCAAATATATATTAGAAAATAAAAACTTGAAATAATTTCAAAAAAAAATCCTCAATTAAACTTTCTCAAAAAAATTAATTCCACAGAATTGTTAGTTAAAAGAATAAAAATTCATATTTTCAAGGATTTTAATTTGAAACCTTTTCAAAATTCAATTATTTTTAAAAATTCAAGCTCTAAAGCTTTTAATATTCAATTATAATCTAAAATTTCAAGTAAAATCCATTTTTAAATCAATTTTTATTAGAAAATGCTACTAGAATTCAATTATTTAAATGCAAACAAAACAATTTATTGAATAATTGCATGTTTCCTAAAATTGAATTCTTATAAAAAAATTATTTTTAATAATTTTTAAAAAAGTTCTTTAAGAATTTTCAAATTCATTTGTATACAATTCTATTTTATGTAATTTCAATTATTCGTAAATTTTTCAATTAAATTAAAAAAAAAAAATCCGCAAATAAACTTTCTCAAAAAAATTAATTCCACAGAATTGTTAGTTAAAAATATGAAAAATTCAGATTCTTAAAGATTTTAATTTGAAGCCTTTTCAAAATTCAATTATTTCAAAGAATCGTTTGTTGAAAATATGAAAAATTCAGATTTTCAAAGATTTCAAATTAAAACTTTTTCAAAATTAAATTATTCCTAAAAATTTACGCTATAATGCTTTTAATATTCAATTATTACGTAAAATTTTAACTAAAATTAATTTTAAAATCAATTTTTATTAGAAAATTCTACGAGAATTCAATTATTTAAATACAAAAATTAATAACTTATTGAATAATTGCTTATTTCTTAAAATTGAATTTTCATAAAGAATTTTATCAATTCTGCAATGAGTTTTATTATTTATGTAAATAATTGAATTTGCCTAAAAAGAATTTTATTATATACGAAAATAATTGAATCCGTTTAAAAATTGTATTATTTATGAAAATAATTAAATGATTGCGAAGAAATTTATAAAAGAAATTTGTAAATAATTGAATTCCTGTGAAATTTTTATTATTTTATGAAAATAATTAAAGGTTTGCGTAATAGTTAATATTGAAAATCATTGAATGTGGAGAATTTTTTATAATAATTGAAATTTTGCCAAGAATTTTATTAAAATTTTTGAAAATAATTGAATTTTTGGAAAAGAATTTAATTATTTCTAAAGATAATTGAAATTTTGACGAGAATTTTTGTAAATTTTTAAACATAATTGAATGTCCGCGATGAATTTTATTACTTTTGAAAATAATTGAATTTCTGCAATAATTTGTAATTTCTCTAAAATTCTTCAAATATAATTATATCGTACAATTTATAAACTTTTCGTAAACAAATTTACGGATTTTTACGGGATTTACGGACCTAGTTCAAGCCCTGATTTTTGAATAATTGGATTTAAAAAATAGTGAAAGAAAAAAATCAGTGAAATACAAAATGGAATTTTTGTGATAACACTAAATTAAATAAATGACTTTTTCGAATCAATTTTGTATTTTTAATCGACTGAAGCGATTTTTTTGTACTATAAATTCGATCCGAGGCCTGTATAAATATTGAAATTTTAATTTTCGATTAAAAATAGAGAATTAAAGTAATTTCCATAAAGTTTGAAAGTAAAAATAAATTAACGAGAAAGGGAATTAAAATTTAAGGGGAAAATTCTCGAAAAAGTTATAAATAGATTAAGAACCATTAAATAATATAATAGTTTCTTCTTTTGCTAAAAAATACTTTTTGTCTGTCATTCTTTTACTTCTATTTCTACTTCTACAGCCTCTACTCTCACTCTCTCTCTCTTTCTCTGATTTCTCTGAATTGAAATTGTGAAAATTAAAATACCTTTATTTCGTACGAAGAGATTATTTACTTTACAGTTGTAGAATCGAAGACGGTAGTTACAGCTTTACAAGAAATGATATCGAAAAATCGATCAAATACTTTATTAAAAAGACAGAAATTTTGTCGAAAGTCAGGTATAAGAATGTAATTTGAGTGGTTTTTTATCATTGATGATTTGAATGTTTCAAAGAATTATTTTTTTTTGTTGGTTGAATTAAAATTTTAGTGATGCTGATCATTTGTTTGTATCTATGAATAATTTTTTTTTCCAGTTTTATAAAGTATTCGAGTTTCTGTCACAGTTATTGAGTTGTGATGCACTGAAAATTCAGCACTTTCTTGTTTTCAGGATTTCGTGGATTTTGATCATTATTTTCAATTTTGTTAAATTTTGAATCAATAGAATTTCAGAGTTGCTACGTTAAAAAAAAAGTAGAGAAACTAAATCATTACTTTATAGAAGATTAGTAGCAACTCTGTAAATAGTTTTCTACGCACCTTTAAAAAATGTTACAGTAATCACAGATATTTTTTTAATATATAAAAACTGTATGAAAAAATTGTAAACTTGAAAAGTATTTTTTTTTGTCTTTTTTCTAACACTGTGATTACTGAAATTAAAAAGGAAATTTTTTTCCTCACTTTCTAAATTATCTATTTTTTCAGTTTTATAAATTTAAAAATACAGACTAAGAATCTTTTTTGTTTTCTTTTTTGTTTTGTTTTTATTTACAAATTAAAAAAAGATGAAAAAACTTACTTTTATTTTCACAGTGTCGCATATGAGGGGACGAACGCAATTCGCGAATTCGATGAGGGGCAATCCGGTTGGAAGTGGTGCTGGCCGAGGAGTGGATCCATTCAGATCGAGACCGCCGAATACCTCGAGACCGCCTTCATTGCATGTTGACGATTTTGTTGCACTGGAAACGTGTGGAGCACAACCAACAGGTCCCACTGGTTACAATAAACTCAGTATTCGCGGCACCGGCTCTCAACGTGGTGTCATGTCCGGATCACGTGGTCGGCCCTGGGTTCCTGAGCCACGACCTTATCTTCGATAATTTATTTAATTAAATTCAAATTAAACTCGCTCATTTGCACCCTAAGAAAAGTCAAGTTGATTAACGAATTGTATATTTGTAGATTTTTTACAACTGCTGTTAAATATAATACAAAATTGTAAAAAAAGTTTTGTTTTTCTTTTCACTTACCTTGGGAGGATGTTTTCTCTTTTTTTTTCTTAACAGTAATGGCTAATTAGTGAGGATAAATTAATCATCTCCCGTGGATTCGTAGACTCCCCTCTTGTCATATCTGAACATTTTTTGTAATTTGCTACACCGCAATTTAAATTTTGTGAAATCAATTTTGAACCTGTCCATGTCCTTTATTGTTGGTTTCTGAAAATTATTATTTGTAAAGGATTATTTTTTTATAGTAAAACTAAATTAATAAAAAAATGTGACACGCTTCGATAAAAGGTAAGAAGCAAACGAATAAAAGAAAATAATTATTAATTACAATAATAATTATTGTAATTAATAATTATATTTTTTTATTACAAATTATATTATACAATAATTATCCAAATAAAAAAATACCTCGTCCTCTATTGCCTCAGCTGCTAATCTTTTAAATTTGTCTAAAATATCATAAATATATTCACTCGGCTTCAGCTTTTGTTTCATCATCATTTCCAGTAATTCAACGGCATAATCCAGATTCAGTCGATTACACGCGGTACGTAATAAAGTACCGTAAATGAAATAATTCGGTGCAATGCCAAGATTTCTGATGCAATTCAATAATGATAGTCCATCTTCTTTATTTTGACAGGAGAGAGCAATTACTCCCCAGGTAATGATGTCTGGCTCGCAACCATTTTGCTCCATTTCACCAAGTACTGCCTTAAGATTTAAATAAAAAAAATAATTTTAATCTAAATTTTTAATTTTTATCTGCAGGCTCCGCACTTGATAATTAATTTTAAAAAAGGTAGCTTTAAGACTGAAAAAAGGAATAAAAAAGTAGTTACTTTTTTCGGTCGTAAAGCTACTTGAAAGTGATTTCAAGACTAAAAAAATATCGTTTTAGACGATTCACATAATTTAGGAAAATTTCCTTCTTTCTATTATTTTCCCCCACTTTTTCGAATTTTCATAAAAGATATTTTTCTCTTGCATTGCAACTTCAATTCTAAATGTTTGCAAAATCCAATAATTTTCTAAATTTAAATATAAAATTCTTCAAAAATACGATTATATTTAAAAATAATTTTTAAAAGTAATAAAATAAAATTCTTTGAAATATAAAATTTTTTCAACTAAATTTGACAAAACTTCCAAATAATTGGAAATATAATTTAATTTTTGTAAATTATAGTATATTTAAAATTTAACGAGAATTTAACTATCTTCCAATCATTTTAATTATAATTTTTCAAAACATTAATTTTTTTCATAATTTCCAAATTAGATTACATTTAAAACTTGAATAATTTTTGTTAAATAAATATTTAAACACTTATTTATTTTTTCACGGGAATTAAAATATTTTAAATGATTAATATGTAAAATTTTTTTGGAAAAAGTTTAACAATTTCAAAAAATTACTACTGTAATTTTTCAAAAATTTAATAATTTTGTTGAAATTTTTAATTAAAATTATTGAAAACTTTAATAATTTTTTATGAAAAAAAAATAAAAATTTTTATAAATATTTAAATTTAAAAATTTTTTGAAATTCAATTATTTCTAAAAATTCATCAAATAACGCTTTTAATATTCAATTATCTAAAATTTTAACTGACATTCATTTTTAAATCAATTCCTAATAGAAAATTCTACAAAAATTCAATTATTTAAATACAAAACTAAATAATTCATTGAATAATTGAATATTCCTTAAAATTGAATTCTTTGAAAGAAGTTTATTAAAACTTTAAAGAATAATTGCATTTTTCGAGGAATTTATTTAAAATTGTATTAAAAATAATTAAAATCCTGCGATAATTTTTGAGAATTTTAAAAATAATTGAATTTCTGTAATGAATTTTATTAAAATTACATTCAAAATAATTGAATTTTTTTGAATAATTGAATTTCTGTGAAAAATTTGTCTATTTGTGAAAAAAACTGAATTACTGTGAAAAATTTTATTAGAATTTTGTATCAATAATTGAATTCTGGTGAATAATTTTATTTGTAAAAATAATTAAATTCTTGCCAAGAAATTTATTATTGAAACGAGAATTAAATTATTTAAATACAAAACTAAATTATTTATTGAATAATTGGATATTTCTTAAAATTAAATTATTTGGAAGAATTTTATTAAAATTTTGAAGAATAATTGCATTTTTCGAGTAATTTTTAAAAAATAATTTAAATCCTGCGATGAGTTTTGTTATTTATAAAAATATTTGAATTCTTGCAACGAATTTTATAAGAAATTTTTTAAATCATTGAATTCCTTTGAAGAATTTTAATAAAATTTTTAGGAATAATTAAATTTTTTTTAAAATTGAATTTTAAACAATTACATTGTTGTGAAAAATTTATTATTTATGAAAATAATTGAAAGTTTAAATTTAAAATACAAAAATAAATAATATATTGAATAATTGAATATTTCTTTAAATTAAATTCCTATAAAGATTTATATCAAAAATTTTTTTAAATAATTGAATTCTTTCAAAGAATTTTAATTCAATTTTTAAGAATAATTGCATTTTTCGGCGAATTCATTTAAAATTGTATTAAAAATAATTATTGAAATATAATAATTTTATGAAAATATATAAATTCTTGCAAAAAATTAAATTTTTTTTTAAATAATTAAATTTATTTTTAAACTTTTATGAAAATTGTATTTTAAATCATTGAAATTCCTGTGAAATTTTGTTGTTTTTGAAAATAATTGAATTTCTGCGAATTTGATTAAAATTACATTTAAAATAATTGAATTTATCTAAACTACTTTGTTATTTTATGAAAATAATTAAATTCTCGTGAAGATTTTATTATTTATGAGAATAATTGAATTTTTCGACGAATTTAATTGAAAATAATTCAATTCTTATAAAGAATTTTCTTAAAACTTTTTCAAATAATTGAATTTTTTTGAAAAATTTTATTATTTGTGAAAGTAACTGAATTTATTCCAAAAATTTAATGAAAATTGTATTTTAAATAATTGAATTACTGTGATAATTTTATTATTTATGAAAGTAATTGGATTCCCGCGAAGAATTTTATTTGTAAAAATAATAATAATTTTATAAAACTTTTTTTAAATGCTTGATTTTTTTCTATATAAATTTTATGAAAATTGTATTTTAAATAATTAAATTTTTGTGAAAATTTTATTATTTTTAAAATAATTAAATTTCTACGAAGAATAATTTCACCAATTATTTTTTAAATAATTGATTTCTTTTGCGAAATTTTATTAAAAATAATAGATATTGAAAATAATTGAATCGTTTCAAAGAATTTTGTTAATTTCAACTATTAGCGAATTTAAATTATTGCAAATTCTCAAAAAAAGTGTCACAAATATAAAAAAGTATCCAAATAGTAGGAAATCGTATAATAAAAAAATTAGTAAATAATAGTTTTTAGTAGAGGAGTACAAAGCCTAAACTGACAATATTACCAAAAAAAAAAAAAGAATTTTTACCTTGGCATCATCGTAATCGTATCTAAAACATCTTCGTTTAATTAGAACATTAAAAAATCCAGTGTCCAATTTAACTTTGTTAATGCGTGCCATTCGCATCAAGTGTGTCTCAGCCTCTTTCGTATTCGCAATAGATTCCAAACAAAGTGTAAATGTTTTTCGATTTGGAACAACACCGTCACTTTCCATTCGTTTCAAAAGACCATCAAAACCTCCGAAGAGCATCAATCGATTATTTTTAATAATCTTATTTAAATCAACATTATTTTCCCCTGATTGGTCGTCTTCATTTTTTCCCACATTACGTTTCCTCGAAAATCGTCGCCTATTTTTTGGATCCATTTCAACTTCTGGCAAAATACGAACAACAGGTGGTGTTGCCAATAAATCAGGCCTTCCACTCTCAGTTAGAATAATTTTACTCTTCTCCGATTCAGCTATTAAAATATCATTAACCTTTAAATTTCCCAATTCAGTGTCGCGAATTGCTCGAAATAGAAGATTATAGGTAACAATTGATGGCGTCACATTATGAAATTTCATTAAATGCCAAACGACAAGTGCATATTTTAATCCAATTTCCTTCTGGGAACCAGCACCATGAAGTAAATTATTGATAGTCACATGATCAATTGGTAATTTTTTGTCACGCATTTCGTCCAATAATTGAAATGTCTCCTCCACTTGACCATGACGCGAATATGCTTTTATTAATGCATTATAATGCGTTTGATTCAAGGGAAAATTCACATTAAACAAGTAACTGAAATAAATAAAAGTTTTTTATTAAAAAAATTCTATTTCTAAAAATCAGAATTGAATTGTTTTTTAAAATACTTTTCTTACCTTCTGAAATCATGTAAAATTTCCAAACTTCTTGATTCCGTAGAATTAGAGCAAGCATTAATTAAACTCGTAACTATAGCTTCATTTGGTTTCAGTGATTGGTTCTTAAGTTTATTATATAATTTAAAACACTTTTTAACATTACCTTGAACAGCAAATGCTCTCATAAGAAGAGAATACATGTAAAGTGTCGGTTTATCACGATTTTTTTGTGCAAGTAAAAATACATTTTCAGCCGATGCCAAATCACCATTTTGAATGTGTTGTTTTAACATTTTTGCATATTCACTAGGATAATGTCTATATTTTGCCAAAGGTTTTGCTTCATTTTCTTCAAATTCTTCAACTTTCTTCTCCTTCTCATCCAGTTCGACAAGATCGTATTTTCTTTCGCCAATATCGCCGAAAATATCAGGATCCTTCGGTATGACTTCAGTGCAAAATGTTCGAAAATCTTTTACATGCAAAAGTGGGGTTATATTTACAAATGGAACACGTTTCACTGTTTTATTATCACTTTCTTTTGCATTTGTCAAGGTTTTTATATGTTGTGATTGTAAAATATATTGTTTCTTGTTTCCACAAGTTCTCACGACATTGTTAAGTCGAATTGACAAGGAATTTATTTTCAAAGAAAACATTGTGATGTTTCTAACAAATAATCTTTGATTATTCAAAACACTGTTCTTAACAATAAAAATATGGTAAATTTATCCTTAAAAACACTTTTTTAATGATAAACAATGCTAAATCACAAAAAAAGAGAATGCCGCAATCGCCGCAATGTATATTTATTATTTTGGGGTTAAAATTGACACAACGTGCTTATCAGCTGATCGGCAGTGTTGCCAACGGTTGACAATGAATAATTCGTTTTTATTTTTCTAACTTCGAGGAATCCAGAGGAATCTTAATTAAATCTAATTCTAAGTTGTTTTTTATAGCAAATTTTCCGTAAATTGAAAAAAGAATCAAATTTGGTTCTACAAGGAGAGAAAAAAGAAAATTTAACTTTCTGGATAGATTCAAAATTAACGGTTGGTAGCACTGCGATGAAATTTAAAATCCAATAGCGGTAAATAAAAAAATTGGGTTTGAAAGGTTTGAAACTTAATTTGAAAAAATAAATTAATTTTTTAAAAATATTTTTAAATAATTTTTTAAGGATAATAACTAGTCTTTCTATTATACAATTAAAATATTTCCAAACAATTAAATTTCTTAAAAAATTAATTTTTAAGAATTGTAATAATAAAACTTGAAAAAAATTAATTATTTTCTATTAAATTTTACAAAATTTTAATTATTCCAAATCTTTTTAATTGTATATATGTCGAAAATTTTATTAGAAAAATTATTCATAAATAATTTTTGAAAGATTTGTCTATAGTTATTTTTCACACTAGAAAAATCAAAATAATTTGCAATTTATACTAAAAATGTGGTATTTTGTAGCAATATTTGGAAGAAAAGTCAAAATGTCGCAATTTTTGAAAATAAATCGAAAAAAGTCGTATTTTTGGAAAATAGTTGGAAAAAAGTATAAAAAAACATAATATCCAAGGCCTGGAAAATAAAAAATCCGTAAATTATTATTTCAATATTTTTTATGAATATATTTACATTTTTTACATGACCATATGCATTTCATTGCAAATAGGAAATAATACAGCTGACGATTGGTAAGTACGTTAAACATACAAGAGTGTATAAATATAAATTCACTTTATACGTGACGTTTTTTCTGCATTAATTAAAAAAAAAAGAAAAAAAAACATTGAACGCTTATTAATGCAGAAAATGACAAAAACAAAAAATCTTTTTTGTTTGCAGAAAAAAAAGCATTCAAAAATCATTAATATTGATAACCTCAATAATAATCTCCTTTTTCGTGGACGTAAAAAAAACAACTCCAAATCGATCGACATAATAGAAATAATAAATATTTGAGATCTCGATTACTAATTATTATCATAAACATTGTTTAACAACCTTAAAGCTGCCACGTTCTTAATTTCCAAAAACCAATGAAATAATATTCATTCACGTTGCTTTTCGTCTTAATAGAACTATACTATTATATAATTTAATAGCGGGTCCAAGTCGTAGACCAAGTAAGCTCATTAAATCTTCTTGTGTCAACATTAAAAACGCTTCTCCATCAATGTTCTGCAAAATTATTAAATTTCAATAAATAAGCCAGTTATAAATTTAGTGAATTAAAATTAGATTATCAATTTTTTTTGTATTGAATTGAATATTAAATAAATTTTAATCAAATAAAATTATAAATAAAATTTGTGACGCGCTTTCAAGAAAGGTACCTAAGAAGAATTATAAAAACGAATTTCTAAAAATTACAATTATTCCAAAATTCAATTATCAGGGTTGCCACAAAAATTTAATTTTGTTTTTCCCTGATTTCCAGACAAAATTTTGACTTATACCCTAACTCTAAAGAATAATTTCAATTTAATTCACATTTTCTAGAATTTTTAACTAAAATTCATCTTCAAATCAATTATTTTTAGAAATTTCTGAAAAAGTTTCTTTGAGAAAATTTTCAAATCCACTTATTTGCAATTCAATTTTACGAAATTTCGATGATTCGAAAATTTTTCAATTAAATATATATATATTAGAAAATAAAAACTTCAAATAATTTCAAAAAAAAATTCAAATAAACTTTAAAAAAAAATTAATTCTACAAAATTGGTACATATGTTAAAAGTATGAAAAATTCAGATTTTCAAAGATTTTAATTTCAAACTTTTTCAAAATCCAATTAAATTCTTTCGACGATTTCGTATAAAATTGTATTAAAAATAATTGAAATTCTGCAACGAGTTTTTTTATTTATGAAAATAATTGAATTCCTAAAAAAAATATAATTATTGCGAAGAAATTTATAAAAAATTTGTAAATAATTGAATTCCTGTGAAATTTTTATTATTTATGAAAATAATTGATTTCTTTTGGCAAACATTATTAAAAATAGTAGAATTTTGTTATAAAGATAATTTATAATTCAATTTACAATAATTCATAAAGAGAATTGAATTTTTAACGAAAACGTGAAAAAATGTTTGAAAATAATTGAATTTCTCAGAAGAATTTTATCATTTATGACAATAATTGAATCCTTGTAAAAATTTTTAGTATTTTAGAAAATAATTGAATTATTACAAAGAAATTTATAAAAAATTTGTAAATAATTTATTTCCTATGAAATTTTTATTATTTATGGAAATAATTAAATATTTACGTAGAATATTATCAAACTTTTTTTTTAAATAATTTGATTCTTTTAGAAATTTTTACTATTTATGAAAATAATTAAATGTTTGCACAGAATTTTATTAAAATTTTTTCTAAATAATTGAATTCATGTGAAAAATTTTATTATCTGTGAAAATAACTGAATTACTGCGAAGAATTTTATTACAATTTTTTTAAATAATTGAATTCTCGTGAATAATTTTCTTTGTGAAAATAATTGAATTCTTCCGAAGAATTTTGTAAAACTTTTTTTAATTAATTTTTTTTTAAAACGAATTCTATGAAAATTCAATTTTAAACACTTAAATTCTTGTGAAAAATGTATTATTTATGAAAATAATTGAAAGTTCAAATACAACATTAAATAATTTATTGATTAATTCAATATTTCTTTAAATTAAATTCTTATAAAGATATAAATCAAAAATTTTTTTTAAATAATTGAATTCTTTCAAAGAATTTTAATTCAATTTTGAAGGTTAATTGCTTTTTTCGGCGAATTCATTTAAAATTGTATTAAAAATAATTGAAATCTCGAAAATAAGATTTTTTTTATGAAAATAAATAAATTCTTGTGAAGGATTAAAATTTTTTTAAAAATAATTGATTTTATTAAAAATAGTAGATATTGAAAATACTCGAAAATAATTGAATCGTTTCAAAGAATTTTGTTATTTCAACTATTATCGAATTTAAATTAGTGCAAATTCTCGAACGAGTTATTTTATTTATGAAAATAATTGAATTCCTAAAAAGAATTTAATTATTTTCGAAAATAATTGAATTATTGCGAAGAAATTTATAAAAAAAAATATGTAAATAATTGAATTCCTGTGGAATTTTTATTATTTATGAAAATAATTAAATGTTTGCGAAGAATAAATACATCAAAATTTTTTTTAAATAATTGATTTCTTTTGAGAAATTTTTTTAAAAATAGTAGATATTGAAAATAATTGAATTGAAGATAATTTTTAAAAAATAATTGAATTTCGGACAAGAATTTTGTTATTTACAAAAGATATTAGAAAACTTAACGGTAATTTAAAGAAATTTTTTGAAAATAATTGAATTTCTGCGAAGAATTTTATTACTTTTGAAAATAATTCAATTTTTGCAATTATTTATTTTAACTTCTCAAAAATTCAATTTTTTTTAGTCTTTTTAAACAAAATTATTCTACAAATCCACTATTTTTAATAATTATTAATGAAATAGTTGAAAAATGTAATTAACTTCAGAAGAATTTGAATTATTAAAATTTTCCAAAAATTTATTTAAAAAAAGAGAAAAAAAGTTCATTAAAATTTCTGAAATTTATTTCCCTGAATTCTCTGACCTGTGGCAACCTGTGTTCCTTTCTTGAGAGCGAGTCACAATTTGTATTATTATCACATTATCTTATTATTATAATTTTTTAGAGTTCAATTGTTGAAAAATAGTGAATACTTACATGTTTCCTGAAGATAGTACCGATTTCTTTACAATTAGGCAAACTTTGAATAAACTTAATTACTTCCTCATTTGACCACCGGCGAGGATTTCCAGTTTGTTTGGCTACAACTCGATTCAAAGCACCGCTGTGCTTTGCCCAAATGTGCGGTTCATCCGGCAACGGATTATAACCAGGATTATACACAGAATGATATAATTCCATTCTTAACTGTTTATCAGAGGAATTTTGCGAATTATTTAAAGATGAATCACCGAATCCTAAACTCGTGCGAGGAAATACTGGTTCTTCGGAAATATTTCGTCTAAAAGAGAGAAAGAAAAAAAAACAGTTAAGAAAATGATCGATAAAAACAATTTTCTAAATTAGAAATTTTCTAAATTAAAATTGATAAAAGAATGTTTGTCAAATAATATTCACCTTTTTTTGCGCTTTTTTGGTGGTTCGTCGTCATCGGTTTGACCATCACTGTTCATTTGACGACATTTACCAGATCTTTGAGAGGAATCGAATTTTTCACTTTTATCCGAGTCAACTTCCTCTTTAATATATTTTGATTTGAAATTAAATGGTTTACGATCATCGAAAGTGAATTTTTCGAATTTCTCTGATTTCTCTATTTTAATTTTATCAGTCTTTTCAACTTTCGGTTTCTCATTAATTTCATCCTCATATTCACAAACATCGTGCTTTCCACTTAGTCTGTCAGAGACTATTCTTATTTTCGGTAAATTATGCAACGAATACGGACAGCCTGATGGAGAATTGTGCGAGATAAATTTAGGACCCTTAATGTGACCAATACCTCGACATCCATGAGTTCCACATTCAGGACGATCGTTTCCAGTTTCGGGAACTGTTGTCGCAAAAGAAAAATTCACAATTAAATTAAAGTTCGCAACTAGAAACAATGTTTTCAAAATTTTTTTGTGAAAATAAATTTAGTTGGAACAATTAAAATATAAACTTACTGATAGGCGATTCCAGTGGATGTCCAGTTTTCTGGCACCATCCAACTGGATGAATATCCGTGGAATCGTCATCAACCCAATAGGCATGATTTTCGGGCCATCCGTCGAATCGAATTTTCAACATGTGATCCTTAACGTCTTCAACAGTTGCCACGCGAATTAATTGTGGAACTCGTTTATCGACAGCTTCTAATTTCATGCCTCGCCTAAATCCACAAGGTGGTCTCTGCTTAAAAGCTCGCGCCGGTGCCGCAACTGATTGTGTTTCCCTCAAATAAGCGTCCCACGTAAAAGACTTGGCGTCTTTATAACCTGAGATAAATTTTAAATCACATCATTTTTCTCAAGAAACTTATATTTTCTAACTAAAAGAAAAATAGATTTAAAAAACATTTCGATTCAATCAATAATTCAATATTTTCCACTTTCATATTTCTTTCATAATTTTCCATGCAAATAGTAAATTCAATCAAACACTTACTTTCTGGTTATCAGTATTCATTTTTGTCAAAGACTTTTAGATTATCTTTTTAGAGATAAAAAAAAAACACTCAAACACACTTCAAATAATTTTTGTTAAAAATGACAAAAGTAAAATATCCCGCTTGTATTCATTCATACTGAAAGAATAAACCACTAAAAAGCGCAAATAAAAATTGGAAAAGCAGTTTTCACTTTCGCTCAATCAAACATATGCAAAATTTTTTGAAAATTTGTCTATTTTCAAAAGTAAAGCGCACACAAAAAAATGCTAAATAATAATTAAACATGCAAAAACAAATATTTCTTGAGGCATTTGCTCAATAATTTTACGAAATGTTATCGATTATTCAAAAATTCTCCAATTGAATATAAATTAGAAAATAAAATCCTTCAAATAATTATAAAAAAAAAATTCAATTAAATTTTGTCAAAAAAACTAATTCTACAGAATTGTCATTTAAAAGTATTAAAAATTCAAATTTTCAAAGATTTTAATTTGAAACCATTTTCAAAATTCAATTGTTTCTAAAAATTCATACTATATAATTTTTTTTAATATTCAATCCCAACAAAAACATCTTTGATGCAAAAACTTCCACCTTCCACTCATTCTACGATGAGTTTCAATATTTATGAAAATAATTGAATTATTGCGAAGAAATTTATTAAAACTTCGTAAATAATTGAATTTATGTGAAATTTTTATTATTTATGAAAATAATTAAATGTTTGCGTAGAATTTTATTAAAATTTTTTTTAACTAATTGAATTCTTTTAGGAATTTTTATTAAAGAAGTAGATAATAAATTGTTTTGAAAATAATTGATTTTCTGCAAAGGATTTTACTATTTATAAAAATAATTGAATTTTTTCGAAGGATTTATTAAAATTAAAAAAAATTGAATTTTTTCTAAATGAAAAATTTAAAAAAAAATTGAATTCTTCCGAGAAATTCAATTAAGAAGTGTTTTGAATAATGAAATTTCTGCAAAGAAATTTATTATATTTATAAAAATAATTGAATTCTTTCAAGAAATTTTATTAATATTTGCGAAAATAATTTAATTGATTTAAACAATTTTAGTAAAATTTTAAAAAATAAATAAATTCTTTCTAGAAATCATATTAAAATAAAATTGAATTGAAAATAATTGAATTCCTGCAAAGAATTTTGTAATTTATGAAAATAATTAAATTCTTTCGAGGAATTCAATTCAATGTGAATATTGGAAATAATTTAATTCTCGTAAACAATTTTATCAACAAATTTTTAAAAATAATTGAATTCTTTTTGGGAAATTTTTATTAAAATAGTAAATATTGACAATTATTTAAATGAACAAATTATTAAAAATAATTGAAATTTTGTCAAGAATTTTATTCATATTTTGGAAAATAATTGAATTTCGGGCAAGAATTTTATTATTTTCAAAAATAATTGAATTCCTGCGAAGAATTTGTTTTTTTATAAAGATAATTAAATTCTTGTTGAAATTGTCGAATTTCTGTAAAGAATTTTATTATTTTTTGAAAATAATTGAATTTCTGAGAAAAATTTTATTATAATTATGAAAATAATTAAATTCTTGTGAAAAATTTTGTTTACATTTTTGAAAATAATTGGATTTTTGCAAAGAATTCAATTTCTGCAATGAATTTTATTTTTGCAAAGATAATTTCATTTTCGTCAATTATTTGTTTAAAGTTTTTGAAAATAATTAAATTTCTGCAAAGAATTTTATTATTTGTGAAAATAATTAAATTATTTTATTGAATTTTATTAAAATTTTTGGAAATAATTCAATTTCTACGATGAATTTTATTTTTTCAAAGATAATTTCATTTTTGTTAATAATTTGTTTAAAGTTTTTGAAAATAATTGAATTTCAGACAAGAAATTTATTATTTTCGAAAATAATTGAATTCCTACGAAGAATTTGTTTTTTTTAAAAAGATACTTAAATTCTTGTTAAAATTGTTGAATTTCTGTAAAGAATTTTATTATTTAAAATTTTTTGAAAATAAATGAATTTCTCAGAAAAATTTTATTATTTTGGCAAATAATTGAATTATTGCGAAGAAATTTAGAAAAAATTTTTAAATAATTGAATTTCTCTAAAATTTTTATTACTTACGAAAATAATTAAATGTTTGCGTATAATTTTATTAAAAATTTTTAAAAATAATTGAATTTTTTTAAAAATTTTATTTAAATAGTAGATATTGAAAATCATTGAATTGGAGAAAATTTTTTTCAAAAAATTTAATTTTGTTATCTATAAAGATAATTGAAATTTTTACGAGAATCTTTTTAAATTTTTTGATAATTGAATTTCTGCGAAGAATTTTATTACTTATGATTTCAATTTAACTATGCACAAGCGTAGAATGTAAAATTTTACTCACTATTTGGAGGAGTTAAACTGTGACCATTGTGATGACACCATCCAACAGGATGAATGTAAGGTGAACTAGCATCGGCCCAATAATCATAAACTTCGTCCCACGAATCAAAATGAACGAGAATACGTGAATCCATTAGACCTCCAATACTCGCAACACAAACCAAAGACGAGTGTTTTCTATCCACAGCTTCCAATTTCATTCCCACTCGAAATCCAGTTGGAAAAATAGACTAAAACAAAAAAGAATTAAAATTAAGATAAGAAAATTAAAATAAAATGAACGTTCAAACTAACGACGATATTTTTTCCCTGCGTATAATTCGTAGTCCATTTGGAACTTTCACCACTTTAGGGAATTAAATAAGAAAATAATTTAAAATACACTTTTCTTTCTACTCACATTTTTGTTTGAGAAAATTGTTTTTGGTGCAGCACTTGCTTTACAAATTTTAAGATATGCATTCCAATTGAAATTATTGGCCACATATCCTTTTGGTGGATCCAATCGATGACTATTTTTCTCCGACCAACCAAATGGAAATATGTCCATACTGTCAGCATTCACCCAAAAGTCATAACTTTCACTGTATCCGTCGAAATGTAATCGTAAACGATATCCTAAAATTACAAAACAATAGAAGTTGAAAAATCGAATGTCAGAAATGTTTTTTTGTCTTTTAAAATTTCAATTGAAAAACTAAATAAAAAAGAAATTAAAAAATTTTTAAAATTACTTACCGACTATTTCAACTACAGAAAGAACGCAATAACGCGATGGATGTTCCGGATCTATTCCTTCCAATTTCATGCCAACTTTAAATTGATTTTTAGCATAAGGGAATGCATCTTTAAATAACTTTGTAGGGGCAGCCTTTGCTTTACAATGCTCAAGGTATTTCGCCCACGAAAAACCCTGTTTTCCAAACAACCATGGATACTGCAAAAATAATTAAATTAAAATAAAAATTAATAAAAATTAACTATAAGATAATTATTTAATTATTCATTAATCATCGAATGTTTTAAAGTCCAACCTTAGATTCATACGCGTCTGCTTGACTTTCCTCATCAATATTAGAAGTATCTTTCGAATCTTCGTCAGATTCGGTTACTGAAGATTTTGTTGATGATTTAGTTGACGATTTAGCGGAAGATATTGTCGATGACTTAATCGACGATATTGATGTTGATTTTGTTGTCGTCATTGTTGATGATGATTTTGCTGACGATGTTGTCGACAATTTTGTCGGCGGTGGTGCTGCTGTCGATTTTGTTTGAGGCTTTTCCTCCTGTTTTTGTTTTTGTTGTTCGTGTAGCAATGATTTTCTTTTTTTCTTCGCTCGCATTTCCCTAGTGAGAAAAAAATTTATTTTTTACTGCCAGCAAATAAAAATTTGTCATCATAATAATGGGTAATATAATATAAAATATATGAATTTAAATTAAAAAACAAATCAAAATATAAGATATAAAAAATAGAAAAATATAATTTCAGAACGTACTTTAAATCCTTTTCTTTGCGCTTCATTAGTTCTTTTTTTGCTTCTATGATTTCCGTGCAAGAGGGACTGCATGATATTGGACTTTCAAATTCAGCTGCCAAACCATAACAACCACAACTTTGACAGCAATAAAATGTGTCGGCATTAGCGGGTCGTTTTTTCTTCTCCTCTTCTATAAGAAAAAAAGGTTAAAAAATTTGCCAATTAAAAATTAATTTTAAATCGAAAAATTTTTTTTCAGTCAAGAGGAAAAAGTAAATTTATTTAAAAACTCACTTTTCTTTTCAGCAGCGGCTACCGTTGGAGTCGACTTGGAAGATTTTTGGGACAAGAACACATTTTCTTTGTCACCAGCGCCATTCTCCTTGTCTTGTTTATTGTGTTCGTCTTCGTCCACAACTTCCATCAATCCGAATTCATTGACACGAAACTGAAAAATAAAAAAATTATTAAATTGAAAATTGCTTTTTATCTATAAATATTAACTGGAGAATAACGATTTTGGTTAAATAACTAAACATATTTTCCTTATTAGAAGGAAATCCTTCTCTGTTAGAAATAACAAATGATAAACAAACCTTCAGACTGCTACCGGGAAGAGACCCAACTCCATCTTTCCACTCCAATGCCTTGGCAGCATCAAAATTCAAATCACTTGGAACTGAATTCAAATCTTCGGCACTTTCCTCCTTTTTCAATAATGATTCCCCTTTCTTTTCAATTGGTTTCTCTGTACTATTCGCCGTCTTGACCAATTCAATTTTAATATCATCATCCGACGTGGATTTCAATTTCGACATTTTCTCTTCACTTGCTACAACTTTAATTAACGTTATATCGTCATCATTTTGTTGTTTCTTCTCTTTTTCATGCTCCGAATCGGGACTATTTAGAGAATAACTAATTTCCACTTCGGGATTTGTTTTCGGAAATATTTGCTTCTTCATTCTCTTTTCACCAGAACCACGAAGAATATTACTTATTGTTTTCTTTCTCTTCTCTGGCTGTGGATTTGTATCGTCTTTTTTATTTGGAATTGGTGTTATAACTGCTGAATCGGGATTTTCCGTTATTTTTATCCCATCAACTGTGTGCTCTTGTCGTCCAGATTTTCCCAAAAGTGTTATATTCGTAATAGGATGCAATGGAGGTGGATGTGCGGTTGAATTTGTTGTCTTTGATTCTCTTAAAACTGAAAGAAAGAAAAATTATTGATTCATTAATTTGTTGACTCAAGGTTTAGGCCAGTCGGTGAGTGCAAAAACTGCCCAAAAATCCGAACAGCAAAGTCTAAACGGTTTCTGGTAGTTTGGGGGCTCCTTATAAGAGCCCCACAGTTTGCTCTCGATTTCCGGGTGCGAAAAAGAGTGTAAACAATCGCCAAAGTTTGGAAAACATGGTTTTTCGATGCTCGTTGCTTCCGGTTAAGTTTTAGGGGAAAAAGTTGTTATTGAAAGTTATAGAGCTTGGAAATATCTTTCAAATGATGGGTCATACGTTAAAAAAGGTTAATTAGTTTAGTTGCAAATGAATTTAAACCATTAAAAATAGCACTTCTTTAATTGTTTAATAACATTGTTAATAATTATCGAATTTGTTCATAACTTACCAGGAATGTTCTCCTTGCGAAGCTGAATAAATCCCAAAAAAAATTAACTAGATCGGAGAAATAGTTTATGCATAATTCCATTTGTTAACTAAAAACATGTAATTTTTCAACGGAATTTCCCCACTTTTGGTCCATCGAATTTCGATTTTTTTTTTTGGAAAGTACACTTAAGAAGTCAAACTTTCATCCTATTTAAATGGCCAATTGATTTTTTTTATCTAAGTGCATAATAAAAAGGGTTAAAAAAGGGTATGTTTTTTTGTCATAAACAAATGGAATAACTCAGTCAATTTTCACTTTATCAATTTAGTGTAAACGGCATTTAATTTTATTTGTTTTCACAAAACTTTTTCAAAAAAAAAATCCAACCTAGTTTCAAGGGGGGGAGAGTTAGTTTTTATTTTTCAAAAAATTCCTGACTAGATAATAATTAATATTTTTAATTGAAAATTGTGCCACTTATAGTTCAATACATGTATTTTACGAAAAAAAATTGAACATAAGGTTTTGTGCATTTATTTTTCATTTACATCAAGTAAAAGTAAATACATCCTTTTTTCAACCTCTAAACGTCGGAGTGGGGGTACTCGGAGGAGCGTGATTCTCGCCGCCACAACTCAATTCAGCCGTTCAAATTTGCAAAAATTGTCATAACTTCGTTAATTATTTACCGATTTTAATCATTCTTTTTTTAATTTGATGTATTTTTTTACGCTGAATCCAAAAATGATTTAAAAAACATACCCTTTTTTAACCCTTTTTATTATGCACTTAGATAAAAAAAATCAATTGGCCATTTAAATAGGATGAAAGTTTGACTTCTTAAGTGTACTTTCCAAAAAAAAAAATCGAAATTCGATGGACCAAAAGTGGGGAAATTCCGTTGAAAAATTACATGTTTTTAGTTAACAAATGGAATTATGCATAAACTATTTCTCCGATCTAGTTAATTTTTTTTGGGATTTATTCAGCTTCGCAAGGAGAACATTCCTGGTAAGTTATGAACAAATTCGATAATTATTAACAATGTTATTAAACAATTAAAGAAGTGCTATTTTTAATGGTTTAAATTCATTTGCAACTAAACTAATTAACCTTTTTTAACGTATGACCCATCATTTGAAAGATATTTCCAAGCTCTATAACTTTCAATAACAACTTTTTCCCCTAAAACTTAACCGGAAGCAACGAGCATCGAAAAACCATGTTTTCCAAACTTTGGCGATTGTTTACACTCTTTTTCGCACCCGGAAATCGAGAGCAAACTGTGGGGCTCTTATAAGGAGCCCCCAAACTACCAGAAACCGTTTAGACTTTGCTGTTCGGATTTTTGGGCAGTTTTTGCACTCACCGACTGGCCTAGTTGCTACAAAAATTTAATTATGTTTTTTCCTGACTTTTCCCTGATTTCTAGACAAAATTTTCACTTTTTCCCCGGACGCTAAAGAATATTCTGATTCACTCTAAAAACTATTAGATACTCAAAAAAATGTTCTCTTACATTTATTTACGAATTTCTTTCATTGTAAAATTGTAAAATATTTTTCGAAAACATTAATAACTTCATTTTGAATAAATAATTAATCATTATTATTTTTTCGTAGGAATTAAAATTCTTCAAAACATTCAAATTCAAACCTTTTTGAAATTCAACAATTTATAAGAATATTATTATAAAACATGAAGATACCGATCACTCCAAGTCTTCGACTCGGAGTGATCGATATCTTCATGTTTTACAATAATTAAAGTTGACTGAGTGATAAAATCATTATTTTATGTTATAAAAATATTGTTACTGTAACTTCTTCAAAATTATTTTCATCATTTCAATTCAAATATTATTTTCTAAAATTTTCAACTCAAATTCTTCTCTAAATCAATTATTTGTAATAATTTTAGAAAAAGTTCTTTAAAATTTTTTTCAAATCTATTTGTTTACAATTCAATTTTACAAATATCATCGATTTTCGGAAATTCTTTAATTCTTTAATTGTATATTAGAAAATAAAAACTTGAAACAATTTCCAAAAATATACAATTAAACTTTTTCAAAAAAATTAATTCTACAAAATTTTTAGTTAAAAGTATGAAAAATTCGGATTTCCAAAGATTTTAATTTTCAAAATTTTTAAAATTCAAAATTTTTATTTCTAAAAATTCATCCTATAATGTTTTTAATATTCAATTATTATCTAAAATTTCAATTAAAATTAATTTTGAAATCAATTTTTTTTAGAAAAATCAACGGGAATTTAATTCTTTAAGTACAAAAATAAGTAATTTATTGAATAATTTAATATTTCTCAAAATTAAAATCTCATAAAAAATGTTATGAACAAATTTTTAATTAATTGAATACTTTCGACGAAATTTAATGAAATTTTTAAGAATAATTGCAATGATCGAGAAATTGAATTAAAATTGTATTGAAAATTGAAATTCTGCTATGAGTTTTTATTATTTATGAAAATATTAGAATAATTGCGAAGAAATTAATATAAAAATTTGTAAATAATTGAATTCCTGTGAAATTTCTATTATTTATGAAAATAATTAAATTTTTGCGTAGAATTTTAATAAAATTTATTTAAAAAATTAAATTTAGTAAAGAACTTTATTAAAATTCCTGAAAAGTGAAAATAATTGAATTTTGGAAAGAATGTTATTAATATTACAGAAAATATTTTAATTTTACCAAGAATGTTATTAAAATTCCTGAAAATAATTGAAATTCTGCGAAGAATTTGGAAATTTTTAAAGATAATTGAATTCTTTTGACGAATTATGTTATTTATGAAATTAATTGAATTTTGTAAATAATTTTCATAAAATTCCTGAAAATAATTGAATTTAGTAAAGAATTTCATTAAAATTCCTGAAAATAATTGAATTTTGGAAGGAATTTTATTAATATTCCAGAAAATATTTGAATTTTGCCAAGAATTTTATTAAAATTCCTGAAAATAATTGAATTTCGGCAAACAATTTAAAAATTTTTAAAGATAATAGAATTCTTTTGATGAATATTTTTATTTATAAAAGTAATTGAATTTTGCAAATAATCTTCTTAAAATTTAGTGAAATTTTCGTAAAATATTTGAATTTTTCAAAGAATTTTATTAAAATTCCTGAAAATATTTGAATTTTGCAAAGAATTTTCTTAAAATTTCTGAAAATAATTGAATTTAGTAAAGAATTTTAATAAAGTTCCTGAAAATAATTGAATTTTGTAAAGAATTTTATTAAAATTCCAGAAAATATTTGAATTTTGCCAAGAATTTTATTAAAATTCCTGAAAATAATTGAATTTTGCAAATAATCTTCTTAAAATTTATTGAAACTTCCGGAAAATATTTGAATTTTTCAAAGAATTTGATTAAAATTGCTGAAAATAATTGAATTTTGCAAAGAATTTTCTTAAATTTTTTGAAAATAATTGAATTTAGTAAAGAATTTTATTAAAATTCCTGAAAGTAATTGAAAGTCTGCGAAGAATTTGGAAATTTTTAAAGATAATTGAATTCTTTTGAAGAATTTTGTTATTTATGAAATTAATTGAATTTTGAATAGAATTTTTTTTAAATTCCCAGAAAATAATTGAATTTCGAAAAGAATTTTATTAAAATTCCTGAAAATAATTTAATTTTTCAAAGAATTTTATTAAAATTCCAAAAAAAATTTGAATTTTGCAAAGAATTTGATTGAAATTCTTGAAAATAATTGAATTTTGTGAAGAATTTTATTAAAATTTCTGAAAATAATTGAATTTTGCCAATAATTTTATTAAAATTCCTGAAAATAATTGAAGTTAGTAAAGAATTTTTATATTTATAAGGTTATTTGAATTTTTTTGATGGATTTTATTATTTATGAAAGTAATTGAATTTTGTAAATAATTTTCTTAAAATTTCTGAAAATAATTGAATTTTTTAAAGAATATTTTTAAAATTCCTGAATATAATTGAATTTCCGGGAAGAATTTTGATATTTATCAATTACAATTAAATTGTTTCGAAGAATTGCGTTAAAATTTTTGATATAATATTAAATATCCATTAAAACACACAAAAAATGAGAAATTTCTTATGAATTCTAAATATGTAACTTTTTCCAGTTTTTTGAATAAAAAAATTCCTGACTTTTCCCTGAATTCCCTGGCTTGTGGCAAAATCCTATGATTCCAAACAACTATTGAGATATTGAAGTTTCAATGGTTAATAAATGTATAATAAATTAGTTTAATTGTAGGTACATAATTAGTTTTGATTAAAATCTACTCACCGGTAATTGCGCCTTTATTATCACCAGTAACTTGACCATTGGTGATTTTCACGTGATTCATCATACTTGTCTTTGGCGATGGAATGTTAACGGGTAGAAGAAGATTCGTCATGTGCTTATTTAAACGACTCTGAGTTGCGATAGTGGTCGTTGTTGGAGTTGGAGCCAATTGTGACAAAACTGGAGTTATAACCAGTTTTTGCTTATTAGCCTGTCCTGTTGTTATTCCGCCTACTTTTATTCAGAAAGGAAAGAAAAATAATATTCAATAACATTTAAAAATAAATTTTTAAAATTATTTCGTTTACTTTTTTTTTTTTTAATTAACTGTCATGAGACAAAAATATCCAAAATGAGACAAAAATAGTTAAAATGATAATTTAACTAAACGAACAATAAAAAATATTAATTAAATTAAGAAATTTTATTTACTGTATTGAACTGATGATCGATTATCGTCTCCGGTCGCCGAGATGACAACAGGCTCACGATTCTTGTTTGATTTGATAATTGTTCCGAGATAAGCAAAAGAGTGCTTCCCTGCATGAGCATTAGTCTGATTTCCCTGAGATGGATTCAGAGGAACAATTTGAGCAGTTGGTGTGTTCGTTTGACGAACCAATATACGATTCTGACCTGAATTATTTGTTGTCGTGCCGACTGAATTTAACGATCGATGAATAAGTATCCGTTGTTTTTGTGAATTGGACACTTGACTAGACCCCTGAAAATAAAGTTTATTTTGTCCAGCAACAATCTGCAACAAAAGAAGAACAAAAAATCAATATAAAAAACTAACTAAATAACTCAGTTATAAAAAAAAAATTTTTAAATCTAATTTCCAACTTTTATTTCAATCAATGAAATAAAATGAAGTTAACAGAGTAAAATAATTTATGAATAATAATAATACTCTTTAACTTCTCTTTGATATAATAATAATACAAAAAAAAACAGTAATTTATTTATAAACGAAATAGAATTCAAATAAAATCAATTTTGTCAAAAAGAAGAACAAAACCTAAAAAATAGAATTAGAATAAAATTGAGATTTTAGGGAATTTTAGCACAAAAATAGAAACATTTTTCCAAACAGAAGAAAATTTTAAACTTTAAATAAGAAATACGAACTATAATAAAAAACGAACATAGAAAAACTAGTCAACAATAAAAATTCAAAATTTCATTTTAAATGAACACTTTTTCAAAAAAAAAAAAAAAATTGCACCTTGCACCAACGCAACGAAGTGAATCGGATAACTTCAATATTATAATAAAAAAATATATATACATATATACACAATATACGTTTGTTAATAACATGTGAAACATATTTTATTAACAAAAATAATCGATGGTAAATATGAAAACAAATTTTTTTTCACATTTAAAAGAAAAACCATTTTTTTTCTAATTCCTTAAATGAAAAAATTCTGTTTATTCACGTTTATGCAACTACGTAGAAAATTGGGTTAAAACTACTTGAAATGTAAGAATGTCACGTCCGCTACAATGTTTAATGAGAAAAATGTCAATTTTAAATTATACGTGAGAGTAATTTACAATTATTTTAAAAAAATAATTAATGTTTTTTTTTCTAAACAGTATATATAATTAAAATGAATATTGAATCCCCCTACCTCTACATCTTCAAGTTGGAAACGTGAATCTGCCAACACAAATCTATACAATCTATATTTAATATATGAAAAGAGATGCACCACTCACTGCTACCAACACTCACATAGAAATTTAATAGGGCTTCAAGGACTGAGCACGTGTTTCTCTCGAGTTAAAAAAACCATTTTCCATAAATTAAAGATTACTTTCACTGTTGTTTTTTCAAAATTAAATAAATTCACTCGCTTGATATATTTGTTTCGGAAAAAAGGTTATATTACACTATAGTTGTTCATTATAAACCTATTTAATATTCACGCACTAATGTACATTTTATTACTTTCTCTCCCTCCATCGAAAAAGTTTTATAATAATGCACTTTACAGATGCATTTTATGAAAATGGACGTCAAGTTTCTGTGTTTTATTCTCAAGGTGAAAAAAGATTTTTTTGTCGCGGCTTTTTATTGATTAAAAGTATTATCTTATCAATGTAAATATTTGTTTTTTTTTCTTCTTGGTAAAATTGTCCAAACTGATGGAATTAAAAAAAGCAAAATTACTAATTACAAATTAAAAATTACAAAAAAAGTTTAAAAATGTATAAATTAGATGGCAAAAAAAAAATCTTTTATTCTTGTTATTGATTTTAGTACTTTAAAAGGAAAGGGAAGACTTTTTTTTTATTTCATGAATGAAAAAATTCGACTCACCTGATTATTAACAGGATTAATGTACGCTGTCAATTGTGAAGCAGAGGGTGAAACAACAGTTGTTTGATGACCCGTTGTTGTTTGTCCAGGTCGTAATTTTCCATGTGGAATAAACAATGTTTTTGGCATGAGACGAGGAGATGAAGTTCCAGCTGATTTGTTGTCGATATGTTCATCGACATCCTCTACGATTATTTCATCCTCATCCATCCTAGCGATGGATATCATTTTTTTCCTCATTGGTAAAAAATAATTCAACTTTTTCTCATCTACAATAATCTCACTCCTATAAATTGAACAAAAAAAAAGAAAAACTTCTAAAGAACTTATTTGGAAAAGTTACTTTTTCAAAAAATAATAAAATTCTATAATGAGTATTAAATAAACAAATTCGTTAAATAATTAACTATAATTAACTGTAAAATAGACAAAAAAAAAAAAATTTTGCAAAACTATTTTTTGATCGAACAGAAAATATTTTGAAAAAATTTTTGACAAAATTATTATTATAAGAACGATTTTTATTTCTTTTCCAAATCAAAGCAAAAAAAAAAAGAATATTTATTTAACTCTAAAATTAAAAAAAAAAAAATTCGAAAGTCGCGCCAAACAAATCACAACGATGAGAGATTTTTCGGCACTTTCGAGGTTCATCGGGAAACACAACAAAGGACCGACATTACTACTCAAAAAAACAGTGATATCAATCAAACACTTTAAATTTAGTATACTTTCCATAGAGTATCAATATTTTACCATTATAAAAGTTTCTCACACGATGCAATAAACTTGTGTTATGTCGGCGAGTGTGCGACACAAAAGCAAAAACAATTTACGTTCTATCTTTTCAAAGTTGTAAAGTACTTAAAATGGAAAACTATCATTCAATATACAGCTGTATATATAACTCAAGAATTTACTGCATTAATTTCACTTATTGAAACACACGGAGAACAATAATATTTAACAAAAAATCACACCCGTCATTTTGAGCATTTCTTTTCGAGTAAAAAAACTACACACGTTGGTAGTTCCACAGTCGTCCGTTAGGTGATGGAAAACGCAACGAGGAGATGAAATGGGAAAATTGATTGGTTCATGAAAATCGACCACGTGATTCAATACAAATGCGAACCAATGAGAAATTACAAAAATAGCTAAACCGGAAGTAATAATTTGAAATCGCTATTTAGTGCCCAATTTTATGTAATAATTACTTCTTTTTTATTTTTAACACATTTTCAACAGAAGGGATAATTTTTAATTGTGTAACGTATTATTTCTTAACAATCCAAATCATTTTTGCCCCTCTACAATATTATTTATTCAATATTTTTCAATTTTCAACAAAACCTAACCTTCGTCGTAACTTTTCGCGCTTAATTCAAATTTCAGACTTTCTCTTTTAAGAATTGTCCAGAAATATTGACAAGTGAATCAATTTACAATTGTTAAAGCTTAAAAGACAAATTTTAGCATTTTAGTGAAATTTAATTACACAATGTAATGTAAAACTAAAAAAAAAATCGATAATGGATTCGAAGATCAGAAAAAGGGAGGGGTAGGGGAAGTGACCGGAAGAAATAAATAAAGGAACGATGAATAGAACCTTGATTTTCCATCTGATTATTGACCAATTGGAATTGAAGGCAACAAACGCTGTGACATTTTTGCGCAATAATTGGTCCATTTCGGGTCATTCCGCTATGAAAAACGAACTTTCTTTAAAAACAATTTAAAAAAAATTGTTAAACTTTTAAATAATTCTTTTCTATAGATAGAAAAGAAATATCGCAAATTTTCATATTTTATCATAAATTAAAGAATCAATGGAAATGGAAACGAAATTTTCACCTTAGAAGCAAACCGGAAAGATCGTTAACCTCTAAAAATGGGTGTCGAGAGAAGCTGATACAAGATTTTTATCGATTATCAAAAATAATAAAATTCAACTGTTCGTAAAAATATTTGGGGTGATTATTAATTACCTTTTGGGAAAATATTAATTTTACAACTTAGCACAAAAATGGGGAAAATATAATAAAATTTTTCACCAAGTAAAAATGACACATTTTTACAAATCACGAAATCATGTTGAAAATTTTAATTACTTTTAAAAAGTTAACCTAAAAATTATTAATTATTAATTTTTTAATTTTTATTTAAAATAATAGAAATAAGTTTAGCTTCTTATTATTACAATAAAAATATCGACAGCAAGTGTTAAAAAAATTTACTGTCATTTCGCGTCATGTGTATAGATTTAAAACTATTTACAAGTATATTTTGTAAACTATTTGAATAACAATTTTAAAAAAACACTTGTTGTCATTCATATGGAATAATTATCAAATAAAAGTGGAAAAGTAACAAAAATATATTAATTAACCAACAAAGTTAAATTACAATAAATTTTTTTACAATAATACAGGTACATTGTAGCAGACCAGAATATGTAAGCCTAACGAATCTTGATTGAAGATTTTTCTAAACTACTGAGAGGAAATTGAATTTTTTTTTCAATTTTTTTTTCAAAACTGAATCAGTAAAAACTTTAGGTTACAATGTTACTTTTTTTCAAGAGAGTAATTAATTACAATAAGAGAAAAAATGTTATTAAAAACTCACGTTTCAAAGTTTGTCAGTCGCCATCAGGTTGAGATAGAAAATGAGAATTTTTCCCAGTTCACAGTGCGCATGCTTTTGACTTAAGACTCATTCATAGCCATGCGCTTTACGTTTTTCTCTAGAAAAAAAGAAATAAAAATTATTGAAAAGTTATTAGAAGATGTAAAACAAATAACACGTGACGAATAAATTAATTCGATAATTAATAATAATTTAATTAATTCACAATTGTTCTAAATAAAAGATTACATAAAAAAACAGTTGCATTTTTCGCAAACAGTGGCATTTAATTCTTTGCAGCAAACTTCAAGTTGCTCTGATTTTGAATTTTCAATTCACGTCCAAATGGAATTTAAGTTTTTTTTGTCTATTAAATTTTCAGTAAATAATTTTTATTAATTGGTTCAAAAGTAAACGATCAACTTGAAATATTGTAAAGTTTAAGATAAACATAAGAATAAAAGAGAAAGCAATAGTTTTAAAAGGTAAACAATGTGACAGCGCCTGCGCACAATGAATCAAGCAGGGACGTATCAATTTACAAAAATATCTCTATATTAAAAATTTAAAATTTTTCCACTATTAAAATAAGTATTTTCCTTTTTGTCTTACAAAAAATTAAGTATAACACTTTAATTACATAATTACATCTATAATTTCCATGAACAAAGTTCGGGTAATGTTTAAAAATATATTTGCGTCGTTAATTTTCCACATAATTATTGCGCACAGTGGCGTAGGACAGTCTAACTCAAAAATTTTACTTTAGTATCTGACTGTCTGTCAATTTGCCATTTTAACTATTATATCAGCTGATACACTTGATGCACTTTACATTTATCAAAATATATTCATGTTTATTGACTCTCATCAAGTGTCTGTTTGTCATAATCCATAACCTGTGTTGTGACATATTTCAAAGAAATATTCCCAGCGGAATGTTAATTTTTGTGTTCAATTATTGCTCAAAGTGTTGTCAAACAACAGTGTCTGAATTTCATTGACTCCATTGTCGTTTATAATTATATTTATATATATATATATAGATATTAAATTCTGGCCTGGTAAGAAAAGTTATTTTTACTTTTATCTAAATTTAAGTGAATTTCGGCAAAAATTTGAAATCTCAAAAGTGTCAAAATTATAACCTTTTTTGTGGTTGATTACATTCATTATCGAGGAGGAGAAATTAATTGCGTTTTTAAAAATATTGTGAATATAGGAAATATATAGTCAAGTTCCTAATTCGATAAATTCGGAACGAAACAAATAGATTGGTAAAAATATATTGCTGCGGGGGAATTTTTACTTAATATTTATGTATTCTCTTTTCAAAATTCTCGTGTATTGTTTATTAAACAATTTGGATTGTTTTCATCAATATTTAAAGACTGACCTGATATTATTTTTACCTTTTCGATAATTACTGCACATAATTATGACGCCATATTAAAAATAGTTGCAATTTGAATATTTTCATTAACGAATTAATAATTATTTTTATTTCTTTGATCTTTTATTTTTCTTTCGAGTATGATTTTAACTTTTGATTAGAATATAGGTGACAATATTGTGACTGTGTGTTTTTAATATTATTGTGAAAATAATAGTTTAATTAAACATTGTTTTTCTACAGTTGATTATTTGGTAAACAATGGGAGGTGCCGTGAGCAGTGGACAAGATAATGACGAGCTGGTTGATAATTTAATTGAATCCGGCTACATAAGAACCAAGGCAGTCGAGAAAGTATTCAGAGCAATTGATAGAGCTGACTATTTTTTATCGTCACATCGCGAAAGCGCCTATAAAGATTTTGCTTGGAAACATGGCAATATTCATTTATCGGCACCTTGTGTTTATAGCGAAGTCATGGAAGGTCTTTCTTTAAAACCAGGACTCAGTTTTCTTAATTTGGGCTCTGGGACCGGATATCTTAGTACAATGGCCGGACTTATTCTAAGTAAACTTAAAATTTAATTTAATTTCCTATTTTCTTCTTTATTTTTTCATTTTTTTTTAATTCAGGACTCGAACCAGTGAAAGTATTTAAAAATACGGACTTTACAGTCCAAAAATGAGATTTAATTCAATAAATTTATTATTTTCGATAATAATTGAATTCCTGTGAAGAATTTTATTATTTATGAAAATAATTCAATTTCTGCGATGAAATTGATTTTTACAAAAGATAATTTCATTTTCGTTAATATAATTTGAAGTTTTTGAAAATAATTGAATTTCTGCCGAGAATTTTATTATTTATTATAAAATTGAATTTCTGGAAAGAATTTTCATTTTCTTAAATGATAATTAAATTCTTGGGAAAAATGTTATAATTTTTGAAAATAATTGAATTTTTGCAAAGAATTCAATTTCATTTTTACAAAGATAATTTCATTTTCGTCAATTATTTGTTTAAAGTTTTTGAAAATAATTGAATTTCAGACTAGTAGGTAGAAATTTATTATTTTCAGAAGTAATTGAATTTGTTTTTTATAAAGGTAATTAAAGTTTTGGGGAAAATTTTGTTAAAATTGTTGAATTTCTGTAAAAAATTTTATTGTTTTTTGAAAATAATTGAATTTCTGAGAAAAATTTTATTATTTATGAAAATAATTGAATTCTTGGGGAAAATTTTGTTAAAATTTTTGATAATAATTAAATTTCTGCAATGAATTTCATTTTTACAAAGATAATTTCATTTTCGTCAATTATTTGTTTAAAGTTTTTGAAAATAATTGAATTATTTTATTGAATTTTATTAAAATTTTCGGAAATAATTCAATTTCTACGATGAATTTTATTTTTTCAAAGATAATTTCATTTTCGTCAATAATTTGTTTAAAGTTTTTGAAAATAATTCAATTTCAGACAAGAAATTTATTATTTTCGAAAATAATTAAATTCCTACGAAGAATTTGTTTTTTTTTTATAAAGATAATTAAATTCTTGTTAAAATTGTTGAATTCCTGTAAAGAATTTTATTATTTTTCAAAATAATTGAATTTTTGAGAAAAATTTTATTATTTATGAAAATAATTGAATTATTGCGAAGAAATTTATAAAAAAAATTTTAAATAATTGAATTTCTGTGAAATTTTTATTATTTTATGAAAATAATTAAAGGTTTGCGTAGAATTTTATTAATGTTTTTTTTTAAATAATAATTGAATTCTTTTAGACAATTTTTTGAAAATAGTGAATATTGAAAATCATTGAATTGAGGAAAGTTTTTAAAAATAATTGGAATTTTCACAAGAATTTTATTAAAATTTTTGAAAATAATTGAATTTTGGAGAAGAATTTAATTATTTCTAATGATAATTGAAATTTTGACGAGAATTGTTTTTAATTTTTGAACAAAATTGAATTTCTGCGAAGAATTTTATTATTTTTGAAAATAATTGAATTTCTGTAATCATTTGTAATTTCTTTGAAATTTTTTCAAATTATATCGTAGAATTTACGAACTTTTCGTCTTTTCTCAATCAAATTACGGACTTTAGGGATCTTTTTTAAAAAAACCGAACTTTTACGGACTTCAAGCAAATTTACGGATTTTTGAGCCCTGTTAATTTTAAATCTTATTTTTTCAGCTCAAAGTGGCATCAATCATGGAATTGAATTACATGAAGATTGCTTAAAATATGCACACGACAGAATGGATGAATTCAAACAGAAATCACTGGCTATTGACGAATTCGACTTCTGTGAACCTCGTTTTATAAAAGGTGGGTAAAAAAAATTCTTTGTTTTATCGATTGGAAAAGAAAATAATTTTTGAAATTTCTCCAGGAAATTGTTTGAGTTTGGTGCCGGGGAGAAGATATGATCGAGTTTATTGCGGTGCAACGTGTCCCGAGTCACATGAGGCGTTTATTAAACAATTAGTGAAAGTTGGTGGCATTTTGGTAATGCCGTACAAGGACCATTTACTTCGTGTCGAGAGGACCGATGAGAATACATGGATTAATAAAACAATGTTACCAGTTTCATTCGCCACATTAGTTGTTCCCAGTTCCTGCGAGCAGAATCTAATTCATTTACGTGAGTAAATATTTCAATAAATAATTAAATAATTCGATATAATTCAATAAATATTCTCGTATTTAATTAAATTTTTTTTCCCTCTCTTTTTAGCCGAATGCGATCCAGTGTCCCTACAAGAATTGTGTCGCCTTCGAATTCGTCGGCGATTGAGAAAAATCGTCTGGCTCGAGCACGCCGATTTGGAATTCAAGAAGCCAATTCTCGCCGAACGCCGACGTACGCAATCGTCATCGGCGAAAACATTGCGTCGTTTCGTCATTCCAATATTCGAAGAATCAGACGAAAGTCTACCAGACGAGGACGACGATTACACAGGGAGAACTCGTCTTCTGTTAAATGTCGATGCTCATTCGGGTGAGGCAATAACCACAACACTGCAATTGGTGCGCGCTGTCAATTTAGTTGGCTGTCAACTAAACAGAGATGAGAATCAAGCAAACGAAGAAGCACAAACGACAAACACTAATAGAACTACAAGTCATCAAAGTAGCTTTGAATCCGTTGATAGTACGAATAGTAGTAACAGTACTGAAATACAAAGCAATCACGAAGACAAACAATTTCCATGTACGGAAACCTATCAGATTTCAGACAGCAGTACAAGTTCTGATTCGGTGTGTGATAAAATTGATGACACAAGCAATAAGACAATGGATAATGGTAACGAGAAATGTCGACGTGAATCGAATTTAGATACTTATTTAAGTATGAGCGAGAGTGATAGTGATCAGGAGCAAGATTACACAATTAAGCAGAGGAAGAAAATTGCGAAGAGAGAAAAAATCGATAGCAATGATATTATCGATGATTTTCGTCCTATTAACAATGAGGATACAAGTTCAAGTTCAAATACACAGACATTTAATTCAGATGTTGTTGAAACAATGGATTATCAGACTTATGATATATTTCGCGATAACGCAACGTATCCAACTTATCGACCGATGAATAATCGAGAGCAAAGAATGGGTAATCCACTTGATCCAAGTATGGGACACTATGTAGATTCAAATGCATTCTCATCCTATTTAAAGGAAAAAATACATCAACTGCCTTTGCCTCATGCTCTCAAATTATACTTAAATTATAATCGAAATTTGTAAATGTAAATTTTTTTCCATTTCATTTGCACTATGAATCTATGATAAAAAAAATTCAACGTTTAGATAAACACGTGCAATTTCATTGTTAATACAATTTTTAGTATTCATTCTTCGCTTTATCACTAAAAATTCAAGTTTTCGATTAATTTGAAAAATAATTGTTAAAAGTTATAAATCTCATTATTATTATTATTATTTTGTACAGTTAACATTAATTTCAAGTTTATTACAATTCTTTGGTTATAAACCAGAATTATTTGTACAATTACCAAAAAATTATATTTGTACAATCAAAAATTATTTAGAGAATTAAAAATTATTATTTTTGTAGAATTAGAATCTTTTGTTTATTCATTTGTCGACTGTAATTTGAAAATTTAAACCATTACAGGGTGGCCACATGTCAGTAAAATCAGTAAAATCAGGGGAATGTCAGGAAAATTTAGAAAACAGATTTTTTCGACTTATTTTCAAAAATTGCGACTTTATCGTCTTTTCTCACACAAATATTGCAAGAAAATATTATATTCAATTATTTTTCAAAAAATAATAAAATTCTTTACAGAAATTCAACAATTTTAACAAAATTTTCCACCAAAAATTTAATTATCTTTATAAAAAAAACAAATTTTTAGCAGGAATTCAATTATTTTCGAAAATAATAAAATTCTTGTCGGAAATTCAATTATTTTCAAAAACTTTCAACATATTATTGACGAAAATGAAATTATCTTTGAAAAAATAAAATTCATTGTAGAAATTGAATTATTTCCGAAAATTTTAATAATATTCTTTAAAATAATTCAAGTATTTTCATAAATAATAAAATTCTTCTCAGGAATTCAATTATTTTTGAAAATTTTAATAAAATTCTTAGCAACTATTCAATTATTTTCATAAATAATAAAATTCTTTGCAGAAATTCAATTATTTTCCAAAACTTTAAACAAATAATTGACGAAAATGAAATTTGCTTTGTAAAAATAAAATTCATCGCAGAAATTGAATATTATATTTTTTATTATTAAATGTAATTCATCTCGATTTTTAATAATCGAAAAATAACTAAACAAATCTTTCAGAAATTATTTTTGAATCATTTTTCAATTTAAATTTTTGAAATACAATAAATTAAAAAGATTTTGAATAATTGAAATTTTGTCAAATTTAATTGAAAATAATTAATTTTTTTCATGTATTTTGTTAGAATTTTTGAAAATCAACTTTTGAAGAATATTAATTGCAAATTTTCTGAAAATAATTGAATTGTAAAAAATTTTAATGAAAAATCTTTAAACATAAAGTTAAAAATGAAAATTAATGAAAATTAGCTTCTAATTTTTAAAAATTTAGTATTTTCAGTACTATCAATTATATATTTCCGAAAACTGAAAATAAAATTAAAATATTTTTAAAAACTATCTTAATTCTTAAAATTTTTTTAAATTTAATTATCTTCGAATAAAGCAAATAATTTAAATTTTTTTTACAAACTTTACTCATTTTCCGTAAAATAAAAAATTGTTATTTATAAAAATAATTGAATTATGCAAAGAATTTTATTAAAAGGCTTCAAAATAATTGAATTTTCGGGATTAATTTTACTATTTATTGACATAATTGATTTCTTTCGAAGAATTTATTTAAAACATTTGAAATGTAATTGAATTACTGTGAAAAATTCTAATATTTTTGTAAATAATTAAATTCTTTCGAAGAATTTGTTTAAAATATTTAAAAGTAATTGAATTGCTGTGGAAAATTCTAATATTTTTGTAAATAATTGAATTCTTCCAAAAAATTAAAAAAAAACATTTTTTTAAATAATTGATTTTTTCGAGGAATTGAAATTAAATTTTTAAGAATAATTACATTGTTTGAACAATTCCTGTAAAATTGTTTTAAAAATAATTGTTATTCTGCGAAGAATTTTATTATTTATAAAAATAATTGAATAGTTGCTAAGAGTTTTATTAAAATTTTAGTAAATAATTGATTTCTTGAGGAATTTTTCTTATTCATGAAAAAATTGAATTCTGAAAAAGAATTTTACAAAAGATTTTTAAATAATTGAATTTTCTTTGGTAATTTAATGAAAATAGTTGATAATCAAAATCATTGAATTGCGAAAAGTTTTTTTTAAAAATAATTAAATTTTACAAAGAATTCAATTAAATTTTTTTGACAATAATTGAATTCTTGCGAACGATTTTATTAGAATTTTTAAAAATAATTGAATTTTTTTATGAATATTGTTACTTATGAAAATAATTGAATTCTTGGGAAGAATTTTATTAAAATTTAAAAAAATAATTGAATTATTTTAAAAAAAAACTTAATTAAAATTGTATTTCAAGTAATTGATTTCTTTCGAACAATTTTATTAAAATAATTGAAAATAATTGAAGATCTCTGAAAAATTAATTTTTGTTAATAATTGAATTCTTCTAAAGAATTTAATAAATCATTTTCTTAAATAATTAATTTTTTCGAGGAATTGAAATTAATTTTTTAAAAATAATAACATTTTTGAGCAACTCCTGTAAAATTGTATTAAAAATAATTGAAATCCTGTAAAGAATTTTATTATTTATAAAAATAATTGAATAGTTGCTAGGAATTTTATCAAAATTTTCAAAAATAATTCAATTCCTGAGAAGAATTTTATAATTTATGAAAATAATTGAAATACTGTGAAAAGTTTTGTTATTTTTGAAAATAATTGAATTTCTGTGAAAAATTTTGTTATTTTTGAAAATAATTGAATTCTTTATAAGAATTTCATAAACATTATTTTTTAATAATTAATTTATTCAAAATATAATAAATATTAAACTTTCATATTATCCTGTAAAAAAATTTTGTCAGGGAAAATAATTTTAATATCAGTAAATTGTCAGGGAAATTGTTAAACTGAAACTTGTGACCACCCTGCATAAGTAATTTTTTTAAAAAGGTTTTTTTAAACACAAATCGAAACGAGAGGATACGAAATTTTTTTTTTAAGAATTCACAATATTTTCAAAAAGTTTCTTTTCAAATTAAAAATTCTAGAGACTTAATATTTAAAATTTTTGTAAGTCTGGTGGATCAATATTAGTGAAAATCGATAAGTATATAAGAATTTAAGCAAGTCGATGAAATCGATGAAAAAAAAAATTATTCAAGGAATCAATTAAACAAAAAATGTATAAATCAATGTAAAATTGAGTAAATCAAAATAGGAAATTTTAGTTTACTAAAGTAAATTCAGAACTCGAATTAAACAATTTAAATAAATTAAAATCTCGAAAATACGCAAGTAAATAGATTTTAAAATTCAAATAAAATAAGTGGATCAATCAATAGTGAAGTAAGTAAATCAATTAAATAATTTAAGTAGCAATTCGATTTGCTTTTTCTATGGTAAGCAAAAAAAAATTAATACATTATTATTTCGAAATGAAAATTAATTTACTAATTCTTTGACATATAAGCAATTATCAACCGTTTTTTATCTTATAATAAATTATAAAATAACTAAGCTTTATAATAATCTAAATAATGCATATATATTTCTCTTAAAAGAAAATTAGTTAACAAATTTTCATTCAATTTTCACGAATTTTTTCTCGTTTCATAATTCATATACACTGAAACTTCAGAAATTTAAACAATATAGTTTAAAATTTGGAGCTTTTAATGTATAAAATATTTTCCCATCACCGTTCAAAATATAATATATTTTTATTGAAAGAAACATCTCTCGTCAATATTATATAATAAATATAATAATCATTATATACGTAAAAAGTTTGGTTCTACATAAATATAAATTATATATATTAGAAGATGAAATTTAAAATGATTTTAGACATATTTTACTTCGCAGTCTAAAAACATTTTAAAAACTTGTCGAATTTTTACAAAATTTATTGTAAATACAATGTACAAAGCAGTTGTTTGTAAGATTTTTAGCAATATTTTAAATTAATGATTTTATGAGTAAAATAAAAATTATTTCTGTCAATATAAATGCGAATTGTGTTTGATTTTTGAATATATATTTTTTTAAGAATACTTTTTTTTCCTTCAAGAAGAAAAAATTCAGGTCTCGGATATTATAACTTTTTCGTCTCTTTTCCACTATTTTCAAAAAATGCGACTTTTTCTCCAATTATTCAAACAAAATAGTATCGCATTTTTAGTATAAATTGAAAGTTATTTGGATTTTTTTAGTGTAAAAAATAATTATAGACAAATTTTTAAAAAATTATTTTTGAATAATTTTTCTAATTAAATCTTCGAAATATACAATTAAAAATTTTTATCTTTTAATAATTGAAATTTTGCAAAATTCAATTGAAAATAATTGACATTTTTTTTTAAAAATTCAATTATTTTCAAAAAATTTTACCAAATTTCAATTGTTTGGAAATTTTATCAAATTTTTATCAAAATTCTTTAAAAATTCAATTATTTTAAATTTTTTTACCAAATTTCAATTGTTTGGAAATTTTATTAAATTTTTATCAAAATTCTTTAAAAATTCAATTATTTTAAAATTTTTTACCAAATTTCAATTGTTTGGAAATTTTATCAAATTTTTATCAAAATTCTTTAAATATTCAATTGTTTTAAAATTTTTTACCAAATTTCAATTGTTTGGAAATTTTATCAAATTTTTATCAAAATTCTTTAAATATTCAATTGTTTTAAAATTTTTTACCAAATTTCAATTGTTTGGAAATTTTATCAAATTTTTATCAAAATTCTTTAAAAATTCAATTATTTAAAAATTTTTTACCAAATTTCTATTGTTTGGAAATTTTACCAAATTTTAATTAAAGCTCTTCAAGAATTTGATTATTTGTTTAATATTTTAAAAAATTCAATTATTTTTAAAATATTTTTATTCGCCTCATAAACTATTAATTGAATTTTAAAAGAGTTGCCTATACAATTTTTATAAATAAATTTAATTCAATTAATTATAAAAAATACTGAAATAAGAATTTTAGTTAAAAACACTGAAAAAATTGAATTTTGGAGAAGTTACAAATAATAAATTGCAGAAATTCAATTATTTTCAAAGATGATAAAATTCTACGCAAAAATTCAATTATTTAAAAAAATCTTTAAAAATTGACTTCAAAAATTCAATTATTTTTATAAATAACAAAATTCTTGTCCGAAATTCAATTATTTTCGAAAATTTGAATAAAATTCTTGGCGAAATTTCAATTATTTGCAAAAATTTTCCTCAATTCAATTATTTTCAATATCTATTATTTTAATAAAATTTTCCCAAAAAATGCAATTATTTCGAAAAAAAAATTTAATAAAATTCTACGCAAACAATTAATTATTTTCTGAAATAATAAAAATTTTCTCAACAATTCAATTATTTGCAAATTTTTAATAAATTTCTTCGTAATAATTCAATTATTTTCATAAATAAAAAATTTTTTTACAAGGATTCAATTATTTTTATAAATAATAAAAAATTTCACAGAAAAATCAAATATTTATAAATTTTTTATAACTTTCTTCGCAATAATTCAATTATTTTCAT